TCTTGATAAAAGCACTTCGTGTAGCCGCAACAACAGCCTCGCCATTGCTATAATTCGGATCCGCCCCAGCCACTAATAATACTCTTAAGATGGCCTGGCCGCCGTCTCCATACCTTGCTGCCGATTCCAGCTGCGCATCCACAAGCTCTCCTCTAAACCCCTTGCCCAGAAGCTGTTCAAAGATCATAGCTCGTTTGCTCAGGTCTCGGACTTCGGTAGCTGCCTGAAATCCTTCTTCCAGAGTCGTATTGTTCACCGCCATGTCTGTTCCTAGAAGAACCTTGAGTACTTCCACAGACCCCCCACGGCATGCTTCTATAACCGCTTGGCCATTGTTTTGCGACATGCTTGCACCATGAGACATGAGGATATCGCCAAGCTTGACATCGCCTTCACGAGCAGCGACTAGCAGAGCATTTGACGCCGCGGTTGGCGATATCTCATAAGCCAATAAGCGTTGGCACAAGGCATTTCTAGTTGTGCGGTTCTTAATTTCCATTGCCTTGGTCAGCGCCGAGCTACGGTTTCCAACCGAATGATTGGAGCATTGTAGCAAAATGTCAGTTACGTCGGCAGATTCTCTTGATATGGCGAGAGACAGAGCTTCGCCGTCTGAGGTATCAGCCTTGGTTGATAAAATCCGTATTAGGCCAAAGTCTTCGGGGTACGTCTTGATTGCATGTATCAATGCCCGGTTGACTTCTTGTGGTGATACTCCAGCCTCCACAAGCTTCGTGGTCAACGTCTGTCTATTCATAGGATCTTGCAGCCGCAAAGCGTGAGGAAGCGCATAGCCCAAAGAAGCTTGGCTCAGACGGCACTGGGGTCCGAATAACAGATCAACAATCTGTATCTTGCTACCCCTTATTGCATGGCACAAAGAGGCGGCTTGGTACGCATTCGGATCGGCTCCGGACTCCAGCAATATTTTGAGCGTATTGAGTGGTGGCTGCGCTTGGCTGAGATCTCGCGAGATGAACTGCACCTCTTGAGCAAGGATGCTATCCAAATCTTCTTTTCGATCAGATTTTGGTAACAAAGTTCTCAATTTCACAGTCTTTCCGTCGGATGGAGGGGTCGAAGCAAGGCTCTGTAGTGCTTTCGAAATCGATTGGCTCGTGGGCTTTCCTAGGCTCGTAACCAGTCCAAGGACCTTTGGGTCGGGATTAATCGTAGCTTTGGCCATAGCCGCACCGTCAAGCGCATTGACGTCGGCATTACCGTGTTGGAGCAACAGCTGAAGCAATGACATGTCGACAGGCTTCTCACTCAATGTTTCTGACAAAGCCGTTGCGACTTCGACGACGCCGGTGGCGGCGCCCGCTTGGAACAGCAACGTCATGATATCGAATCTCGCTCTATGATCATCAACTCGCATAGCGTCGTGCGTTCTTGCTGCAGCCGTTTGTGGAGTCACTTTCTTCAGTAAAGGAGCGAGTAGACCGACATCTTTCTGTGAAATGAGAGGAGCTAGCCCAGCGCCATTATTGAAGTTTACGTCTGCGTCCTTTTGTAGAAGTAGGTTGATGAGTGCCTTGTCTCTCTTGGAAATGTCCTCACCAATAGCATCCTGAAAGGCAGCATGTAAACTGGATGCAGGCACCGATTTCTTTATAAACAGCTCGACCATTTGATACCGATCTGCTCCAGTCAACCTCATGACAAGTGGAAATACAGTTGTGAGTGTGCTAGCCGAAGGGCGTGCGGTCAAGAGCTTCCTTGCCAGCTCAATATTCGACTGCATAACGGCGGCAGAGAGAGCTCTTCCGTTTTGGTAATCAATTGATGCTACGGCATGGCGCCCACCATTCATGGGTTTATTATGTCCGTTGGCTTGCGATGCTGAGAAGTAAGGGTTGAGAAGTAGCTCGACGGAATTCACATCACCAGCCTCGACAGCATCTACGAGGACATGGCTGAGAGCATCACCGTTGGCTCCCTTCCTAAGCAAAAGACTTAGCAAGGTGTAGCGGACTTCGGGGGCAGCTTGCTTTGGAATGGCCGACACACAACTCGACGCAGCTGGAGGGCTGAGGGCTGTTCTGTCGTGAAGAAGTGAGTTGACTAGGTCTAGCTGTCCGCGAGCAATGGCGCCCTTGAGCATCGAAGCATCGTTATACTCGATAGATGCACCATACATAGCTAGCAGGTTAGCCATGTCGTAAAACTGGGTTTCGCAAGATAGTTCGAGCGCCTGGGATAAAAAGTCTCCTCCAGCACCGGCACAAAGCAAGAGCTCTGCCAGCTCTAGTTTGGAATCCGGATTCATCGATGGATGTTCAAAGGCAGCTTGGAAGGCGTTGTCCAGGCCTGGTCGCTGTGGTGGCCTGTTTCCCATGATGATGGCAACGGCAATGTCCTTGCGTCCCAATTCGACTGCCTGCTTCAAGGCTTCGGCTTGCTTGTGATTTCCATCCGCAGTGGAGCGGCTAAGATAGAGAACGCTCTGTAAGTTGCCCGCTCTGGCGGCGTCAATCATGGCGTCCGAGATTAGGTCGTCGGGAGGTCGGCCCTCTGACTGAAGGACCAGGCTGACGATGGCCGACATTCCATGAAGCGAGCAGGCATGGCGAAAGGCGGTTTGTGCCTCGGTCAATCGTGAGGTGCTGGCGCCGTACCTCAGCAGATTCTCCACCATCTGCGCATTGCCGCTCCGGATGGCAATAGGAAGAGATGCGTCGAGGGCCAGAGTGTCAGCATGGGGAAGCAGGACCCGGACCATGTCCATTAGGTTTCTTTCCACGGCAGACCTCAGCAGCTGCGTGCGGCCATCGAAGCTATCCAGGCTCTTCCTCCTATTCAGGATACCACTCTTCTGCTGCTGGGCGCCGGACAAATCAACACCAGCGGCCGTCAGCCTTGAGAGGAGGGCCTCGGCCACGCCCGGAGAGCCGGAGTTGGCGATCCACTGCCCCAAGACATCGACAATGTCCTTTGCGTCCAAGCCCTTGCCCTTCTTCAGGTTACTCGAGGAGAATGCGCGACTCAGCCCGCTCTTGGGGCGCGTCTTTGCTGATTCAGCCGCCTGTTGCTGGATGAGACCATCGGCCACCTGGTCGTCTGCGGGAGTGCGGAACGAGGGCGGGCGCATGGGCCGCGATAAGGGCGGAGGGATCTTGGGGAGCTCGATGCCCCATTGCTGCGACAATTGAACAATCCTGCGCTGGCGCTCGTCTGGCGTGAATGAAGGCATGATTTGGTGCTGCTAATGCTAGACTTGTGGCGCTGGCATTTGGTGGTGGGAAAACGGTCGAATCAGCAGCGGTCGTTTGTCGCAGCCAGGAATGCGCGATGCTCAATGGAGCAAGCAGCAGTTCCAGCTAGGCATGAGATGAAGCTTGATGTTGGCCCTGCTCTGCTCTGCTCTGTTGGTGTAAGATGTTGGATGTTGAATGTTGCAAAAAGAAGAAGTAGAGCTCAAGTTGGATATTCAATGTTCACGTCGCCTGAAAAGGTGAAGGTGCCTTTCGAAATGCCCAAGCCTCAGCTCTATTAAGAGCTACAGCACAGACGGGTAGGGGACCTGTTCAGCTAAGTGGGGGCGGGCGCTTGCCGCTGGTAACAGCTAATAGGCCTACTCGCTTCGTTTGAGGCGCCAAAAGAGGCAGCCCAGGCTACGACAAAATAAGGAGGACAGTAGACCTAGTCAAAAAAGACCTAGAGTTGAGGAACTGTGGTAGTAATTCGATGATTGGAATTGGACGGTATCATTCAGAAAAACAAACGGCAGGTGAAGGTTTATTGTATGGAGAACAATGCATTTACGCTAAAACAGTTTCGTCATATGGACACAGTAACTGGCAACTGTAACATCCTTGTCGTTAGACAACGTTGAATCCTTTGGCCTCAATTGTTACTGCAGCCAACGGTGCCTTTATTTTGTACCCCCTGGGCGCTTGGAACGGGTTGCTGCATAGCCGTCAATCGGCACTGTATTTCTAGCGCCTGGCCCAAGCTCCACATCGTGCTATCAATACCCGTTTAGGCCAGTTTGGTGGCATCATGGCTCACAGTGTCGACAAATGGCTTGAAACGGTACGGCAATGACTTTAATGTGAGAGGTCTTTTAAGAACTGAAGATGAAACATCCATGAAAGTTGATGAGATGCTGATGTTACTTGCATTGTAACTTTAGGCATAATGACAGCAATTAGCATCAAATATCTCAACCAGTATCTCTCTACCCCATGTCCCCCTCATTGTCCCTGCAAATTTCCACCAAGCAGTTCCCATCATCCAATGCCCACAATCCTTCGTATTCACAGTTAGCAGCGCCCCCCCTGGTCTGTCACTCAGCCACACGCCTCCCTTTGCAGCAACTATTTGAATCATGCATCAAAGCTAAAAGACTCGCGTCGCTCCCCTGCACCGCCTCAAACCGCCCTGGATTTACTGTGGGAGGGTTGCGCGGCCATCCACTCTGGGCACTTGTCAAGACGTCAATTAGACTTTGAGCGGGCAACGGATGACGACTGCTTATATCGAAAGTCTGAGACGCTTATTCTTTTTGTTTTCTCTGTGTCCACTTCTTTTCTTTTCTTTTTATAAGCCCAAATACAGTTGTGGGGGTCCAAGTATCATATAACGGCAACTGTGTAGTCGTGTACATGTGTAAACGTCTCAACTGCTAAAGAACAGGGCTGCCGTGTTCGCCATCTCACCACTGTCTAGATGCATCCCATCTACCGACATGTGATTTTTATTTGCATCCAGGCATTAATGATCCAGTATCCTAGCGATTACAATATAAACATATGTTCTATTAAATGCGCGTAGGCAGTATTAATGGAAGCAACAAAGTCACTTGGGGCTTAACCGTACCTAGTCTTAATATAAGCGCCTAGACTATTTCGCCCAATCACTTCCTCCCATGTCTCGTCACGAGAGTCGCAGACAATCGTTTTTGAGATTTCACTGTTTGCCAGCGTCAGAGATTCCAAAATCATGCTCCGTCATCATACCAAAAGAGCTCTTTGTAAATTTACCCCTCATTTTGCCGTCTCGAAATTGACCTGCGGAATACCTGTACATGCATGTGTCGAACCAACAACAGATTGGCATCAAACCCCACAAGTCTTCATTATCCTTCAGCGCTATTTAATACCCCTTATGTCCTCCCCCCTCTTATTGATGTTTTGCCTCAAAACTCCAATTGTACCAAAGAAATAAACGCTTCAGTCATGGAAAAGTCCGCCAAGCCTAATCGTTCGGCATCGTTGGAGCTGCTGGCGCCCGAGATACTGCTGCAAATCGTCACCAAACTGCCCGGCCTTGACACCCTCTGGAATCTCATGAGGGCGTCGCCTCATACATGGCGCGTATTCGATCGAAATGCTCTAGTTATTATCCAAAGCATTCTCTCTGGGCCAAATTCTGTAGTACCCTCAAGCACCTCGGAACTCATAAGAGCAGTCATCCTCGTACGCTCTGGAATTCTTCCATTCCGAGACCTGCAAGATCTCAAAAAGAATTTCCTGATGCGTCAGTTTCAATCTGGTCCTCATCTGTATATGAAAGATCCACTCGTCCCCGAATTACTTGCGACCTCCACTATACCAGTAGCAGCACTCCGATCAGTCGTTGCAACCGCATATCATCTATCTTCTCTAGCTCAGGCATGCTTAGAATCATGCCTAGCGCGAGTAAGAGATCCAAGCTTCAGGCCAATGCACGCTTTTGATCCAGAACCTTTTTACTTGGGACAGATTAAACCTGAAGATCACGTTTTCGTCGGTACCCCCGTCAAAGTCGTTGACGCAGGGGAACCTACCTGGATCGAAGAGATGAGAGCTTTACGCGCCATGTGGGTTATACAGCTGATAGGTGAAATGCAATGCCTAGTCGAAGACAGGGCGGAAACGATAAACTGGTCGGATGAAGATGTTCAGACGCTCAGCAGCATGGAAGCACCAGATTTTGTGACAAATTCGCTCCACTTTAGAGAGGAAGAGATAAAAACTGCGATGTTGTATGCGAGGACTCTTGGAGATACGAAAAAGAACACATATTATCGACTACCCCGGGCTCCTTCAACCGCTGTATGTGCCAGGCGGACAATGACTTCTCCAAAGCCAAACGGGGATGCACCAGTGGCGTATGGATTTCGCCGTGGTGACGAGATCCATTTCTTGAAAAGAGGCTCTCCCGTGCCCGAGGATGGTGAACCTATGATCAGCTTTGCCTCGAAATGGGGCCAAACTGAAAACTACCTGTACCGCCCGAATCCTGGTATGTGGGCCTTCAAAGACCTTACAGCAGGTAGGGTAAGGATGATCTCGCCCCTCGAGGGTGTCAAGTTTGACTCTTTTCGCCCACTAGGCCTTGCCTTTTGGGATCGATGGAGGTTATATCTGTTGGGATTAACATGGGGAGGGGGTGAGGAATGGACAGTGAATGGAGAACGGCGTTTGCCATGGTTTTATCATTTTGCCATGGAAAGTATTCTTCCCCCTGAAGAGGTTGCTAGTGTAAAAGCTGCGCTTCGGGAGAAAAGGAGGCTTGGAATAATAACTCGATAGGGCGCGACGCCCTTTTTCAGATTTATATATGAACTTTTGATTTTGAATTGCAATATTTTGAACAATTTAAAAACCTATATTGCTCCAATCCATCTCTTAGTCGTTATCAAGCACAATTATAACGGGTACCTTGCTCCAGCAGCAGAGGAAGGTTACTCTATCACTTTCAAAGCGTAAGTCATGGCGCAGTGACATAGAATAGAAGTACAATGCTTGCAGCGTCAGCCCCATCAATGCCGTCACTTGGGATTGTATAGGGGTTGGTATCGCCAACAAATGTATCAACCTTATTGATGGTCTTTATTCCCAGTGCTGCTTTGTGAGTCATTAGAAGAAAAGCGACTCCCGATCCATTAGGACTACCCAGAACAGCATAGAACTCATCAGGATTTTGAGTAACGTCAAGAGTCAGGCGGCTATTCCAGGGTCCAATGGGTGGGACTGAGGGGCTGTCTTTGTATTTTTGACGTAGGGCTTGTAATATGATCGAGAGACTGTTTTCGTTTATGACAGTTGCCCTAAATATGTATTGAACGTTGCTCACGTCATCAATACCCTCCTCATCACAGGCCTTTGTCTGCATTAAGCCACGTTGCAAGGTTAGCAAGCTCTCCTTTGCAATTTAGAATCGGCATGCTCTTCTATGGAGTTGCCAATGAGAGTGATGAACAATGGGAAAGATGAGAAACCATCACAAAAGACAGAAATCAAGCAAGTCACGTACCCATTGCATCCATGCTGCATCACTCCACTAGAGACATGGTCAGTCATTTCGAGTAAAGAGAAAGAACAGATATTTTTTTATCAGGGTCTGAGGCGATAACTTACTCGACGAACATGTGTCGTAATCTCAGCTGCGACGAGATTCTTATCCTCTTTTATGGCAGCATCGACGGAAAAATTGTTATCAGCAATGATGACACCACGTCTAGGAAAGAAAGAGCTATAAAAGAATGCGCCCGACGGCTGCCGAAGAGGTCACTTGTGTCAGCATCTTTTGTCTAGCTATTCAGGATTCAAATTACTGCGACAATGCAAGAGCGTGGGAAAAGTTGCACACAAACAGCACCTACTGCGGACGTGACCCTCTCACTATTTTCGTCGTCCGGGTCAGACAATATCTTGGTTGATTTTTCGTGATCCCAACTTATGTCCTGCAAACTCCCGGAGACCCCAAGCCCTCTCAAAGCTGCGGTCAACTTAGTTCCGAAAAAAGGTGTACCAGCATCAGTGGCGTCTACCCATCCCTCTGCTGTTTCTATGCCATGCGTTTGCAAGTATGATGCAGCCTCTATTGGTGGAGGATCTGACTGTTTCTTGGCCATCAGACAATGAAGTCTATTTCCCTTTGGAATAGCGTCTTCATAGGAAAGAGCCCTTTTGGTGAGATTGCGAACCACGGGATCACGGTCAACTGTCCGTGCCGCAATCACTTGAGGATTTGGGCCGGGGTTCTGCGACGGTCCAGCATAGAGAAAGAGAAGAAGAGAAAAAGTAACCACAACGGAGTATGTGAAGAACGATCTCCACGAGAAAGAAGATTTTTTATCCATTGTAATTGTTGTTCAATTTTGGTGGTAGCCTTGCGCACAAAGCCAAGAAGGAAGCAGGCTAGGAAGTCTAAGGAAAATATTCTGGCTCATTTGGTATGGGAGAACCGCCGGATTATCAAGGGTTTGATTAGGCGGACAGAGGAAGAGGGCATCTGAGTATATGAGCCATAATAAACTAGCACCTCCGAGGATTTGATTGTATTAGACTGGCCAACAACGTGTGACGAGCCTCAACCCTTGACAAGTTTCAGTATCAGCCCATCATGACAACTTAGGTTACAATGCTTAGAAATCCGGACTATTGCTCGTCAATAGTCAATTTCTTCAATATCACTCCAGCCACCTTCCTTGATTGCGGACGACTACTTCAGCCTGATGGTAAGTGATGTTGGCTCATTGAGAGACTTTTGATAGATTCCTGCATTGGAGAGTCATTGCTGTTATCTTCATCAGCCTACCTTTTTCACAGTAACGTCCAACATGCATTTGAGGTATAAACTTGTGAGAGACTTGGGCCAATTAAATGAACCACTCCGAGGACTGGAACTATATTTTTTCAGCTGCTGTCAAAAGCTTGTCTTCTTCGATCTTGGCGTTGGCATAAAGCGGCACGTTAACCGTCTTGTCACTCAGCTAGCTAGACCAAATAAGGAACTTGCGTACCATTCAACCATTGAGGCTCAACCAACACCATTAACTAACCGCGCACTATACCAACAGATTGTGGTATAATTAGAGTAGTTAACGTTGTTGGACCGGATACTGCTAACGCTATGAGGGAGGTGGAACGACCTTGTCTTAAGGTCTAAACCAATTAAGCTTGTCTGAGCCTCCACGGCGCAATATCACATGGCATCAACTTTGATATCAACGGATCACCAACATCATGTTACTTCGAAGGATCCTTTCAAGTGGAGTTATACCAAAGGACGGGACAACCGTAGATAGTTTTCCCGGAAGACCAAATTCTGCATTCCTTTGTCCAGAAGAGCCCATCGTTATGGTGTAATACCTCAATGTAAATACAAAAGAGCCAGTCCACGCCATGATTATCCTAAAGATATATATTTAGAAACCCTATTCATATTAGCTCTTTACACTGGTTTGTCCCAGTTGAAACAATCAATGTCGTTCTTCCCAGGGCGATATCTGCCCGGAAGGCCCTCAACGATGTCAGTCATTAGAATTCTAAGTTTGTTCCTGAGTTTCTGTTTGACGACCAATGCTGTCGTTTCTCCTACAAACAATCCTTCGATTATGATCGTTGGAGACTCTATCTCACAGGTGAGAATATAGACGAAGCATCTCCAAACTCTTTCTCTGAGCAATATCAGGTGCTAAGACGTTCACAGGGCCGCAATGGTGATTTCACTTGGCGTTACCGCCTCTGGGAGTGGTTTCATAACAATGGCGTGTCTGTGAACTTAGTAGGTCCATACACAGGAACAGTTGAGCAGGATCCTGTCCAACCTGCCACTCCTCCACTCCCATATGGCCAAGACACGCAGTCAGGCCCCGGGCCTGTACGCCAGCTTGGTGGATACAACTCCGGTATTCCTTCTAATTCTGGATTTTTCAACGGAGGAAACCGTCATTTTTCAGCTTGGGGGCGCCAAATGGCCCAAGATATGAGCCTCATTCAAGGAATGGTCTCACAATATCAACCAGATTATATTCTGCTTGAACTCGGCTTCAATGATGTTGGCTGGTTCGTAAGTGATGCTTATGGAACATTGCAGAGCTTGACGGCTTTCATCAAGAATGCTCGCGCGGCCAAACCAGACATCGGGTTTGCGATTGCAAATATTCCTCAGAGGCTTTTCATCGGTGGCCGTGATGATCTCATTACCAAGACTGATGATTATAATGGTGCCTTGCCTAGTTTGTTTCTAAGTCTGTCTACCGCCGAATCCCCCATTAAACTAGTCCAATTTCGCGAAAACTATTCTTGTGAGTATTTTGATGCCTTGCCTGGCCAAACCCCTCAATTTGTTGTCTTCTAACGAGGTGAAAGGCAATCCTGATGGATGTCCTGCAGGATCTGATGGCTTGCATCCTAATGCTTTGGGAGAGTTCCAGATTGCAAAAGCATTTGCAAACACCCTCTCTCAGGGATTCAATTGGCCCGGCAATGCTTTCGTTATCAACGGCACTATTCCTGCACGGGCTTGCAGTACACCCGTCAATGTCAAAGCCACTCCAAGCACTTGCGGAATCACGGTGACGTGGGATCCGGTAGACGGCGCCTATGGATATATTGTGACGTCTGGGTTCAACGGCGCCGTAAGTTCCGTATTCAACGTAACCCAGCCAATGTATGCCACAACATGGACTGCTGCTGGTATTGAGTGGTTTTACCAAGTCCAGGCGTTTTGTTCAGACGTTCGCTCAGGAATAAGTGGTCAAGTCACAGCAACTGCAAACCCAACGTGTGCCCCAGGCCCTTCCAATGTTGTTGTCAGATCCACTGCAGACGGGATCGACATGTCATGGGATGCTGTTACAGGATATGACGTTGATGTATACGGCGCCATCTATTATGACCAGACCTCACAAGTCTTTCTCTCAGATTATGGGTGGTCAGGAACCTCGGCAAGTTATCATGGCATGGACGCCGGTGACCGTGTGGAGGTTGCAGTTGAAACTTGGGCTACTGTTGACGGTGTACTTTGTGCTGGCCTCCCATCCGGTGGAAAAGGCGCGATTGTTGGTGGAATCGTACCTGGTGCTCCAACTGGGCTCAAGGTAGCCACAATCAACGAGGGTGCAACTGTACAGCTCACATTCGACAGCAACCCCAACGCGTACGCTTATGGCTTTTATACTCGGTCTCTGCTGGAGCCAGACCAGCCCTACATACTGGGTGGCTACACTTCAGAAGTGCCCTGTATCGGGGTAACATTTCTGTTCCCAGGGGCCTGGAACTTTGAGTTTTGCGTGGTGGCATACAACGGAGATTCCTCGTCTCCAATGTCAGAGTGTGTCCAAGGCCCCCGAGACATCACTGAAGTCAACGACTGTCCAGCGTTGGTCGTACCGACGCCGAACCCAGACCCGACTCCAACCGTCACATGGTCGATTCCTGGAGCATCAGGTCCTGCATCAAGTAGCAGCGGCGGCGCCGTTGTGTATATTGACCCTACTATATGGCAATCCCCATCGCCTACAGCAGCCTGTGAGCCGCCTTGTACGCTCATCTTACCGCCATGGACACTCTCTTCCATGACGACAATCACCTTTCCGGTCGTCACAGAGACTATTGAAGAGACTTACCCAAAGACCACAACTGGTGTTGTTACATATCTCACAACTACAATTACAGTGTTCATCACGCTGCCGCCAGTCACGACATCCGTGATTGAGGTGTCTAACATCATCTTAACCACGGCCACTTCAGAAATCGTCCCTGTACGAAGCAGTATCATCGCACCGCCCGTAATCATTACGGAGCCCACTCATGGCATTACTTACACATATAAACCAGGCCCCTTCCCGACTGGCATTGACGTTGGCCCCCCTCCCCCAGGCCACCCAGGCAATATTCACATCTCAGCTGGGATCCCGGGACCTATCTGTCTCATTGGTTGTGGTCACCTCTGTCTCGTTAACTGCGGGGGCGGTTCAAGTGGCGGCGGTGGAGATGAATCACACGGATGCATTGGCCCTGGATGTGGACCAGGGTCGGAAGACGACTGTGTTGGTGAGGGATGTGAAGAGAATTCGACAACTTCCAAGTCAACCAAGGACTGTGCTACAGAGACAAACACTGAGTGTCATCAAGTCTGTACTACAAAGCCGTGCGCTACCGTTTGCAACACTTATCTTGGCTGTGACTGCACGACGTCTTCAGTGACAGACTACTGGGTATCGTGTCAGACACAATCATGTACTACTACTTCTTCGGATGTCATCACCGGCTGCTTTCTCACTGCAACTGCCACAACAACTGGCTCATATTGCCCGCTAGTCTCTGTCAATCCCACCACTGATGATGAGGGCGACGATGTCAACGTGTTTGGTAACATTGGATCCACGTTTAGTACAACGTACTCTGAGAGTGTCATTGTCAAGCAGACACCATATCCTGTTGTCAGTGGTTACGTGACCGTTGCTCAGACCGCCTACCCCATTCCCACCGTCAATTCCATCTCTACGACCACTTTAGACGGAACTCCTGCTGTCATTATTCCTTCATTCGTAGGAGTTACCATCTCTGTTACTTTAACAAATCTCCTCCCATCTACTTTCAGCAACCCTCCTGCTACTACCACAAAGTCGCCTTCCCCAGTATCGTCATCCACACCGTACCCAACCAACACGGCCATTAATGTTGGCAATGCCTACTGTTTCGACGGACTTGATGGCTACCTTTCTTTCTCCCTGGACGAAACACAGACCGTGGTCAAGTCTTTTTGTTCGGCTAGCTATGTTCTAGATCCAGACAACACGTTTGGTTTCGTGGAGGAAGTGGAGAGAGACACTTATAACGTTGTGGCCTCGGCAGGGTGGGCTCCTAATCAAGCTGGATGCGGAGCAAAACAGTCTTTCCCATTCGCATCCGACGAGATGAATTCCGAACTTTGCTTAGAGGCCTGGAGCACTGATTTCTTCTGTGAGAATGAAGATGACAGCTCGGAGAAGACAAGTTATGGAGGTGCATATGTTCTTGAACCTCCAAATACTGGTGGCTGCATTCTCATCTCTTTGTATGCCTACTCCAAGGTGGCACAGCCCTTGATCGGAAAGCCGTCGAAGCAACCGCTAATACCGCCGGTGTCTAATATCACTCATCCAGGAGACAAGTTCTCATGGAAGCATGGTAATAAGACTGGTGGGCATCAAATATGGCCTACTTCTAAGAACACAGCGTCCAAGAATCACGCCGAGCTTTTCAGTCAAGCAGATATTAGCCAACTTTTTAACAGCTCATTTAATACAACGTAGATTTGAAATGCGAGTGAATATATAGATAGAGCTCATAACGAGAATTAATTCATTCTATTACGGCCGATTTAATGTAAAGTGAAAGGTGACAGAATCGAGCTAATATGTATCACCACGAGTGTATGAGGTACTCGAAGTTGAAAAAGCAGCTTAACAAAGTAGATAAACACTAAACAGTGATAGAATCAAAAAGAAAGATTGTGTTGTATACCATGCAAATTGTGTTCCTTGTACTGATGTGTGCGCATATAATTGCAGCGCATGGAAGCGTGTAGGTGCAAGCCCCTCTTACTAAGACTCGCACTCATCTTACGTCGATATAGAGTCACTCTTGTCAGCATCGACATCATCGCAGCACAGCTTGCTAATGTTGACAACTGGCATGTATCCGGTACTTCTATTATTATGTGGTACACAACTGTCATTGTATCAATCTCATCGTGCGCCATCAAATACTGTCAGAAAATAGCACTCTTCTCTACAGGAGCCACCATGCAGCGCCAGTAGTATAATAAGATCTAGGCGTTATGTCTCTTAATCGTGAATGACAGTAGTCACAACACCAGGCTGAATCTTTTCTAATTTCTCAAGGAGCTCTGTCCAGACTTGCTTCTGAAGCACTTGGCCGGCTTCATTGGTTGCCCACTCCGGAATATGATCTCTAAGGGAAAACGTCAACATTAGCCATGTTCTAATCATCAGATATGGCGGGTTCTCGTAAAGACTTACTCTCGAATCTCACAAGACGTGAGATACTTTCCATGACTCTCCTCACCAGCCGCAATGCCATGAATCAGCGTCCGACTGCCCATCTCAGCACTCCGTCCCATTATCAACTTTGCGCACCACGCCTTGAAGCGCGTAAAGAGACCCAGCTCATGGTTAAGCTCAGTCTTGCACAGCCCAGGATCAACGACATTCACAATGACACCGGTTTCGGAAACAGGCTTCTGGGAAGCTAATTCACGCACGGCAAAATGCTCAAACAGCTTGGACACGGGGTATCGATTATCAAACAGGGGTTTCCACTTGGCCTTGTCGTTGAGGTCGTCGAGAATGCCCGTCTTGGGGAACTTCCTGATGCTCTCAAAGGCAAAGAATCCACCCATTGAGCCAACAACGACAATGCGAGGCTTGATGTCGTGCTTGCTCGCGCTGGCCTGAAGAATTGGAAGAGCTTCAAAGGTCAACAGAAGGTTGGAAATGAAGTTGACCGTCATATGAGCCTCGCTGCCCTCCTTGACCTGCCACTCAGCGTGGGAGACGCCAGCGTTCAGAACAAGAGCATCGATACGGTCGATCGTCTCCAGTCTCTTGCCAAAAGCCTTGACGGAGTCGTACGAGGCCAGATCCAGGGGCCACACTTCAATGACATCCTTACGACCAGCTTCTTTCTCAATGGTCGTCTTTGTAAATTCGCCCTTCTCTTCGTTGCGCACACCAATAACCACCTTCGCGGCTTCAAGTTGGACAAGGCGTTTGGCGACCTCATAGCCGAGGCCACCAGTAGCGCCGGTCACAATGTAAGTCTTGTCCTTGACGTCTTTGGTCTCGAGGGCAATGGGTAGGTCTTTTCTTTGGTTGGAGAAGAAGTCTGCCATGCATTTGGTAGGGAAATCGGGATCAGGCATTTTTGGAGGATGTAAAAGACGATGCGCTAAAAGAAATTGAGGAAAAGAGCAGGAGCAAAGACAATGAAAGAGGATGAAGAAAACAAAACTCGCACGCCGTACCAGACGTAATGTAGATGGAAAGGATGTGTGAAGGAGGAGGAGGGGAGAGAGGAGGAGGGGAGAAGGTCCAAGAGACTCGAGATTCGAGGACATCCCTCTCCCCTGGTCACAGGGCCATCCTCAACATTTCCTCCAATATCAACGTCCTGCATGATCCAGCCGCCCTCGTCTCGTCAGGCATCTGCCAGCTTAGTCAATCGCATCTGTTCGATATGACGACTGAGTAAAGCTGCCTTGTAAGTCAGTGGCCCGCTAGCAAGGGAGGATATGTAGCAGCGGCTGCCCTGCATTTCTCGTAAGCCCAGCCGAGCCAATCTGATCTGCCGTGCGACCTTTACTAGCCCCCGATTCGGCAGAGACAAATAAGTGGATGTTCTCATGCTAGTAATCCATCTACCGTCGTATCGTTCGTAAATACTACGTAGCTGAGTGTAGCCTAAATGTTTCACACGCAAATATTATTGTAGATGACTTAATCATACGATTAAGTCAGGGCATTAACCATGTCTCTCAAGGGCGTCAATCCATAGCAGCAGAATCCTGGTAATGCTATCACACCGCATAACTGAATCACTCCCATTGATCAGCCAAATCACAGTGAGACACGGAATCCAAGACATATTAGACGCCACACCGTAAATTTCCATCCCGACCACTTTGCGCTCATCAGACTCGGCTTTTTCAGTTCCTAAAAGCCGAGACATTGATTTCCCCTAAACTCCCGGACAATAAAAAAGAGATCCGGTGTCATAACGATTAAGTTTGGTTGGCATTTTAATCACACCTAGAGGGAGCTCGTCTACGGGTATGTACTTTGAATAAAACGATTCTAACGTAGAGGTTATTACACACTACCTAGTACATATATACTAAGTGACTCTTCAATCCACCTTTGTACCTCTCTCTCGTCCTCTTACAATGCGATGTCTTTCTACCTATATTAAACGATTCATCTACAGAGCCGCAGGTCACAAACGTCATAAATCCCTATGTTTCTCTTAATAATGTTGATTCGGCCTCTCCAAGTTGTAAGAGTGAAGTGAAGCTTGCTGTGACAGTGACGCCTGTAAGCACGACTAGCAATGCCTCACAAACTATTGGTTATCAAAAAAAGTTGGTGAAGCCTCTCGGGGGGGGGTTAAAATTGCTGTGAAGCTTGAGCAAGCTGCGCCTCAACACCATCATCGAATTTAATCCCTGGATGTGGTTGATGTGGCGGGGAACCAGACAGGACAAACTGACGTAGGATTCAAGATGCTTCTCTTTTTCTCACTTCTTCCGCCCACATTGAGAGGTCATAACACCGCACTACCAAATACCAGAGCCATTTAGCTCATCAAGAAGACTGAGGCTGTATCATTACAAGCAAAACACGACATCACACTCAATGCAAACACACCATGCAAATCAAACATCTAAGTGGAAGTGTCACGACCCAGCTCTTATGGTCGCGACAAGGGGCCTACAGGGTAGGCACTCCCGGATTAACGTCGGGCCGCGCAGCCAATCAGGAAGCGGTCGACGGGAATCAACGTCGATTCCAATCGACGCAGGAACGAATCGATCAAGATCATGAGCGATTCCACTCGACTCCAGAATACACGACTGGATATATAAGTTCACTTCATGTCACTCATTAGAATACTTAGATAGCCAGTTGTTATCACAGCGTTTACAATACAATCAGATTGGAACACAGACATCTATTCTCATTCGTATTAACTAGCTGGTGATAAGATTGCCCGTTACCGACCTGATCGCCTCCGCCAACATAAACCATAGAACCACTCTAAGGTTTGTCCCTTGGAAACAGTTAACCTATAGAGCCTATAGGACCCGGTTCGTCACAGGAAGATTATATGAACAGATGCATAAACGTACAAAAAGCAGGCAACAACACCTGTATGGCATACGATATAAAAAAAATAACAAACCGCCAAACAAGCATTGCGCTCTTCATAAAACAACACACAATCCGGCACGCAAAAAAAAATTGGATGTCCGAACCGGGCGTTGATATGAGATTAATTTTGCATCACGGATGCCCCCCCTTTCTCCTCCCAATAGTTTTTTCTTTTGTTTTAATTATTCACTCCGTTTCTTCAAAAAAAACCCCTCCCCGGCCAGGCATGCTAAAGAAAAAAAAGTAATTTGCTCTAGTACCACTAAGACAGCTTCTTCTGCCAGCCGACCCAGCTACGGGAAACCACACGCCAGATCTTGACCTCTCCGCTCCGCAGATCATCTAGCTTGTAGCTCTCCTGCTTCACCTTCTTACCATCTCTGCCTTGCTCCCAAGCCCGGACCTTCTTCTTGGTGCCATCCCACTCGGCCACAATGCCGACATGGTCCGGCTTGCCAACTTCGCTGGAATATTTGGCATGCATGGGTCCATGCTTTCCCTGGAACTTGGCGTTGCGAATGGTGATGATGTCGCCAGGTCGAATGACATCGTGCTGCTGGGTGGAAGCATTGGCCATGTTGGCATAGACGAGGGCACCGTACGATCTAGTGCTAATAGGCAACAGGGCATCCTCTAGAGGTCGAATCATTTCCAAAACAAAGCTCTGCGCGGTGCCATCGCCGACAACCTGATCTTTCTTAGCGATGGCGGATGCGGAAATACGTCGTCCAAAGGTGTCGTAGGCTTCCTCCATCTGGTCCTGTCGCATCGCCTTTGGGGGCGCCTCGTGTCGCTGCTCCAGCTCTACAGTTGTCGGGTCATTAGGGTCGTAGCGAGCCGTAAGAATGGTCTGCGAGTAATCTTGAAACAGGATAAAGGTTTCTCTGGTGATCATAACCTTCTCGCCTTGATTTGTCGAAGTGGATTCATCGCACTCAAAGTGGATATCCTTCCGACCTTGGAGGACGGGAGGGACTTGGTTCGACTGCTTCCACCAACCGCTTTGCACAGCCAAATCAATATCTCCCGCGATGAAGCCAGAGTCCATTGACGGGCGGTGGTGATCAATCGATCTCCTAGGAGCGCTGAGACTGGGCCTGGGCATATCCATCGATGACCGTCCACGCGAGCCTATTGCGGGCGGGGCTCTTCGATCAGGTGGCGACACGGCTCTAGAGTCTTCGAATGAAAGGGGAGTAGGTTCATCCTGTAGAATTGGAGAGTCCTGGGCGTCATCTCCTCTAGCATTTGAGATGAACAGACCATCGTGGTTCTCATCTCCTGTGGGAGAAAGCAGCTTAGGGGGAGGAGCCGGAGGCGGCAAAATCGGAACAGACCGAGATAGATCCGTAGACCTTCTGTTCAGTGGCGGAGACTGTGGCACGGGAGGAGGGGCTGCTCTCGGCGTCGAAGCAAATGGGGGAGGCGGAGGCAACTCTGGAGGAGCATCATTGAATGGCGACTGGAGGCTGGTCTCCTCCATGCTAGACTCTTGATCATGCGCCGCCAAAGCATCCTTGTGAGGCACAGACGAGGCAATATCCGTATCGTAGTCGCCCTCGTACTCTGTAGCCTCTCCAATTTCCTCTCCTGCCTGCGCAGGCCTGGTCGGCGAGGCGACGCCAAAGTCCACAGTGGATCGCCGGCTCGGGGCAGCGGGTGGAGGGGGCGGTGGTGGGCGAGATGTTACCGCAGCGAGTATGGAGGCAGCCCCTGGAACGGGCGGTGGAGGCCTGCTAGCACGTTTGCTAGTTGGCGAAGTTGGCGAGAATGCTCCAGGGCGCGGGGGCGACTGAGGAGGTTCTGAGGGGTGATGGGCAGGTGGTGGAGGGGGTGACCTCAGCACTGAGGCAGCGGCCTCAGCGTTTTCACGAGCCCCATTAGACAGTTCATCATCAGATTCAGATCCCTCTGTAGCTGACTTGACAGCGGGGGGAGCTGAGGGCGGTGGTGGAGGGGATCGAGCTATTCAGCGAACAAGTCAGCGCGTGAACAGACAGTTAGTTGAAAAGGTTCGCATTACCTCCAACAGGAGCCGGGGGAGGTGGCGGACGAGCTTCGAAGTGTTAGTTCGCATCTGACTATTCAATGATAACCGTATCAATACATACCCGCCACTGGAACAGGAGGAGCAGACAGGTCTTCCTGAGGAACAGGTGGTGGTGCCCTGTGCTCTGGGGCTACGGGAGTGTTAGTAGAGACAGAATGAAAGAGCTTTGGATATTCAATGCTAGTAGACTCGCCTTCTTCGGCTCGCACGGGGGGCACGGGGGCGGTAGCAAGAGGAGTGGCATCTTCCTCTTCTTCAGATTTCTGTTCTGGTTCAGCCTCTGGTTCATCAGCTTGTGCTGGCTCTTCGGCTGGCTTAACTGGAAGGCCTGGAAGGCCCATGCCCGGGAGTGCCATCATAGTGGGAACAGGAGGAGCATGCGGCGGTGGAGTCACATCCTCTTCCCGCGTGGTGGCAGATTTTACCGGTGGCTTAGGTGCCTTTTTCACCGGCAGACCACCTCCCATCGGAGGAACCGGGGCGCCAAACATGCCATGGAAGCCCATACCACCGCTCATCTTGGCCATTCGTGCTCGCAGTTCTTCTCTGCGCTTGACTTCAGGGTCAACGTCTTCCTCCTCTTCCTCTTCCTCTGCCTCTCCTTCTTCCTCCACCGTCTCCTGAGTCTCCGGCTGTTCTACATCAGCAGCGGGAGCAGCGGATGAGGAGGTTGGCACTTTGGACAGTCGTCGTGAAGTATGGTCGTCGGCATCCGCTTCAGCCGCCTCATCTCCGTTGGCAGCTTCTGCGGGAGATTCCGTAAGTTCGGGTTGGGGCCGCGGTGGTAGAGGAGCTGACTCGGCGGGAGCAGAATCCATCGAGGCTCTAGGGGCAGGCTCGTCGCTGTCTTTTCGTTCGGGAACCTCGGCTCCCTCAGCAGGCTCAGCGGCGGAAGCTTGAGAATCAACGCGCTTCTTAGGTGGCGGCGGCTTCTTGGGCTTCTCTTTCTTGGACAGTGCGTCGGCATGGCGCTGTGCCTGCTCCATCTGTTGCTTCTGAAGGAGAGCAATGCGCTCCTTTAAGCTAGTAGGCTTGGGCTGGTCTTCTTCGTCGCCCTCTTTCTGAGTTTCAGAAGTAACCAGTCCAGCTCTCTCGGCTTGTCCCTGAGTCTCGGCCACGGAAGCCTTGATTTCGGGATCCTCGTCTCTTCGGTAAATCTTGGCCGCGGGGGCCTCGCGAGGAGGAGGAACGAAGGCATTTCGACTAGGAGGCGGTGCCACAAATGGCTTCTTAATAAAGCCCGCTGCGCCGCCAGCACCGCTAAGGCCGCTGGGTTTAAAGGGCGCAATCGGAGGTGCGGCCGACTTGTTAAACGCTGCAATGCGGTCTTTGAAAGAGCTGGGCTTCTCGGATACCGGCGGAGGCGCGGCCTTTGGCTTCGGAGCACTGGCGGCCGGAGCAGCTGAGGCGGGGGAGTCGGCTCGCTTGGGCGAGGATGGCAGAGGCACCGGAACTGGCGCAGGAGCTGCCGCGGGCGGGGGAGCCGGAGCCGGGACAGCAACAGGAGCTGGAACAGGAACTGGAACTGGAGGAGCAGGAGCTGCAGCAGGAGGTTCTGGTGCCCTGGTTTGCTTGACGGGCTCGGCGAGTCTCTTTGGCGAGGGCTCTGAGGCCACGTCTCCCGGCGGGGGTGTCGATCGCGCAGCTGTGTCCTCGTAAGAAGCCTCCGGAGGGGGCGTAGGGGCAGCAGCGGCGGGTTCGGGTTCTTGCTTGTGCTGCTTCCTCACAGGTCGCGGGGGCGCCACGGGCTCAAACTTCTCGACAAAGTTGCGAGGGAAGATGCCCGCCTTCTTGGCGCCGGCCTCGTCGACGTACTCGCCGCCGTACCAGTCGTCATCGTCCTCGTCCGTGACAGCAATGATCTGGCCGGCGGGGAAGTTGAGGTCGTCCTCGTGCGGCGACGAGTATTCGTACAGCGCCTTGACGCGGAACAGGGCAGCCATTGCGGTGTCTGGCGGCAATGCTGGACTCGGGGCTCAGCACGACCAACCCAGGCGTCTTTGTAGGAGGAGGTTGTCGTCGCCTGTGGGGCACTAGAGAGCAGCCGTCCCTTGGTCAGCCGGTGAGTGGCTAAAACGTGGGGAGAAAGCTGGGTGAGTGAGGGGGTCGCGTAGATACGAGTACATACAGTACAGGTAAGGGAATTGCTGGTCTGGCCAACAAGCGGCAGTTTCAGCCCAGACGCAGACGCAAACGGATGGAGGCAGAAAAGAAAGATGGGCGTTTGAGGTCTGGTCTGCAAGAGGGTTTGAAGTAGAGGATGAAAAGGCTCAGAGGCTGTGAAACGCGGTGGATCTGCTGGAAGTGTCGACGTCAGCGCAAGCATGACAGGCTGCGACGAGGCCTAGGCAATGACGAGAAGCACTAGAGTCCGGGTAGTCGCAAGTAGCAGTACCTGGAGGAGGACGAGTGGCGGAGGGGCCAGACAATGGGCGACCTGGAGCGTGAGTGAAAAGGGTCAATCGGGGGTTGTTGGTTGTCGCCTCAGGTACATGTACCGAGGATGTGCCGCATTCGTCACCGTTACAACGACTGCAGGTTGAGGGTTACAGGCAGTTGAGTTTAGTTTCCATTAATTCCATGGATGGATGGATTCGATCAATCAAATCAAATGCTACCGTACTTGAAGACTCGACCCCGTATATGTACCCGGCCGTGGTGCCTGGCCTGGCCTTGCAAAACACGAAACATGCTAGGGCCAGGCATGCGAGATCAGATTTCTATAATTACCTGCGCCATCAATGCAAGGGACTGGACTTTGAAGCTTTCCATCGTTTCTGAAATCCCCCCAAACCTGGATGCCTACGAGTACCTACTAGATAGCCAAGACCGCTAGCAGCATTGAGTCTGACAAAACAACCGACACAATTCCAAACCAACCCAAACCCAACTCTTCGGACCTCCGGCTCCAGCAACCATCGACACAGCCCTCGTGCCGAAACAATCGGGGCGCAACCCAACCCACGCGGCCAGTGGCACATGCTCAATGCCTGAGGCCCTCAATCCTCAATCCCAGTCCTGCCAAGGTGCTGCTCCTGCTTCAAGCCGGGCAACCCTTGCGCATCTTCAATTATACAACTCGTACTCATACAACAACAAGTCTGATGCCCTGTCAGTTCTTCCAAGTTGCGCCACCGGTTGCATGTTTCGCCCGCCCCGGCGCCACAAGCACAAACCCCTCCAGCTCTCCTGTAATATGTAGGTACAAGTACATGACATGCCTCTTGGGGCACGCTCCATAGAAGCAAGGCACAGCGGCTTTTAGTGGGGTAGCAGCTCACCTGCTTCACTATCTTACTGGTTGGTAATCGCCAGCGGTGCTTTGCTTTTTTGCACAACCGCACATGCAAGCTTCTAGACGCACCAACGAACAACAAACATCTTCAACAGCCCGACCGTAGACAAGTCTCTCCGCAAACCAGGGCGCACAAGGCATCACAGGTGGGGGGACTTGAGAAGATTTCAAACATCTCATGGCCAGCAAATCGAGCCAGCCGAAGGGCATCCTAAAGGACTCCGTTTCGCCTCCCAACGAGCCCAAGCAGAGTGCACGGGAGATCGCCATCCACCATGCCACGCTCCTGGAGCACAGAAAACAGCTTGAAAGCCAGATCCTCGACAGCTTAATCCTTTTATCAGAATACCCTCTCGTCAGGGAGACGTCTTACAACGCTTCAAATCCAGCACCATCCGATGTCTCAGACTTCAAGGCCAACGTTCGGCTCTTCCAACCCTCCGACTACGATGACCTCATTGAGGAGCGCAACGTAAACGAACTGTGCGGCTACACGTTGTGCCCCAAACCAAGACGTCAAACCGGCTCGGGCGGGGAATGGAAGCTCACAAACAGTGGCGAAATCGTGAAGCGGAAGGAGCTGGAGAAGTGGTGCTCCCAGCAGTGTGCGCGCAGAGCCCTCTTTGTCAAAGTTCAGCTTAACGAGACGGCTGCCTGGGAACGAGCTGGGATTCCCGACATCCAGATTGATCTTTTGGATGAAGACAAGTCGGCAGAGACGGAGGCAGATCGAACGGCCCGCAAGCTCGGCGAGCTCAAGCTGGAGGACCAACGGCAAGCTGCTCGAGACTCGGCTGCCCTCGCAATGGAAAGAGGCGACAACAGGATCGGCTCTTCCTTAGACAAGGTCAAGGTTACGTTGAAGGAAAAGGACGTCAAGGCGCCTTCTGAGATGGTTCCTCCGGCCGGAGCTGATAACTCAGAGGATCATCTACTTATTGATGGATTTAAAGCAAAACTGCCCGAGAAGCAGACGGGGGAATCCGGAGTATAAGGGCTTCAAGTGGAAGCGACGAAAAAGCATAAAATATGGCGTTGGGCTGTCATTTGGTCATGGTCATGCATGTATTGGAAAACAAAAATTACGTGGGTTCGGGCATATAATGATACCCATTGGTTAAATTGATTTGGTCGCATATCTTCGCCTATGTCAAAGTCACCGGTCAAGTGAGATTGAACACCAGCGGAATAGCATATCCAGCTCAAAGCAACCTTGCATATTCAGTCACATTCACAGACAAGTGTGAAAGAGAGGGACGGTTTTTTGGCAATCAAGCGTCATCTCGAAATTAATCAGAGAATCGGCGACACCTTGTGGGGTAGAAGATCTTTCTTTTTTTCGAGATCTATGCACTCACTACCATCCTGAGACGCCAACCTGCAAAATGTTGCAAAACCAGAGACCCAATATTTTCCCACAAAAAACCTTTTTAGTCGCGGCGAGGGCGGTCGCCGAATCGTCGCTGGCCACGCTCGGGAGCCTGAGCCTGGGAGACGGGGATGACGTTGACGGGGATGGACTCGAACTGTATTATATGCGGTCAGCTTGTGAACGTATTTGTAGATTTCGCGGGTAGGGGGGAAAAACGTACGCCAAGGTGCTTGAGCAGGTCCTTGGTCTCGTTGTCGACATCCAGCTGGCCAGCCTCGGAGAAGTCGAGAGCGGAAACCTCGGGGACGAACTGGTCCTTGCGCTCACGCTCCTCCTCCTGAAGCTTGAAGGAGATACCACGGACGGGTCCACGCTGAATACGCTTCATCAAGTGGGTGGTGTAACCGGCAATCTATAATTCCCAATTCCGCTGTTAGCCACAATGTTTCTCTCTCCCTTTTTTTCGCTCTTTTCTCTCGCGGTTTCAAGTCGGTGGTTGTTCCGGCTCAGTGGATGGTGCTGACCTTGTTGCGCAGGCGCTTGGAAGCAATGATGGCGATCTCATCGCAGATGCGCTTGTTGGTCTCGAAGTCGAGGGTCAGGCGGGGGTAGTACCGCTCAATGATGACCTTGGCGGACTTCTTGACAGTCTTGGTACGAACGCGACCCATTTTGGCGGTATTGAGGTGGTGTGGTGGATTAGTGAGTGAAGCTTTGCGAAATTCCCATCTACAGGAAAACTTGGTGGTTTAGCACCTGGTGGGGGTGTGGGAGCCGAATTGATTAGGGCTCAGAAATCAACACGTGTGGAGTCATGTGACAGGACTCTCAGTCTCTCAGCGATCTGAACCACTTGTGCTAACTACTCAAGGCTAGCGTTATTTCCCAATTGAGCTATACTCATTCAGGTCTTTTGGAGATGCAAGTCTGGAAGGGTTCAAAGCTCGTCAAAACATATACAGCTCATCTCTTATTGGTACTACTTTACATGAATGATACATAGGTAGAATTTGACAACATTTCATAAAATACAGCACTTGGAAATTTTCAACACAGCCCGTCCTTTGTCTGTCGGGCTTGTAATTGCCAAAACTGTTCACCCCACCCAACCCTCTCTTCTCATGACTTGTCAGGGCGCAATGACTCCTCCAAAATCTCATCAGCAACACGGTTCAAGCGGGCTTCGTTAGATACCCGTGTAGATCGCTGGCCCTCTTGTCCACTAGGAGCGCCGGTGCTGTTGCTGGGAGTGGTAGGAACATAGCTCTTAGTCGGGCCGTCATGATAGATCTCAGTGAGGCCTTTGCTCTCCCTCGCAACCACCTGAGCCTCTGGGCCAGTCTCTCGAAGCTGCAAGACGACCTTGCCGCTGGGATCAACATTGGCTGTTGTGGCCTCAACGTAGGCTTTGGCACCACCAAATGTGGTAGTATCAAGATGCATAATGCCGTTGAGCATGGACTTGATGGGTGAGAATCTCGCGCGACCGTATGTCCTCGGGTTGAACTCGTTGTCACCAGAGGGAGCATCAGCGACGAAACCTCCGACACCAAGCTTGGGAGACATGGGGCCAGCCTTGGGATAGACCACGCGGGCCAATGCGGGCGTTCGCTTGCCCTGAGGGCCGTAGATGGGGTGGTTCTCCATGAATGAACCGGTTCGCAGGTAGCTGATACCAGCAGAGGGGTGGCTCGGGGGCGGGCCGGATTTGCCATATGGGCTGTCGGGAGCAAGGCTGTCCCGATCGGACCAAAAGGTTTGGATGATTCCAACCGGCTGTCCCAGGGGAGCCAAGTCGAGGAACTTGGAGACAAGCGCATACAGCGTCACTCTGTCGTTGCGCAATGAGCGCAGGTAGTCTGTGAATTGCTCCTCTGAGATATCTTGCGCCTCAATCTTGGCGGGAGCGGCTTTGCCGGCCTCCAACGCAGCCTTGTTCTGGCTCGTAGTGATATCATCCGCCAGCTTCTCCTTTAGAAGTGTTCGGAAGTGCGCCCGCTTAGGACGGACCTTTTTGTTCAGGTACTCGATGAACTCTCCCTCAGTCATTCTAGCAAGCCAAGGGCCCTGGAACTTCCATCGTCGGTCATCTCCCCGTCCACGCTGGAAGTCTGTAAAGTCCATATCCTCCTCAAAGACTGACTTGTGCCACAGTTCCGTCCTTGGTGAAGAATCGGACTTCTTGTCGGTATTGAAGGGCACGGACATGGCCACTCGCAGCTCCTGGAACTTCTCCAATGACAGGGAGTGGTCGGCCGCAGAAGCAAAGTTGGTGACGTTTTCAACGGTGTCGACCTGTTTGATTCGGATAAAAGGCGTGGATGTGGCCATGGTGGATTTCAGAGGGAACGGGCGCTTGAGTCCCCAGTCGCCCTTCTCTCGTGAAGCCAGGGGGGAGGTGATAGACTGATGCTGCGGATACGGTCTCGTCATTGTCGCAGACTTGTGATCCCCAATATGGAGGTTCGTTGACGGCGGTTCGGGAAGGGGCTTGGGAATTGAGAACATGCGTGATGTCCTCAACAAAAGTCCCCCGGGCGATACGGCTCGGCCCCCCATTCTGACTGTCGAGGCTCGTTGAGAAGCTCAATGGCCTGAGGTCGATATGCCACTCATACGATGGCTCGAGTTGATGCAAATTCTTTGGCGTTGAGACGAGCTTCGATCCACCGAAGTTGAGCCGGACAGAACTCCCCTCGTTGTGGCGGGGTGTGGCGCGTGCAAAGCCCCGCCAAAATCTTGCATTCCAGGGTATGCACCTTATCGTGTAAGAAATTCAACGGCGGAAGAGCTGAAAATTCACTGTGAGAGGAGGCAAGGAAAAAGTTCACGGCTGAGGGCAGGACGAGATTTTTCAGGGAATAATCTTGGGAAAATAATGCAGACAGCCAAAAGAATGGCGTCCAACGTGTACACATCCCCAGCTCTCACGTTTGAACTGATTGCAAAATGTTCAGTCAGTGTCACCCACATCTCAAAGTGATCCCAATCTTGATACTAACTGATAAGCATAAGCCAGACAACTCGAGCTCGTGCCTCTATACTCACACTTCCTCATGGACCCGTTCAACTACCTATTTTCATGCCTGTTGCCACCCAGGCTTCCCTTAAGGGCATTACTCCAGAGCAACTAGAAGATACTGGTTGTCGCCTTTGCCTGAACAACACGTATCACCTAGGCTTGAAGCCAGGCCAGGAGATTCTTGATGCTATTGGTGGTGCTCACAAGCTGCAAGGATGGAATCACAACCTTCTTACAGATAGCGGAGGGTACGTCTTTGTCAAATATTCCTTTGAAAATGAGTATAGACTGACAGATCACGACAGTTTCCAAATGGTCAGTCTACTAAAGCTGGCCACAATCACAGAAGAGGGCGTTCGCTTCCTGAGTCCCCACGACGGGTCCCCTATGCTCCTCACCCCCGAACACTCTATATCCCTGCAAAACACAATAGGCAGTGATATCATGATGCAGCTCGACGATGTACTGGTGACCACCTCGCCAGACAAAGCCCGAATGAGAGAGGCCATGGAGCGCAGCGTGAGATGGCTGGACCGATGCATAGCCGCTCACAAGAATCCCGACAGACAGAATCTGTTTTGCATCATTCAGGGTGGATTAGATCTGGAGATGCGACGAGAGTGCTGCAAAGAGATGCTGGCTAGGGATACACCTGGCATCGCCATTGGTGGGCTCAGCGGAGGAGAGGCCAAGGCAGATTACTGCCGCGTCGTAGAGACATGTACAGCCCTGCTACCTGATCTCAAACCTCGATATGTGATGGGTATTGGATACCCAGAAGATCTGATCGTCAGTGTCGCTCTCGGAGCAGACATGTTTGACTGCGTTTGGCCAACAAGGACAGCGCGATTTGGAAACGCCGTGACGAAGAATGGCGTCTTAAACATTCGAAACTTCAAGTACGCCAACGACTTTGGTCCCATTGAGCCCGGCTGTGGCTGCATGTGCTGCAGGGAGGGAGAGGACGGCATGGGTATCACGAGAGCCTTTATCCACCACAACGCTTCCAAGGAGACGGTGGCGGCGCATCTGTTGACGATTCACAACGTTTGGTATCAGCTGCAGCTTATGCGTGACATTCGGCAGGCGGTTATTGAGGACAGGTTTCCTGCGCTTATCAAGGAGTTTTTCGCAGGGCTTTATGAGGATAAGACGCAGTACCCTGAATGGGCTGTGGAGGCGCTCAAGGGAGTCAATGTTGATTTGACGGTATAATAATAGAATCATTAAACGTGTCATTGGCGGTCCCTAAACGGTTGTCTCAACGCGCCTGGTGTATATATACCCATTATATGACATGTATATCCAGCATAGCAGCAATTATATCCATAGCAGTGGCATTACCCGTTGCATTCATTCCGACATTTCAAACATTAATTCCTTCATTGTACACCCAGCCGCCACTTAAACCATCAGAGCAAATCCAGCCACTGCGATCACGCCTGCAGCGAGTCCCACACGAGCGGTTGCAGCCGCATTGGTGGTAGAAGCAGGCGGTTGAGTCACAGTAACGGTAACCTGACCACCTTGACCACCTGCAGTAGTCGTCGCACCTGTGTCATCGTTCGTGGCGGTATTATCTGGGGGCGCGGTAGTCGAGACAGAACAAACATCGCTAAAGTGATGGCAAAAGGTAGCAAATGTTTTGGCCACTATCGCTGTATTAGCATATCTCTTTAAAGAAACAGTATCCTAAAAGGCATGAGGAGTACGAACCGTCATAGGCGGTAACGGGCTCACCGGGGCCTGCTGTGGCTCCCCAGTTTCGACAAGTCGAAGCATACGTCTCAATTTCGTCTGTCCATGTAACCTGGCCATCCAAGGCAGTTCGGCAGCTATACACACGCACATACTTTGTCAGTTGTCAATCCCAGCTATAAAGACGGAGTAAATCCTACCAGTAACAATAAGCCTGCTCTCCAAATGGCATGCCCGTAAAACCAGGCGTCGCCCTGGTGCACTCCTGGAAAATGTCCACCATCTGAACACACGCAGACGCAAGTGTTGTCACAAGACTAGTCGCAGTGCCTGTTCCTGTTCCAGGAGACGTGCCGGATGCGCCTCCAGTGGCAGAAGCTCTGGTCGGTGCGGCTGTTGATCCCTCTGCTGTAAATCCACCTGATGTTTCTGTTTCTTGTGGAATGCTGCTTGGCGAGGAGGCGGGCGAAGCAGTTGATCTCGACGGCGAAGGAGACTGGATTCTTGAGGATTGTGAGGGAGTGGGAGATGACGCTGGAGGCTGCGAATTGGTCGGGTTTGCGCCGACTTGACCACGACAGATCTCTGGAGAGCTTCCGCAGACGGTATAGAGATAGTCGTAGGCTAACAGTCTGTTAGAGGCTACAGGAAGTCACTGAAAAGCAAGACAAAGACGTGTACACACCAGAGATCTGAGAGCCCAGCTGAGGCGCCTCAGAACCAAGATAATCGGCGCAAGTGCTGTAGACGGGAGCTACATCAGTCGTTCCAATGCAGCAGGCACATGCTGCGAGCGACAGCGGATTCGCAGTGGACAGAGCCTCGGATCCTCCGACTTCAGCAACACAGCCCGAGAGAAACGAAGCTGCGGCGGTGCAGATCTGGTATCCCGGATCATTGGGGTTAATGGCATTTACAACCTCATCGTAGTTGATGAGTGGCAGCGTCATTTGCGCCGCCGCGCCGCCGGCCAGTATGGGAATGAGCAGAGCGAGAGCCATCTCGAACAAATACAAAACAATGCAGGAATGGGTATCACACAGAGCAAGAGAGAGAGAAAAAAGCGGCGAGGAGGCGAGCTTCTTGTGTTTTAAGCCCCCAAGCTCCTACAGCTACTCGTACATGGGAGACACGCCATTTTTCTCAACGACGAGCTTCTAGCGGCTCCCAAGGTCAATAAAAGCTGAGCTACCGACATCACGGGGACGAGTCTAGAGGGCCAAGGCCAAGCGCAGAGCTGGGATCCTCATGCAGTCTAAGCGAGGCGGAAAGCACAAAAGTAGAGGGGAAGGCATTGCTTTCTGCGCTCTCGATTCTGTCGCCGCAGTTACACGGCCAATGGTGAGGCGGATTTCCGTGCGGCTGAATCAGTAGCCAGGGAAAAAAGCTTGGCTAGCTCGCGGCACGGCTCGGGGGGGTTGGAGAGAAGGATTTCAGTTCAACTTGTTGGGAGGAGGTGTGACAAGTACTCGTATTAAGTATGAGAGAAGACTGTTTGGTTATCGTAGAGATGGAATAGAGGCGATGCTGGAGTAGCAATTCAAACTTGGTGAAGGCTGTGGGAAGAAGGAAGATGGAAGATGGAAACACAAGCCTTGTTCGTAGGCGGCGATTGAGTTGCGGGTGTGCCCTGAACTGGGCGAGCTTTGGGCTAGTCAGGCCTTGACGGCTAGTGCCACAAAAGCAGCCAAGGACGAGATGCGTTGTGAGCACATGCATGAGACGCTATTGAGCGCCGGTGCGGTGGCGATGAGTTGGGACGGGATGGAGGATGAAGAGCAGACAAGCAGATAAGAACAGAGCAAGCGGGAAAATAAGGCTGATCTGATGGCTGTGTTAGTTGACCCCATACGAGTACGATGCGTGCATTGTTCTGGTGTGATGTTCAGGCAGCTGAGCTGAGTTGAGGTTCTGTTTGAGACAGCAGACGATGCCCAACAATGAATGCCGTGAATTTGTTGCGCATGTTTCTGCCTGGAGACTCTCCACAATTGAGAGGTTTTTCTTTTTCTCTTGTTTCTTTTTTCTTTTTATTGATGTCGCAATCTTAATCAATTCCTCCAGTCGTTGTGCATCAATTCATGAAAACACCATCACATGCTCTGCTTTTCATTTGCGTGCGAGTTCCGAGCGCGATAAGCGGACTTTTCGGGTCTATGGAGCCCTGGGCAGCCAGAAATTGGCCTCAATTGCTCGGATCGGAAGCATCAACTTACCCTACAAAGCGCACTTTACTTGATATGTACAAACAAATGCATCCAGCAAGGCAGAATGACTTACATGAACATGAACCTACCTCGAGATTGGATTTAATCTCTTGCGTCTGCAAGGTCTGGCAAGCTGTGTAGAAGCCGGCCTACATAAGTCATGTAACAAACCTGGGCCCTTTTCTTTCGTCTGAGCTTCTGTCCTTCCACTGCACAGACGGACAGGCATCTTGAGATCGAGGGACTGGCGCTACCCCAGATGTACCTTAAAAAAGAAGCAGAGCGGGGACCGCTAATAAAGTCGCCCCTTTATGCTTGGTGCGTTTACTTGCACTTCCAACGAGAGCACAGACGACGGGAGTACCTGTCAAGTATTTTTAGTCACGACGGCAACATTGCCGGAAATTTACACATGAGAGAATATTTTACTCTCTCAAATGAGATGGAGCCCGCTGTGTAATTTGTAATTGATGCCATCTGCACATTCGGGCCGCCAGACCTCATCCAAAGCTACTGCTATTACGAGGACTAACCGCAACTCTCGATCGTATCCATACATGATAATCATCATGTCGTCGGATATGGGCTCCCGGTCCTTGTTCTGTTAGCCGATTGTGCTAGCAGAGCAGCGGCAGCACTACTGTAGCAGTCATTCCACCTTTTCGCTTGCAGCCGTTAATCGGAGTCGGCAGTTCCTGGTTTTATGCACCTACTAGCACACTTGCTTGTGATGCTGCTCAAATCGGACGTCGTCGGTTATAGCTGGAGGCATCGCTGACGAATGGCTGCAAACCGCAGCGCTGCCAAATCCAAGGCCTCTGCTGTGGTTCGGCCACGTACGCCCTCAAAGAATGTATTCCTGCCTGGAGGTCCACCGCTGCATGTCGCCCCCAGCGGCAGACGATGGATTACAGTACAGTATACGAAGTTGGTGTCCGGTGGCGTTTGAGTGGCCGATTTGGCGGGTTTGGCTGATGTCATGACATGCGGCATCCACCCCCTCTACGAGTCTAGGGTCTTGTTTGGCCTCAATCGTGGCCTGCATGCCTCGCTGCATGTACTCCGTAGTATCATGGATATCCCGACTGTAAGCAGGCGCAAATGCATGTACCTGTAGGGAGACGCTCTGCTCCACAGCAGCGAGACCTGCCGTTTCGGATGCAGAAAAACACCCCTTACTTGTCTGGAAAAACACCAGACAATCGGCGAGATGCGCGTGCGAAGCTGTGCCGGCGCAGCGTCAATGCTGTGGTGCCCGACCTGACGAGGCCCGATGATGGTGACGTGAAGGAATTGATTGCCAGCCCCCTATCTTATTTGATGGATGGATGTGATATGAATGAGATTGGATGAGATTCGCACCGGCACGTGATCGGGGCGAGACAAGATGGGACGCGAATTTGGGACTGGAATTAGGGGAAGCGAAGCGGCTATGACGATGGCGACAATTGAAATTACATGCCCGGCCATGTCATTAAACGCCCCGAGCCACTGGCCGCCGCCGCGTGCCAACCTTGACCCAAACAACAACCAAAAAAGCTGCAGCCATCACCAAAACCAGGGAAATCGAGTGGTCAGGCAGCCGTTAATTGAAGCATTGCTCCATACATCGCCAGAGGCCAACTGAACTGAAGAAGCATCGCAAACCCGCATTCTCAACGCACCATACAATACAATACATACGCTCTCTCCACCCACACCAACTTGGCACATACTCACAGGCTTCTTCCGGCGTGTTCCTGGCGTCTTTCCTTCTGCTAACGCATGTCGCCTCGCTGCAACCCACCGACTAAACCGGTCTTATAAGACGCCCAAATGGCGTCTCCGCCCAATACAGAGCCGCCACGGCGTGCAGCAACAAACTCCAGGGACAAAGACGCAGGCCTATCGCAGTCACTCAGCCAGCTGTCACTCGGCCAGCGTGGCCCGCGATCCCCCGGATTATCGCCATTGCCCTCTCCCTCGACGCCGCTCACGCCTTTAAATCTCTCTCGCCATGCCTCTCCTTCTTCGTCTGCTCTCACTCCCTCTCTCAGTCCCTCAGGCAGAGAGTCGCGAGCCGCAACCCCAACCCTCGTCCGCAAAGCCTCGATGAACTCCCTGCACTCGGCAAACGGCGTCGGCCCTTCGCGGTCTTTATCCAGGCGCTCCAGCCTGGGGCAGGTTGTTTCACCGGGCTTGAGGGCGTCGTTTGGAACTCCCGAGCCTGAGTGGCGGCCGCCAGTCACGCCCAGCTCCGTGGCGAGCGGCCACTTCAAGGAAGAGCTCGAGGCCCATCACGGGCCCGTGTCCACGCTCTACACCGAGACGGTGGTTGTGCTCAACGATGCCGTCTATGGCCACCGCTTCGCGCGCCCGCGCACCCCCAAGAGTGCCCTCAGCAACATTGTGGAGCGGCCTGAGCGAATCAAGGCCGGCATTCTGGGCGTGGCCGCAGCTTATGTGCGTCTTGGTGAGCGTCACAGTGATGGTGCGCTGCCCATCCTGCCAAAGGGCAATGTTCACATGCTGCCCAGCATCCCCTTTCGCATCCACAAGACGGACCGGAGGCTGCCGCTGCTGTCCCCCGCCGTCACCAACGTGCATGGCACCAAGTGGATGGAGGAGTTGAAGAATATGTGCGAGTCTGCAGAGGCGGTCTTGGCTCGTGGAGGAAAGGAGCTGCAGAGATCTGCCGGGACTGCAACGGCGGAGAAGCTTCACGAGGGCGACTTGTACCTCTGTAGCGAGTCGCTAGATGCCATCGAGGGTGCTCTGGGCGCTGTGTGTGAGGGTGTGGATGCCGTCTTCTCGGCTGGGCCGCGCCGTGCATTTGTTGCCGTCAGGCCTCCGGGGCATCACTGCTCGGCCAACCTCCCATCTGGCTTCTGCTGGGTCAACAATGTCCATGTTGGAATTATGCATGGCATCCTGAACCACGAACTGACTCACGCTGCCATCATTGACTTTGACTTGCACCACGGAGATGGCTCTCAGGCCATTGCTTGGGCGCACAACTCTCGGTCAATGGCTGCCACCAAGAGTCATGCCGCCTGGAAGAGGACATCCATTGGTTATTTCAGCTTGCACGACATCAACTCATATCCTTGCGAAAACGGCGAGGATGACAAGATTATGAAAGCCAGCATCTGCATCGAGAATGCCCACGGTCAAAACGTCTGGAACGCCCATCTCCAGCCATGGAAGACAGTTGAAGATTTCTGGGACCTCTATGAGACTAAATACACGATACTTCTCGACAAGGCTCGCAGCTATCTCAAAGCGCAGGCAGAGAAGCTACAAGACACAGGTGCCAAACCGCGGGCCGTCATCTTCCTGTCTGCTGGCTTTGACGCCAGTGAGTGGGAGAGTGCTGGAATGCAGCGTCACAAGGTCAATGTGCCAACGGAGTTCTACGCGCGACTTACTCAAGATATTGTTCAGCTTGCTGCTGAGGAAGGCCTCTTTGTCGAAGGTCGCATCGTCAGTGTCTTGGAGGGTGGCTATAGCAACAGGGCCTTGACTTCGGGCATTCTCAGCCACCTGAGCGGTCTTGTTGGGAAGCAAAACGTGCCTCGTCAGGGCCGCCTTTCTTTCGGGCAAAGTGCCTACAACGACGATGACGAGTACTTTGGACAAGCGTTATCTTCCATAAACCCTTACGATTCTTCGTGGTGGTCGGCTGATGAACTTGAGAAATTGGAGGCCACAGTAGGACTCCCTGTTATCACGCCAAAGAAGCCGCGTATGGTTACTCCTCCAACCTATTGTACACCGACCCAAGCTTCTACGGCAAGGGCCGTGGATCCCCTCAAAATGCGACGAAGCATGTCGACGCTGGTCAACAGGTCTACCGCTTCTAGCCGATCTCCATCTCCCTCGCCCCCTGAGGTTCCGTGGACGGTCGCTGCCAACGAGCTCTCAAAGCTCCTCATACCACAGGATCGCCAAACCGACAGCTACACGGCCGATGACTTGAATCCAGAGGCAGCTCGCGCGCGGCAAAGTAGGCAATCCACCGCCACACCGGATCTCGAACGATCAACATCAAGAATGTCGCTTCGTGACCGCAAGCCAAGGGCTATTGATCCCATTCAAGAGGAGAACAGTGCTCGGCAGACAAGGGACCGGAGACGAACTGTAGGGACTCCAGCAATTGCGGCAGAAAAGGTAAGCATGCAATTTTCAAACCCCTCCCTACCCTCTTTTACATCAAACAATGATTAACATGTGTTATCAGGCAACTGCTCGCGGCCAGACACCGCAGCCTCTTATTGGCTTGCCTCCCAAGGGGAACAATCGTCGGCTTAGCACGTCATCCGTTGCTCCCACGCAACAGCGTAGCGTCTCTCGTACCGCTACGATCAACGAGGAGTTACCGCTTCGCCCTTCAACATCTGCGGGTCCCGTCTCAGGGAGGCCTATCTCAATGGCAGGCAACCAAGCGCAGAGCTCCGGTTCTACCGGAAGAATCACTGTTAGAAGGTCACGGCCGACGACGGCTCATGGCGAGCCGGCGCTCAGGTCACCAATGCATGAAGCCGGAAAGGAAAGTCCTGCAGAAACAACTACAGCACCTGCAGTTTCAAGGCTGGACGCTACTATTAACGACATGGATAAGATCACCAATGGTATCAAGAAGATCAAGATCAATTTGATCACCCAATCACAAAAGGAGGCACGGGAAAAGGCTCGCCTTGAGGCCGAACAAGCCGCAGCTGCAGCCGCAGCTGCCGTCGCCAAGTCAGAGTTGCGCACGTCATCTGCCAGCACCAACAGATCCGTAGAGTCTAGCGGCCTCAAGACGCCCAACAGCTCCAGGCCCACAATCAATGCCGCGTCCCCAGATGGCACCATGCCGGCGCTATCAACCGCTTCTGAGAGTAGCCTATCAACGCCCAATTTGGAGCATTTCACGCCACGAACTGTCTCCCCAGAATCGAGACAGGCTGTTCCAAACGTGAGCTCCCCTCGCTCGACGAAGGCGGTGGATGAGACGGCCGACTTTTACCAGTACCAGCCTGAAGGGCCGCCCCCGGTCTCAATTGCTTCTCAGGAGCCGCTGAAGTGGATGCCCCCGACACTGCCGGCTGGCAACCCAATGGTCATGCCTGGCCTCCTTAAGAAAAAGAGCAGCGCACTTTTCCAGTATGGTAGCAGCGGAACCATTCCCTTTGCTCCTAAGCAATCGGCCAACCGCAGCCCCTCACCCCAGAACAAGGCTCAGAGGAAGCCAAGTGGTACCATCCCACCGAGGAAGTAAAGTGTTACTGTGAAAAAGCAAAAAAAGGAGATTGTATTAGATTTCTTATGTCACTCGGAAGGTACGGTACGGAGCACGGAATGGGTAGGAGTTTGTTTGCCCTTTATTTTGCCTGTTTAGCGCTTGTTGAAGCTCGTTCTCTCTTTTTTCGAGACCAACTGTTTTCCAGCTACTATGCACCCCTTTGCCAAACTTGGCACCAGCCTTTGGAATGCTGGGCTGCTCTCATTACATGATACCCGTTCCCAAACAAAGAAAAACAAAACTCTTGTCGGAAGCTATTTATTCTACTCTATCTTTTATAGATGGTCTTTGAGTTCCTTCTATATCTTAATCTTGTATGCTCCCCTGAAAGCAAAATCTTGTAGCCTTTTATGGCCTATTGTACCTCTATTTTCCAGAATGAGAAAAGTGAAGTGTCTTATTGTACCTCTATTTCCAGAATGAGAAAAGTGAAGTGGTTCTTATGAAAAATTTCGACGAAATTCGCTGAGAGGTACGCCCATCTCGATGAGCTCCGCCTTTGTGGTTTCTCCTGCCTGGGGGTGGTTTCTGCGCTCGAAAGTCCAGACGTGCTTTACGCCGAGGCTTTCGAGGAATGTGAGTGCGCGGCTGTAGTTTGTGGCGACTTGGGCGATGCCGTGGCTGTCGTCGGACATTGTGAATTTACCGCCTAGTTTGAGCCATTCCTATGATTCCATGGTTTAGTAAGATGTATCTTGATATCTTGGAGAGGAAGTGCTCTCATGTAGGATCTGTATGTAGCTTACCTCTGAAATGATTCGGCCGGGATAAGGCTCGTCGAGGCCCTTTCTCAGGGCCGCCGAATTACACTCTAACCAAGCACCAATCTTCTCAGCATACTCTAGATTCCGCCGAATCTTTTCCCAAACGCCTTTCCACTGTCTGACATCCCTGCCCGGCTCCTCACTCATAAGACGAATAAGATCAAAGTGGCCGACAATGCGCGGTTTCAAGGCCCTTAGCATATCATACTGCAAATCGTAGTAATCCTCATAAAGACGCTCCTCCGAGCCACCGGCTGCAGTGACGGCAGCAGCATAAGTTGCTTTGTCGTAGTCGATGGGGATGCTGTGGACGTGGTGGACGGAGCCGATGAAGTAGTCGACGTGGGGGGATGCGTCGAAGAGGGCTTGGACGAGGGGTGCGTATGAGGGGCGGATGAATTCTGCTTCGAAGGCGATGATGATGTGGATTTGGGGGGAGTATTTCTTTTGGAGGCGGCGGGCTTCGAGGATGTAGGCTTCGTGGCGGGGGGGAAGGGCTTGGAGGGAGGCTTGGGGGTCGGAAAGCTAAGGGGGTTGAAGAGTTAGATGGGTGTGACTATGTGAGGTTTGTGTTGAGATTAGGAGGGTAGATGGGTGAGTGAAGGGGATATGAGTGAGTGGTTGTGTGAGTGGTTGTGTGAGTGGTTGTGTGAGAGGTTGAGTGTGAGAGAATGAGTGAGTTAGTTGTGACATGTGAATATGTGATGGAGGGGTAGTTTGAATGCTGTGTAACGCGAGGTAATAAACCAAGTTTGGTAGAACGAATTGCAAATGAGTAAATGGTAACGTGAGACATACCTCTTCTGGATACAAGTCTTGTTCTTCATAGCGAGGCATGTGCTCTGTCAAGCCAATGGTTTTATACCCAAGCGATATAGCGTGCAGGATAATGTCCTCAAGCTGGTCGACGGCATGGCCAGGGCAGAACTGGCCCGAATGGGCATGCATTGTGAACGCCATTGTGACTGAAGTTTTGGACAAACAAAAAGCAAACACCTCGCGAATCTGGGCTTTCAAATTCTTTTATACTTGATATTAAATCGTGGTATCTTATAGTTTTGAGTTTAAAGAGATGAGGCGCTTCTATTTTTTTTTTTTTGCTGCGAGATCGCCGCGTCGACGGGAGGCCCACAATTTCCCTGCCTGGAGCCCGGATTCGGTAATCTCGGGACCCGTGAGGCGGTTCTGGGAGATCATTGGTCTGTTTGGGAGTGAAGGATGAGAGTATAAGACAGTGACTTGTGATTGAGGCTATATAAATAAGGCTGCTATCGAGTTGCATAGGCAAGCAGACAAAACTCTATGGCAATTGCCGGTGAATAACAAAGTATGTACAGCCATCATCCACTTTGAATTTGATGCTTGACTCGCTGCATCTGCGGCCTTCACTTGATTCGTGCAGATGCGCGCACCAGCCACAGAGCGACAACAGCTCACGAGCCACAATATCAACCATGTGGCTCCGACCGAGGCAGATTTCTTATCAACATCACAGAACTTCTGGTTGGTTAACTGGCCGTCACATAATCACGTGGTATGCAAGGATCTTTTGATAAACAATCAGAAATCGAATTCCTTCAAACGGAAGGGCCCCGCTTTATTTCAACAATACCGATTAAGCTTCATTCTGGGAAGGAGCACCAGCTCCGCTCCGCAAGAGGGCTTAGAGTTGTTCCGACTCTTCAGCAACTTCAACCAGGCAACCAAGCTTCTTCACCATGTTCTTGTGCTTCTTGGATCGACACTGTCGTCAGCTTCTTAATATGTGAAACGGCTCTATCAAACACTGCCACGCCAACTAGCTCTCTGCTGCCTGCCGCACGAGGTAGTCAAGGTAGTGTCCTGGAGCTAAACGGGGGGCACAGCCGGCAATCGGAGCGACCAAAAGACGAGGGTGGCATTGCAGCGATTTTAAATCTGTGGGAAATAATATGGCGTCAAGAAGGCCTCGGCAGGAGACGGGACGAAAAGCTTGACCTGGTCGCTCGACGTGGTGAGAACTAAGCACACTGGACGGGCGGATTAAACCTGTCAAAAACACCAAAAAGCGAAAAGAGGGTTGTCTCCCCGTATCTGCTGCATATGGTGAGGCTGAGAATGGCGGGCTTGACTAAATTTCGGGAAACCGGCAACGGCGGCGCGTTAAAGCTCGACGCCAGGCTCGACTCGATTAAGCGCCCAGATGGTTGTTTGACGTCTATTGCGGCTGATGCTAGCCGAGGCCATCAAGGCCTTCGTCTTCGTCTTCGTCTTCATCATGGCGAAGAATGAAGAAATAGACAAAGACGAGACGCGAGTGCGTCCGGCTCATCGAGTATAACGCAATCAATAAACGCTTTGAAATCTCACAAATCATCAAACCGTTTATCCCTCACCTTCAACGTTGGATTCTGCCAAAAGGTCCGCGGGGGGGAAGCGCGGGACCACTTGCATCCAATATTGATCTGCAGGCTGAATTGGCCCCTTGTTATTTCGACCTCGGACTGCATCTGTGCTAATTGGCCGCCATACCAAATGTGATGGGCCTCCAATCAGGGCTTCGTCCCCGACGCAGAGAGTTGGTGTGCGGCTTTGCGTTCCGCGACGGAATTTACGGCCTCTGTCAAGTGGCCTAGTGCCCAAAGGGTCTTCCCAATGTGCACTGGCAGAGTGTCGAGAATGCCTCGCCCCGTGTTTGCAAACGAATGAGGCGACGACAAGTGCAACGACCCCTGCAAGAAATTCATGGCCCGCTCCAAAGGTCACGATGCTAGATGCTGTCGGGCCATGAATCCCCACGCCAGCATGCTAACGGGAATAGCTTTATAATACTGCTGGGATGCCGGATCAGAAATATCAGTGCGCCCTCCTGGCGATTTTGTCTTTTCTCATTGTGCTGCTCTCGTGAGATCCAAAGTTCGTCTAAAGGGGTGGCACCTACAAGCCGGACTTGCTCACCATGGTCAATATGCAGAATCTACCGACTTCGCTCGCGCTGCTGGTCTCTTCTTTTCTTTTCGCGTCGAGTTCCTCAGCTCTGCACATCAGAGCTCGTCAAGCCGATACCCTTCCCACGCCAGTCGCGCATCTTTCCAATGGACCAGCCGCGGCGTTCATCACTCCTGGTCCTTCTCTGGAAGTTGTGGGCGACTTGATGCTTGCACGCGCACTTCCAACTATCCCTGCGTGTGCCACTGCCTGCATTGCTTCAGCTGTCACTAGATTAACAAATTGCAAGTTGGGTGACACTCGCTGCGAATGTAACAATGCGAGCGCCGTCAACAGTGGTGCAGCGGTTTGTGTCAACAGTGCTTGCGGATATATTACTGCTGTCCGTAAGTGATAGATGAACTGCTGTTGGAGATGTAAAAGTTGAAGCTGACAATGTTCAACAGAGGCCCAGGTGGCGGGAGAAGAGATTTGTATAAGTGTGCTCGCCGGACTTGCACCCAGTAGTAACAACCCTGGAGCTACTCCTACCGGGAACAACAACTCTCCCGGACAAACAGCTGGCTCATCGCCGTCTAACGGATCTCCGAGCCCCAGCAACGGCTCAAGCGGCGGTTCTGGTGGAGGATCTAGCGGAGGATCGGGTGGTGGATCATCAGGATCATCCGGGTCGTCTGGCTCAAGTGGCTCAGGAGGTTCATCGCTCCACAGGCCCAGTAAGAGACTCTCCAAAGGCGCCATTGCCGGCATCGTCGTCGGCGTTGTTGTCGGTGTTGGTGCCGCTGCCGCAGCTATCTGGAGGCTTTGCCTGAACAAGATGAAGGGAGGAAGCACGCCTGCAGCGGGAGTCGATCCAGCAGCTGCCGCTGCAGCACCCGTCGTTGTCGCTCCCGTCCAGACTGCACAAGTTTCTCCTGTCGAACCATTCAAACCATCGGTCACTCCTCAAACAGTTTCGAGCGTATCACCGGCCCCAGGCTCTGTTGCTACGACCTCGCCGATATATCCAAACACATACTCGAACGCCGCCGAGCTACCTAATGGATCATATCCACAGCCCCCTGCCGCATATGCATATCCTCCGCATCCAATGGGGCAGACATATCATGAAGCACATGTACAGCCACCAGAAGTGCCTGGTGATACGCATTTACCGCAAGAGTTGCACGGCGGAGGACCAGTCTACGAGATGGGCACCCATTAAAAAGGAGGATCGAGATGGATGAGTATACGTAAATAATCAACGAGCTAGCCTAATGTATGTAATCTAAACAAATGATATCCATGTCTATTTCAAATTCTATATATATAAAATACACCGCTCAATTGCACAACTTCAAGGGGGAATCAAATCGGAGTAAAACAAAGGAATTATTAAGAACGCTCAAACCCCCAAATGTACTTTGATTTCCACCAGGGCTTTTTGGCAACTTCGTCTGTTCTGTTGTTATACCCTTCTTCTTGAACATCGTGCTTCCCAACGATATTCAAGAACACTTCGTTCAGCGTTGTCGGACTAACACTATGGTGTGCGATACCCAGATACTGCTTCTGCTCCTCTAACATGATAAGCAGTCTCCCCCTAGCACTCTCACTACTACTCGCCACTCCACTCTGCGCCGGCACCGCGGACGAAGGCATCGAGAAGCGCATCTGTCCATGGTACGTCTCCTGCTCCACGGACGCTCCGGGGAAGTTATTCAGCACCCAAGCACGAAGGTTATCCATCTCCTCCTCCGAAGAGTGAGGCGCAGTCTTACTAACGAGGTGGACGTGCAGCGTATCTCCGAAGCGGTGACGAAGCTTTTCCGTCGTCCCGAGGGCAAGCATGCGGCGAGCCATGATGCCGGCGCGGTTGGCCAGCGCGTCGGCCTCTTCCATGCTGTGCGTAGTGAGAAGGATGGAGCGGCCTGGGACGATGGCTTCGAGAGTGCGCCACATGATGCGTTTGGCTGCTGCGTCGAGACCGGAAGATGGTTCGTCGAGGAGGATCACTGGCGGGTTTCCTGTGAGGGCGATGCCGAGGGAGAGTTTGCGCTTGTTGCCCCCTGAGAGGGTATGTGCCATGACGTCTGCATAGGCTTCTAGTCCGACGGCGCGGATGACGGCTGGAACTTGGTGGTCGATATCAGAGATACCTCGAAGGCGGGAGTAGTGGCGGAGATGCTCGCTGACGGTCATGTTGTCGATGGCGTCGAACTGGGGGCACACACCGAGATTTGCTCTGGCAGCAGCACGGCGTTTGGTGATAGAGACGTTTTCGATAAATACATCTCCGCCGTTACGGCTCGGTGCAATGTCGCCTCGTATAAGTGAGATTGTGGTGGATTTACCTGCGCCATTGGGACCAAGGAGAGCAAATACTTCGCCGTGTTCGACTCCAAAGGTGACATTATCGACGGCAGTATTCTTACCAAAAGCCTTGGTAAGATGTGCAATTCGAAGACCATCAGATTGGCCGTCTTGGCCATCGACACGGAGTAGCTCGTCTGCAACTTCTGGATCGTCAACCTCGGGAGACTTCTTGGCCTTTTCAGGGGCATATCGACCAGCACCACTTTCAATCCAGACGACTATAGAGAACCAGAAGATGGCTTGCAGGATAAGATATAGCAGAGGACCACCATAAGCAGTCATTGCTGCAGGATTGGCTCGAAGCTGGTCGTTATCGCAAGTAGTCGAAAAGATGTTTTGGCCAACCATCAACGTGCGAATCAATGAACCCGTGGGGAAAACAGCGGCAATGACCCAATGCGCGATGAGAACGTCTCGATCGGTGTTTGAGGCCGGGGAATAGGTAAGAATAAACAGGTATGTGATTATGTAGACGGCAAATCCAAGTGATTGGACGACAGAGGTCATGGCGTAAGTTGCCATTGCAGTGTCGCAAATGAGTGAAAAGAGATAGGAAATGATGATTGTTGTAAGCCCATAAAAGATGAAAACTGGGAATAGATATCCTCCATTGTACCATGAATTCGAAGATACGACAAATATCATGGCAGTCAACATCATGGGCACAATAATGATGCCAAAGTCGAAGATGACATGTGCAGCCCAAACCGGTAGAGTACGAACGCCACTAGAGTATTGCAGACTGCGAACGTTCTTAAGCCTCTCTGAATTGGGATAGAGGCCAAAGAGACCAGGGAAAATTGAGAAAGCCACAGCGAAATATACCACAAGCTGGAGCCCTCTGCCAGTTGAAGGAGCGACAGGATAGTCAAACGCTTTGTATTCCGTTGCAATGGTAGTGTTGGCGAGTATTGTATTGAGAAAGCTCTGACCTATGACCGCGGAGTACATGGAAAAGTTGTCGACCTTGAAGGCTAATGTCGGTGCTGAATTCGAGTCGCCAAGCCACAGGCCCGCAGGAGTGACAATCCTCCTGTTATGTTCCACATAGTCTTCAAGGGATGAGAGGGAATCCACCAGATCGACGGTGACATTTCCAACAGTGGTAGAACTGTCTCGGCTTCGAAGGTTTGCAGAGCCTGGTAGAATTGGTTTAAACAAATCATCTATGGAATTGCCAAATTGAGAAGACGGGCCGCCAGCAAGATGAGCTGTATCCAATAGCTTGAAGAAATCATCATTTGAAGAGTGACTACTTCGTTGCGTGGGTGAGCACCCAACTAAGTCGTCATTGCGAACAAGAATCTGGATGACTGAAGCGGCGATGATGGGGATCAGAAAAGCAGCCGCATAAGGGAGCCAATTTGTCTTGAAAACTGTAAATCGCTTTCTTAAAAGCACGCCCGTCTGCTGAAACATGCCAATCTGTCGCCCCGTGAGCAATGCCAGATTTTCGCTAGCGATGGGTGTATCGCTAGCAATTTTGGCAACCTTTTCGTTAATAACATCGGGTTGTCGCTGGAGCCCTTCGCCATGAACTTCCTCAGCCAAGTGGAGAAAGACATCTTCAATGGTCGGGCCAGAGGATCTGTATGGGATACCGGCAGCTTCTAGAGCTCGGATGACCTTGGCGGCCTGATCAGACGATGACGATAGGTAAGTAACGTTGTTTGTGGTAACTTTCTTTGTGACACCGTCGATATCAGGTACTGCGTTCAAGGTCCTTGGGTTGAGTGCGTGGATACGGTAGCCAGCACCAAAAGTGTCTTTGAGCTGCGCAGAGGAGCCTTCAGCTCTTAATGTTCCCTTGGATAGGATGGCAATGTTGTCGGCAAGCAAGTCTGCTTCATCGAGGAAATGGGTAGTCATGATGATTGTCCGGGAACCGCGCTCTTTCAGGAGAATGTCCCATATTTTTCTGCGCGACAGGGGATCGATACCAGAAGAGACTTCATCAACACAGCAGACGGAGCTTCCACCAACCAACATCATCCCAAGCTGAAGCTTTCTCTTTTGGCCACCCGATAGAGTTTTTGACCAAGCTTTGGCCTTTGAACGAAGTCCAATAGCGTCGATCAAATCTGCAATCTCATTGTCAGGCGTCTTGTTGTGAGGATTTTTTATACGACTAAATAGTCGGATGTGTTCCTCGACGGTCAGATCATCCCAGAGGACGTTCTGCTGGGGGGCGAATCCAAGACCGCCTGATGTATCGACAGACATATTGCCACTGGTGAAATTGCTAATACCGGCAATGGCGTCAAGAGTGGTACTTTTACCGCTGCCATTTGCACCCAATAATGCCAAAATCTCGCCCTTCTTCGCCGTCAAAGTCAAGTTATCCACAGCAACCACCTCGGGCCTTAGTGGCGAGACAAAGGAGAAGAATTTACGAATAGGACTTGGTTTGAAAATCTTGGTCATATTGTCGATACGAACCGCATCTTGAACGCCGCCGGCAGGGTTTTCGAGGGCGGTTGACGACCGAGTTCCCGTGCTCACACCGTGTATGGCCTGCTCTACAAAGGCGGCGGCAAATGGATACACAGCCATCTGGACAATGAGAAAGACCCAATGAACGATGCCAGGAAGATTTGAAGTGTGGCCTGGCGGTAGGTGTATGAGATTCGTTGCTTGTCCGTACTGCTCAAATCGAGCAATGTAGATGATGAAATAGATAAAGTTGCACGGAGTGAAGAGTAAACTGAGGACGGCGACTGTCGCGGTATTGGGATGCGGAATCACCTGAGCAATTATACCCAGCACAATCCAAATGACAGAGGTCACTATGCTCGAGAGTTGAGCTTTTTTGAAGAATGACGCCCCAAGGAGGGACATGGATGTCATAGCAATACCGCTGAGAATGAAGAAGATGATGAGGATGCCAAAGCTAGTGTTTGTCCAGATGGTGACTCTAGCAACGATAGATGCAATGATCCAGCCTGGCATATATGTCATGGTGAAGGCGTGGTGGTGGGAGATGAGCCTGGCGAATTGACGGTGCCACCCTTGGCTAGTGGGCATCATGGCGTCAATAAGCTGAGATAGGCCTCTTTCCCTCTCGATAGCGATGTAGCCGGGCATATGATAGCAGACACCAATCATACCGGTAATGTAAGCAACGCTTAGATAGTTGATAAAAGATTTTTGGTATTTACGCCGGACATCAGCCTGGCGCTCATCCTCAGTCAACTCGGTATAAGCGTATTGCTGTGTTGTTGAAGGAAAAGAAGAGCCAGACTTGAGGCCGGCAATGGCAGCATCAACAGCATGTTGGAGAGGCAGTGCATAAATCTGGGCATCGTTGTCGCCCTTGTCCGTCTGGAAACTATTTCCAAGACCAGCATCTGCACGCAGAGTGTAGTTCCAGAAGCCATCGCTGCCCTCATCAGGGGAAGAATAAAACACCACGGCGCCGAAACAGTTAGATGTGCCACGGATAGTGCTCCGGCAGGTATATCCCAAGTCGTCTTCGTCTTGTATGATCGTCGCATTCTTGCCGGCTCCCTTGACAATATCAGAAACAGTGTCGATGACATGCCCTATGTCACCACCATTGTGGCCACTATTGACAAAGACGACCGTGTTTCGGCCACCGTCAGATTTGGAGAGAGCATTATCAAGAGAAAAGATGTTGGACGGAGAAGCAATGCCAAACTTGTCGTTGGGCTGAGTAAACTTTTGGCCAATGCCTAGATAGACAGTGAGGACGATGGGAAGAACGAGAGCGCTGTAAATCGTCGAGACGGTATGTCGAAGGATGATGATTCTGAGCGTCTTCTCTGTCAAGGCCCAGATCTGGCTGTAGAGAGTCATGGTGGGCAGAGACGGGGTTTGCCCTTGTCGCATATTTGTCTTTGGTCTGGTGTCTTCCATGCACAGAGAGATTGTCTGAGGACGATGAAGATGATGTTAAGGAGTGAATGCCGTCGTCACCCTGTTGCGAGAGGTGACGATGAGACTAGACACTTGATTTGAATTAGCTATAGGAATAATTCAAATCCAAATAAGAAGCAGGACCAACAAAGACGGGAGGATCATTAGGTTTAAATACATTGACATCCATGAGAACCTAATGCGTTCGTCCGTTGTCTCGGCCATCAAGGCACTAGCCAGGAGAGAGTCGCAACGGCCGCCATGATGCTGGAGGATTGATCCGCGTATTGGCGACAGGGATCACACGTGTGGCTGCGTCTCGTTTGGCTCGGTTGTTTTACTTGTGAGGCATTGAAAGAGGCAAAAGGAGAAGAGTTGATGCTCGTGCCTAGCTGCGCCATGATGTCGATGCTGGTGTCAGTGGCTGGTCTCGATCCAATGGAGGGGATAGGGCTCCAGCTGCCCTGAAAGCCCCGTAGGATCCCCTGTCAGCACGGCCTTTAGTGAAGCCCCAGCTAACCGCAGGCAGCTAGCAGCGCCATATTTGGCCTAGAATGGCTAAGGTGGTCGCTAAATGTTGCGCTGTGGGGCTGGGGAGAATCAGCGCCACGTACTTCCCAAACGGGACCAAGAACAAGCGAACCTCAGCAAAATGAAAGGCGGTTGAATCAGATGGATATTGCATCATGGAGAGAGTTAAGCCCTAAACGTAGCAGTCGCAGCGCTGTTACTCTTCTAATCTCAGTTAAGTGAGACCCGACATTTAATGAAGCAATCTCCAAGTCTCACAGTCTACATGTCCATGTATGTACAGCTTCAACATCAAACCACACATCAACCCCAGCTTAGCATGGCGCCACTTCGCTCCTTTGCTACTGTACATACACGCAGTTTCAATGTGATTCCCGGGTGTTACGAGCAATACGATACCCAAGCGAACAATGCGGCACCGAAGCCTAATTCCTAACTTCTTCGTAGCGCCGATCCTTCGAGACGTGGGTCGCCGTTATTCGCACTAGCATTTGACGCATGAAAGCCAAGCGCACTCTAAAAGCAAATACGCGCAATACGGCACCATCGCGAGACCGGGGTTGTGAATATCCTGGGCTTTGATTGGGCACGGCGAAAGAGGGCGGGTATGCCTTGGTCACTTGGACATCGGTGAAGCTTTCAGCCCTGGAGAATGATTACGTGTGGCTTCATATTTGATGTTTCTGGGCATTAAGCCAATCGTAGTTGAACAAGAGAGAATTAGATAACTTTTTAATAAAGTCGCGCTTTTAATCGAAATTACAGGCTGTTCTAGAAGGCAGTGTCTTAAGGTATTCCCATTCATGTATATACAATTGGTGATATCATGGCGCAGACGTTCTTCCTTCAGGATTAGACGTTACTTGGCGCATTTATAAATCCTTCACGCAAAATATGTACAGTTATTCACGGAAATAATCCGATAATTGGGGATAAAATCTTTAATTTTACCTCATTCGGTAATATATAATTATGTCTACAATAGGATAAGGATATATGTATATGTGCTAGTGCTACTCATCTTCTTCCTCTGATATATCAAGACTCGCAATCATCGACTCCAGCTCTAATACAACCATCTCATAAATGGCCTCTTGAAGTCTCGGCTTCTTCAGATCCTTTCCATACCCAAAATCGCAATCGAGGACTTTTTGAGTCAATTCCTGATACACAGGCCCTAAATAGCATGGCTGCGATGCTAATCGACGGACTCCCTCGATGTCGTTGTGGTCGATGCGCTCCCACCTCCCAATTGCCAGTAGAGCTGCCCCTAGGCTATACAGCGTTACGTTACGCACGCCATGCTTGTATTGGACATCTTCGACTGATTGTGTCAAACTGACGGGAGACTCGACGTCCATTAAAGATTCCCCTGGATCAGGCCCACCATGAATCAGCTCTACGCCAAAGTGTAGCGTCTGGAGCGATAATGTCAAGTCATCCCCTTGTCGGAAGAAAGCAAGGTCTCTGAAGCTCCACACCTCATTCAGCCAAGGAGTCGAATTGAACTTTAGCACTGCAGAAACGAGTCGATGAGCTAATCGCAGCTGGCCAACGATAGTCAGTCTGTTGCTGGCAGACTGCCCAAGTGCTTCATCCATCAGCATCACGTCGTCTAGCCCCATTTTGCCACAACTATGGTTATTCGAACAAGGAAAGAAACAGTGGCGAAATGGTTCTTGCATGCAACTGTCGATATGCCCCAAACCCTCCGCTTTGCACACCATATCCGGAGTTGAGCATCGTCTTAATAGTTCAGGACAGAAATGGCCCGTAAGCTGAAGATCATCTGGAGAAACTATGGTGGATTGTGAGGTATTGGCTATCGAGTATTGGGATAATGATTCGGCATCAACATTGCCGAGACCAGACTTATCGCCAATGTCGGAGAATCTGACCTTTGGTCGTTTTCGTCGGCTGTTCTGTGAGTTGTCCACCTCTGGAGCTGGACTCAATAAACTCGCGCTGGACCACATTATGGAGTCCATTGTTCTCGATCTGACCTCTAGTCTGGTCAAGCTTGTTTGGAAAAGAGCCGTCTGATGGAGTTGGGCACCATAACAGAGGATGGCAATCTCCATCTGTACGTCAGTTTCTGCTTTAGCGTCCAGGAAGAGCTTGACGAAATGTCTCAGGTGAGGTGCCTGTGTGCTAGACCAAGCCGCTGTCAATGCTTCATGGAGCGCCTTGGAAGCCCTTCGTATATCTCTATAACCCTTGAATTCCAGTGGCAGCCTTCCTGCTCTCTGACATTGTTTCCCGGCTGTATACGACGGAGGCTTTTGGAGTTCGCTGACTTGTTCACGCAGCCGTCTTAATGCGCCATTCGATTTTTCTAGCACGTCGATTTGATCTTCAAAGTTTTTCTTCTCGAATGTAATAGTGACTCGTTTTCTCAGTTTTCGAACGCAGTCTTTTAGTGGCTTCCGCTTTAGTTGCTCATCCTTGAGAGTAGCTTGGGTTAACAGTTGCATTTGCAGCAATTGCCTGTATGTTCCATCTTACCTTTTTTTGCTCTTCTTCTAATGGCGCGAAGCATTTAAATGCTTTCTGAAGCGTCGATATACTGTCATTGATATCGTTGACAATGTCTATCAGCGACATCAGGTTTCTCTCCAAAAGGGTTTCTAGCTTCTTCTCCAGGCTATGCGCATGCCATTCGGTGTGTGCTGGATCCTTCATCATGGCTTTGACGATGTCTTGGTCCTGTAAGACCAGCCGCAGCACTAGCTCTATTTCATTGAGAAAATAGTCTCGCTGTGCTCCAAATAGTTTCCGTATTCTCTCGACTTCAGCGGAATAGTGGCAGAATATTTTGAACTTGGCGCGAACAGATTTGTACACATTGACGGAATTGCCAACCATGGGCAGGATTCCATACGACACCGATAATGGATCCATCCTTGGCTGACGGGTGATGGCTTCGCTGTTTCGTGTCCTAGGAGAATCTGATGAGCTCTTTGGCCGCCTTCATCAGGTAAGAGTGGAAGAGATAAACGTTCGCACAACCTCAAACAGATTCCGGAGGCAATTGAGGCTGAGCCTCTTCAAACGCCTATGTGTACATGCGCATGTACATGCATGTGTTCAGCTAGCATTGAGCCTTAGAATCCTCCGAATCCGCCCAACCTGCAACCAATCCTTGTCGGCCTCACTAGCAACACAATTTATTGGCTGATTTAGGCGACTGGCACACCTCCGCATCTTTAATCGTGGCTATGTCCACATGAATGTGTCTCATGTGGCCCGTCTGTGTATTGCCAACTTCAAGTAATTTCTCTCTACACAACATCAGCGTTGACGTCGCGATCACATATCCGCCAAGAGCAAATGAGTTACTAACTATCCACCAAGTCATCGCTGTATATTCCGCTCGTCTATCGAATCTGAGTGTCGCGCCGTAATATTTTGGGTGGGAAAGTGCCATAATGGCAGAACTCCTTCAATATACCCAGGAATGGCACCAACAACAACAGGATATTCACCCCAGTGACTACATCGAGGAGACTGCCGAACATAATGAGATTGCCGAACTCTCCTCAAGCTTATTGGCACTCTTTAAAGAAGTCGTCCTCGTATTATCGAGGCAAACAGGGATCCCTAGAGATGCTCGGATAAGCATTGAACGCAGCTGCAGTGCTCTGATTCTGTGGTCAGATGGCTTTGGAATCACCCAGGGCCGTCTGAATGACACGTTCAACAAGTCACGCAAACTCCGTTATACAGCTCTCAAGAATTTAGTGCATATTGGACGTGTGCTTATCGAACGTTCGTATCTATCTTTGACTGTACTTTGTTGCAGAGTCGACTGACATAATGTTCGCCGTTGTTTACAGGCTTAGTACCTGCGGTGGATATATCATCAGAAAAATTACAAGCACTGTGTTCCAGTGCCGAGTTAAATATTGAAGCAGCAGCGGGTCTCGTAACTGAAGAATCCTGCCGACAAAGTGATGATTCTTCCAGTGATGCAGCCTCTAATTTCTCAGACGATGATATTTATGAGATTGCAGAGGACCTCAAGACCGATACTCTCGTCCTATCTGGTCTGGATCCTTTGCTGAAGTACCCAATATTCGACGCTCAGCATGAACATATCATCGAAAGCCATGCTCTCTCTACCTGGGGTCCGGAGAAGAGCTATTCCGATAAAATTGGGAACAGATTCCCTCGCGCAGATGTTTCCCTTACACTATATCTCGGTAGAGCTAACTATGAACGCTTTCTGCGGTGCCAAGAAGCAAGAGAATATCAGGAGGAAGAAGAGCCCCTGCCTATGGTCAATCAAGAAGCGGGAACCCATGCAGGGACAATAATCGCCAACACTAAATTCCATGATTCCGGTGTCGGTACATCCATAGGATTGACTATGTCTTACGCAGAAACCACAATGAGTTACAATCACGACGGCCAGTCCGTACGCATTCCACCACTCCCGAAAGAAGCCAAGGCAGGCTCGCCTTTTACTTGCATTGCCTGTGGCCGTACGGTAATCATCACCAACAACTCCGCATGGAAGTAAGAAGCCCAAGCCCGAGAAGCATAATTGTCTAGCTAACCAATTGACTATTAGACAGCATATATACCTTGATCTTCAACCTTACATGTGCTTAGATCTATCATGCCCCTATAGCAGCAGTACCTTTGAAAGTCGCGATAAGTGGATTTCTCACTTGGCGCTAGACCACGAGATGGAGCCCAAATGGGCATCTGCCGAGTGTCCTCTTTGCAGAGAAGAAACAGGCAATGGAAAGATTGCTATTACGAAGCATCTTTCTAAACATCTAGAAGAGGTTTCTCTATCAGCTCTACCCGTTGAAGTCGACTCGGACGCAGAGTCCGAGAATAGCCCCGAGTCCAGCGATGCCGGTTCCTCTCTCAATGAGGGAGTTTTTGGTGGAGCCTTTGGTGGCATTGATGAGAATGGAGAGACACTTTCTGTTGAATTTGAAACAGAGTTGGCCTCCAAGGTCTTTTCCAATCTAGTGGACAAACTCAAGGCCGAAAGGAATCACAATGCCCAATCTGAGGCAAAAGGAGGGGCGTTGCAAAAGGCTGCTGATATTCTGGCTGCTTCAGAGGCAGAAAATATGGCTGCACAATTGAAGAGGACTCAAGAGAATATTGAAGAAATGTTCAGGAAAAAAGAAGGGACTTCTAAAATGGCAAAACTATTATCTCCGATCAAGTTTACAGATGCCGTTGGTCGAAGGTTTAACTTTCCCGTTCATTTATGCTATACTTGGCAGGTAGGTTCTCTTGCCCCCCACCCCCAACATTCTGCAATCATCTCTCAAGTATAATTCACTGACATTGTTCGAACAGGAAATGGAGGACTTGATAAAGCAGGCATTCTCACAGGTTGACATTTTGGGCCCCCACGTCCAAGCGGGCCACTATGATTTAACTGGACCTGATGGTAAGATTATTCTTTCCTCTGTATGGGAGGAGACGGTTGAGCCGGGTTTGCATATCACGATGACCATGTGGCCACTCGACAAAGCACCACTGGAAGGCCTTGACCCGAAAGAAACTGAACAGCCTCGTGATGAAGGAGGAAATAGAGACAAGGATAACATCTCTTCCAAGGTATGGTTCTCAAGTTCTCGTGGTGGTGCAGAACCTTGTTTTATTTACCAAGTACTAAACATTTCTTAAAACGCACAGCAGCAACAAGGAGCTCAACACTCAGAGAATGTGCAAGGTGCTCGAATCATTCGGATGAGCGGCCAAAACTTCTTCAGCACGGCCAAAGCGTATTTCAAGGACCAACCGGACAAATTCACGAGATTTCGTGTCATTTTGGCTGATATAGCAACAACGGAATGGGTCCCTGAAGCATGGCGACGATCATGCTTCGAATGCAGGATGGTAGAGGTAGGTATATGACTACCTACGTTACAAGTCATTTTCTCATGGAAATTAGGCCAAATGTGATGCCAAAGCTCCTGATCCTTGCACGAGATGCCGCCTCAAGAAGCTTTCCTGCGCTGTTCAATTTGCCGCGGTATCTCGGCAGCATACAATCGTGTAGGTTGCTTTGAGGCAGTCACTAACATGAAGTTTTTTCATACACTGCTAACATATTTGCTACTAGCAATGGCGACCAAATACGTCAGGGTATCATTAATATTGGCCGTCTATGCGAGGGGTATCCTTCCTTTATGCACGAGCTCAACAGTGTAATGCCGACGGGATATCGGGTCGAACTTCTAGATGCGTCAACAGTGCGATATTTTACGCCAGATAACGAATCAACCATTCTCCAAGTGGGCATGTCAAGAGATTCTACCACGGACCTTGGCAACCAGTCTGGTCTTGACGTGGGACCCAATCAGCAGGGCAATAGTATGTCAGGGGCTCCCAGTAGTTCTACGCTTGCAAAGCAGGACAGCCCTAAAGCTGCTATAAAGCAGCAAGATGAAACATGTAGCCAGCAATCTCTCCAACAGCATGGACAGAATGTGATGAACGCTGACCCGAAGACTATCTTAGCTCACTATTTCGTTCAGCCAGAAGAGCCCAATTGGACTTCTACTCACCTAGTTGTTGATACAAAGAACACGCTAGAGCTGACTAAAGCCACTAGAAGCCTCGTGGAGAAAATCAAAGTAAGTTAGGCTGCTTTAGATGACACGATGTGAATCTATATACTGACCTAATATTGCCAGCAACGTTTCATTGGCAGCCCTCACATGTCCATGCAACTTCTCGAGATTCTTCAAGATACGCAGAATAGCATTCGTTCTACAGAAACAGTTTATATGGTAGCCCAAGAACTGCTTGGCCAGGATCCGAATCTAATGGACGAATTCCAACTCCTTACAGGAAAAGGGGGGCTCAAACTTGAAGACGTCATGCAAAGAGTCCAAGGTGTATCAAAGGATAACACCGAAGCCCCCGGAGAACCCTCTAAACAGGACCACGATGCTATTGTCAAGCTGCTTCTTGACAAGGAAGCTGATATAGACGTAAAGTATAACACCGAAGCCCCCGGAGAACCCTCTAAACAAGACCACGAGGCTATTGTCAAGCTGTTGCTTGACAAGGGAGCTGATATAGACGTAAAGGACAATTCAGCTGGCCAGACACTCTTGTCAATGGCTGCTAAACATGGACATGAAGCGCTTGTTAAACTCCTCCTTGAGAGAGCCGACCTTAAGACACCTGCTCAGACACCCTTGTTATTCGCCGCTAAATATGGATCTGAGGAGCTTGTTAAACTCCTAGTTGAGAAAGCCGACACTGAGATGGGAGGTGTCACGTTTAGCCAGGCGTCTCCAACGTTGGCAACAAAAGAAGGACATGATGCTCCTATCATTAAAGGAGACGAGGCTCAGATGCAGGATCCGGATTCTTCCAACCATTCCCTACTATATCATCAATTATTCCCCACTTCCAGGACCAACCCATCATTGCAGAACGATCAACAAAATTACCAAGCAAGCGAAGGCGCCGATGACCAGGATATGTTAGAAGGGGAAACCACCGTGGAAGATTATTTGCGAATTCACCGCCGCGCAAATGGTGATTTCCAAGAGATATTACGAATCATCGAGGAGGAAGGGCTCCAAGAAAAGCTCGAATACTGGGTTGAGGTTACTAGGCGATCAATAGGGACAATTGCTGACCATAACAGGGCAGGCAAAGCTGCAAGTGAGCCTATTGCAAAGGTAGGGGCGACAGTGGGTAAAAAAAGCAGTCTCAACGATCCAAATGAACCGAAATACTGCCTCTGTAATAAAGGGAGTGTTGGTATCATGATCCGATGCGATAACGTTGACGTAAGTCCAAATTCAGTCCTTCCTGCTTTGAGATATATCTTCAATGATGTCTTAAATCGAAGAATCGCCACACTAACAACCGGTCAGAGTTGCAAATATAAATGGTTCCATTTGGAATGTGTCGGCCTTACTGTTGCTCCTTCATCAAAGGATAAATGGTATTGTACTGATTGTCGTGGCGATGTCAATATCGGAAAGAAAGCAAATATTGATCCACAAGCGCTTCCACCCGATTCAGGCAACCCCGAATTTGTGATGGACACTGAAGTATATACTTTTGCCCTCTACGAGATGCCTGGTGACATTCCCAGCAGTACAATTTGCTAATCAAGTCAATAGGTGTCAACCGGAGAAGGCAGTAAGTCTCCACCTTACATAGCAGAATTCTCTAATATTTCTACAAGGATAGGGGTAAACGAAGAAACAAAATAATTCACTTATTAATATTTCTCTTCTCTTAGGTGCAGATATTCTCTTCGGTACACAAGCCAATCTTGCTTATTTAGAGGGGCTTGCCAAGTTTCATAAGCAGCAAGGGAATAACTTGGATCGTTTGCCATATGTCGATAAAAAGCCCGTCGACCTTTATCGCCTAAGGAATCTAGTTGAATCCAGAGGCGGATTTGACAAGGTGTGCAAGTCAAAGGAGTGGGCCGAGATTGCGAAAGATCTTGGCTACAGCGGCAGGATCATGTCGTCCTTGTCCACGTCGCTCAAGAATACGTTCTTGCGATGGCTCTCCCCGTACGAAGAGTATCTGTGTGCGGCAAAGCCTGGAGTTGAGCACCAACTTGAACAAGAGCACGTCGATCCTAGAAACAAGGGGAAAATACCCTCAATTGGTAGGATCAACTATGCCTCTCCTAATCCAGACATTTAAATTTGGCCATCCGATTCGAATGTTTCTGGTGAGGATGAAAGCGAACCGGCCAGGCCCCCGACCGCTCCACCACCTTTGCCGCCGCCAGTCATGGAAGCAACTGACCCTTTTACCGATCGTGTGAAAAGCAGCACTGGTGAGCATTATATAACTAGTATAGCGTTTATACACTGATATCTTGATATTAACACAACTTGAATATAGATCCTGAATTGTCATCACCCTTCAGCGATAAGCGGGGGTTATTTGACGGGGAATATCCCGGCCATGAGCCATTTCTGGCTCGTCCCAGACCCGACATCTATACCAAGCAATTGCCACCTATCTCCGGTGTTTCAGATGGCGGCGACTCGGCCGAAGGTGGCAACTCCGAGAATTTCGTCCTTTCACCAAACCCGTTCCTTCGCGCATTTGGCCCAGGAGACGTAACCCTGCCATGCGAAGCAGAGCCCCCGGAAAGGAGACTCTGCTTTCAACGCTTCGTAGACAACGAGTCGCGAGATAGGCATTACTTATCGTCTCACAGAGAGTTCGCAAAAGAGCAAGGTATCCAATACCTAGCGCGTGCGTGTACAATCTGTGATGCGAAATTTCATAGGCGAGACAACCTCAAAAGACACATTGAAGACCACCATTCCATTCATAAGGAGCATGGGGCAGCCGGCCTAGAATTGACAGACCTCGATAACGAGGATTTTGCGAATGTTGGGACCGATACTGTTAATGACGTGGCAGCAGGGGGTCGTAGCTCTCGCGACGAAAGGGATCGAGGGTTCTTCAATACCAAACTAGGAGCGCAGGTCGCCCAGGAATCCGATGTGCAAGACAGAAACATCTCACCAAATGATGAGTACATGCAGGCACAAGCTCAAGCGCGAGCTCATGGCCGGGGCCAATCCTTGGCAAATTACAATGATGACTTCACTATCAAGGTCTCCGGCCGGGCGGTCGTCAAGATTCCTGGCACCCAGATCGAGTACGACGGGGGCGAGATTACCATTAGCACCAACTCCGAAGCCGGGGCCAGACCTGGCTCGGGAATGCCTGGCGCTTCTCGTGCTGTCAATGACAAGGAAAGCACCGCCTACCAGGCACAAGCTCAGGTTCAGGCTCAGGCCCAACATCAGGCACAAGAACCTCAGCAAGCACATAGCAATGCTACCTTACGGGTGCAAATGCAGGCCCATGCTAGCCTTGTCTACAATCGCCTGATGGAAGTGGCAGCAGATCAATTTAGCGGCCCTGAAAACGTACCACAGGAAACGGTGGATAAAATTAAGCAGGAATCTTATGCGCAAACCCAACGATTAGCAAAAGACTTAGTTCAGCAGAGAGCTCAGCAGCAACAGCAACGGGAGCAGAAGGCGGCAATGCAGGCCATGGACGGGATAGAAGTGGCGCGGAGCGAAAAGGAAGGGAGTATCCAAGGGAACAAAGGCGCTACGCAACTCAAAGACGTTTCATCACCTCCTCTAGAATCGTTAGCCCCGGTGATTGGATCTACGCTAAACCGGCCTCACAACGACATTTCAAGTCTTAAAATAGAGCAGGAAAAAGCCGAAGATGACTTAGACCCCTTCGCCGAGTACTTTGACGAACTTGAAGATGAAATCCTAGAGGATGAGAATAAGATGCAAGAGAGAGAGAGAAGGTGGGTGGACATTATCAAATTGTGGGAGAATAACGAGCCGCCCTTCCACCTCAAATCATAGGAGGCAGACATTGAGTTTTCTAATTTCCATGAGCTGAACGAAGATGAGTAGTATATGTAACATAGCTCGGAAGAAAAGGGAACGTTGTGAATAACGTATTGCTGCTATTATCATCTCAGCTACAGTATGATGATGCTGTGTGACGCAGAAAAGTGACGTGGAAGTCTTCCTCACAATATCTTATTTGTTTACGACTTGATCGGCATGATGTATATACATATTTGTATCCTGAATCACACCAACGCCTACCAAAACAATAGTGGTAGAACCAACTTCAACTCTGATGTGTTGAAGTCATATGTATTGGAGGAGTGCCCAAGCTTCCCCAGCTTGTTTAGAGCATCCGATGATTCCAAACCTTATCCTCGGTTATGGGGATTCTCTTGACAGCAGTATTTTCGTCGAGCGAAAAACTCGTAGTGGAACCAAGAGATAGGATCAATTGATGTCAATATTATCGTCTTCTGTCGTTGAATCTCGATGCAAACTGATAAGCAAATCCCGATTGCCGAGTGCTCGCTTAGAAACGTGGCTGCGGAGATGCAAGCTCATGCGGATCTACAAACTCAATTGATAAGAAGCTTCAATTGATTCCATCTCGATGCTCGCTTCCCTTGCAATTGCGCAAAACTATTGGTGTTTGTCGTCGAAGCCATGCTCTGAGTCAGGGTCCAAATGACGTCAGGGCTCCAGAGTTACGTCCGAGATGAGTCCGGCCTCAAGGGTCTTGTTATCGCGAGGAGTTCAACGGTTGACTTCAATTGACGATCTTGTACATGAGATAATTCAAATCTCGATGTCAGTAAAATGGTGTAAGTCAATGGTGAATTATCATGAACATCTGGTAATTGTGAGTTAATTGAGTCGCGAGAAATGAGAAATGCATTGAGATCCAAGGTCAGTATGTAACCGTAGCATCTAGCTAGATAAATGAAGTGGTGTACCCGGATCATTTCACATCTAGATAACAAAGGTCAGATGGTACATGTAATCTAGAAATGACACACACCATCAAGGGTTATATCTCCGGCACTGCTTCTCCATCTGCAAAAAGAATCGAGTAGGTTCCATCCAACTGCCGCGACCATTCCCTCATCTTATATGTTCCACGAACAAGGCCACTGTTTGCTACTTGCGGTATAGCCTCCCTTCTACGCTGATCTAGATCCAAATTGCCGAACCCCCGTTAGGCTTGATCCAGCATCGCGTTCAACAACAGCAACTCTTTACGCTGTGGATCTCGCTGAGCATTGACCTTTCCGGGCTTAGTTCTCTCGTTTCCGGGCTTAGTTCTCTTCGGCTGTTGCGTTTTGCGTGCCGCTGCCAATGTGTAAGCGGCGTGGCAACATTTACTGCTTTTGAACAAACGTCTGCTTCGGTATTCGGATAGCGGCTCTAGTTACCCATTTTCAAGGGTTGTGACGTTTGGTGCTATTCCCGCTGCGTTAGTAATGGCATATGGGCGGCTAAACTTTCACTCTGATTCCATATCAGTGGATCAAAACGACATCTCCGGATTGTATGTTTGTAAGATAGAGAATATAGAATATATAAGAGTAGTTACCCTCTAGTCTCTGTAAAAAGTTTCCAATTGAGTGTCGAGTATCTTTGGCTTCTCCTTGAAGAACAATTTCTTTGAGAACAATACCCTAATTCATTGGGAATTGAAGCCGAAGCCTTCACAACAATGGAAGCTTACCGCCAGTATACCTCATTGGGCAAACGCCTAGAAGCCCAGCTCCATCGAACTCGAGGAGCAAACAACACTACTGCTACACCAACACCGAACGAACCCCCAGCGGATATCGATTTGGAGGCAACTTCTTCCAGCTCAACTGATATCGAGGACAATGAAGCGCAACTCGACAGGCCGCTCAGCAAAATCGGCACAAACCTTGCTGCAGCGCTTACAGGAATCTCACACAGAGACCATCCCAGCTCAAGTGACACCAAAGTTTTCGTTGTCGGCTTCGAAGGCCCCAATGATCCCCTGAATCCGAGGAACTGGTCTCTTATCAAAAGAGTATTTTGCACTCTAAATGTCGGTATTATCGCACTCGTGGTGGGTATGGCGGCATCTATCGACTCGGCAGTCATCTCTCGGGCAGCACAAGAATTCGGTGTCAGCGAAGTTGCTGAGGCTCTTGCAACAGGATTGGTAAGTTGTCATAACAAGATTCTAACTTGAATTGCAGATTTTGCTGACACTTGTGTTTAATCAGTTCCTTGCCGGTTTTGGCTTCGGCGCTCTTATCGCTGGCCCCATGTCGGAAACGGTCGGCCGCAATCCCGTCTATTTCGGCTCCTTGGCGATTTATATGCTCTTCATTATGGGAGCCGGATTGTCGAAGAACTTGGGAGGACAATTAGTTTGTCGTTTCTTTGCTGGTTTCTTTGGAGAGTCACCTTTGTCGACTGTTGGCGGATCCATCAGCGACCTGTGGGATCCCATGAACCGCTTGATTGCGTTTCCGATATTCGCTAGTAAGTAAACATTCTTCTTGATATAAGTTGAAATGATCGGAACTAACAATTGACATAGCTGCTGGACTAATGGGACCTATCATGGGACCTATCGTTGGTGGTTGGATCTCTCAAGCGCACGACGTATCGTGGCGCTGGACCGAATGGGTCACCCTCATCGTATCTGGAGCGCTTCTCATCTCACTGCTCCTTTTCCAACCCGAAACTTATGAGCCAATCCTGCTTCAGTGGAAAGCGAGCCATCTGCGTCGATTGACAGGAGATAAGCGCTACGTGTCTGCAGCAGAAATCCAGCATGTGACATTTAGTGCTCGGATGTTGACTGCTGTGAAGCGGCCGTTTATCATGACTATCCGGGAACCAACCATTATGCTATGGACAGGATATTTGACTGTCGTCTACCTGATGCTATTCGGATTCCTGGATGGCTACACATTCGTCTTTCAGAAGACGTATAACCTCTCTGACGGAATCACCGGCATACTATTCATCGGCATCGGTGTTGGCCTCGTTTTATCTTCAGCAACCCTTACACCTTTACTATGCAGATGGGCCAAGCAGGAATTCGCAAAGCTACAAGCCGAGAAGCCCGGAGAAAATGCCCGCATCCCACCCGAATTCTTCCTTTGGTACGCTCTCATCGGCGCACCAGCCATCCCCATCTCCTTTTTCTGGATGGGCTGGACTGCATACCCCCATATAAGCATCTGGTCGCCCATCTTAGCTTCCGTGCTTTTTGGCTTCGGCATCTTCTCCGTCTTTGTTTCAACATACATGTATCTCATCGATACGTACGAGGTTTACGCTGCTAGCGCACTGACGATGATTACGCTGGTGCGATATGTCGCTTCGGGAGGGATGATTGAGATATCGATTCCCATGTATAAGAACCTGGGCATTCATTGGGCTCTGACCATGTTGGGTCTCATTGCACTCGTGTTTACGACGGTGCCCTACGCTTTTTACAGATTTGGCCCCTGGATTCGGTCAAAGAGTCGGTTTGCAAAGACACAATAAGCGCGAAAAAAAAAAGAGTGAAAGAAAAGATTATGAGAGAGAAAAGTGATTGAAGAAAAACATGGTCGTGAGGACGAGATTGTTACTTCAATGTTTGTGGATACGAATAATTTAGAAGACTACAGGTATTGGTTTCATATATCATGCTGTAGCCACACATAGAAAAACTAGACTGATGATTTATGAAAATAGCATAATTTACTACATACTGCCACTATCTTGCAGGATATGATATATTCATAGTAAAATCCTTGTGTAAGTGTGTGCTAGACATACTCACACGACAGACAGCTAGGTCCTAGATCTATAAAAAATGACAGTGCTTCACAATGCCAATAGTGTTCAGATAGTCGTTAGACAGTCGAGATGACGGCTAGTCTTTTCTTCAACTTCAACCTTGTTCGTCTCTAGTCATAAGTTTCCTCGTACTCCTCCTCGTACTCTTCCCTAGCCTCTGCCAACTCTTCGTAGTCGCTGCTGCTTGCACTTGAAGAACCCTCAACCTCTGCAAGGGCCTCCTCGTATTCTTCACGTGCTTCTTGAACAGACTCTCGATCGCTTTCAGACACATAATTACCCTCTGCATCTCTTGAAGGGAGGATGCCCGGCACACCAGTCTCTTCGTAGGGATCGTTATAGTCGTTGTAGTTCGTAGTGTTGTACTCGTTGACAATGATTGTCTGTGATGGTGCCTGTTCATATTCGTAGCGTCTTTCTTCTTCACGTCTCTCTTCTTCGCGTCTCTCCTCTTCTTCGTCGCTGCTGCTATCTTCCAGGGCGTGATGCAGAAGGGCACCACCTACAAGACCGGCGGCAACACCACCGGCGGCACCAAGAAGCAAGCCACCCTTTCCAGACGACTTCTTCTTCTTCTCTTCGCTGTAGCCCTCACCGCGGCCCTCACCACCATAGCTACCATGGCTGCTATGGCCATACTCTCCTGCCGGAGCCCCGTAGCCGGCAGGAGGCAGGGGTGGTGCACCGTAAGAGGCGGAGGGGGGAGGTCCTGGAGGAGGAGCTCCGTAGCCTCCAGGCGTGGGACCGTAGGGTGCTGCTGGGGGATAGGGCGAAGGGCCGCTGCCTCGTGATTCCTCGCTCGGGTAGCTCTCCATGGGAGGTCGTGGAGGAGCAATGTAGCCTGGAGCCTCCCACTGGGTGGCTCCGGTCTCCTTGTTGGCATAGTACCATCGCTGGCGGCTCTGGTCAAAGAGAGGAATCCATCCTTGGGGAATAGCCGGCTTGTCAGAGGGAGGCTGATAAGTTGGCATAGGAGGAGAGGCGTGGTATTGCGCAGGAGGGCCTCCATCTTGGTTGGCCGAATGGTAGCCATATCCGCCCTGCTCTCCTGATCCTGGAGCTGCAGTCAGACAAAGTTCCCACGAGAGTGAAGATTTTTGGGGGGGCATGGAACTTACCGGGGGGAGGAGGGGACTGGTAGGGCTGAGAGCCTCCAATTCCGAGGCTGCCAAACTGGCCCGAGAGGTTATCAACGTATGACATGGTGGGAGTCAAATGGCGCAGATGCGGCGGCCAACGCTGTGTTTGTCAGAGGAATGGAATTAAGTTGAGCTGGTGAAAAAGACGTCAAGTCACAAGACGCTGGGCATATATATGCGTTGATTGCTGGAGGGAGCCAACAAACAGGCCTCGCAAGATGATGCAGAAGAAGATGGTGGAAGTTTGGATGTCAAGTTATCAAAGGGCTTGGCTGCAGCGATCATGCATAGATGGGGCCTGCAGACGGCACGAGGCGCAGACAAAGCGGGTGATTTCAGGGGGGTGATTCAGTGCATGGCCGCCCGCCGTAATCACCTATTGATCCGTGACCTCTCCATATTGGTTACTTGTACTTGTACCATGAAAGAGGATCAATCACACTGGCAGTACAAACAAAGGGACTTTGAACGAGTAATACCGGCCGATGAATGTGGCTTGCTTTGTTGCTTTGTCCAATCAGTCACACGGGCCGTACCGAAGGCGCCATTTTCTGGCTGTTTCGAGGCATGACCTCCGTTGGTTGACCAGGGCGATGAAGTACTAATGGGTTCAGATGGAACTGACAGTTGAACTAGCAGCAGTCAAAATGCTTGGCTACATAACGTACCCAGTAAAATATAGACAGCTCAGCGCAGTTATAGGTGGCTAAGGGGACATGGAGAAAACAGATGGGGATTTCGCAGGTGAAGGTCGGAGTTGAGGGCAGTCTGTGATTGCCGGTGGCGGGGCATGGAGGGGTTGCCGAGGGGCATTTTCTGTAGGGGTCCATAGACGTTTGTCACAGATAATGTACAGTGAGGTTACAGTGAAGGTGATGAAAGATGTCGCTGTATCTGGATCGATATCAGAAGATGACTGACTGAATACAGTATTGGAGGCCCCTTCGAGCCATATATTTGCTCCATACAAGACATTCATCAACGTGGAACATGAACATTGCCAAGACCACTTCTGTCAAACAAGTTGCATGTGTGAGAGAGTATGTACCTGTTCAACTGTTTGACGCCCAGCAACATTGAACATGGAACTCTTGCACTGCCACAGTTCGCTGCAAGTGTGGAGATGCAGCCGCTAATCTGAGCGCCAAACGGGCAGCTCCCCCGCCTAGCCACGATGCAGCTACAGGCAGCTCTAGCGCCCTGTGGCCCGCCAAGCCGGACTCCGAATGGCGCAGTTGGCGGCATGGACAGGCTGACCGCAGGGCTCTTGTCTTGGCTGCGTGATTACATACTCGCGGCGACTATCCTATCCCAAGCTGACTGTCGATTATTAGTCCAGCCTCTCAAGCTACATCTCTTTGTTCCCTTCAACAACCAGACAAGACAGACATCGCCACCAGCTGCTACGGGCAGCGCTGTCGGATCTCGTCTTTTACTCTCTTTCCTTCCCCCTCCGCTCCTCTCTCTCCTACTCTTCCCACCTACTCGCTCTCGATCGATTCGATCAACTACAGACAGCCATGTCCGGATACCCTGGCCAAGGCTACCACGGCTCTAGCCAGCACGGCGGAGGAGGATACGGATATGATAACAACAACTATCCTCCTCCCAACGGCCCGCCTCAACCTCAATACGGCGGAGGCTACGGCGGCGGCGGAGGTGGTGGTTATGGCGCACCTCAAGGATACAACTCCCCTCCTCCGCCTCAACCTCAGTACGGCGCTCCTCCAGGCGGCTACGGATCTCCAGCTCCCCCCCATGGAGGTTATGGCCCTCCTCAGCCTCAATACGGCGGTCCTCCTCCTCACGGCGGTTACGGCTCTCATCAGCCCCCGCCTCAGCACGGAGGATATGGACCACCTCAGCCTCAATACGGCGACCACCAGAACCAATATCCTCCTCCCGGAGGTCCTCCCCCGAACCACTACGCACCTCCTGCGCACCATCCTCCTCCGGGTCTAGATGCCTACGGCTATCCCCTCAACCCTCCGACTGCCATGCACGCAAAGGCCGGCCCCCCGCCTCCCTCGGCCCCTCAGCAGTTTGGTCACGGTGCTCCGGGCGGCTACACCTTCCAGTACTCCAACTGCACAGGAAAGCGAAAGGCACTGTTGATTGGAATCAACTATTTTGGCACAAAGGCCGAGCTCAAGGGATGCATCAACGATGTCCACAACGTGTCGGCATTCTTGGTTGAGCGATATGGCTATAAGCGCGAGGACATGGTCATTCTGACAGATGACCAAAGCAACCCTGTCATGCGCCCAACCAAGGCCAACATCGTCCGTGCCATGGGCTGGCTTGTTAATGGCGCGCAGCCCAACGATGCCTTGTTCCTTCACTATTCTGGTAAGTAGGATGCCTGTCTCGAGGGGGATTATCAGGATGCTAACCAAGTTTGTTTCTAGGCCACGGCGGCCAAACCGAGGACAAGGACGGCGACGAAGACGACGGCTACGACGAAGTTATATACCCCGTGGACTTTGAACAAGCTGGACATCTTGTAGATGATGAGATCCATTTCCATGTTGTCAAGCCTCTGCAGCAGGGAGTGCGCCTCACAGCCATCTTCGATTCATGTCACTCGGCAACCGTCATGGACTTGCCCTATGTCTACTCCACCAAGGGTGTCCTCAAGGAGCCCAATTTGGCCAAGGAAGCTGGTCAGGGCCTCTTGGGCGCCATCTCCTCCTATGCTTCGGGCGATATGGCCGGCGTTACGAGTAGCATCATGGGCTTCGCTAAGCAGGCATTCGGCGGTGACGGGGCTTACAAGAAGACTGTGGCTACACGCACATCGGCAGCAGACGTCATTATGTGGTCTGGCAGCAAAGATGACCAAACTTCGTATGTGCTTTGGCATGTTTTGTTGCGATTTTCAGATACTAACAGAAATTCACAGTGCCGACGCCACGATTGGAACGCAAGCTACTGGTGCCATGTCGTGGGCTTTCATTTCCGCTCTGAAGAAGAATCCCAAGCAGAGCTATGTCGAGCTGCTCAACAGTATCCGAGAAGTTCTCGAGACCAAGTATACTCAGAAGCCACAGCTATCTTGCAGTCACCCCCTAGGTATGTCCTTTATTCGAATTCGATTATCACGACTGTGTTCTAATACGATACCACAGATACCAATCTTCTATTTGTCATGTAAACCTAACAAAAAGAATGATATCATTGAATACAAACTTGTGCATCATGTGAAACCCCGTACTAGATGTGTGTAAAAACGGCTCCAACACTAGGTCTGCTTCTTCTTGGATACCCAACTTTTGACCACTCTATTGCTCCTTGGCCAAAACTCGATGTTGATTGTTTTCCCCTGTCGATTCACGACAAGGCGAAATTTGTCTTCGTAGTGTGTCCCACAATATTCTTCTCTCGAGTGCCATAGAATTTCGTCTCCATTCATCAATCCAGCTTTCGCCGCCTCGGAATGCTCAACCACCCCGCTCACGATCTCAGATGCGAGACTTGATTGGTCAAACCCCATATCCAACACTCGTTGTTCATCTGGTTGAATACCATCAAAAGCCGTCTTCATATCCTCCAAGTCCATGATTTCACCGCTTGTCATTCGGTAAAAGTGCTGCTCTGCAGCCTCTTCGCCAATCCAATCCCCCAGATACTTTAACCAGTCTTTCCTCTGAACTCTTTCGCCACGACGTCGACGGCTGCTGATATCAGCCACAATTTCGTCGATTGGCCTAAGGACACCCGTGTTGCGAGCGACTGAGGCGCGACGAGTGAAGCAGTCCATGCGAATCATGTAGATGCAGCTGCGCATTGCAATGGCTGCCTTTCCATACCATGAATCTGGTGGAATCTTGTCCATTGGGTAAGATACAAAGGGATTCGTAAAGTACGACGAGAGGTAGCCGTTGAGGGTGGCGCGGAAGTAGTCTGGAGGACGTTGGCCGAAGCGAAATGGGAGATAGATTGTATAGATGTGAGATAGTCCTGTGGTTTGTTGTTAGTAGATGCTGCTGGAAGGAAAAGGGGGTGAGCCTGACCTTGAGTGAACCAATCGTTTGGTGTGCCATCGTCTTCGAGATCTAGATGGACCCATGTAGCTATCAAGGAGGAGTTGAAGAGCCGTACTAAATCCCAGTCATTCTCGTCTTTGGTATCGTCGTCATAATCGATGAGAATCTCGCTTGCTACTTGAGTTGCTCGAAGGCCTCTGGGGACTTTACGTATAAAGATTTGGCGAGTAGCACTCTCATCTTTGAAGAAAGCGCAAAGACGAGGAACCATATTGCTAGTAAATTCTTTCATAGCTTCGAGATTGTTCGGTAATGTGTCTATCCAATGGATTCCACGAAGCCCTCCTCTGGTCCCATCTTCATCGCGAGCAGGCGTTGGTATATAACTGCTGACTTTGCCTGTCATGAAGACACATTCAGAAAACTCTTTGAGAGATGTTGCTCTTCGGAAAATGTTTCCTTCTCCAAAACTGCTCAGCGATCTGGTTTCTTGAGGTGATGACGAGAGATCCCACTCAATCGTCACATCTACCGCGGCAGCTTCTTTGACGGCAGGGATGGGTATGAACGATGAGGCTATACCAATAAAGCCTTTCTCAGTTCTCGCATAAATCTGAGTCTCGAGACTAGAAGAAACTACATCTTGTAGAATCGGTACAGCGTCGTATTGGATCCTAAGATCTCCTTGTACAGGTCGATCTGTTTTCCACGCCAGAAACGGATTCTCGAAAAGTTCATACTCGACAGAGATGGTGAGTGGCCCAAGGTCATCATATGCCTCAATGTTACCAAATGTATTTTCAACATCTCCAACAATGGTTTGAAAGTAATGAGTTTCGTCCAATTGGCTGCCTCCCTGGAGGCCTCTGTTGAGGCCTCCGATGGTCAACTTGACGGCTATGCAAGCGAGTTTCGTACGGGAGCTGTCATATATCGGCATGAGATTCATGCTTAATTGAAGATTGCGCCTATCAGACATGATGATCCAATTTAAAGAGGTTTCGGACGAGTTGCAATAGAGGTGAGTGAAAGACGAGGAGTGTGTTGAGTAGAAAGGATTGGGGTTGAAGCTAGGCTACATGTGTAATTCGCCGTGATTTTATATGCATGCATTAGTGCGTGGATGCCTAGTATAGGAGGAATATTTATTCACTACTTCCATTAATATTAACAACGCACATCCTAGAGTATGAATGAAGCAGAGAGGAAAGCGGTTGACTACATGTATTAACCCGGTCAAACTTCTATTTGAGGTAGTAGCTATCCGGTTCCCCAGGGACTGCATGAAATTTGGGCATTGGAACTGAAAACCTGGAAGCTGTTTATTTACTCTTACAAGCATTTACCTAATTAATAAATCCCTGGTTCTTTAAGTATCTCCTATTATATCTACATTTCTCTAGTGACTGCTACTATACCTATATTTCTTTAGTAACTGGTAGTAGATCTATAATTTTCTAGCAACTGCTACTGGATCTATACTTTCTAGCAACTACTACTATATCTATATTTCTCTAGTAGCTGCTAGTATACTTATATATTTCTAGTATTTACTATACTCGACACCTGCTGAACATAGGAACATGTTTATAGTAAAGGGCAAAGTCTGTGTACTAGGTATTAAGTACGTTGCTAACTACATACCTACTGACTTAACTGAACAACCATTACCATTATATACCCATGATACAGGTATGATTCATGAGTCCAAAATGCGCCATGTGTTTTCGAAATTTGTAAGTCGAACCCCGTAACGTGCAACTCTTGAAAGATACTACTGACCTTTAATCAGTGTCTTGCGCCATGTTTCTTATCGTGCGCGATGCTGAGAGAGTGCTCGAATTCGTTCTCCAGACCTCCGTTGCTGCTGATTTTTGGATCTAAACTCTTGGCTAAGGTTGGGAATGATTCTTTCAGCTTGGTGAATATATCTTGAATCTCCGGATGGGTGGGAACCAGGCTCGGTTCCAGACTCAGATTCGGTGGTGATTTCTCCATCTCCAGATTTTCCATCTCCAGATTCTCCATCTCCAGATTCTCCATCTCCAGATTCTCCATCTCCAGATTCTCCATCTCCAGATTCTCCAACTTCGGATGAGTTGCCATATCCCGAATCACCCAGATTAGAATCGGACTCGCTGTCGGCGCTGGGCCCAGAAGCCAGTCTACCAGTCTCATTATCGTCAGATGCGGTAGATCCATGCCCGTCATCAGAACTCGAGGAAGATTCAGACGAGTCATCATAGTCCGTCATCTCAACATCATCACCTAGAGTACCTAGGTAGTAAACATTCATCAGCAAGGTAGTACTATAATTATATTTGTTTTAGTACTTGTCTTTTACGGCACGGGATGCTGGGTATTAAAATTGAATTGTTAAATAGGCGTTCCATTTTCTAAGATCTAATACTACAAGAACAAAGACATAGAGGTACATATAAGGAAAACCAGATGCAAGTTTGAAAACAATGAAGACGTCGTTATTCGTTGTCATAAAACATGAGTATAGTAGTAGTACACTGTTAGACAAAAAACAGACAATTTGATGAAAGAATAAGAATAAAAAGTGGAAAAAATGAAAACACCAAGAAAGGGTATCACCACAAAATGAAAAAAAATTGTGTGAAAGCAAATGTACCCAATCTCAACCTTTACTGATCAACTTTGCCCCTTATTCTCGAACAATTATAAGCATGCCCGAGAATCTCGTCCTCCGCTCTAGGACCCGCGGGAAAGCCACAGTGACACCGAAATTTCTCCCGGCTCTCCTTGCACCTTTTCACCTGCTGTTTGAGGTGCTGCATAAGCCCGTACTGTGAAAAGCCCTTTCCACAGCGGCACTTGATATTCTGGTGTGGGTGGGCTTTTGAGGATCTCATGTGAGTATTGAGCGCGGACCTTTTGGCGAACCTCGCTCCGCATTCTGGGGCTGGGCAGATATGTGGTCTGCCGCTGCCGTCGGTAGGAGGGATGTTGCTGATGCTGGTGCCAGAGATAGGGTTGGGGGTGGTGGCGGGAGCAGGGTTGAAAGAAGTGGCGAGAGCAGGGGCGAGAGTAGTGACCGGAGCGGAGATGAAAGAAGTGGTCAGAGCAGGGACGAAAGGAGTGACCGGAGCAGGAACGAGAGGAGCAGCGGGAAGAGCCATGAAAGGAGTAGCGGGAGCAGGGACCAAAGGAGGGGCGGGAGCAGGGACGAATGCGGCAGCCAGGAACTCATCGATATCAAAGTACTCATCGATATCGAACTCCACCACTTGGTTAGGTGGTGCCACAGCCTCGGGAAGTTGATTTCCCTCAACAATGCCAGAAGTCTGGTCATTCAAGTTGTTGGGGACATCAACTTCAGGAAGGGACCCATCTGGGTTCCGGTTGTTAAACTCCACGAGTGGTTTTAAAAACTCTTCCCAGTTAATCTCCGATGGCATGGTTGTGGAGTCCTCTGAAGCCATGATTACCAAAGCAGAATTGTCGTGGCTTGAATAGGGGTAAGTGGGAAGTGCCAGGAATAACCAAGGAGAGTGTGGCTGTGTGAAGTGAAGAGAGTCGGAAGGTGATATGGTTGTGTGAAGTGAAGAGGGTTGAAGCTGATATATGATTGTGTGAAGTGAAGAGTGTTGAGGCTGATATGTGATTGTGGGAGAAGGTGGTATCAAATTGATTGTGAATCTGGAGCTTGTGTGTGTGATATGGGAGGAAATTTTGGAAAGAGGATTCAGGGGGGGAAGGCACCCTTATATGGGATTTGGAAAGAGGAGAGATAAGCTCGAGTGACTGGGCAACGGGCATAGATTTGGTGTAAGTTTACAGAAATATCTGCTCAGTGGAAGATTCCGACAGCAAGAATCAGCCACCGGAGAGATATCGACTGTATAAAGTAGACAATCGAGATCTAGAACATTTTCATTTGATATAAACTTCATAGCAATCGCACAAAGGCGTTGGAAAACAAACATTCTCGGGAGATTTGATCCGCAGGAATCAGCCACTGGAAGAGGCAGACTGCGTAAAGTAAACAATCTAGATCGATATAAACTTCATCTGGTAATAAACTTCATAGCAATCGGACAAAGGCGTTGGAAGACGCTGGGACGACTATGTAAAGTAAACAATCGAGGCCGATATAAACTTCATTTGATATAAACTTCATAGCAATCGGACAAAATGCGGTGTAAAACGCCAGGTAGATACATCTAGACCCTCGAGAGATTCTGGCTGCAAGGATCAGCCAAGTAAGAATCAGACTGCGTAAAAGAAACAATCGAGTCCAATATAGATTCCATCTGATATCAATTTCAAAGCATTCGGGCAAAGACGCTGGAGGACTGCTCGGCAGACTGCGTAAAAGAAACAATCGAATCCGATATAGACTCCATCCGATATAAACTTCATAGCAATCGGACGCTAGACGTTGTAAAACGCCGGACAGATCCACAAACACCCTCGGGAGATTCCGTTGTAGGAGAAGATAACGGCTGAGCGAAACCAAAATATAAACAGAGTGGCTGTCTCCAGGGGAGATAAGCAATGTACCTTTTTCCATAAAGCTGTGACTCTAAGCAGTAAACCTTGAAATTCACAGGAGAGAATACAAATGCTGAGTGGGCAAGTACAATTGACCAGCTAATGCTGCCATTGATAATAGAAGACAGAGATGGGTAGCAAAATTTGATGTATGGTGCCGCTATAAAACGACGTGCCGAGAGCTACCAACACTTGTATATGTATTGTGATCCTACCTAGTAGGCATTGAGAAAACCTGTGGGAAGTAGATACATGGTATTGTCTAAATACATTACATAAAATAGGCGTAGATAAACTTCAAAACAAATAACCGTCACAACTTCGCGTAGGTACTATGTAGCCAGGAGTTATCTACCTAGGATACGTTACTTTTATAATCCAGTGTTATGGTCAAGAACAACATGAAATAAGCGTACATAGGTATAGTAAACTTCAAAACAAATCACCGGCGAAGCTTCACGTAAGGAGTGTGTAGTCCGGGATTATCTAAGATACGATGCTTTTGTACCTCACGGGAGTGGTGTGGTCAAAAACACCCCCCTGAGATGACTCAACGGCACGGTCCGGGGCCCGCATAATTGGGAAAGTATATCTACAACATTTCTCTATCGGGAAATTTTTCAACGGACGCCAAACTCTATATCTACTTCGATTCCTATAACACTCCATGTTTCACAGGCCACAGCGAGGATTATTATAGTTCCAATCAAAAGCGCTCAGAATGCCGTAGAAATGGATTGCACCTCCCAGCACCACAAAAGAATGGAAAATCTGATGAGACGCGCCAAAGATGTCGAATTTCTCCGGTATTCGCGACTCTGGGAAGTGTGTCTGGGACGAACTTAGCAACAGCCACCAAGAGTACTGCTTGTACTAGAGGAACTTACAACGTAAAACACAACGCCCGTCAAAATCGAGACACCCTCGAGATAATAGTACCGTAGGCCGGCTTGTTTATCTAGCTGATCATACGGAAAGATAGTGGCGGCGTGAATAATGGGCGCAAAAGCGGACAATCCCGTACCGACAAAGGCAAACACTCGGAGGTTGCGCCACTTCGGACTCTGAAGCCGGGGACTTACAACAACAATACCGGTCAAAAGTCCCAATGTCCCAATCTGAAAAGCCAAAATGGTCAACAGGCAAATACATCCATCACGTGAAAAATGTACATGGAACATACCATTGTCCAATACAGTTTCTGCAGATTAGGCTCACAGTAAAAGCCTATATAAATCCCCGAGATAAACGACCCCAAGATCTGAAAAACAATGGAAGTATAGTCCAATCTCGCCCAAAGTCCCGACCATGTCTCGGAATGGCAAAGCAGCATATGATACATGGACGAGATTCCATAGCAAATAATTGACGTCGACAAGTATATGTGAAACACCAGCTGGTCTTTCCAAGACGCATCAGGGTAGTGAGAGCTAAAATACACATAAAGAGCGTAATTGCCTACGACGGCAATGCCGGCAGGCACAAGGTGAGTGTATATGTTGAGCGTCTCATTGTGCAAATACCCAAGGCTCTCGAAGCAGAGCTTGGTGGAATACGTGACGGGTCGATAGCCGGTGCGAATGTACGAGTTGTGAGCATACCAAGACGGCACTTCGCCGGCAGTCAGCAGCCGCCGTGTCGTCTTTGAACCATGAACATTCTCGTCTCGGCTGTCGCTGGCGCCATCCAAAGTCTCATTTCTGCCGGTCGGCGACAGGCGTCTATACAGCGCCATATATAACTCGAGTTTATATCCCTGGATATCCGAGAAAACGAGGTCCCGGGACGGAAGAGAGCAGCGTCGCCCAAGTTTAGTGGTGGTGCCGGATATGTTTTAATAAGGCGCAGAAGCAGAGGCCCGAAAAAAAAGAGGAACCGGATTTAGACAGGGTTGACGGGTATAATAAGATCTGCCAATGGCAAGGAAAATTGCGAAAGTAGGAAAAATTGGCGAAAACGTGCATGAAACGAATAGCCTCATGTGAGCTATAAATAGGGCTTGCGACCACAGTTCCCTACGCGAGGAACTTATATGTATTGACTTAGACTTGTCTAAACACCATAGTGGCCGTCTCGCGCGTGTTAGAGACTCCGTCTTTACTCTATGCTGAGCCGCAAATAGTTATCCTATCGGCAAAATTATTAAACGCTATTGGTTCAGCAAGTCCCATTTCATTGTTTCTTGAGACATTTACAAGCATTTGGGAAACCCAGAAGACTAGGGGGTGATGACAGGACAAAAGGTGGTCAGATATTAGGTCGGTTCGACGAGCTTATTATTGGTTGCGCAACCCACACATGGTGGCATCTCGGTGCAAACAGTTGGACCTCATGACCATGTTTTTAACGTTGTCTATTCTTTCGCATAACACTGCCCTGGGAGATCACCTTCGAAAAGGATATTAATAGACGAGGCTCTTCGACGCCAAGAGCAGACCCAAGCTTCCTTACGTGTATATGGCCCGACTTACACGTACGCTCCTCACTTAGCTGGGCAAGTCCAAGTTGAAGCATGTCAATCCTATACTATTTTGCGCAGCTTTTGAGCCCTGGGAATCGGGGCCCTCGGGATGGTGCCAATAATCTCACCGTTCCGCCCGGGCTCTCTCTCATTAGGACTTGATGAGGTTGAAAAGAGCTCTCGGGATAAATGATGTGCAAGTTCCTTTGTAAGTCTCGTTTGAGGGCGCCTCCTCACGGCCTCAGCTCCCATGATATTGAGATTCGAACCCCGATACTGCTTCTGTGACCATGAGCAACAGCACAGATGCTCTACACACGAGAGTCAACGGCTGGAGAGTGTCCCCCGATGGCCGCGGAACCATGGACATACTCTGGACGTGCATCGTCACCACATTCCTCTGCACATACACCATCCTCTGCCTCAACCTGCCCTCGAAACACGATAGCAACGTACGCATACTGGGCCGCAAACTCCTGTGGATGGCCATTTCAATCGCCGGGCCCGAATTCGTTCTCACCGCAGCTGCCGGCCAACTCGCCGCCGCTCGAGACTCCGTCAAGGCATTCCACGCCCTCGGACACACCTCATGGACGTACCGACACGGCTTCTTCGCCAACATGGGCGGATTCGAGCTGCAGCCCCTAAACGGCGCCCCGTTCCGCGTCAACTCGAAGCACATCCTCTGGCTAATGTCCCGCGGCCACATCCAGTACCCTGAAATCTCAGACGAAGAGCTCCTAGACAAGTCCAAGCGGGATACCGTTTCCAAGCTCATCACCTGCTTCCAGGTCGGCTACCTCATCGTGCAATGCATTGCGCGCGGAGTCCAGGGTCTCCCCGTCACGACAATCGAGCTGTCCACCATGGCCATTGTCGTGTGCTCCATCATGACCAGTGTCTGCTGGATCTCCAAGCCTCAAGACGTCCGATATCCCGTGCGAATCGAGATGGCCGAGACCATGGACCAGGTCCTCCGCAGAGCTGGCCCTGTAGCTGCACGGCCGTACCGACAGACTCCCCTCGATTTTGTAGATGACTTGACGCCGAGTTGGGCTCTTAACATCCAGCCCTTCATCAAGCTGCCCGTCGGACCGTTTGAGCGTCCCTTGCCCCGGATTGGCGACAGCAGACTGCCGTGGCTGGAAACACTCGAAAGTCTCTACCTGTGCATCGCCACCATGATCTATGCATCAATTCATCTCACCGGCTGGAATTTCAGGTTCCCTTCAAAAGCCGAGCAGATCCTCTGGAGAGTATCGAGTCTCATCCTGGTCGGCACAACAGCCCTCTTCTGGGTCCTAGAAACAGGCGCAATCTGGCAGCGCTACGGCAGCGGACACAAGCTCTGGAAAAGGATGTTTGGAAGCGAAGACAAGTCAGGCGTCATAGTAACGGTGACGGAGGACGTAGCTGAGCTAGAAGCTGGACGACCACAAGCTGATAGGCCACCCATGCTGGTATCGCAGCAGCCCGTTGAGGAAAAGGAGGAGGAGGCATGGGCGCCGAAACAGCTCCCGCTCGTGTGGGAGTTTTGGACCATCTTCCCGGTCGCCTTTATTTATGCGCTGGCAAGGTTCTACATCCTCGTCGAGCCTATCGTTGGGCTGAGATCCATGGAAGCGGGAGCGTTTCAGACGGTGAACTGGATGGGCTTTTTGCCGCACGCGGGGTAGAAGAAATGCATGTGTAAGTACCGGTATGATCTAGGATTTAGATAAAGGCTGAATACCATCAAGTGCCGGATGGCTTCTCCTCTGATCATCTTAACGCATGAATGCATTGGAGATTGTTGTCATGCAGAGCCCTGTCGTTGTGGTCCTCGTTTAGTAGTACCTAGATGTTAGTCTAGACTCTAGAATTAGTAGATGGATTACACTAATAATCACCAGATAGGAGAATATCGTCCACGCATTCACCGCCATGTTACATCTTCACATTCAGGAGACGCACAGTATGTATAAACCAGTATCTCGTCATATCGTTTCGCGAACATCTCCCAACATGGAGAGCTAAGCAACAAGCAGCTGACCCCATGACAGGGGCGAACCCATGGAGGCGGGAGCGGGCCCACTAACGTTATCAACTCAGCTCTTCAACTCTAAAGCCGGGGGTCTCACAATAGCACATGCACTCACCTCAGCTCTCCGATATCGTACAGTACAGTACAGTAACAAAACCATCTCCAATCTCGACAATCTCGTATTTCACTCGGTATCTTCAATATCCACAATGACGAATACAGAGAATCGTGCATCCGTCCCTGTAAGCTTCCTCGACGGCGGCCTCGGCACATCCCTAGAAGACAATTACAGCATCACCTTCGGCCCATCAACCCCCCTCTGGTCCTCCCACCTCCTAGTCTCCGATCCATCAACCCTGCTGCGCTGCCAAAAAGATTTCGGAGACGTCCCCGTCGACGTCATCCTCACAGCAACATACCAAATCTCTTTGGAAGGTTTCGCAAACACCAAAACTATAGAGTATCCAGATGGCATCGCACCGGAACATGTGCCTCGCTTCCTCGAGACCGCCGTGCAAATCGCAGAGCAGGCGAAACAGCGCAGTTGCGGCGTTGCGCTAAGCATTGGCCCGTACGGCGCTTGCATGGTCCCCAGCCAGGAGTTTAGCGGCAAATACGACACCGCCCACGATTCGGAGGATGATCTCTTCGCCTGGCATCGCGAGAGGATGGAGGTCTTCGCCAGCATCAGGGACATCAGGCAGCGTGTCCGGTACATCGCCCTTGAGACTGTCCCGCGCCTCGACGAAGTTGTCGCCATGCGCCGCGCCATGAGTGCCGTCCCTGGTCTCTCATCGGGAGTTCCCTTCTGGATCTCCTGTCTGTTCCCCAATGAAGACGAAAACATTCCAGATGGAGGCTCTCCCGAGGCTGTCATCCGGGTAATGCTGGACCCGTCCCTCGCACCGGCAGTTCCCTGGGGCGTGGGCATCAACTGCACAAAAGTGTGGAAAATCGATTCTCTGCTGCGCCGATACGAAGCTGCAATTAATCACTTGCTGCAGGAAGGCCTTATTGAAAAGTGGCCTGCATTGGTGCTATACCCAGATGGAACAAACGGCGAAGTGTATAATACAACAACCATGCAGTGGGAAATACCGCAAGGCACGGAACAGCAAGACAGAGTTCCGTGGGAGACGCAGCTCGCGGAAGTAGTGAGGGCTACAGAGGCGAGAGGCAAATGGCCTCAGATCATCGTAGGCGGGTGCTGCAGGGCTCGTCCGAGCGATATCCAAAGACTTCGGGGGTGTCTAAGTACTTGATCCTAACGCAATACCTAACAAGAAAAAGCAAACAAAAAGACTAAAAAAAGCACGCAAGAAAGAAAGAAACATGTTGCCTGATATCCTTCTAAGCCATACTGTTGAAACTCACACCCTTTCATCCTCCCCTTCAGAAGCCCAGGCTGGAGATGTCAGCACTGAGTGGCTTCCCAGACATCATCTCCGCAACCACCTTGCCTGTTCCTAAGCTCAAACTGATTCCCCATGGGCCGTGTCCTGAAGCAATAAAGACACCTCCCGGGGACTGCTCCGCAGATCTGAAATCCTCTCCAAGCTTCTCCTCTGGCAACCTCGCAATGTATGGCGTTCCCCTCTTCGTAATCGGCCTGAAGCAGAGTCCTTCACGCACAATCTCCAAGTCCTCTCCGTTAGGCGTAGCAATAAGACGTCGTGCAATGTCCTTGAGCTTATCGATAGACTCGTTAAAAGTCACCGCCTTGACAGTAGGCTTAGGCAGAGGAATAGAAGCATGGTTCACCCCAGCAACGTAAATCACTCCATCCGGTCGAGAATACACCTCCGGCGAGAGTTGCCCCATCGTCGTATAAACAGAGTGACATGTCGTCACCTCGCCAGGGGCCTTGACAACGACCGAGTGCCCGCCCAGGCTCTCAATGGGAACGTCGACGTAGTAGCGGTTCTTGAACAGGTCGTGGAAGATATGGGGGGTCCAGCATCCCGCCGCCAGGAGCACTCGGGTCGCCGGAATCACCGTCTCCTCCGAAGTCTCCCCACGGCAGACGACCACGCCGGAGAGCTTGCCGGCTTCGTCGGTTTCCACGCGCGACGCTGTGGCAGGGTTGTGGATGTGCACGCCGGCAGCCTTGACCTTTTCCAGGAGAAACTTGCAGAACCTCAGGGGATCCCTGGTCACCGTCAGCAACTGCTTTCATAAATAGAAACAATGTACGGAGTAATATGGGGGGGAATGTATGTAAGAAATGCAAAACAACTCACACAATCGCCGTGCCGCTTCCATCGTCAATCACGCTCACCGAGTCGCCGTCCACCCTCCTCAGCCACTCTGGAATCTCCCCGTCCTGATGCTCCCTCCGCGAGTCCACGAGGCTGGCTCTGCTCGTCCCCTCCAGCAGCCAATCTTCACCTCTCTTGCCGTTCATCAGCGTCCCGTGAGGCTCGTAGCTCACCGTCACGCTCTTTGCATATCCCCATCTCTCTCTGCCATTCTCCGCCTCGGCCAGCTTCCTGTGCTCCTCGAAGCTGAGCTCCGCCAGCGGCATCAGTTCCGGGCGGAACCAGTCCTTGGCCAGGAACCCTCCCGCAAAGCCAGAGGCCGAGGCGAAGAGTTCATTGGCAGAGTCAACGAGGTGGATGGAGTCGCCCGGCTGGTGTTGGAGGAGATAGTAGGCCGACGACAGGCCAATAACACCACTCCCAAGGATGACAGTGTTGGTCATGGTGTCTTTCCACTGTGTGTTGGTTGCAAGCAAGATCAAGATGAGATGAGGCTGTCAAGGTCTCCGTCGATCTCTCGCCCCAACAGCAGCTTTCAGCTCTATATGAATGAGACAACAAAAGACAAGACAGCTGCCTCAACCCCGGAACCGACCATCTTATAACTCGAGTCAGTCCATACGCCATCCGGCTCACCGTACCGGAGAGGCTACCTTACTTCTTCGATCCAGTAGCCCCTCATTCTCACCCCCACACGGCGGCTCCTTGCTATCGGCCTGGGAAAAAAAATATCCCTGTCCTTTCCGAAGCCGTTGTCACCAGGGGCCGCCTACTGTGCTGTGCTCGTACTCTCTTCCTTGCCCTTGCATTAAGTAAAAGAAACGCTCGCCTCGATACCGGACTCTTGCAATTGTCCGCTTAGATGACGTCCAAGGTATTCATTGTGACCGGCGCCAGCAAGGGCCTTGGCGCAGCCGTCGTCGAGCACCTTTTAGCGCAATCACACAAAGTCGTCGTTACGGCCAGGTCTGAAGATTTGCTGCGGAAGCTCAAGGACGCACATCCCGACCAGGTGGAATATGTGGCTGGCGATATAACAAGTACAGGAGTGAGTTGCATTTTTCCAAGGGTGGTGAATTACTATCTTGGGTATGAGCTGCGAATATCTGACAAGAGTGTGTGCGGCTAGATTGCCGAGAGGCTTACGGACCTTGCCGTCAAGTCATTTGGAAAAATCGACGGCGTAGTCATCAACCATGGAATTCTGGAGCCGGAGAAATTCGCAACGGCTTCGTTGGAAGACACCAAGCGTCTCTACGATATAAACTTCTTCAGCTACATTGCCATGGTAAGACGGCAAAGCGACGCCTTGTCATCGTCTAGGACGCCTGCTGACATTACATAGGCCAAGGCTAGTCTGAATGAGGTCAAGAAGACTCAAGGATGCATCCTCTGGGTTTCGTCAGGAGCAGCTCTCAAGCCCTACGTTGCATGGAGTACCTATGGCTCGTCCAAGGCGGCCATCAACTCCATTGCGTCCCATCTTGCGATTGAAGAGCCTGACATCACCAGCATAACCATTGGACCAGGTCGGGTAGACACAGACATGCAAGCAACTCTACGGCTAAAGGGCAAAGACACTATGGACGAGAAGCAGTACCAGAGCTTCGTCGATGCCTTCCAGCAAGGCGCACTGCTCAAGCCTGAGCAACCAGGGACTGTCATTGCCAAATTTGTGGCCAACCCCTCACGTGAGCTAAGTGGAAAATATCTTGTGTAGGTCCCCCAGTCCCGGATCATAATGTCAATCACTAACTAATCATGTCTAGTTGGAACTCACCTGAGTTGGCGGCGTATCAAGGATGATTTGGTTGCTTTCCTGCATCTTCGTCATGTTAGCCTTAGATCAAGACAAAATAGAACAAGATAAAAGTATAAAGTAAAAACATTGCAGTCAGTCGAAAGATGAAAAGCTCTTAATGATCTCCACATGAAGATTCAGTATTAGCATGGAATATAAGTTTTTTCATCACGCAAATGTGTAAGATGATGTGCATCAAAAGAAAAAAAAGAAAAAAAGCTACTGCCACCTACCTCATGATTCAATGCCGACATTTCTCTCGCAATGCCAATCTCCATTCCACTGAGAGCTTAATACCATCAGTTAGTCTCTGATGCAAATTGCTCACATGGCATAGCTTGAAATTCCAGAGTCGAGCACGTTGTGGTTCAGGAGAGTGTGTCCGCAGTATGTATCTCGGAATTTGATAATACTTTACTTGGTACATCACGATGTGCCGAAAGCTTGTCGAGAGGAGCGGGTCGGTTCTTACATTGTCAAGCCTGAAAAACTCTGCACTGCCTGGGAGAAGCATTGTTAGCCACGCAGCACAACAAACGAATCGCCCGTAATAGAGAAACAAAGTGAAGCACCAGTTGTGAATCAGCAAGTGTCTATTGGCTTAAGACGTGTCTGTCAGCAGGGGAGGCTTGTCGGACCTCCTCAGACTGGGGCGACAACATATCTCATCATAGAACCAATTGGGGCCCGTCGCGGGATAACCGGAGGTTTCTTACCTGTAGTGGCGAGCAGCAGCGAAGGCACACATGATGCCGACGAGGAGATGCAAGCTCTGGGCTCTTTTTGAGCTGATGCAGAGCTGTTTTTTGCTCTCTTTTGCAATGTGGTAGAATGGTGGAAGAAGGAAAAAGTTTCTGAACCGAAGCTCGAGCTAATAAACATTTTTTTTTTCCAAAGCTGGTTCGCGCTAAAAAGATCCACTTGTACTCCATACTTGGTGAAATGCTGTGGCACGTGAACAAAGCCCCTCTGTAAGCCAGTCAGCGACAGAGTCTCAGTGGGCTGCACTGCTATTTCCAACCAGCGCGCGCCAGTAGCAGCACACATGCTGGGCGCGTCCAGGTACCGGCTACTTTGGCCATGTACCCGTGCTCCAGCAGCGCTCGAGTATAACAGCAGCAGCTGCCCCACTAACAAACCGTTTGGCCGGGAGATATTCAAGTCCATCATTCATCACTCCCTAAAAGCCGGCTCAGGCTGCATATTGCCCTCAGAAGCCTCACAAATCCAGCCCTGATTGTGTTGAACAAATCCTGCGCCCTCTGACTCTTACTCTTATTCTTTATCTATATTCCGTCTCTGCCGCCTTTGTCCACATCTTCCGTGCCTGCCTCTGTTTGCGCAACTTTGTTCACTCTCCGCCGCTCTCAGTCTCAGGCAGTATCGCGTCTAAGCCACAGTCTGGTTTACGAGGCATCTCTTTCAATATGTCGGACCATGAGTTTGGAGGTACGTTGAGCTTCTATGCAGCGCGTTGATTTCTTTCATTTTTTTCAAGTATTCTTCTTTCCGTTCTTCAAAAGAACCATGGTCATGCGTCACTGCTTCCGTTGTTGTCGCCGTGGCGAGGGACCAGTAGGGCCGAGCTTTCGGTTTCATTGTTTGTATCATGAAGTCATGGCATTCTCACACAAACTTGCCATCCGTGCCCGCGCATCACCGTTAGATGTTTCTTTGGTGAACTTATAATGGTAGCGGATTCCATCTTCTACTTGCGCTCTTGATTTCTTCTCAGCACTTATTTGACTCCGCGTCCTTCCATATCCGCCCCCGAGAGTCTGTGTGTTCGCACCACCAAGCCCGCTAATGTGGGACTACTATAATGAGAATGACTGGACCAACTTGGTTCCAGGCAACAGTACCACACTACACTAATAATTCATGCTGTCGACATTACATTGCTAACATGTTCTCTTACAGGAAGCAACGATGACTTGTCACTGCCCAAAGGTATGTTTACCCCCCGCCTCGCAGTGAAACATCATATTTCAGTGCCACCCCTGGCGGTTATGTGATACATACACATCACATCATCACATTGCAGATTTTGAAGCTTACAATGTATTAGCCACCGTTCAGAAGATTGTAAGCGAAATATTGCCGCCGCAGACGGGTGTCTCTTTCGCAAAAGAGGCCCGTGACCTGCTCATAGAATGCTGCGTCGAATTCATCACCCTCATTTCTTCAGAAGCCAATGAAATCTCGGAGAAGGAGGCCAAGAAGACGATTGCGTGTGATCACATTACAAAGGCACTAGAACGCCTTGGCTTTTCGGATTACGTGCCTGCTGTTCTAGAAGCCGCAGCAGAACACAAGGAAGTTCAAAAGGTTCGCGCATGTCTCCCGCCGCCACGTCCTCAGTCTGCAGCGCTAACATGTGTCAACAGGGGCGAGAGAAGAAGGCAGACAAATTTGCCAATAGTGGTATGTCTATGGAAGAGCTCGCTCGGTTGCAGGAAGAGCAGTTTGCCGCGGCCAGGCAACGTCACATATGATGGGATTTTGTTATGGTGATGTGATATCCGGAGAGAGGGCGTCAAGGTGGGCATCGCTAGGCGTTTTATTTTATAAACGGTGATGAGGGTTGGTAGACAGGTCAGATTCTGATTTGGGCCTTTTGTTTCCGGGAGTTGGTTTCGTCAATATTTCTTTAATCTATTCGTCCTCGGAGGCATACTCGTGAATCTATTAAATACATGTACTTTCAAGGTTCTTTCGTCTTTCACCTGATGCTGTTGATGCTGTATTGTAGTTAGGTAACTGGTGATCGCCAGCTTCCTTCATCTTATCGATAAGGCATCAAAGGGTTTCAATGATGTAACATTAGGCACAGCACAGCGCAGCACAGTACCTGCAAGGCAAGTACCTGCCTGTCGCCTCTCACATGCTGCGCCCCACCATTGGTTCGCGCCCATCTGCCCATCTCCAAATTCTTTGAAGCTGCATGAATCTGCCCATCCATCACCGCTCTTTTTAACCATCGACAGACTCACTGAAAAAATAATCAAAAATCGGCCAAGATAGGTCGGAAACACCGCAATCGCCATCAGCCCTCAGGCCCTCGCGTCCCCCGCTGGCTCGCTCGCAAAATGGGACAAGAAGAATCCCATCTGGCCTCTGCGGCTGGCCCTCCAGCTACACTCGAAGAGAGAAGCCTGGAAGCCGTCGCTGACTATATCAAGAGCGGCAATGCTCGGCGCATTGTGGTCTTGACCGGCGCTGGCATCTCGACTGCCGCTGGAAGTAAGTTGGCCCATGAGTCTGCCCCATATTGATGCAACTAACAATTGCATAGTTCCCGATTTCCGATCGCCAAAGACGGGCCTGTATAGCAACTTGGCGCGCCTCAAGCTCCCGTATGCAGAGGCCGTCTTCGACATCTCCTACTTTCGCAACCACCCCGAGCCCTTCTATGTGCTTGCCCAGGAATTGTATCCCGGGAAATTCCATCCGACCATCTCTCATGCCTTCATTGCGCTTCTTGCCGAAAAGGGCCTCCTTCAAATGCTCTTTACCCAAAATATTGACTGTCTCGAACGGGCGGCTGGCGTTCCTGCGGATAAGATTGTCGAAGCCCATGGCAGTTTTGCGACACAGCGCTGCATTGAGTGCAGAGTCGAATTCCCCGATGCTGAGATGAGAGCGCATGTTACTCGAGGCGACGTTCCTAAATGCAATGAGTGCAAGGGACTGGTAAAGCCAGACATTACATTTTTCGGCGAAGCCCTCCCAAGAGACTTTTCAGAGAAGTCACACAACACTGCCATGGCGGATCTTGTTCTTATTATTGGAACAAGTCTGACGGTATATCCATTCGCAAGCCTTCCCGAGATGGCGAGAAAAGGGATACCGCGTGTGCTCTTCAATATGGAGAAGGTTGGTTCATTAGGATCACGACTTGATGATGTACTAGAACTGGGAGCATGTGATGATGGCATTCGAAAATTAGCCGAGTTGCTGGGCTGGACAGACGAGCTGGATGACACGTGGAGAAATATTGTTGGAAATGAGGACGCGGAGAAACAACTACGCAGCCAGACTGTTCGTGACGAAGAGATTGAAGATGAGCTGCAGAAGTTGACTGGAGAGATTGAGACTGTCCTCAAGCTTGAGGAAGAGGAAGAGAAGAAGGAAGAGAAGAAGGATGCAGATGAAGAGAAGAGCCAGAAGGTAGGCGATGATGCGCCAAGTGATACCCAGACTACCAAGGGTGACGCAGACGTTAAAGAAGCTGTCAAGACAGAGAATGTCAACGCAGAGCAAGAAAAGAAAGTAGAGGAACGCTCAGAGGCTGATTCTAAACCGGCGGACGAACCCGGCTCAATTACAGCACCACCAAAAGTCCAGGAGAGTACTGAGCGAAAAGCACAAGATGCTACGACGGCAGAGAGCAAAGACGAAGAGCCAACAAAGAAAGAGGGTGAAGAGAAGCCCCAGCGAAATTGACTTCAAGAATCTATGTTATGACTTGATAGATTGCATGATTAGTTTCCGTACATTTCCTTTTAGATACATACGATGCCGATTCCCTACTTACTCATTTGGCAGGACGGCTGGGTTTCAGATTTTGCTACTTATATGTTTGTTATATAAGCTCAAGATAGACGATATTTCCTTGGAACAGAAGGCAGAAGCAATACATCATCTGCCATCAACGCTCATGGTCCTTTCTAATAAATGGCCGACACAAGTGGAGTTTCATTTAATTCACAGTACAACTAGGCCTATATGTTGAAATAGCCTCCTCGATATCTTACAAAGACATTGCCAGACTCCAGAAATACAGTCCCTACATATGTATATACTCACAGCCCACTATCAATCTGCTCAGGAATATTCGTATCCGTCCAAGTCCCCCACTGTCTACACGTCTCCGCCACTACATTCGGAATCTTCAATCCCCTCACTGCCTCCGGATCTGCAAGGAAATGCGTAAACAGCCCAGCCGTGGCATGCCAGGCAATATGGCAGTGAAACGGCCACACGCCCGGATTGCTCGCCGCGTCAAATTGGAACACGACGTGTCCGCCCCTACGAATCAGAAAGACATCGCGGCGCTGTGGGTTGGATGGCCTGATGATTGTTTTGTTGTCCCACTGGCCGGGACCTTCGTGCAGGAGATACATGTTGAAGCCGTGAAGATGCATAGGATGTCTTTGAAGATCAGATTGTTAGCTCAAGGATCACCTGGTTTAGAAGATTGTTGGAGATGAACTTACGGAGCGGGGGAATTATTGAAGAGGTTCACTCTGACACTCTTTGCCGTGCTCACGTTTCTCACGGACCATTCGGGTTCAAAACTGTAGTTACCCAGATTGCTCAGCAACAAGGTCGGACTGTTGTAATTGCCCCTGAATGTAACGCCGTCTAGTGCCCATAAAGTATTACCAGACGCGTTTTGGAAGATCGTCAGCTCCATGTCGAGCTCCAGATCTGGTTCCGGAAGGGCAAGCTCCATGACAGGCTCTGTGACCGAGAAGTCATCATTCACACAAGTTAGCGGATCAGGAACATCCCAAGGTGTGGACTCGGGGTCTGTCTCGGTATCTGCATCATCGTAGTAGATGGCTGCCAAGGCATATGGTTGGTTGGCATTAGAGCATGCGCTGATGTTGCTGCGCATCCAGTAGGCGTCCAGATCACCGTCTGCTTTGACAAGGACATCACTTCGCTGACCAATACCAAGTGTAACGACTTTTGTCACGTAGGGCTGGATATCCACAAAGTCGTTGGCAATAACTGTCATATTATGCCCATCAATAGAGAAGCGCTGAAGGCCTTCCGCCCCGGTGTTCATAAGTCGAAGGAGATGAGTCTTTCCACGTTCAAACTTGAATTTCGAAATACCGGCGTTGTTGGTACATGGCGTACCATCTGTAACCTGGGAGCAGTCGAAGTCTCCTTTGCCATTGATCAAATTATTGTCAGAGTTGAACCTAGTCAACGCCTGCACAGGACTCATAGTCTTCTCAACCAGATCAAAGTATTGTTCATGATACCAGTCAGACAACATCACGGGACCAATATCAATATCGTAATCTTGCGATTTCGGTCCGTGGATCACAATAGGGCCTAAAAGACCACCAGCATACTGCGAGGAGTAATGCGAGTGGTACCAAGAACTGCCATACAGAGAAGCCGCAAACTGATATGTGAAGCTCTTCCCCGGAGGCACGGGGCACTGCGTCACAGAAGGCACGCCGTCTTCCCAAGGAGTCCCCTTTTGAAGGAATCCGTGCCAGTGGAGCGCCGTGCCTTCTTCCGGGCCGGTGATGTTGTTGTTTAGAGTTACTTGAATGGTGTCGCCCCAGTTTGCCTCGATCAATGGGCCGGGGAAAGCTTCATTGATCAATAGGACATTGAGCTGATATCCATCCGGAGCAATGACACCACGGCTAACTGTAAAGTTATAGTATCGTATGACACCTGTATTAGGACTTGTATCATAGTAATTGGTGGTGTTATCAAGAGTGCTCCATGGATATCCGTTGGGCGTTGGATTATTCGTAAGGAAAGCAGGGAGCATTGGGGCAGCCAAGGCTCCAAGAACAGATAGGCTGAAGAGATGTTATAAATAGTTTCTTCTGAGCAAGCAGGTAGGACAACATCAATACATACCCATTAGTTTGTTTCTGGGAGAGTCTGCTTGTGGCCAAAGAGGCACGTGCTTCCATTCCTCGACGGCTGAGAGAAATCCCCATGATGGTTGAATGATGATCCGAAGATAGTCAAGCTGGAGGTGATTTTCGTATATCAGAAGAGATCATGCCCACACAACTAAATTCTCTCTTCTTCTCTTTATATTCTCTTTATATACGCATGTGTATTTACATCTTCAGCGGTAATTTCGGCGATTTCGTTGATTTCGTTGACTCACTGTTCGGACTTCACCTCTGAAGGATTGACAATAGCTTACCGTAGCCCACTGAATCCTAAACGGGATGTGGTCCAATATATGTAGGTAAGATAATTCCGAACCGCCATCATCAAAAATTCCCTCTACCCCTGTTGCATAAAACAAATGCGGCTGAACGGTACTATTGCCTACCAAGAGTCAATCACTTCAAACACCCATATCACATCCTCTTCTTGGTCTCTTGGCGAAAAGACAACGCCAATAGTCGCTATTGGTGAAGTCATTCAGCCCAACCATGTCGGAGGATTTTCATGACACAGCATTCTAGCTTCTCGTATACCTGAAAAGGAAGATTAAAGGGTATAGGCCAAGCCATATAGCGTCAACAGAGCATCCAATTGTTGCTGAATATTTAACAGCTGATCTGTTTCGAGTGTCCAATTCATCAAGGAACGTTACACTATAAGTGCCCAATGAAAATTCAGGTGGAATAATGTTACTATCCGACGCTAGATATATGCAGGAGATATCTCGTGCAATCCACTTGAAATTGTGTCCCTTGCGACGATTTGAGAAAATGGGTGTAACATAGACTATCTGTAACCAAAGACCTCATTTCAGACAACCACCGACTGCCTTATGAAATATCCTCTTTATGCATTATATGATGCCTCAGGCCGTCTCTCGGCACTCTCCTCGCTGCTCCGAGCATTTGAAATATCAACCCTGCATTTATAGTCAGCAGACCGATAAAGTGGCCATGGGTTTATCACAAGGTTACACCTAACACGAGGCAGACGAAGGAATATCGATGAGGAGCTAGGCATTCAGTTATATTATCCTACTTTGCCAAGATGGACAACACTGTAGTGGTATAATAGTGGACCCAAAGTCATCAAGACATCCGGGAGCTGAGACTATCGAGAATCTTGGTCTCATTGGTGCTACATTCATCGTCATAGATTCACATAAAGTAATATTGAGTAAAGGATACGAGAGGTGTTTTGCCGCCATAATTTGCATGTCCACAATGGCGGTAATTTCATGCAAGTGGTTACGCCGTTTGGCTTAAGCAGGGATATTTGAAGTGAATCGTTACACAAGGCGGATATTTCTTCCGATAGCATGAGCAAAGCTAAAAATATCATTCCGAAATATTGTCTGATTTCACTCCTGTTAATCGGCAAATATAGGGTCGAGATGAGCTGAATGGGCCCCGTTGCCTCCATCTGAATCGCAACCCTCAGTCAGGTGGTCACTTTGTATCGAGTATCAAGAGTCGAAATGGAGGAATAAGAGATTATACGACTTGTCATGTGAAGAGCTGTGGCTACAGTTCAGAAGACCTGCAGCTGAGGGGTAGGGCCTCTCTTTCTCGAAGAAGTAGCTGATTTGATAATCGTAATACATCCCCCTGAATAGCGAATCCTTTGTGGTTTGTTGTACAAGCTCAACTGGGAATATCTTCCGATGCAGATGATGCAGCAGTAGCTGATATAAATCACATGATAATCCATCGTGGGAGTGCAAGAGCCGCAAGTGTTGCAAAGAACAATTGACAAGCTGAGCAAGATACCACCAGATGAGACTCGCCACATCAGTAACGATTAGCAGCTGAAGCTATCGAAAAACATCAGTCACTAACTGGACTGAGATCAAGCTCTGCGCTAATGCAGAGAGAGATGGTGAAAAGCAAAATAAAAGCGAGGATCTCAGGTAAGGACCAAATAGGTCGGCTTATCCGGAGACAAAAGTATTTTCGTGCTTTTGCATAAGGTACTACTTGCTAGCAAGAGGGTAGATATTCCACTACTGTGCACAGAGCTCAGTCCCAAATAGCCTTCACAAACATAGATGATTTTACATTGATATGAATCGCATCGGATTTCGATCGTAAACGTCGTTTGGTTTCTTCTTATTTTACAGGGCAGTCATTCGGGCCACCAGGATACGCACAGTGCGGCCAGTTGTTGGCCGCTCGGCGTCGTTCGTCCATTCGTTCGTTGAGTATCTTTATTCGTCCCGTCTCCAAGCCGAATTCGCTCTTAATACTATCGGCCGTCGCTGCGCTCGCATATACAGCTCCTGTAGCTTGGGGTCTGCATCTGATCGGATGACACTGCCGACTCCCATGAAGAATCTGCGATACCATTGTCAGTATCACATCTAATATTCAGGTAAAGAGAACATAGGTGTAGACAAACCCAAAGGTTGCGCCAGATGCACCCATGTACTGGCCCAGAGTGCGCATAATGCCTTGCGATCCGGCACCATAACGGAAAATGTTAACAGTGCCTATCAAGGTGTCAGCTCCAAATGTTCCAGCAGACTCTCCATCCAATGCCTTACCAAAGATGAATCCCATAATCACTCCGACAGCTAGAAAGTCGTCAGTTTACCCGATCCGAAACGAAGCTATTCTCAAAGCCCTTACATCCGCCCATCATTGCGCCCATCTTGACTGTTCGATATAGTTAGCGAAATTGCAGCCCCTCATAATGATACGATGCCGTACGTTTGTCGAACGTGGACGGGGCCTGCTGGCCACCATGATGAATCGGCGCGACAGGAGGCATCGTGAGCAGCCGGGATCAACGCAATGCGCAGAAGCTGTGAAGTTGGATTTGCCGTTTCTCTTCCCAAAGTCTAAGTGCCTCGAACGGTACCGGGTATCCAAGAAGATTGAATGCTTCAATCCAAAGAAGCTGCTTGCGATATGATTGGCCACGCTGCGCCCACCGCGGGAACGGCAAAAGGTTGATGCGGCGCATCCTAATCACAGCTAGCGGCCCCCACAGTGTGGATATCCAAGTGCCAGCAAACGCAATACTGTGATGATGCATCACGTGAATCGAGGTCATGAGCCGATTCAAGGCCCCATATGGCCATCTGGGATGGAGAGCAATCGCCTGGGACTGCCCGATCCGAGTCTAGAAAAACCCTCGCGAATAATGACAAAGCCTGCCTCGAGGCCGAGTTGTGGGAGCTGGGCGAGCAGACACTGAGACAGAACCGTGCACTGTATCATTTGGCCCCCCAGCTTTCGACACGCCTAGCCCAGCGCTTAGCGGGCTAGGAAGAGCGACAAGATCCCCCAAGCAACATCAGCCCGAGCTTCACCAGGCTCGTCAGCGACGTGTGGAATCGCCCAGGATTGCGAGCTTCTATCATTTCACAGTATGTTTCACATTTGATGCAGCGCACAGGGCCGGTCCAGGGGCCAGGGGCGATCGTCCATCTGCCCCCAGGCCTCGCTTGGTCGTGCCATGCCAACCCCCAATTGGTGCTCGACAAAGGAGCCACATCAACAACATGCTGACGATTTTTCCATGACAGCACGCTGACAACGACTTCGACTGTTTCTGCGTCTCTCTCCCGCCGATCGCAAGCGATAGAGCCGTTTGACTTCGGAGCCGCATCGACAAAATATCCGTTTTAGTTCAATCTGCGGCACGCGTGTCTTTGTTTTCTTTTTCTTTTTTTTTGTTGCCCTTGTCTCAGCGGCGCCGGTCGGTGGTTGGCGATTCCCAAAAAAGCCCAACGGTTTACTCAACGCGTATCGACAGAAAACGACCTACGTGGAGCGACGGCAAACCTGCGTTATTCACAGCCCCATACCCAACGTGCCTTCCTAAGCCTTACTCATGACTGCCGTCGCAAATCCTCCAACGTTTCCACAGATCTCCCGGCCGCCATGGGGCACTATTAATGGCAACAACCAGATGAATTCAGAGGATGTCAGAGGCATGTTCATGACCCGCAAGAGTAGTCTCTCGCGAAGCAGCTCATCCTCTTCCATCGCCTCAAACGCCTCCAATACGACTGTTGCGACGAATGGCTCCCACTCCAATGCAACTTCGCTGTCATCAGCTTCGGATCTAAGTCAGTGGTCGAATGGCAGCGCAAACAGAAAGAGGCCTCAACCAAAGAACCCTTGGCCGACTGGTAAAGAAAACGTGCAGCCCGACTTTTCGAGGCTTCCTCAAGGAAGACCTAACGGCATGGTGCCGCCCCACGGCGCCATGCAACAAGGCGGACCGGGACAGCCTCAAATGGGGCCCCAGGGAATGATGCGACCCATGGGGCCTAACGAGCAGCAGTTTCCCCCCGGTCAGCCTATGCTCTATCTACTGTCTTTGAACGGCACCTTTGAGCGCAAGACGATCGCAGTACCATTTGCTCCTGATTCCATACGAATCGGACGGCAGACGAACCAAAAGACGGTGCCAACTGCCACGAATGGCTTCTTCGATAGTAAAGTGCTATCGCGGCAGCATGCTGAAATCTTTGCCGAACGAAACGGCAAAATCTACATTCGAGATGTAAAATCATCAAACGGCACATTTGTCAACGGCACCCGGTTGTCTCAGGAGAATCGGGAATCTGAGCCCCACGAACTTCAGACTGCCGATCACCTGGAGCTCGGTATTGACATTGTCAGTGAAGACCAAAAGACCGTCGTTCACCACAAGGTTGCCGCGAAAATCGAGCACGCCGGGTTTTTGAATACGTCGAATAACGTTTTGGATATGAACTTTGGAGACCTGGACCCCGCCAACAATGCGATGATGATTCCCGCAGGGGCCATGCAGATGCGAGGCCGCGCTGGAAGTAATATGTCCATGGGCAACAACGGTCGTATGCTTGTTAATGGCGGTACCATGAATGGCCATATGAATGGAATGGCGCAGCAACGTCCTTTTTTCCTAACACCCATCGCTACGGATCAGATTCTGAAGCGTCTTTCTGTAAGCACCACACAAAACCCTTTTAGGGCCCCTTTTCTTATTGTCTTTCCTCCCGCTAATATTGTCACCAGAATGAAATGAGGAGCGCCAAACTCCAGGCTCAAGATTTAAATCGCACTAACCAGTTCATCAACACCCTGTTATCGAAAGATGACCTCAAGGACGTCGAAAAATCCGAAGCCCCCGAACAAAAACCCCAGACTATGATCAACGGTAATAGTCTGTCTTTTAGATCAGATCCGAAAGCGCGCTTCTCAGACCCTCCTGCACCTCCACCCCAGCAGCCTCTTCCTGAAAAGCCAGACGTGCCCTCTCTCAAACGAGGCTCCTTGGAGAGACCAAAGTCGGACTCGGCAAACTCATCTCCGATCCGCCAGGAAAACCTGAGCCAAATCATTCAGCTCACTGAAGCACTCAATAATGCGAAGCGAGATATTGATACCCAGACGGCGCGTATGCGCGAGCTAGAATTGATGCTTCAGAAGGAGCGGGAGGCGCGCGAGTTGGCAGAGGAGCTGGCTCGGCGACTAGAAGAGTCAGCCAACAATACCCAGGTCAACGGTGTTGAATCCCACGAAGAGCCGGGTGAAACTCAGGAATCAACACGGGATGTGAATGATGCAGATGAGACGACGGTGTTGGCGGAGTCGGAAGAGACATCACAGGCCGACAAGATTGCCCAGGAGACAGCGGCAGCACTACAATCTCGCATCGACACCATGGATGAGCAGATGCGGGAGCTGCGAACCCAGATGGAGCAGTGGAGGAACCGATGCGAGGCTGCCGAAGCAGAGCGGGATTCCGGCAGGAAGACTCTTGAAGAAATGGTTATCCAGCTTCGGGAGGAGGAGGCCAAGCGGGTTGCGGCCGAGGAACGACGACGATCTCGTTCAAGAACACTCCGCAGTGAGCGAGACGGAGAAGCAAAGGATGCCGTTGCATCTGCCACTTCTGAAGTTGCCAAACTGGCACTTAAGCAGGAAAGATCTCTGACGAACTCCAGCCAGGATTCGACAGATATCCCAAATCTATCGAGGGCCAATACGATTACTCCTCAAACCTCACCTAGAGGAGGCCCTCTAAACAGCCAGCACCTGCGAGCTGGCATCCCCTACGCCTCCATGATTGGCGTGGTGCTGCTTGGCATGGGGTTGATGGCATACATGAATGGATGGCAGTCATCCCCGTCCCAGGCTGTTGAACGATAAATGTCAAGTGTCTTTAGGCGTTTTCTGCATTGCATTTATACTATTACGATGCGAGCTTTCTTATTGTATTCCACAATGCTTGTCTTTGAGCAGCACGGCATAGCACACGGTTATCAACATTTCATCAATATCCAATGATGACGAGAAAAATGGAGGCAATCATGAGCAGCACAGCACACTCGAAAAGAACTGAACTTTTTCTTTCTTCTTTATTTTATTCCACCCCTTTTGTAGGTATACTAGGGCTAAGCTTTTTTGCTTTTGTACCAACGACACAGCTTGATTTCCTTTTTTGTCCTCCACCTTACCTTCCTTCCAACGTGAAGATTTCTTTTTTTTTGTCAAGAGGAGAATAGGCCTTGTGAAGCACATGGCCTTTTGGAGATTTGTGTTTTCTTGAAGGGACAGGAATACGTTTCAGAGTCAGGATCGATGAGGAATGAGAGAAAGCGAGTTGGTCAACTTCTCGACCAAAGAGGGATGCGATGCGTTCTTTCTTCTTTTTTATTATTTTTCTTTTTAGCAGATAAGGGTTGCATAGTATGCGGTTAAATTGGGGGCATAATAACAGACTTTAACGTTGACCTTGCACCTTGTATGTACAACACATACAGCAGACATGCCTTACGATGGAACGATTCAGATGATACGGCACTTTTATGTAAGTAAGTTTGAGGGTTTTTTTTAAATAATACTCTGATTATTATTACTGGAGATGCGTTCTTCTCTTTTACTGTGATGTGAAGTTTGTCTTTGAGATTGATTGCAGAAGCTCAAGCAATTGGCTCTGGCTTCTTGTATATCCGACGGGATACGGCCCCACCAAAATCCGGGACGCTGGGAAAAGCTTCGGTCCGATCAGCCACAATCATGCGATGGATCGAAGCCTGTGATATCATTTTCCCTTTCTACATTGACGACACGCGCAGCAACGCAACGCGCCAATTCACGGGCACAGACAGACACCCTGTGCTGCTGCTTCATCCTCGCATACGAGACGCAGAGTCGAGACCCAGAATCGAGAAAGAGACGTCCAGTGTGACCAGCCGTTGAGACCGGTTTCATTACAATCACAATCACAATCACGATGCCGACGTTTCAGAACAAGACATTCCGCTCGTCGGCCGACGCGGGCAAGATCGGCATGAAGTATCGCTCTCTCATAGGCAAACATCCGTTCCTCACCTTTGGTCTGCCCTTTATCGCCGTCATTGTGGCTGGCTCGTTTGTCCTCACGCCCGCGACGGCGATTCGATATGAGAAGCACGATCGCAAAGTGCGGCAGCTGACCAAGGACGAGGAGCTGAATGTAAGGAGGGCGGGACGGAAGGTGGACATGAAGGAGGAATACTACGTGAGTTTTCCTTTTCTTTCTCTACCCGCACATGCATGAAGTAGTTGTGGGATTCTCTACCCGTACATGCAAGGGGTTTTTTTTTTTTTTTTTTTTTTTCTTTCTCTACCCGTACATGCAAGGAGTAGTTTGTGGGATATGCAGGGGCAGCAGAAAGAGGAATGATTCGAATTCGAGGCTAACACAGGAGGCTTGCAGAGACTTGCTGGGCGGGATCTAGACAATTGGGAGCAGCAGCGCGTCAAGAGGCTGCCCGGAGAGAGCGACGGAATCCTGTAAGAGCCGAGACACAGGCCCAATTGCGTGATATTTCCAAGGCGAGACATGAGATGCGAGGGAAACATGCCGTGCAACGCTATTGCCGACGGCAACACGAAAAAAAAGAAATTACTACCACAAACGAGAATATGAAGAAAAGAGAAGAAGAAAAAATAGACGAAAACAAACAAGCAATATAATGGTGGGAGCGTCATCGTCGATTGATTGGATACCAAGGGCCTGGAGCCGGGTTCAGCTGAAAAGCCTCTTCTCTTGGCGTTATCTTTATCTCTTCCTTTATTTTTCTCACGTCGCCTCAGCACTCAGCCCTACTCTACTCACTTACGCCACTATTTCTCGACACTATTACCATTAGTATTAATGAACGAAAGCAATAGTCTTTCTTATCAACACGGAATGCCTTAAACCGAGACTCAGATGGACCAGCTTAGTCCAACGGTCGCCGACTACTAGGCACTAATAGTCCTAGCACCTCGTCTTTTCGATTCAAGCAGACTACGGCTCTGGACTCATAGTGACTCAGACCAACGGCAGGGGCAGAGCGCAAATCCAAATGTCCACAGCAGAGACAACCATCACATGAACCGTGGTGTCGGTATCATCACTCACGGGGCCTGCAGCGTGGGATGAAGTAATATCTTTGTACGCCCTGCATGCACAGTGGCTGGATAGCATCGGGTGCTGTCAACTGAGAAAAAGAAAACCCCGTCCATGGAGATGTAAGCCCAATAGGGCGCTGTTCCTGCTCCTGCAAGGGGGGGATCCCGAGGCCCTGGACACTACGAGTTACCGGTATCTTGTTTTCCATCACATCCACGGGACTGGGCTGAGGGCTATTTACAAGGAGGAGGGGGGGCGTGTACGGAGGTATGAATACTGGAATTTGGAAAATCCGATGTACTAGCCAGGGTGTCAATATTTCAACTCTTGTGTTACGACTTCTTTTTTTATCCCAAATTTTGTCTTATAGCGTGACACGTCTCCTGTCAGGATTGAAAGATACTCGCTACTCTTAGCTTGCGGGCGCGGCTTTGACAAGTTTGCTCCGTACTAACCCCATGAGAGTAAAGGACGAGGCCCAAGCCCTCGGGAGCTGTTGCTGACAAGCAAAAAAGGAGCAGGGGGAACGTGCCGTGCCGCCAGGGATGCGGGAATGTGCGGGTGCCTCTCTCTTTTCTTGGGGGGGGGGGGGGGGGTAGCGATCAAGAGGGGACTTTTACAAGGAGGTTCCTTGGGCCATCTCGATGTTCTTTATGGCCTTTATTTCCACTTGGGGGCGGGTGAGAGATTGGGGAAGACTGGGGTGGTGTTTGTCTGACAAATGCTTGGATGTTTGGACGCTTCCAGAGATTGATACGCCTCTTGTTCTACGGAGTAAACCAGCCTAGATACATAAAGGAAGGCAGAAAAGAAGAGTCATGAGGATAAATGACAGGTTCGAATTGTACCTCGTACAGAGTAAATCCACCCTGGTCCGAGGTAAGCGGATAGGGCGAGATGACGGCCCTTGTCGGAGAGATGGCCACGCGAGCCCCCAAGCTGTCGGGAACCTGTTTGTGCCTATGCCTGTACCTGTGCCTGTAATACGATGCCCAACCTTTTTTTGTTAGTGGGTGCTCGGAGGGGAGAGTTTGGATGGATGTGTGTCAATAGACTCCTTGTTGCGGCGAATTATTGGGTGTTGCGTGAGGCTGGCACATACGTGATGTGTGGCTTTTGTCTGGCTGGGGAAGTTTGTATGATGGAAGTGGTGGAGGATTGGATGGGTGCCAATAAACTCTCAAGGCCTCGGGTGAGGTTAAAAATGCTGTGAAAAGACTCGACGCATTAGCCAAAGACCCGCCCGAAACTATTGGTCAGATCCAAAATGCTGTGAGCAAATCCAATCAGATCCCAATGAGCTCCTAAGGCCTTGGGTGAGGTTAAAAATGCTGTGAAACTCTATCAGTGCGGCTGAACTTCAGAACAAGGTGAGGTCCCTAATTTGACGAGAAAAATCTGCCATCTTGATGGGGATGGGACCAATGAGTTCCAATAATCTCCTAAGACCTCGAGTGAGGTTAAAAATGTTGTGAAGAGGCGGCTCCTGCAAAACACACCGCTTCGGGCACACCATTTCAGGACAAACAACGATACGTGCATACACAAAATATCCAGATGTCTCTTACATTACAGATTACCTCTGGGTAAAATAAAGAATTGGTATGATCCTACCGCTCGAATAATGAAGCGATAGTGGGAGAAATAGACTCTAGTACGTACGGATAGTAATAAAGAAACAATATGAGGTAGCTCCGCTAATACAAATACCTACTCGTAAATGATTTCATATGAAATCTCTACTCAATAGCCCCCAAACCAAATCAACACCTGCTTCATAATCCATTTCAAGTCACACTCCTCCAAAACCCATCCCCTCAACGCCTCATAATCCATCACCAAAGCCCTAACACAAGAACAGAATAGCACAACACCCCATACACCAAGATCATCCCCCTCCCGACTGCCCCATGAGCCCCGAGCCTTATCAACATCATCTCTCCCACACAAGAACCACAAAATTTTGGAATTGAATTCACCACTAGTCCAGGGCCGGCAAAGAAACTGACAACCTCCATGTCATCTCCAGTTGCAGGGTAAGCCCGTCACCCGTCACTACATCCACTACCCGTCTCGAGACAACTTAGCCGTAGATCCTCCTACTGACTCAGTATGAGCCCGAAATCCCAACGGCTAGCTCTACACGTACTCGCACTTCACATTTTGACATCCTTTAAAATTAGCCCTGTCAGAACTAATCTAACCACAAGGCGCAGTTGCAATACCGGCAACCATGTCCCACTGCGGAGAAGCCCTGTACTGTAATCGCTCGCTTGGTCTTCCGTGAGGGGAGCATGCTCATGTCATCTTGGGCTAATTAACATGAAAAGGCCGGATACCTGGTTGCCGAGAGCCATTACGTGGCAGACTGTGTAAGCCGTGGGCCGTGGTTGATACGGAAGATGTATTGTCGTCTCTAGGTTAGTCTCTATCATTGCTCTTTATGTTTCAATATATTTGGTGATGCTATGGTGATTTTGATGGAGACACGGAAGTGTTCATGCTGATTAATATTCCAGTAAAACAGTTTGATATAGCACTATGATATCTTATTCGGTGTTTGTTTCATGATTAACATTAGTTGTACTAATCGGACAAACATTAAAAGATGACTGGAGATTAATGGGTTGAACAGCGCATACAAGGTCCATCAGAGTCAATCAATGATTTCCTCTCCTACTATCAACATGAACCTGTTTGTAATTTCAACTTCAATTTGCCGATATCACGAAAAGTCCTCTTTTGCCCCTTCATCTGTCAGAACTCATCAGTAATCAGTGGCAGCCCGCTAGTCGTCTCGGCTTGAGGCTAGTGGACAAACATAGCACAAACAACACTAGCTTCCAGCGGGACGATTGCGGCACGCCTTGCGGGCGCCCATTCGGCATCGGGAGAATTTTGGGCAGCCAGTCTCACAGCCTGTGGAGCACCGCGACAGCCGGGTGGGACGAGAGTTGCGCGCCGCGGGAGCAGCGGCTCATCGAGGCGCTCCTTTATCAGACTGGCATTTTCGTCTGATCATCACCAAAGGGCGGAGTGTTTGAGCCTTGTGGCCCTCTGACAGGATACTCCGTACATGGCGGGATCGCTCATCTACTTCGTAAGCAGTAAGAAGCGAAGGAGAAGAGCGGCAGGGCTGGTGCCGCCGCTAGACTGTGTGTTACGGAGTTGGCAACTGACAAATTGCGCAGATTTGCTTACCATGGCCGTGGAAGCGACGGGAAGGATATGATCGTGTAACGCAGGGAGAAGAATGCTAGTGCATCCAGAGCCGTGGTATTTGTCGTGATTAGTCTGTGTTGCTCCCAAAAGCAATATGGGTGTGTGATAACGGGACCGTGGAGTTGGTACTGCCCAACAGCACACACGGCTCGAGCAAGGGACACACCTCAACGAGCCAAAATTTGAGCCGTGATATTTTTTTTTATGAGAGATGCAAGGGTCGCAAAGACCAAGGGGCTTGGGCACGGAGCAGGGAGCAAAAGACGAGCAAATGACCAAATGATCAAGTGATGAGGATGTAAGGGTCCGACAACGTGGTAGCGACGTGGGTAGTATTCTCGCGGTCCCGTGGACTTGGAATTCTGCGCGTCGCAGACCTGGGGACCAGGCTGTCGGTTTTGCTACACCGCTTCCATGCGAGGAGAACCGACTGATACCAAAGGATGGCTGGCCCGAGTTGGTGATGTCGCCGAAGGCTTGCAGAGCCTGAGGAGTGCGAGTTCCTTGTACCACGGTGATAGCCACTGCAAGTCACACTTAGGTAGGTGATGAATCAATTGGGCGTGGCCGCATTCAGTTAGAGACGAGCTTTACGGCAGGCATAGGCTATTGATCTTCATGATGCCGACATAGGTCGGCGATGTTAGCAAATGTAGGGCGCACATATTGCTCCGTACTCAAACTGGTGGCCGCATCCGTATGTTTGACAATGGCAGACTGGTTGTCATGTTAGAGCCTGGACCCCTGAATCTGTCAAGCACTCAAAAATGACACGGCTCTGTCATGCGGCACAACCACTCTGCGGCTTGCAGTGCGACGGCAATCGGCTATGCATGCGTGTTTCTTGCGTGCAGCTCTAGCTTGCGCCGTACCTGCAGCCAGTGGCCTTGTGATCACACACATGCATCTAGGGACGCAACCACCAAGATGGGTTTGGACGAGCTACATTGGGCAAGTCGGCGGGGCGGCTGAAGTAATATTGAAGCGCAATCTCAACGCACTGGTGTTGGGGGCCGCATCGTGCGTGTTGCGTCGTGCAAATTTCAATAAAAAGAAAGAAACAAAGACGCTGGTGTTGGTTGCTCTGGCGCCGACCACCTGGTGCGCGGTGTCGTTGCCTCTTGAGTTATTGTTGTTGTGTATATGCATGTCTAATGCGGCTGAGCATTTAGACTAATAGGTCATGAATGAGGACGTGCATGCATTGGTCGCCGAACATTATGATGCTCACCGCGTCGTAGCGCAAATCACAGTGCAGTCGAAGACGTCAAAATGATTCAGATCCTCTGTAGGCTTGAAAAAAAAGAAAAGTGCTCTTTCGTAAAAGCGGTGAATTCACTGAGAGTTGTCGCACTTCAAAGGCCCGGCGCGGACGGTAGCTTGCGATAAGTCATGTCTCGGACTGGCGATCTCTGGCTATCGGGCTTCTATCAGTCGGCGAAGGATCAGACACGTAGGCCATTTGATTCGAGCCTGATCCGATACCAAGATTGATCTACCATGCGGTGTGCTTCGTTGGGCTGCCAACACCATTTCCCACCGCTGGACACCCTGTCACGACTCTAATTTAATGAGATTGCGGCTGCAAGATGCTGGTACGGCTGACCTGTCAATGCTGCAGGTCTCGCTGCAAGAGGCAACAAAAAGGAAAGTGCGCGTGCCTACAAAGTGGTATTCAGCAGAGATTGCAGCTTGATCCCAAGATATGCCCCCTGCACTTGTTGTTTCTTTTTCGTCCTCGCAGATTGCCCATCGACGCAAGCTCATTGGCCAATTGTCCGAGGTCTTGGGACACAGGTGAAAAACGTGGGGTTGTGACAGGCTTCACGGTCCAAGGGGAATATTGCGGTGGTGCAACGCCGCTGTGAGACTTCATCCTCAGTATTCGCAGATACTTCGGCCGACAATCAACCCCTCAGTGATAAGATTCTGAATCGCAAAGTAATTCCCTGCTTAATTTGACTTTTGACAGCGCAGCCATGGTTCCTGAGAGGCGTTGAGGGGAAGGCAAGCATGGCGAATGAGCGATCGCCGTGGTGCAAGCCACACATGCCGATACCCATGTCCTGCTGGACGCCATTATCTAAGCGATCTGGCTAATTCGATGCGGGACCGCCGTTCTTTTTGCTCGCTTGCGAAGAAAGACATGATGGCGTTGAGGGGGAGATGAGGAGCAAAAAGCAACTTGGCAAATAGGAAGCTAGTTGCATCTTTGATTGGACCTTGCATACTTCGTGGCTGCAAGCAGCAGATCTCCTGCCGCGTCGGCTGCCAAGCACGTTGCTTCGGCTCATGATCGATCGGTCTGGATTCTCAGCCTCGGAGGGCCCCGATCAGCGTGGCCGTGATGGATGCGACGGGGGGCAGAGAAGGCTGAGCTGCCCTCGACCCACTAGCCTGAGGGCTACGAATGGATCATTGATTTCGATAGCGATGAATGCGGTATGTATTCGCGCTTTGGACAGGCATGTGCATATGAAGCTGTATGAAGTTGCATGAAGCTGTGGCAGCTGGTAATATCGACGCTGTAAGAAGCTGTGAGAAGCTGTGCGAAGCTGTGAACATGGTGATCGGTGATTGTCTCAGAGAAGTTACTTTTTGGAGCTCCGTATTTGCAACAGGCAGAGTCACTTCCAGGTTCATATCAGGGAGGAGGAAGACTTGCTCCGCTTCTCCGTACATACACGTATCGTGCTATCTTGAAACCTCACGCATTAGCGTATCCATGTGCTAAATGGGTACAGAGCACTACCTGCCGCTAGTGGGAGGCAACTCGCGGCAAGAGAGTCAGAGGAGGTGATCGGTTCCTGCCTGCTCCAGGCTACAGTACAGAGCACCTTAGTCATAGTGATATCAGAAGTACCTCTTCGTAGGCGTGGAGCGGGTAAATACGACTTCAGCCAAAGAAAACACCATCGCTTCTCGATCGCCACGATGGAATCATGGCTAACGACATTAGCGTGGCCCGTCACTCATCCACCACGCAGCTGACCGCAAAACTATCACCGCCAAAAGCAATTCTCATCACATAGTGCCTTCGATCCACACGGTTCCTGAGCGATCGAGCCAGGGCGCGGGCAAACGAGACACCCACTAACAAGTTTTTGACTTTGACGATGCAATTAGTACGACTGTGGCTTCACACAGAGCCTTGCCAAGACATTGATAGGTACCGCTCTCCAGAGCTCCAGGTACCTGCATGCATCTCCTCCCTTGCGTCGAGCTATCACTGCCGACGTCGTCGTCGCATCGAGGCATTCTGCGGGCTTTCTTGCAAACCAGCGCGCGCTGAAGGACGCCGTGGCCCTGCTGTTACTGTAATTACTGCCTGCCAGGTAGCTGTGATTGCGCTGACTGCGAGGATTCCGTATCAGATGCTACAGGTATCAACCCCAGGGCCAGAAGAGTCAAACGGCAATGGCGGGCGTCGGAGAGCAAAGGACATGGGAACCTGTCGGCATGACGTCGCCCACACGGCATGCAAGTACTTTACAGTAGCTCAGCGCAAAGTTTTGGCAGTGTGAAGCCACCGGGGGACCCCCTGGTCTGGTCTGAATTCCTAGCAGCTGGACGACCGGGGTTCGTCAGCCCATGATTACGAGGTGTGGCCGTGGTTGGCTTGGCCAGGACGACGCCGGGTCAGTTGGCTCAATGAAGGGCCAGGATTCTGGCGCAGGGCAACTTGTTTCGTTTGGTTTAGATCGCCCCAATCACGCTGAAGCAGACTTGACGCACACACCCACGCAAGCATTTCGGAGAGCGTAGCTGCTTGTTGCGCACCGGGCTCTTGGGAAATCCAGAAGCTGTTGGAGTAGAACTCTACCTTATCTACCCATGGTACAACACAACAGAAGACAAGCCACCAGCACATGCCAAGCTTAGGTCGGCAAAGCCAATCCTCCTTGGCGTTCCGAGCACTGATTCATGAAGCACAGAGTTACAGCCGCGGGCACCAGAGTTCACGGAGGGGACGGGTCTTAGTTGGAGTCATCACGACAGTCGAAGGCGTCAACGTGGAGAAACCCAAGCTGCCGTAAGGCCTAGCAGGACGCCCTCAAGCCCTGGGCGAGCTGCTCAGCAGGACCGATGCAAGACAAGTCGAGCATTCGCAGGTACGAGACGAGAGCCGGCCAAAGCCACCGCCCGGTCCAGGCTCCATCCGACACCCATGCTCCAGGACTTATACTAGCCCTGCAATTCACACGCCCACCAAGGACTAAACTAAGACCTGGGTGCTCGTACACGCCCTCACCTCCCACACCTCCGCATCATGGACGAATTGCACATATATGGACCGAGCCATCTCCTCTCGGCACTCCGGAAGTTCCTGCATCACGGCCTCATCCATCTCTACCCCTCAAATCCAGCTCTCTGAGCTTTCAAAAGGTACCAGATCGACCGAGTTTTGGATTTGCATCTTGGACGAATCAACCACCTCTGATCTGATCGTCTGTTTCGCCACCTCCTGCATTTGTGTGCCAGCTACTACGACATCACACGCACGACTACATCATACACCTTCTCCTCACCCTCCCTCTGCACTTAATTGGGCCGATCGAGCCGCCTTAGCTTGCATATCGATTGAGTTTGCGTTTTATCATTAATATATATTATCAACACCATCGCCTTCACGCAGCGATCAACTATTTTCTCATCCATACCTCAAACGACTTACACCCACTCACACTTACACTCACAACATATCCACACCCACACACTAAACATCTCTACAACCACCATCGCCATCATGCCCATCTTCAGTGGTCTGGGCCAGCGAAGAGGGTCGAAGCCTCGAGAGCTGCACATCCGCAAGGTCTCATTCTCCGGCTGCTCACTTGCTTCTACTTCCGACCGATCATTTTCATCCGATTCATCAACATCAACCATCCGCGCCATGACTCCTAGCCTGGCTACCAGCGTCGGCACTGCTTCCAGCTTCGATGGCTTCTCTATTCACTCAGCCTCTCAACCTCCCAAACGGCTACATGACCGGCCATATATCATGACCAACCAGCAACACTACGAGTCAGCGCCAGCGTTTTATGACAGCGAGGATGCCGAGAGCAGTGATATGGAGGCGTCAGAGAGAGATTTTGACGGCGAGGATGAGGAGCTGCCTCAGTTCACCATGGAGCTGCCTCATGCCAGCCCTGTGAACCATCACGACTATGAGAGTGGGGATGAGCCCCGAGACTACTTCTTCCAGTACATCAACAAGCGACCTTCTCTACCTCGATCTCGCTGGTCGGAATCTACCATTGAGAGCGTCGACTCACTAGATGACATGACTCCCGTGACGAGCATGTCTGAGCCCGTCTCATCAAACACCATGGCTGATGCTGAAGAAGCTGAAGCCGCAGGCGAGTCCACGCCTAGCACCATTACCTCTATCACCACCGCCCCCAAGAGGCCTACCTTCAAGACTGTTGACAGCTTTGAAGACTACGTCAAGCGCGGGGGCTGGAAGCGAAGAGGCATCGTCTTCAATCGTGACGAAGTGGACACATATTAAACCTGATCACACATCAACACACCATCTCCTATCAACCAGTATATTCTCTTCATTGCACATATTTTTATCATTATCAGCGCTTTAACTTTTTTTCTGGCGAGATTAATCATCAACATATGCACGCTACACGCAAGACATTGGAGTCTACTTATTTGTCTTTTTTTTCTTTTTGTTTTCAGGTTTATATGGGAAGAATTCATTGGGCACTTGGCGACGGCCTCGGATTATGGCCAGTCACAAAAAAGAAGCGACGCTTGCAACACTGCATTTTTCTTTGATTTTGGGAATTAGGGACGAAGCGACGGCTGGAAAGGACATCGATTCGCATTGGATACCCGAGGGGGGTGGACCCAAGACTACCACACTACAATACGTCTATCATTGACTATTTTCCTTTTTGTTTATTTTGCATCTATCTACTCTAGCATATAGCTTACCCACATGGGCACAACGCCCCAAACACGTTGCTCCAAGATTATCAATACAGAGCACAAACAACCATGACGTTCCATCCTTGTTCCTCAAGTTTGCAGTGACTACTCCGTACACGTATAAACCTTTTTTACTCTTTATCTGCCATGGCTACTCGGTAGGTCGGCAACCACTTTTCACAGCCGAAGCGCAAAAAAACCTGGGCGTCGTCATTCCTCTCCACTTGCACGGGCAATGGCGTGCCGTACGAGATGCCGAGCCACGCGACTTGCTGGGCACCCAAAACCCCTGTGCTGGCTAGCTCTGTTTTTTTTCAGCAGCCTTCTGTTTTTTTTCTCGTCTAATTTTTTTTTTTTCTTTGCCGGGCATCGTGACCTGGAAAAAAAAAAAAAAAAAAAAGGGCCTCGGCAGCGCCGTCGGGCCAAAACCGAGTGGATGCGGTGCTGCTATTAATAACGGAGGGAGCAAGAGCCAGAGCAGGGGTGCGCTGTATGCGTTTCTGGTGCCTTACAGTAGCAGCATTTCGTATGTACAACATGCACAAGTCTTTTTCCGATTGGAATACGGGGAGAGGATGCATGTAGAAGACGATGGAATGGCTTACGAGTGGTTGGAATAGAAACACTAAAAGCTGCAAGTAAACTTCTACGGCATAAAGTAGAAGCATATTTAGAAAGATGACTTGCAGCAAGAGTGGCAATTGTTCTTCTGTACCACGTCGCTTCGATTTAACCTCGTTCTAGCAAAAATTCATACGCCTCTCGTTTATCGTTGAGTTTTTGGCGTATTCGGCTCTGCGAAATACGCTTTTAGCCTTCCTTGCTGCCCTTTTTCGAAACGCGGCTCAACAAAAGCTGCCGTGTGACCAGCATCTCCGGAGAAAGACAAAAGCACGTACGTAACTTTTTGAGATTAATCTTATGGAGTTGCTCGATTACATTACGAGATTTCACCCCCGGTCAGTCTCTGATAAGGCTGAGGCAGCCAGCCAGCCGGCCCAGTAACTACCGTAACTGGGTTTTGATTCCTGATCAAAGCTTACTAACCTTCTCACGGGTCAAAAATGTGTACTTGTAGATGCGCATGTAAGACGTGAAATGAAGGGACTGGGGGAGCCTTCCATCCTTTTGCTTCCTTTCCAGGGGGCACACAGACAGGCTGTACCACTGTAAATTTGCTGTAATTTTGTTGAATGCCACGCTGGCGTTACATCACAGGTGAGGCGTGTCTGTTAGGACGCAGCTGAATCTAGATCTTTTTTTCTTTTGCTTCTTCTCCCTTGTTGCCCAATTGGGAATCACCAGATGTCAGTAGCCCAATCGCATAGAAGCTAATAGCCCAAGCAATTAGACCTCGCCAGAAAAAAAAAGCAAAAAAAGAGGCGGTATAGAAGAAAATTTTCTAGTGCCCGCGATGTCCTCAGCTGAGAAGTCCCAGTAGTCTGGCTGTTAGTTCTACAGCTAGACCCGAAGACTATCACGGGCCACACAGCTAATTTTTCCCTTAGATCCTTTTTTTCCTTTTTCGCTTTGGGTCGGGGGACCCAAACAACATGGAGCTACGAGATTTGAGACGGCAGTGTCCGAGCTACTGAGCACAGCCCTTATTTCTTTCACCTTTTCTTTTTTACTCGCCGGATCCGCCCTCAAAAGGACGGTGAGCATGATGTAAGACCCAGGAACCCTGAAGGAGCTCCCGCGCTTTCGGGGATTGACAGGGGCCGGTCCCTGTCAGATCCACGTGTTGGGGGAGTGTCAGAGCGTTTTCGCAGGATTCCAGTGGGATGGTAATGGCTCCGTAATACTTCGAGCCGAACACGGATCAGGATTGGGTGAGACGCGTTGGAATGAGGTGAAGGGTACTTTAAAAGGAGGATCACAACTTTGTGCTGCTAATGTTAGTGTTAGGGAATGGGACACGAAGCGGTGAATGATGCCGTTGTGAAGCTAACCTAGGTGATGTTAGTCGAGAAATAGACTACGGCCGCGACAGAGGAGAGGGAAGAAGGGTAGGGCTGAACGAGACCATTGTGGGCCTTGTGCTTCGTATCGACTCCCTTTTTTAGGTTTGAGTGTAAATGGTTGCATATGGTAAGAGTGTCAGCCATGATCCCCATGTAAGAATATTCCTATTGAGAGCTTATAGCGATAGTAGATCATGTAGGTGTAGGTAGAGCAAGTAGTGGTAGATAGATCAAGTAGCGATAGGTAGATCAAGTAGTGGTAAATAGATCGAGTAGCGGTAGATAGATCGTGTAGCGGTAGATAGAGCAATCAAAAGTACAGAGTGGACAACAGTCTACCATATCACAACTTTATTACTCGTACGATGACTGGCCTTAGCTGAAGCTAATCCCACCTCCATCAGTTACACACACTCTCTCTCGCGATGCCCTCTGGGAAACAATGGACACAGAAAAAAATCATATCAGACTTATGGACCACATATTGAGCTTCACTCGATATGCTCTAGCAACACGAAAAGAACTCGATCGCCTGGGACACAGTACATGGATCGAGCGGTTCGCCATGGAGTTGTCGGTTCGGCAGCTTTGTCACAGTCCTCCTATTTGAGAAGTTAGCGATGAGAATACCAGTTAATATGGAAAGCTGCAGAGGTTCTCACCTCAAAATATCTTTGATGCTTCTAGGATCGTTTCGACCGTAATTAGCGAATTGTCGCCATTATTCCTCCCACCAAACACCACATCGGGGAAACCTACGCGCATCAGCAGATCGTTGTCCTGGAAAGCACACAGTTAGTATTTAATCTCATTTTTTGTGATACAGGATATTCTTACGGCGGCCCGTTCCTCATGGAACTAGAAGATAAACATATTAGCCACTCATGCCGAGTACTCCATACTGCTAGGCATGTGCTTACCTTGGCCATTTTTTCCGCATACTGAGTAGCGTGTGAATGTCAGTGTTGTATATCGGCCGAAAGCCGAAACCGATGGGTCTACTTACTTCTTTGGTCTCTTTCTGTAAGATTAGTTGTTAGCAACGATAAAGAGTATAATGATGCCGCTTTAAAAACTTACATCGACCTTGGCCTGTCAAATGGACTTACGGCGAGTCGGGCCTAAGTCAATGTTAGCCACGCAAGTCTCTGAGCGAGTCATTCTCTGGTAGGACGCCCATAGGGTCTCATAGTAGTACTTACGGAGGTGCGTGTTCCAGTCATGCTAAACCGAACGTCAGCAAAAGAAGAACGTCAGCGGTGCTAGTAAGACGGATGCGTCCTACTTACGTGATTGTGTTGTCTGCTGGAAAAAACTAGTTAGCTAGGGAACAGAAAAGCAGCTCAGGCCGGGTATATGGTAGGAAATGCAGAAAATAACTTACAAGTTTGTGTCTTGCTTCTGTGTTAGTTCGCTCTCGTCAGAAGACGAGCATCGTGAGACTTACCGGTGGGAGAATGATGGACAGGGGAGAAAAGGAAGGTGGTGAACGGAGACGAAAGACCGTTCTCGTCCGGATGACCACCGGCAGTGGAAGATTGGTCGGTGTATGGATGCTGTGATCTTGGAGAATGGAGAAAAAGAAGAGTTGGAAAAGATGAAAAGGAGGAAACGGTAAATTCCTTAGGCAGTAAAGAAAGAAGGAGTGGCCGATGCTGGGGAGGTAAGTGGCCAGGCAACTGGTGACAACCGTTGTATTATTCCGGCTTGACACCTCAGGCACCCAACATAATCGTACCTTCCTTCCGGTAAACATCTGGTATCTACATCTACCACGTGCTTTTGCATGTACGCACTCATAATGTGGATTTATTATCTGTCTGTTGCATGTTTTACGTTTCTGGAGACTGGTGGTGGCTATCTGCAATGCAACGGCTACAGTACAAGCAGTGTCGTGGTGAGATGCGGACAATGAAAGCGTCTCCTATCTACTTATGCACCCAATGCTTCGACCTGTATATTCTACTATTGCTACTTTCTCTACTACTGGCTAGGTACTATCGCTATCTTTTCTAGCGTCCATATATCCAGATATCAGATTGTACAGAAAATTCCATTCGCAGTCTGTGTAGGTACCTGTAGTCATTTTAACGCTCGCTCGTATAACTGCACAATATCTGTATCTTTCAAATCCTTATCACTTTTTTGTATACAGTCATGCATTGCTTGTATTGCTCTTCTCTCGGTATCTCCATAATGTAAACATCTGTCCATTCATGCTATCTTGAGTTTGATTCAATTTGTCATAGTAACGATCAAATCTCTGGTGATCTTATTTTCCAGTTGTAAGTAATCTTCATATACCCTGTATATTCCATGATAGTCCAAGAGGCTCACTAGCAGTCTCGCCAAAGGAAATCACTCCCCGTTGAAGCTATCATAGGAAAGCATCCTTGCGTCCAAGTTTGAGAAGAGCTCCGAGACAGGGTAATTGTGGAACTACTGGGTTAGTGTGGCCAGTGAATCTAATCTCCAACGAAGCAGAACTAGATAGACAAACTAACGATAGCCTCATCAGGTAGGAATAGATTGATCAATTGCCGAAAGTTTCACCGAGTAGAAATTGATTACAGAGATAGTTCAGGCTTGAAGGAGTGAGCTTCACATGTTTGTGGCTTGCTGCGTATCTGGTGTTAGTCAGCCAGTGACCAGCAAATGAGGCGCCCCAAAACATTAAGCTCTCGAATCGGGTAATTGTGGCGCCGCAGATGTGGCTAGTGAATTCACCTTGTTAGCTGTGTTGTTGTGCCAAGGTTTTTCTATTCGCTCCAGAATTTTGTATCAACTCTCGGGACTCTGCATCTCGCCCATTCGACCAATCTTTGGCCCTCCAATCGCGGCTTCATTGGGTCACCATCTTTAACTCTCCCTACCTCAGCCCGCGTCGCGTCTTAGGCAGCTATCCTCCTCTCACATCATCGCCCACCATGGCGCCGCTCATCCTGCACAACGTCCCCGATGACGAATGCTACGTTGGCGAGGACGGCATCAAGCGACCCTACGCCATGATCTATCCGTAAGCCATCATTGCATCTTCTCACCTCCTGTTCAAAACACCACCAGCAAGCTGACATTGCCATCTTCCCCCCCAGACACGAAGGCACAACGAGAACACGGCGCAGCATCGCCGAAACAGGCTCTTTCGGAAAGTCAACAAGACGGTCTCGCTCTAAAACAGGGACTCCGGCTCGCGGTCGAGAGAATCCCACGCTCGCCGCCGCAGACAAGCTCTTCTACGACTGGGTGTCCAACCAATCCAATTCCAACCCCCCCTCCAACCCCAACCAGCGCAAGACAAACGCCGGCGCCGCTTCAGGCGCGCAGGAAGATGCCGTGCCCCAACGCGCCGCCGTCAAGTCCTCCCCTGTCGAGCTCATCCTGAGGGGCTACCGCTCATCGACCCAGCAATACGCTGCCATCGCCCACTACGAGTCTCTCGCCGGCCTCATCCTCGAAGACTATCCCAGAGAACCCCCGTCTTCGCAGAGACGATACAAGTCGGAGCTCCGCGATCCCGCATTCACGCGCCGCCGAAACCTCACCTCCGAAGAGCGCGCCCTGGTCAACCGCGCCGATGGTGGCGAGCACTGGGTCAAGGTCACGTTTGCCAGTGCAGAGGCCGGTAACGCCGCCGTTTACTCCAGCCCTCAGAGAATACTAGGACACCTAGTCTACGCTGAGCCCTACCGGGGCGTGGCTCCAGCTAAAGACGAAGCCTGCCCGGACATTGAGCAGCTGGAAGAGGGGCGATCAAAAAGCGTACCGAACTTCGCGCCCCCCAGCTTCGGGCATGCCCAACGGAAATCGGTATCGGGTCTCCCCACGACGTTTAACAGCCGTCTTCTCGACCTGTCTCCGGCTGAATCTAGAGAGTCCAGCCAGACGATGAACTCGACTACCCTCTCTCACGGCTCCAGTGCCACCATCACAGAACCCATACCCTTTGCGTTGACGTCTAGCATCGAGCCCCTGGAAATCGATCAGGAAGATAGCATCTTCTGCAGACGCATCCCCACCGCGCGCAAGGCTCGTCTCCTCCCCGCCGAGCAAGCCCTCCTGCCCCAGCAGTCCGTCATGCAGCGCATCCTCAACGCGCTTCCCATCATCAAGTGGTTCTCCGGCAGCATGATTGGCAACGAGGTGCCTCGGACGGAAACAGGCGAATTCGACTGGAATCGCGCCAGTCTTTACTGGAAGGTAATCTGGTGGCTCGACGCTACGTTTAGTCTATTCAAAGGCGATGTGTATTGCATTGATAAAGACGATTAGATGGGAGGCAGATGATTGGCGGTTAATACTGGCTGAATAGGTCAATACCCTTTTCCCCCTTGTTTTTCTGTTTCTTTTTTTTTCTCTCTTTTCGCGTTCGAAGCTAGGACGGTTCTTCACGATACGACGTAAAGGGGCGGATGACTGGACCATCCAAAACAGCGTTCGTCGAAAGCGAAGCAGCGCACATAAAGTGAGGACGAGCTGCTTGAGCAGCCAAAGACGGGAGGTTCGCAGCATCAGCATCACAGGGTACCCAAATCATGACTCTTGTAGGCGTTTACTGGTGGATAAAAGGGAATGTACGTATGTGAGATGAAGCTCTTTTTTTTTTGTTTATTGTAAAATGGAAATCCTTGGGGTCCATAGCTGTATCTTTCTCTTTTTTGGTGACAACCCCCCTTTGAATATGTGCTTTAGACATCTAGGTATGCAAGAAACGAGAGAAGAATAAGAAGAGAAAAAACAAAAAAAAAAAAGGCTCTTTGCCCGCCTTCCCAAGTATCCATGTTCTCTTCAAAAACAAAAGGAAAAAGTAAGCAATCTGTCAAAATCATTTCGTGAAGCCATTCAATCATATAGACGGCGAGAAAAAACCAACACCAAACCATGCTAGTGACCAAAAGAAAAAAGAAAAGAGGAAAAACAAGGAAACCTCCTCAAAAAGGGTGACTCTACATCCCAAGCATATGCCCCTACGTCGCCTCAGGAGAAAGCTCCAAATCGTTCATCGGATTGAGCGAATCTCTGTCGTCGAAGTGGGAGTCAAATCTCAGCGGTCTTCCTCTTTCTTCCTCTTCTTCTTCCTCTTCATGCCTTGGTTCTGCTTCGTCCACAATTTCTCGCTCCGTCTGCTCCCCGCTGTCGGCATCCGAGTGTGTCTGGTTCCACACTTGCTCCAACGGCTCCAACGGCTCCAACGGTTCTTCAGCTCTGTCGTGTATTTCATTTTCAACTTCGCCCGCTTCTTCCTCCTCCTTAATACCCTCCTGCATAATCGATGTGAACAAGTCGTCTTCAAGATTAGGAGACGACGGGCCTACAAGATTATCCAGCAAGTCATATGTCACGTCCGTGGGTGCCCTCCGGATCGGCTGAGGAGAAAAGGGGCGGGCATTTCGCGGCTTGTTAAAGTCAGCCGAGAAGACGCTTTCAGAGTCACCGCTTGGTTTGGGATCTGAGGCCATGGCATTAAGCGCCTGGTAACGATCATGGTCCATCAGCAAACTCTCGCTTCGTGGTTCGGACGTCGTATCGGCCAGGATGCTCTTTGGCGGCAGGATAGAGAAGAGCTTAACTCCCTCTCCACCGCTTGCACCAGCACCATGTATACCATCATCCTCAATTGCAAACAAGTCCTGGCCTTTTTCCAGAACATCGTCCAGGCCACCACCACTCCAGCCCTTTCTGGCCAAGCTTTCGAATATGTCGACTTCGGCTCGCACAAGACTACAACTAGCATCGACAATACGCGCGCTCGTCTCTTGGCTTTCCCTTAATAGCGTTCTCGCATGGTCTCCATGTAGAGTCGTCAACCCGTCGAGCTTATAAGTCAACTCGACAAGATGAGCTCTGAACCGGGCAACGTCCCGGCGCCTCTGCTTATGCAACTTTAGGCCTTCCTTTTCCAGGCGCTTAACCTCTCTGCTCTGTGCCTTGATGCTCTGCTGATACGTCTCCTCTTCGTCTCCAATGACGGTTTGCCACTTGTCGAGCTCGTGGAGCAGGGGTACTTCGAAAGAGCGGTAGACAGTCTCGGACAGAATCTGCTGGTGGTTTGCAATCAGATGATGCACTCCGGATGCAGACATGAGCGTATCTGCCGTGCATTGACCTTTGGTCGTGAAGCTGGCCGTCATATTGGTAGCCCCAGCGGGGCCAATGGGCTCTGACCGCGCCTCTTTCAGTCTGGCACATGCTTCCAACGCCGAGCCAAAAGTAGAGGCAGCCGTAGATAACGCAGCGAGAGCAACCCTATAGGCCTTGGCCGAAGTCAACAGGTCCGCATACGCCTCCTGGGACCGCTCGAGGTCTGCGTTTGTTATGACAGCATGCAACGGGCGTGGGGGAGGCGGTAAGGGCAGGTTGTACTGAGACAGCGGCAGAGCAGTCGACGCGAGAGAATAGACGGGAGACTCAGGCATCGGAGGTAGCTGGGAGGGCGTCGGACTGGATGGTCGAGAAACAATCGGCGTCGCCATGCCTTGATGAGATGAGAAATATCAAGTTCCAAAAGTGAGAAAGCAGACAATTCCGCTGATGCAGCGACAAGACTCGTTCGCGGTTGCGGCACGGATGGTAAGATGGGATGCTTCGCTGCCTTATTGATAAGAGCAGACAGAGCTGGGCAGGGCTGGAGGATGCAAATAGCTGGAAGACAAAAACAGCGCGGGCCAGCAGCAGCAACGACAATAGTTCGTCAGACGGTCTGAACTGCAGACACGACAGGACCAGAAGAGAAGATGGCCAGGCCGCAGCACATGGCAGAAGTGCAGTGCAGTGCAGTGCCGTACAAGATGAAGGCAGGAGTTGAGTCTGTCTGTACAAGTTATGGACGAAATGTTATGTTAGGTATCGGTATCAGGCCCGGGCTTGAGGTTCCCTGCAGGCCCCCACAGGGCGGTAAGACGTGGAGGGGTCTGGCAGAAACAGCGGCAAGTTTAGCGACCGGAAAGCCTGCAGCGTCTCATTCTATAGCGTGATCAGTTGGCGCAATGCCCGCCGTGGCCATCCATAAGCCGCCACGCATGACACCTGACGTCAATGCAGAAAAAAAAAGTTCGAGTACATTAGCTGTGGTGCCCTTATCGCGGCCTGTTATCCCTTGTGATGCGGGAAGCCTGGAAGAGAATTAATCGGTGCAGTACTTGCATTGCATCGCTATCATTTAGGGGGGGTGACGTGGTTTTTTAGGCGTGTTGTATAAGCCACCACAAAACACCGGCTAACAAAACATGAACACTTTGATGCCTGCGGTGTTGCAATACGTTGGTCGATGCCAGCAATTGATATCCATATAAGCAGAGCATACCTACCTGTACATAATGTGTACGCATGTAATACAAAGAACCTCTACCAATACTCCGTTCGTACTACTAGACCACACAATGTACTAGCACATTGGATCGTGCTGTTTTTAGTAGCAGATGGAGCTGTCTGGTGTCAAAATATTAGCACATGCATGGATTTCCGCAGCGGATGATCCCCCTCTTGGTCTCGAGTGGGACAGATGCCCTTGTTTCTTGCATTGGCCTAGGCGCCTACGAATACAAGTTCCCACTCTTTGCTCCGTTGTCATTCTGCGGAGGCAATACGAAGCACGTACATCCTCGTACATACATGCGGCAGCGGTTCAACTCGCCGTGCCTCACTCATCCCATTCATCAACCGTTCCCAAGACCCTCTGTAGACTTGACCATCAAACACTAGCAAGTCATGCTCCAGGTCCAGCTAAGACAAGTTCTCGTCGATAAAGGCCTCTACATCGTCCAGCTCGTCCTCGCAAGTCGCATGACCCAGTCCGCTGCCCACCACCAAACTGTTAGCATGACCCCCGACACCTTGAGCACTCATATACAGCTAGAAAGCAGTTGAGTTGATTTCGGGGTCACTCACGGATATACATCCCACGAGATTGAAAATCCCATCGCCGTCAACGCATCTCGGCTCTTCTTGGCCAACCCCAGCGTTACCATGCGGTCTTCTATGCCGTGACCCAAAAAGATGGGCGTCTCCTTGCTTGCATTATCTTCGGGTACATATTCCATGAAGTTTTCGATCAGCGGTAGCCATGCCGAGAGCAGCACGACGCCAGCGAGAGTCTGTGGGAACGTCAGGCCGGCGAGAACAGCTACCACCCCGCCCTGAGAAAAGCCGGCAACGATGATGCGGTTTGCGGGTGTACCAGCGCTGATTTCATCGTTGATGAGACTTTGGATGTAGTCTCTGCTGGCGAAAATACCGTCTACGTCTTCATCGGTCTGAAGCGCATCTGGAGAGCCGTCGTAGACTTGCTGCAGCAACATTAATATCACGTAACACAATCTGAGAGGCGGGGGGAAACCATACAATATCAAACCACGCGGGCATCGATACTCCCCCTTTCTACACTTTTATCAGCCCTTAAATCACAGACTTCCAGTGAATTGGAGCACTTACTGCGGTGAATGCAATCACAGGCGCATAGGGAAGCACAAATTTAACGTGGTCGAGTTGGCCGTTGCCTCTCCAGTGCTCGACCGACCCAAGTGGTATGTCTGGTGTATCGCCTAACCCATGGATGAATATCACCGTTGTCGTGTGTTCAGCCAAGGCTTCGACGACGACGGGGTCTGTCCGAAGAGCAACTGATTTTCCCTTGTCTACCATAATTAGATATTATAGATTAGCACAGTCTGAGTATCACAAGCACCACATAAAAAGTGGCTTGGTGTTACGGCGCCGAGAATGATAACGAAGGCAACGAGTGACACAGATCCAAGCACTGAGACCAAGGTAAGAGGGGTCGAGAGTCAATAAGGCACACATTGTCACTATCGGTGCTCTCCCTGATTTATACTGTATTTTTGGCGACAGCGCATCATCTAGATGTCTCAGACAGCCTCATGTTGCATAACAACCGCCAGTCATACGTTGCCAAATAAATGCAGGGTAACCGCCCTGCGACCAACCAAAACTTATATGCATGTCCCATATCATGTTGATTAAATGGCACGCCATCCTTGCAGCTTCATGGGCTGTTGGGTTTAATTAATTCGAGGCTGGCTTTGCATGGAGGGAATGATGGCTTTATCTGAAACTCATTTGCATGATCTGCGTAGGTACTTGGTGGTGGTTATACCCCATCAAATTCATAGAGGGAAGCAGAGCACCTGTGTATTTTAAGAGACATCACAGGCGAGACAACAATTTCCTTACCTGTGTATATTCTCCCAACGGGAAAATAAACTCTCCATCGCTCACCTAGAAGGCCATACTTTTTAGGCATCTCTCCTTGAGCAGATATAAGAGTACATCACATCTCAACAGACGACAAGGTAGTAGCTCGCAGGATCATCCTTTTCGTATCCCAAACCAATCAATTAAACATGCTATTGCATCCCACTCATTCCCGGATTAAAAAAGAGAAATATACACAGCGATCATCCCATCGCTAGCCCTCTCCGTCCCTCAATCGCATCAGTCCCGATGCTTTCCCAAAACGCCGAATATCAGACATTTATGCAGAGCCGACGAGGAGGCCGTTGAGAGGAATGTGTACTGCAGCAAGACCCAAGTTAGCCAACAATGGTTTTCTCCATGTATTTCACACCCTGGAGCAGGTAATAAAATTGGAAAACGCACTCAGCTTGACGATGAATCCGACAGCGCCCATGACGCCGAAGCCGATGCCAACAGCCTGGCACAGCTTGAGAAACTCCTTCTGGTCGGCTAGAAAAAGGGTAAACAAGACGTGTTAGCTTGGGGCGACGCAAGTGCACAGGCAGAGCAAGGGACACGTGGTGGGAGAGATGCGTACGCTTCTGGCAGCGGTTGATGAACTGCACGCCGTCCTTGAAGAACTCGCGGGGAACCTCGAGGATCTCCTCAACTTGATCGGCCATTGTGGAAGGGTTGGAAAGGTTGGGCGCGAAGATGCGATTGTTGGGATGCAATTGGGTGCAGTCGCGTGGAGTTGGGAGGAGGGAGAGAAGAGAGTGATGGTGTCGCCAATGGGTTTCAAAGAGGATGCTATGTTTTAAGCCGAATTCTGGAGTATTAAAATGCCACCTCGCCTCAATGGGCGTGGGGACCGGGGAAAGTGTTTGGCCGATGTTCTGCCGGCTGCGAAGCTCGAATCTAGAATGTGCCGTTTTAGGATGCTGGGAATGGCGTCCTAGCTCAGCCGGATATCCACCATCCCATTGTGAAGGGAGTGAGTGGCTGGTTGGCTGGACGCATATTTTGTTATTCAGCAGACAAAGTTTATGGACAGCTATTAAAAGATATATATTTCTACTCTGGCTACTATTCTATATTACGTCTACATCTATCTACTAGAAGATGGTAGCGATAGATATCTGTACTATCGGAAAATAGCTGGAATTTCCGTGAATATGTCTACTATCAGATAGCACCTACTTAAATGATAGAGTCATGGAGGTGATATCTGTTGGAAAGAAGCGAGATAGTATACGTACCTACAAACTTTATGTAAATGGAGTTAGTACCTCATTACTATAGACGTTCTATACCGTCTTGTTATTTAGTCTCCTACAACAACATCAACACACTATTAATTTGTTCGTCATCTTATTTTCAATCCTCAACAAGTTATGAGCCCGGCGCTCCGCTGACCAACGTTTTTTGATCTCCTGCAAGACTACAACACCAACTGCTGGCACGGTCTGCCCAAACGCCAACAAACTGATAATCGAACGTAGGGTCTGATGTGCCAAACCCACATACCGCCGGACCTGACACTCCTTGAACAGTCTTCGACAGGTTCTTGAGCCCGGCATATCGCTCAATGACAACATTTCTTGCAATCAAGTTCGTACATACGTGGCTGCAATGCACTTACATTGAAATATGGCTGGGAACTCTAATGTTGCCTTCACTTTACTTCCTTCCAGCTCAAGCTGTGCCAAGCCGTCGGCATTGGGTTCGGAGTCATGGGAGCTGTCGGATTCATCGTCAAGCTGCGAGGAAGGTGCCTATTTATACTACAATCCAACACAGCATCGTCTCTCTGTTAAGAAGAATGCCACCACCACGAGTTTATTATCCGTTGGAGCTGTATATAGATCTGGGAAGATATTGGAAGTAATATCCAGAAAATTACCCTAGTTGCCACTGATTCCTAGGTACCGTCGACTACGCTGTCCATGCATATGCCATAAACCCACCACTTCCATATTGCCGCCCATGCGATGCCAGAAAATAACCAAAAATCTCCATCAAAAACGCCCATGCAATGTTATATAAGAGCTCGGTACATCTCACAATTTCTCACTCACGACCTGCTCGCTCGTGAACCAGCTTCTTCCACCGGTTTAACAAGCCCCAGAGACCACCACTTGTTCTTCTCCGAATCCTTGGGTCCACAGCGCCAAGAACATGCCCGATAAAGAAAAGGCACTGCCATCTCCGTCTCGTCCTTGGTGAATGGTCTCGTAATGACATTCGTGGTGCCGCGATCAGGTAGGGGAAGGACGGTGCCCCTACATATCTCTCGCCACTCAATCCACTCAAGTCGAGGCACCACGAGCGTCTTCCCGCAAGTTGAACAATTCACCCCGCCGTTGTCTCTCTGCGAAGAGGCACGCTGCAGCAGCTTCTGAAGGTGTGAGAGCCCGTCTGGAATGTACGAATCGAGTTCACGAAGCTGGCTGCTATGATAGCAGCTTTGCAGCGCCAGTTCGACCAAGCTAGGCACAACGCTAGGCCGCGCCGTCACTTTCATTGAGGTTTGTGAGGAAACGGACGCAGGTAGACCAAACTGATCACTGCCTACTGCGACTGGCAGGTGTGTTATCGAAGATTCCTCCCTTGATGGGAGACGGAAGTCTGAGAGAATTTGGCCATTGGAGTCAGAAATCTGCAGCGGAGATCGGCCGAGCCATCGAGTCAAATATCGTGGCACTTGTTCATCATCGAACAACCATTTGTATCTGATTGAAGCGTATGGTGCCGGTTGTAAGATAATACCCTGGCCACCATTCTCCCCGTCAGGTGGAGCGGCCTGCTCTGGCTGTATGAACGGATTGACAAAGAGGGATAAGTCACGGAATTTCCCTCCGACTTTGAATAAATCGAGAAACTCAGCGGGCAGATACTTAAATCGGTTCTGCGATATGTTGAGTTGCCTCAGGTTGCTCAGCTTCGAGATTGCCGAGGGAAGCTCTGTGAGCTGGTTTCCACGAAGACTTAGCACTGTGAGGTGATTGATATCGAAAAGTGAGCCAGGTAGTCGTGTCAAGCTGTTCGATGCCATGAACAGCTTCAGCTCCGGCTCCCTCTGCACAAACGCAACATCCTTGGCCACAATGGGGATGCAAGCAATTTGACTGAGGCGGTTGACGGTATCATCCGACAACACCTCCAAGCCCATGGACATGAGATCCACGGTTTCATTGCCGGAGTCTAGACACTCTTGAATCTTGCGCCGGGCGCCTACTTCTGCCTGAGACAGTTGAGGCACCGCCCGGGCTCCCAACTGTGGCAACCTTGGCAATGCTGGGAGGTCCAAGCCCTCCACAAAGTCTTCGCCATCGGTGGCATCGCTCCCTAGAAAGACACCACTGTCAAAGTCCCTCTTCAAGTAGCGCTTTGTCTGGATGGGAGCAAGGGTGACATCCTCGGTGGAGGCGGCATCTGGCGATTCAAGCTGTTGTTGGAACCACGATCCAACGTAGCGTCTCTTGTGCCTCCCTTCGACATAATTGTCAAGCCCCGGGTCATCGTCACTAGAAAAGACAGCTGGGTCGCTGGAATTGAAATTCAAGGGCGACGAGGGATTCCCTTGCCGCGAACTAATACGGTGACGCTTGCGGGGCTGGTTGGAAAAGCTCTGAGATTGTTCATCCCACGAGACCGCAGGCAGTCGAGGCAACGACGGCTCTTCCGACATTTGACAGACAAGCACAGACACAGACGTGCCAAACAAACATGGAATCTACCTGAAACGTGTAATTGGAATTCCTGCCTTTCAAAAGCCGGAATATAACGACGTGACAGCGGTAGAAACGCGACCAACGCGTTCAGAGGGGGCTAGGCGTAAATAACTTGCAGCGCTACCAGTTGCAGCCCCACGCCGGCCTCCACCCTTGTCGCGTGCGTGGTGTATTTTGTGACAGCTCGAGATATCCTGGGCTGCCTGCCAGGCAGATGTTGCGTGGCAAAAGCTGCTCTGCTCTCTATGCTGTACTCGTATGCGCAGCGAGATGCCATCATTTCTTACTGTACCGTTCTTCCTGGCACTTTCATTATTAGAGCCAGCCAGCATCTCCATGTTATATGTCCATAGGTAGCATTGAATTTTTTTTAAGCTTTTGTCAGTAAGCCCAGATTTGGCCGTAGTTGCATCGGCCTCCCTAAGAATCCCAGGCCCCCGCATTTTTATCGGTTGGAGCAAAGACCCCTTTCGTGGCTATCATAAGCTACCAGGGTATAAGAGAAACCCGGTACGGACACCCGTCGGCGAATCTCCAGCTCTCTCTTGCTGACCTAAACTTCACAACTGGGACACATCTTGGGCGTTGGGGGTGGTGCAGCGTTGCGGGCGGTACTCGTATTAGATCGAGACTTTGCGTGGGCTGCAGTTCGAAGCGGATGTTGACTTGGGCAGAGATTGATTTCTATATAGCCCTGGCTCAGTCCCAGTCGTCGTCGTCGCTGTCAACCCGCGCTCTCCCAGCATTGCTTGTCTTGATGGTCTTGCTGGCCAATCGCTCCTCTTCAGCATCCTCCGCTGCCCTCCTCCTCTTGACCACTCGCAAATCGGAATCAGGCACAGCACCAACTTCAACAAGCAGGTCGTCAATCTGCCTCATGTTGGTCCGAGCACCAGCCAGGGTCATCAGGGTCACAATCTGCTTTACAATGTCTCCCTTGTTGTAGACCAAGATTGTCGGGCAGTTTCGATCCGGGTAGTTTTCAATGGCCTGGCTTGCTCGAATTTCGCAAAACTTGATGTCGCCGTACTCCTTTGCAGCTTGTCTCCAGAGCTCTGATAGAACCCTTGATTCCACATTGCCCGAGGTGGATGTGAGGTTGACGAAGACGGGGCCGTTATTGGAAGCCTCCGTGATTTCACGCTGGTAGTCGGGCTTGGATATGGGATATACAGAGCCGTGGATAGACTTCTTCTGTAGGTTGCTCAATTCGGCCATGCGCTTCTGGCGATACTGTTCCAGGAAGTCGTCATCTTCTTCGTCTTCTAGCTCGTCGAGCTCGTCCAAGTCTTTGCCCTCCAGTCGGTTCTCATGCGCAAGTCTTCTGGCCTCGAGAATGGCCTCCTCAATCATAGGAGTCGGGCTGGGTGGCTTCTCGGGGATAACGCCATGTTTGCGCAGAATGTCATTCCTATGGAGGGGTTAGATTGCTGCGCATCGACCATCGCGGGGCAGCTTACCATTCAGTATCGGCGTTGGGGTCGTCGATTGGAACGGCGATTCTTTGTTCTGAAGGAGCGGCCATGGTGAGGCTTTAGTCGAATGTAATTATCGGAGTAACTGTGCAGAGAGGCCAAGATGCTGAGAGAAACGTCAAGTAACGAAACGGCACAGTTGCATGAAGCAAAGTAGCTCTACCACCGTTGACAGCTGGCGTCGTGGGGGGCCGCGCAAATCTCCAGGCAGACAAAATAAGGGAGCCATCTTTTTTGGCTGCCTTGGACACAAAGATGACTCCATAGCTCTTATTCTGCACAAAGGCGGTGCATAAAATCCCCATATTTCCTTAGTCGCGGATTCACAATTGTTAGCGCGATGGAGCTTCTCTAGCTCGGTCCAATTGTAAGGAAGATACGGGGTACAACAGGGGACAAAAACTTCATCACGTGCTGGTGGGCGGCCAAACCCTATCACGCTATTCCGGTTTGGAGAAAAAATTCCTGTTGCCAGCGAACGAGATTCGCCCCCTCAATGTGCACCGAACTTTTCCTCGCTTAACTCCTCTCACTCCAGCTTGCGAGCCTCTCAAATCGTTGCCAGATTTCGTCAAGACCCTCGACCTCGCAAGACACTTTACGGCAAATTTTTTTCGAGACAATCAGACAAGATGGTGAGCGACAACCCAACCTTTTCTGCCCTTGGGAGGATGGATCGATGCGATGCGTGGGAATACCGGGATGGCGGAAGGATACTCGTCGCCTGACGACGAAGGGCATCAAACTTTTTTTTTGGGCCAACCGCTGGAGGACGATCCGGATTGAATTGCATCGATGGCATACTTGGGGAATGGGGATACAACACATCAAAGGGAAACAGAATTGCTGACTGGATATTGTCATAGGTGCTCGCTGTTGACCTTCTCAACCCTTCAGCGGCCTCTGAGGCCAAGAAGCACAAGCTCAAGGTACGAATCGAATCGAAGTCATCACGAATGACGCCACCGAATATGCACATGGGTTCCTAACGTTTGATTCATCTGTCTAGACCCTTGTTCCTCAGCCCCGATCATTCTTCATGGACGTCAAGTGCCCCGGCTGCTTCACCATCACCACCGTCTTCTCTCACGCCCAGACCGTTGTCATCTGCCAGGGATGCACCACCGTTCTGTGCCAGCCTACCGGTGGTAAGGCCAGATTAACCGAGGGCTGCTCTTTCCGAAGAAAGTAAACTGCCCGCGGGGCGGCTTTCTTTCCTTGGGTACTGATGACTCTTATGGTTATATGGTGGTGATCATCTCGGATCTGCAAACAAAACATCATCGACGTGGGGGATAGACAATATACCTTGCGAAAATAATCAATCTCTTTTGCAGATAGAAGATGGAACACCCAACACAGGGGCGTTTGGGGGTCTCCGGATATCTTGCATGGCACATCATTCTTCTCGTTTTTCCGTTTACGCGCCTTGTACCACAGAGTCGTTTCTTGAGGCAGGAACAAAAAAAATAAAGCACTGCATGGGTGTTCAGCTGGAGAAAGCATTCACTTGAGTGTCTAGATGGATCTTTGATGGACTGACTAGGCGCGATGACGTGGAGCCGCTGATTTGAGGATCGCTTCATACCCGGAGTGCAGTGGGTAGTGGAGGATAGCACTGTGCTTTTGCGAAATTCAAAGGTTTCCACGAATATTGTCGTCTTGTCGCCACCAGTGATGCCGTGATGTGTTATGTGAGGCCGAACTATGCTGGAATGTCCATTTGCTGCCCAAATCTCGGGCTGCCGCTTCCCAAAGGCGTTCGAAGGCGTTGAATGAACCCAGCTCCGTAATTGTAAACACGGATTATGTGATATGGAAAGGGATTGTCTTAATGGATCTATATTCGCTCGACGGATCCATTGTACTTTTGTTTCTTATTAAACCAAATTTGTACTTATACGGCGTTCGCTATCATAACGTCACTAATGCCTACTGTAACTGCTTTCGGTAATAACTGCAATGAAGAAGACGACGGCAACTAGTTTAGTATCAATGCAGCCAACCTAGTGATGCAACATCGTTTGTGATATTGTGTGAACTACGGTTCATCAAAATGAATTATAATAGAAACCTGCTGGACAATTGTAGTATGGCCTTGGGCTGATTGGACATCCTTTCCTTGTGGCTCTCTCAGTCAGTCAAGGTGGTGGTGAGATGAGCATTTAGACCCGGATTGCAAGAACAAACAGGGACTACAAAAGAAGTATGCGCAGATATGAGAGGAATACGCTCGCCATTCTATACGAGTTTAGTGTGGCGGGTATGTGCGGATTGTCGGTTTCTGTACGCTGGTCATTTTGTGGTTCCCTCTTTTTTTGCACACTTCCCTTGACAGCCACCAAGTATGAGGTACCAATACGGGATACAAGAAGAGGGGATGGATGGTAGCAGATATTAGAAGGATTTGACGTTAAAATCAGATAATGCCCCCTCTGCATCCACAACGCTCGAACTGCACGTCGTCCTTGTGGTACAGGGTCACTAAGTCGGGGTGCTGAGCAGCCACTCCCACAGTAAGCCCAATAAGCGACGTAAGAAGGATCTTTAATCTTACAATCCAACTCTAATGCTGCTCAGCATGCGTCATGGGACATCGCTTTTATTACCTAGGTAGGTAATCGAGCCCAAGTTGATAATCGAGACACGTTTATGAGGATTTTAAACTCTGTTCCCCCCAATCCATCTCTACAACCAATTTCCCACCTCAATGTCTGCAGTCCCGGAACCTCGATCAAATACATCTCTACTTCTATCGACATTAACTTTCCGCCATGTATAGGAATAACGACGGCAAATTGTGTGACCCAGATACTAGACAGCCCATTACCGGAACAACACGGGACGAGCTTCTCTGGTTTTTACGCACAGAATACGAGGGACAGCATCGGGCCAATATTCCGTATTCTGCCACCACCTACACTTACAGGCCATCGGTTCGCGATGTCGTTGCCAATGACTTGCCAGATATACCTCTTTACCACTGGATAGATGCTTGTAACAAGTCAGTGCCCGTCTATATCATACCGGGACGAAGGTGGCTACTACTTCGGGTGGTACTTCATAACTATATCTACCGACGATGGTTCCGTCCATATCGGAGCGAAATCGATCATGGACGCTTTATCTGCAAATTCATATACCCACACAACTTACCTGATGAACCCACGACTTCTATGGTGACGATCCGTGATATTATTTCTCTCGACCAAGCCTTCTGCAACAAATTTCAGGCACAGCGCAGGATTTATGCTGAAGAGCGGTGTTCAGATACCAGATGGGTTGAAAGCGACTACATTGAAGGCTGTTTGAATCATCATATTCTTCAACCTTTATTTCAAGCACTGCTTATTGTTGTGTCCGATGAGAAGTACAACAAGGAAACATCTGAGAATGTCAGCAATCTTCCCGTGTACTTGGTTCGCACAGGTGTAGAAGAAGGACTCAGCGCACCCATCTCTTTTGAGTCTATCTCAGCCAAGATTATCAGCCACCTGAAACCTGGACGTGTTGTCCAAGTCACAGTGGAGACGGCTATTGATTTCGTCAAGGGATTAGAAGCTAGAGAGGCTGCTGCGTTTGGGCTGCGACCTGACCCGGTAGTGGATTGGGCGCCGCCCGGGCAAATGATTGAAGATTGGAAGTTGACAAGAGAGACTGAACCTCTGGTCGGACCAAATTCCCAGTGGGTGAATATTGAGAAATATCCGAAGTGGACTGGGAGTGGCGAGCGAAACGACTCTGGGCTCATGGCTCGGTTTGAAGAACAGGCGTTTAGGCTGGAAGCTATGAGAGAAGCTGGGATGTAGGCGGAATTCGAAGCGTGGCGAGCCACTGGTGAATCCACTGTTAAATAGAACACTGTATGGGATGGAACTGGAGTTGCTGTTATGATAGGCCATGACTTTCACCAATTCGGTCTTGATGTTGGTGAGAAGAGCAATGGTTCTCCTGTAAATGACGAGAGGTGCTTACCTAGCGTATGACAACATATTCACACGAATTAGCCGTAAAACATGGAATATTGTTAGTATTACAATATACAAATAATTTGAGAATGTAGCGATAGTCGTGATACTTTCATAGAGCAGCGCTGTCTTCATGGAGTAGGTAGCGTCAGTGTAGCGATGTGTAGCTTTCTAGAAAGGTAGCATGTAGCGTGGCGCAAGTATACATATTTGGGTTTCCCAGCTAAACTGTGATTGAAGTGAAACCTTTCATTTTCATTCACAAACTCTTTAGAGTCTTTGCATCACATGTTCACTTTGAGCAATGAGTACTTCACCTTCAACCGAGAGTATCCACGACGCCATCGTCAACTTACAAAAGAATTGACTAAGCCTTGATGCTCTTCAATGGGTGTCTTTTATCATGCGAAATCATCGTCGGTTGCGAATATCTCTCATATCCGTCGCGGCTGCGCTTCTGCGCTTCTGCCGGATGAGTCTTCTGGCGTTCGCGATCGTTTTCGCCCACGATCGCCACTGTGGTCTCGGTGTCGATGCCTCCCCCCGCCTCGACCTCTATCACGGCTGCAGTTCCCACATTCCGAATCTTCATCCCTAGACCGATGCCGGTGTGCATCCGACTCGTCTTGGGGGTCAGGGTGGAATGGGTCAAACGACCCTCTGTTGACTTTAAGCCTTTGCCGAATTATCTTCGCCTCACCATTGACGATTGGAAAATCTACATCATTGAAAACCATATCTCGTAGCTCTATGTGCGCCGACGGCTCTCTGTTTCATCTGGTAAATGTCTGCGTCTTTGCTCACGATCGCTACTTCGATTGCGACGTCGGTGCCTTCTCTCGATGCCGAGCCAGCGCTACTGTCACGCTCCGAATCTTGGTCTCTGGGCCGGTACCGTTTGCCTAGGAGGACATTAAAGCTAGCCGGCCAGTGTTTCCTATATTTGGCTTCTCTTTCGGCTTTTCGGGATCTCCGCCTTCCTGCGTGGTGACTGCAAACGAGGCTTCTTGGGACGGCAGCGTTTCCGACCTCCTCACAGAGCTCTCTCCGCCTTCCTGCGTGGCGACTGTAAACGAGGCTTCTTGGGACGGCGGCGGTCCTGACCTCCTCACAGGGCTCTCTCGACGCCGAGCCAGCGTGGTGACTGTAAACGAGGCTTCTTGGGACGGCGGCGGTCCTGACCTCCTCACAGGGCTCTCTCGACGCCGAGCCAGCGTGCGACTGTCACGCTCTGAATCATCATCTCTAAATCTATGTCGGTGTGAGCGCCTACGGCTATCTGTTTCATCGGGTGAATGTCTGTGTCTTCCTTCACGGTCGCGGCTATGGTCTCGATGTCGGTGCCGCCTACTGTCTCGATGTCGATCTTGATCTCAACGGCGGTTCCGCCGGGACGATTCTTCTGGCGTTCGCGGTCGCCGCGACTGTCGCGCTCCGAGTCTTTATCTCTAGATCTATGTTGGCGTGAGCGCTTACGGCTGTCTGTTTCATCGGGTGAATGTCTGTGTCTTCCTTCACGGTTGCGACTATGATCTCGATGTCGATGTCTCTTCTGGTCTTGATCTCTATCGCAGCTGTGGTGCCGCCGAGATGAATCTTCCGGTGTTCGCGATCGTCGTCGGTCACGATGTCGATGCCATCCCCATTCTCAGCCTCTATTACGGAACGATGCTTTTGTATGGCATGTCTCGAAATCCCACAACACCGTAAGTAGCACCTTGCTGGGATTTATTTCTTAATGCTATGATTCCGGTAAGAGGCTATTCCTGAGGATCGAGAACATCAGCAGCCGTGGCCTCGATGCCGTCTCTTTTCTCGGTCACTGTCGCGGCTGCGATGTTTGCGGGAGGCATCTTTCGAATATAAAGAACATCCTTCATTGCGAGTTTTCGGTCTTTCTCAGATCTCCATGATTAGGTATGGTCGGGTGCTGGCGGCTGTAAGTCCTTGCGCCTTTATACGCTTAGGAGCATCCTCATTTATCGAGAATTCAGTCTCGAAGCTGGTAAGAAGAGTTGTAGTTCTCTGCGAACGATGAAGAGATAATTTTACACAAATTTGCAATACAATGCATAGCAGCGATAGCTTTGAGAAAAACTCGAAGCATCTTGAGAAAGTAGCGGTAGGTACGAAGTAGTGGCGACAGCTTTATCACTACCTAGGTACCTAGTAGTACCTTAGTAGTACCAGGTAGTAGGTAGGTATAGAGGTAGGTGCTTTGTAGACACGTATGAACCTGGTGATTGGAGTGAAAAGTTTTAATTTCAATTATGAATTTTCTAGTATTACATTTTAAGCTTTGAGTAATGAGCTTCTCACCTTCGACAATATCATCACTTACCAAAGAATTGACTAAGCTAAGTTCTTCCACTCAGTAAAAAAAACCACTTAACGCGAAACCGCCGCGCCGTGACGCGCCTCAAACCTAAAGCGACGCCCCACTGGAGTACCTGGCCCAATCTCGTTACCCCGGCATCCGCAAGCCTCCATTTGGCCAAAAACCTTCGCTTACGCCTTTTGCCCAGCCAACGCAAATCTCGCAACCCCCGTCCTTTTTCTTCTCTTCTCTTTTCTTTTTTCCTTTGTCACCAGCATAAAACCACTCTCCACTCCTCTTATACACTGATTTTCATTTTTGTGCAACCCGCATTGAATAATTTCTTGACGCAATCGGCCAGCTTTTAATTGGGTCGGAATCCGGGAACAGGGCGAGACATTCCAGACGAGAGACCCTTGTCTTTTTGCCATTTCAAGAAAAGAAAAGACATCGCAACGTCATCTGACCCATTGCGGCTCTGATTGACCATCTCCCCCACGACATAACTTCTCTTGCAGCTTTGCTGCTTCACCTTCAATACAACTTATCTCATCGTCCTCATCCTCAACTATATCATCACCCATCATGTCGAATCCTCGAACCAAGCGTCAATTCGCCGGTGCGGCAGCTGATCCCGCCCAACGCCAAATCACATCCTTCTTCACCGGATCGCCCAACTCCAGCCATCCCGCAGCACCCCAGCCCACGCTGCGCCCCGAATTGCCCGCCAACGTTCAGGCGAACCTCCTCAGCGTCGGCATGCGGGTGCGCAAGTCCGTGCCCGAAGGCTACAAGACCATCGATCTCGCTAAAACCAGCTCTGCCCCGAACGGCATTGCGACCAAGGATTTGCGGCGGCCGGCGGTAGTGGCAAAGCAAGTGCCGAACGAGCTGCTGCCCTTCTGCGGAATCAACAAGGTTGGCGGATTGGATACCCAGCCTGAATCTCAGTTCTTCGATGAGGATGTCCCTGCTCTGGACAATATTCCCGAACTTAGCATGTCGCAGGAGAGCATGGACAGCGTCGTTGATGGCGAACCCTCTCGAAAGCGGACTTTTTATGATGAATGCCAGTGGGATATCGATGCGAGCGAGGCAGAATACAGACAGCCCCATTGGAACGACAGGCCAATTGCTGTGCCGCACTCTCAAGTCAAGAAGGCGTTTGCGCCTGGGTGTTTTGAAGAGGAAAACATGGCTGTGGATGGCGATGGGGATGAAGATTTTCCAGATGCCGATTTCTTGGTCTATGCTTCAGAGCAATGATTCGGAGAAAGGTCGTGGGACATGGCTGTCAAAAGCAGACTGTTCACAAAGCTTTATGTGGGAACCGACATCCCGTATTGTGTAACCGTATGAGATGGGACATTGGCGCACTGGCGTTTATCGGGATACAGCTCAGTTAGCTGCATGTGACATTAAGAGGTGGAAGCTGTTTTGTTATTACTATTATTTGTTTTCACATGAGTCGACCAAGAAAGAACGGCCATGGCATTTTGTCATACTATTGGGGTATATTATCATTATTATGGACGGCTATACAAAATACTTAGGTAGGTAGGTAGCTATGACCGCAAGGCGGCAGATTTATCATCAAATTTGCCGATTGAATACAAGGAATTTACAAACCTGCTACAATTACATACCCACAAATGGCTCTCGGAATTCGAGCAGATCCCGCTGCCCATAAAACTCACCAGCAACTGTGAGGATCATGGTGAGCGTGGCTCTCATGTTCATCCTCGCGTTTTTTCGCTGCTCTTCTTCAAGGCGTAGGCTTTCGCTCTCGGCGAGCCTTGCTAGAAGCTTCTGCTTGGCCTCTTCTAGAGCTGCCTCGTCGTCTGCTTTTTCGGTTATCTCACCCTCATCGGCACTAGAGTCGGAACTGGTATCCATTGCTACGTCCTCATCTTCGCTGCCGTCGTTGGCCTTTGCAATCTCTCCATCACCGGCACTCTCGTCATCCTTTTCCGCGGGTGTCTTGACTTCATCCTTGAGGATAGCGATAGAGGCTGGTGGAGAATCCAGGATGCCACCTTCAGTGTCAGGTGGGCCATTTGCCGTGGCATCGGCTGCAGGAGCATCGTAATCTTCATCCCCTTCTTCGACAGCTTCCGCCACAACCTCTTCGTCACTGCTGCTGGCGTCGACATTGTCGTTGACTCCAAATCCATCCTCTGCAAGTTCATCTCGTAGAGCGGCCATCTCCGCCAAGCTTCTCCCTAAAAGCACTGCTCGTCGTCCCAAGTCACGAATCCAGCCTATTTCCGTGTGGTTGAGCTCTCCCACCTCAGGAAGCCTGGCCAGCAATGCCCATAGCCAGTGACTCGTTCTTTGAGGGATGCTGTGTCCGCTTTGTAGAAATTTGCCGCCAATCATTACACGGAGAATCTTAAGCACCGTGTCTTTGGACATGAGTGCGACTTGGATAGGATGGGGATCGGTGGTTTGCAGGAGGCGGGTCCATAATTTTGTGGTAGAAGGCGAGAAAGAGTTGGCCTCTGTGGCCTGGGAGCGTGACAATCGGCTTGCAGCATTGTCGGGTAGTTCTGAGTGAAGGATCTCGCGAGTGCGATAGTATTGACTCAATATGGAGACAAAGTATGCCTCATTAACAGCCTTTTGAATAGCCTCAGGGTTTTCTTCGCCAGGTTCGTCATCTTGGTCGGTATCGTCTCCCCACTCTTCTGATATGCCTATGTAGGCACCGTCTTCATAAAATCCTTTCGGCTTAGGCGCGGCAAAATCGTCGATGGCATCGGTGTTCTGATCCAGTTCGCCCTCTTCCTCTGACTCGTCTTCTCGATCAAATCCAGGAGGAAGCTGTGGGCCGATTTGGATTGGAGGGGCGACTAGAAGATGCGGTATAGAAGAAGCTTGTTTTCTAGAGTACTCACCATATCAGTAAATGCGGTCTGAGATACGGTCATTGTTCAGCAGATGCAATCTCGGGCAAGCCATGTAGCTAGAGAAAGGAGATGGTCTCTTACCTCACAGACATCAGGTATGCCATGGCATCGGCATCATCCTCAAACTCCGACTCCTCTCCTGCTGGAATCGTCGTAGCATTCTCGCTGCTGGAAAAGACGTATTTCTGCCCCCATGTCGGATCGATGCCCGAGTGCTGATGCTGGCGCGTCTTGGAGCTGTTTGGCTTTGCGCGTTTCGTCTGCGGCTCTGGCGTCTCGCCGTCTGTCTCCTCCATATCGCGTTTGGCCGACATGATCACTACCGATGAGCAGCCTTCGAGAGCAGCATTAGCGGCAGTTCTAAGTATCGAATACAAGGATATATGCTGCTGGAGTCGAATGTATCCAAATGATATGGCCAAGATGAAGATGGAGGGAATGTGAAAAAGCACAGCTGGAGAATTAAAGTGGAATTTACAGAGCAGAGGCTAGTCCCTGGCACTAACGGTGGGGAGCTTCCCTGGCACTTGAACCCCACCAAACCCACTAACGAGATGCCGCTACTAACAGTCATATCATCGCACTTATTTTCGGCCTCGCTCCAAAATCTTGCAACTCTTTGACGGCGTTTTTAATGGTTTGAATTCAACAATGACGGCGGCTGTTGTTCGCCGTGGTGCTCTGACAAGGACAAAATGGCATCTCAACTATGGCAAGTCCATTGGCCAACTGCCATTGCGGCGGTCGCAGAGCACCTTTAACCACTTTGTGGCAAGCAGTCAGTTTATGCATGGATATCCAAAGCCTCAGCTCTGACTGACAGATCACGAATACAGCCAAGCTACAGCCAAGCTCTACGCCTCCAGTACAAAAACCCGATGCGAAACCTTTCAGACTAGCCGTCAAGGATAACATTGCCACAGAAGAGTTCCCGACGCAATGCGCTTCTGGAGTCCTAGGCCAGCATGCCTCTCCCTTTGAGGCTACAATTGTTCGCCAACTTCGAGCACGCGGAGCCTCTGTCGTTGGGAAGACGAACATGGACGAATTTGGAATGGGGTCACATTCTGTAAACTCTATCCATGGGCCGGTCCGAAATCCCCTAGCACCAGCTGGCGAGGATGTGTCTGCCGGAGGCAGCTCTGGAGGTAGTGCGGTTGCGGTTGCTCTCGACGACGCAGATATTGCGCTCGGCACAGACACTGGTGGCTCAGTTAGGCTGCCGGCGGCCTATACTGGTATTGTTGGGTACAAGCCAAGTTACGGCATGCTCTCGAGATTTGGCGTTGTTCCGTACGCGAATTCACTAGACACTGTTGGCTTGTTTGCACGAGATGTCGAGTCTATCCGGCAACTGGTATTCGATACGAGGCTGTATGAAGAACACGATCCCAACGATCCCACGTCATTGAGTGTCGAAACCCGTCAACGCTGTTCAAAGGCTGTACCGGCAGCCTTGTCAGACTTATCTCACCTTACCATTGGCGTACCCGTCGAATACAACATCGACGAGCTGGACCCCGCGATACGTGACACTTGGACTGCTACTGCTTCAGCATTAGAGTCACAGGGCGCTCGTATAGTTCCTGTGTCTCTTCCTTCGACAAAGGAGGCCCTTTGCGCATACTATATTCTCGCCCCCGCCGAGGCATCCTCCAACTTGGCAAAATACGATGGAGTACGATATGGTATCCGCGGCGCTGAAGGAGATGCAGCTGGAGAGACTTTGTACTCTGAAGCTCGCGGTGCTGGGTTTGGTGCCGAAGTTAAACGCCGAATTCTCCTGGGAACCTATAGTCTCAGCTCTGAAGCTATGGACAACTACTTTATCCAGGCCCAGAAGATACGGCGGCTTATTCAACAGGATTTTGATAGAGTTTTCAAGCTGGACAACCCGCTTTACGAACCAAGGCAGTTTGATCTCAGCGAAATGTCTGCCGATACTGCCCTGGAAGACAAGCAGGGTCCTGTCCAGGTGGATTTCTTGCTGTCACCAACTGCGCCAACATACCCACCCAAGTTGAGCGACATTATGAAACGAAGCAGTATCGACGCTTACATGAATGACGTCCTTACTGTACCGGCCAGTCTTGCTGGTCTACCGGCCGTTAGTGTCCCGGTCAAGATCGACCAGAGCCACCAGTTTCCCACTGGAATTCAGTTGATTGCTCAATATTGGGACGACAGGAGGCTGTTGGCATTGGCAGACAAGGTGGTAAAGCTGATGGCGGCATGAAGGATAACCTGATATATATATAATATTGTATACCCCTTTGAGTGGCAGAGGGATGTTGCTAGATTTGGCTTGTATTATATACTTGATGACTTTATGAATCATCTACATTATTATTTGTTTGAGTGAGGCCAGCCGCTATATTCCAATCAGCTAATCTCGGGTATCCTCTCAATTTCCTAGTTCTCTCTGGAACAACTGAAGATTGCTCATAATCTTGTCCGTATAATTTCGAACCGCTTATTAGCATGTGAAATATCCATGTAGAGGCTATCTCGGATTCAAACCCATGCTAAATGTGTTCCAGGAGGGCCGATTGTAAGCAAATAGTTTGGCCGTATCCTCCTTCACGTATAGTGGTGAAGATTTTGCTTTTCCCGACACTGGATTGGACGGGGATCGGGCTGACGTTTGAGTCGTAGTGCTTCGCTGAGCTATCGACGCTCAGACACATAGCTCAAGGCGATCTGCTGCGACTTCTCCGGCCATCGTCTCGGTCTTCATCTCTGTCCACTTCCATTTCCCCTTCTGATATCTCACCAGATTCCTCCCTCTCCCCATTTGCTCTGTCATCGTTATTCTCATCCTCGTCTTCTTCCAGCAGGTCTTCAAGGTCTCCCAATGGGCTAACCCTCGGTTCCAGTATTTCCAGATCTTCCAACGTTTCTCTCTTCGGCATCTTCCACAGACTTGTCGCACAGACTCGATCCTTTGTGAGCAAGTCATCCACAAACTCATCCACAAACGTAAGCGACGTGCCCGCCCTCGCCTTGCGCCTCAACTTCCGTCGATCCTCCAGAAACGGCTCCAGCGTTTGATATACGTCCTTCGGCTGCCTCGTCAACCGCACATAAAAGCACGCCAGCGCACGCAAATACTTGAAGTGCTCCCCTCCATAAGATAGATATTCGTTTAGAATTGCATCGCTGGGAGCAAGCTCGAGCAGCTTGAACGCCAGACACAGGAAAGGACTCGGTTTCTGCGAGGCGCCATGTGTTCCTCCAATGAAATTGACATGCTCCACGACGCGGTCGATAATATCGGCTTCGTTGAGGGCGAAGCATTGCTCCTTGTAAAAATACGAGTCGACGATGCGGTCCTTGACGGCCTTTTCCATGATTGTCGCGGGATTGAGCCCGTTTGGCGCCAGGGCGGCGGACGAGCCGCGGTCGTCGAGGAAGCGCCGCGCATCGGCCTGGACGGTATCGTTCTTGAATTTCGACATTGTTGAGGAATTGCAGGAGAGGAACAATTTAAGGAATTCGGGACGATGACGTCGGGATGGATTTCGCAATTGCAGCTCGAGTCGCGTTTGAAAGCGCCTAGATTTCGACGTCCGGGGTGCGATAAGATTGTTGCTGGGTCAACAGGCGGCGGGCGCATCCTTGCAGATCATTGACCTTGTAGGAGCGAGATCCCGTCTTTTGTGTACCCAGACTATCCATGACGTGAATGGCATCAAACAAGACGAGGCGTTATCTCGTGTTTGCATTGATTTTTTGTTTCTAGGTTACACGAAATATACATAATTCTTTTGGTCGTTATTTTTTGCTTCATTATGCGGCGTGTTCTCCTCACCTCGGGTCAAGTATCCATGCTGGCCACGGCCTCTATGAGTAAGACTGCACTTCTCCCCCCTCCAGCATTCCAAGTAAAAAACAGGCGAGTTGTTTCTAATTCTTGATAACGCACAGTCCTTCTTTGTGCGAGTGCTCTCTTTCTCAGTGGTTACGCCATTCAGCAGCGGACTCTGCGGGAATTACGAGCAGCTATCCGGCCGCGCCAGTCTCCCAAGGCGCATCTACCCGAAGAGTTCAGGGGAGCCCTCGCGGATCTGGATGAAAGCTCGCTGCTTGTGATTGAGACAGAGGCGCAACGATGGTCTAGGGAAGCTCGTGAATTGGCGTCGCCCCAGATCAAGGTTTCGGATGCGGAGATTCAGGTGGAGGAGACGCCGGTAGAGTCTAAGCCGGAGCCGGAGCCGGAGCCGGAGCACAAGGAGCAGAAAGAGGAGGAACACAAGGAAAAGAAGGTTGCCGTGCCTGATGGCGAGCCGACAAAGGAGCAGCTGGCAATGCTTGCAACGATCCAGAAGAGCGTCAAGGACAAGTCCTGGGCTGTGGAACACCCTGATCCGCTGGCTAAGAACAAGGCCCCGATTTCAGCAGCAGAGCGCCGCAGGTTGATTAAGGAGGAGATTAAGAAGCTGGCCCAGTCAGAAAAGCCCGTCTACTACCAGAGGAGGCTGTGGTGAATGGTTTATAATTTTGGCGAGGTCATGGTGTTTTTTGATTGCTTTTTGGGCGGATATTTTCATGGGTCGGTTTTTGGATATATGAGGAACACGATATAAGGCGGCATGAACATTTATGGAGGAACAACTTACATATACGAATTGGGTACATGGTGGATCTTTTGATGTTTACTTCAATACATTCATTTTCTTTGATCCTGGAAGATCTTATCTATCTCTACTCTCTCCACCTCTGTTACCACTTCTATTGCAACCGGCCCTAACATATGAGTCAAGGCAAGTATTCCGAAACATATTACTACAACTAGAAGCTGCCTACTATTTAGAAATGCATCAATTCAGGCCCCATTTTATGAATCTAATACTCTACCAAGGGCTGATATTTACTAGTCGCTCTATAATGGCTCCAAGATGCGGGCGTAAGCCCCCTCTCGTGAGACGTTGCATTATCTATAAGAGCTAGCAATCCTTCAAGCCTCTGCTCGTCATTTATTGCTTTACAGCTGATTTAACAAGAAAAAAATCCGCACTTAAGCAGTGCTGCGCGGTATCATTCAATCATGCCGCTTCCTCATGAGCCAATTACCATCCATGGCGGCTGCAACTGCGGTGCCGTGAGATATCGCATCAACGTCCCCTCCTTTGAGCAACGCCCTCTTCATTTTGTCCACGCACCTGAAGAGGCTTCAGACCCAACAACGCCACGACTACCGCTGATTTGTATCTGTCATTGTAACGACTGTCGATCTGCTACAGGCTCGATTCTCCCGACATGGTGCCTCACGCCGCAGGAAATGTTTACCATCTCTTGTTTGCCAAAGGAGGAAGGCGATGATACGGCAATGCAGAGCCTCCGTCTTGCGCCGCATGATGCGACGGATAATTCCGAGAGACCGCCATATGTGCCAGCCCATGGCATCTTATCAGGTGTTGAATCTACCTCTGGGACATGGCTTCGTGTATTTTGCTCGACAAATGAAAAGGCCCAAGGTTGGGACGTGGACAAGCGGATATACAGGTCATTCTGCGGGCGGTGCGGTACAAACATTGCCTACCTTGTCTACCCCATGCCGTTCAAGTTCAGAGACATGATTGACGTTGTAGTTGGCACGGTCGATCGTGCGGATATGGAGCAGCCGTGGATGCAGCCGGAGAGGCAGCTGTGGCACAACTATGGCGTTCCTTGGATTAAGGATGTGGTTAAGGATATGGACGGGCCGATTCACCCCTCTTTTTCAACGGCCGAATTTATTCGAAAGTAGCTACATTCATGAGCTATTTTGTCAAGTTATGCTTCTTAACAATAGATATCTACTGTAGAAGGTTGTTGCTGTTTGAGAAAGCTATCGCTACCAGAGAAAGCTATCGCTACGACCCTTGCTTAATTAAATCGAATTGTTTTTCAAATTTTATCAAAACTCTGTATACATATTTTGCTACAACTTCTTTTAAGCTAGTCTAAAAGTGAAATGCTCCTCCAAGTCTGTTCGGCGAGACTCTGTATTCCGCTTTCGTCAAGTTGACGAAACCTTCTCGCTCTTGTCCCGAATCGGTGACTGTACTTTAAAAAAGGGGTATTATTTTTCTGGAGACTTCAATTGGATCCTTTGTTCCATCTGGTATTTTAAATTGAGTCAATGAAGGAAGAAAAAACCCATATCAGTTCATCTAATAGCGAGACTCACGGTAACGGGAAATAACTACATTTATTCAATCACCGACAAAGATTGCTCATTTCAGATGCCGGCATGTCTGTATACTAATCTTTTTAGTATTCATAATCGATCAATTCGTGTCTAAAGCAATGAATGATTTATATACAACGCCACATGCTCCGCAAGTACCTGACATGTGTAACCTTATCCACATTCCAGGGCAGTTGTCAATACTTAAAACAAGGCGGTCGCTCTTATTTATCACCTTGTTATTGTAAATTTTCTTGGTTTAGATAGTCGCCTGGGTTTGCAATGCCGACCGTAACCCAAGATGTAGGCGACAACGCATGCTGCGATGAAGAGAAACGGGGAGCGGATCTCAAAGTCGCTGCTGCTGATAGCACTGACGTACAACCGCAAGATGATGCTGAAACTGACCCTCAATTGAGGAGGCTAGAGCTCCTTAAACAACAATATGGAGTGAGTCAACGATTTCTAGTCTCCATCTTAAGACGGCAACTGCTTACTTCAAACTAGAGCACTTGGGATAGCCCAGATGATCCCAACGACCCCTACAATTGGCCGTCTACACGCAAAGTCCTCACAGGCATTATTTTCTCCATGTCTCAGCTTATAACGCTCATGACCGCTAGCATCATCTCAGCAGCGCTAAACGACATCTCATCCGACTTACACATCGGCATGTCATCAGCGCAGATGATATTCTCAACGTATTTCCTCGGCATCGCGTTTGGGCCTTTCGTCGTTGCTGCCATCTCCGAAATGCACGGCCGGAAATGGATCTGGGTGGCTGGTAATACGTGGTATATCCTTTGGAATGCGATAAGTCCTGTTGGAAAATCTGTCAACGTGATGATTCTGAGCAGGCTGATGGCTGGCTTCGGTGCGTGTGCTGGTGTCACTGTATGTTCTCTTCCTTCCCTCTCGTGTTTAAATCGTGATGACTGACGGGTTAATATAGCTCACTGGTCCAACAATGGCTGACATGTATGGAAAAAGAGAGCGTGGGAAAGCAGCTTCAATAGCAGCTTTGTTGCCCTCTCTGGGACCTGCGCTTGGCCCTATAGTGGGTGGTGTTGTCACGCAACTAATCGAGTGGCCTTGGATCTTCCATATCATGAGTATTGTTACATCTGTCGTCACTCTTGTAGGTATATTCTACATAAAAGAGTCATACACCCCAGCACTTCTCCGTCGCAAAGCCAGGGGAAAGCCCGTGACACCTCGAGAAGCTCTGACAAAGGCCTTTTGGTCAGAGTTCTCTAAGCGTTTGGGTTTGGGCATTTGGAGGCCTGTTCGTCTTTTACTCACGCGGCCAATAATCCAACTCATTGCGTTTGTAATGGCTCTCAGCTTTGCTATATATACGCTGCTTCTTGGCACGTATGCAACCATGTTCATGGATCGATATGGGCAAACCCCATCCATCAGTGCTCTCCATTACATTGCCATTGCTGTTGCGATGACTTTTGCAGCCCAAGTCGGTGGTCGAGTAATGGATTTGGTGTACAGGCGTCTAAGTGACCGACGAAATAAAGGTCAGGGGAAACCAGAGTTTCGAGTTCCTTACTTGGTATCTGGCATCGTCTTGCTTCCTATTGGTTTGGTCATGTATGGCTGGGCCGCAGAGCGCAGAGTCGCTTGGCCCGTCGTCGATATTGGCGCCGTTATCTTTTCGTTGGGGACCGTCATTGTTCCCCAGACGCTCCTTGCCTATCAGCTTGATGAGTTTGTCGAGCATGGAGCGTCTGCGAGTGCTGCCACACGAGTTTTGGCATACATTCTTGGCTTTGCTTTTCCAACATTTGCTCCCAAGTTGTATAGCACTTTTGGCTATGGCTGGGGCAATAGCATGATGGCGCTGATTTGGGTTGTCTTTTGCTTCCCGTTGCCGGTCGTTCTTTGGCTGTGGGGAGAGAAAATTCGGAGATGGGGTAGAAGAGATGAAGAGCACCGAGTTGAAGGGATGTGATTGATATAAAGCATTAGAGTAGAGTGATGGTATATTCGTAATCTATTTCTAATCGTTAATATAGTATCCATTCGTGAAAGTCATAACTCATGATATCGTTGCTGCTGTCTCATGCCCTGCCATCCCCATCTCCCTCTTTTCATCCTCGACGTTTTCCTCTGCCTCGTCGTCTCCGATTATGGTAATATCATCGACTACTTCAGCTGTTGCAAACCTCCACGCGGGAACCTTCTTTTCAAACAAGACGTCCATCTCTCCATATGTCCTGCCTCGAGTCTCTGGGATACGAAAAATGGCCCAAATCGTCACCAGAAAACTGATGCCGAACCAGACAAAGGCCGTCTTTCCCTTCAGATTCGCCTCGGTGGGGTTAATCAAGTATGGCTCGATGGTGTTGTCGACAATGTTTACAATGTTGTAAACGACGCCGGCGATGGAGAGCGTCTTGGCTCGCAGTCTTGTTGCTGAAACTTCCGAGGCAACAGCCCACGTTTGCGGCCCGATAGTGGCAGAATAGACAGCCAGCCAAACAAGTGCCAAAGCAGACTGACCCCATTTCGCAGCCGAATTGTTCGAGGCATAGGACAAGATACCAATGAGTAGGAGATCTAGCGTCAGGAAAGTGTAGCCGCTAAGAAGCACCGTTCGCCGGCCGAAATGTGTCATCAGAACCCACGAGATGCACGTTGCCACAAAAGCGATGCCCATGTTACCAAAGTTCATTTTGTAGGCGTCCGAGGCAGATAAACCAGCTTGTACGAAGAAATATGTAGCGTTGTACGCCAGAGACTGTCCAATCAGACTTTGAGACGAAAGCGACAGACAAGCAATTTCAGTGCGTCGTAGGTTGGCGCCTGTAAGACAGTCCCAGTAACTTGCATCCGCCTTGATCTTCTGCTCGAGCCTGTTTGTGTCGTACATCATGAGGATCTTTTGGTTGATTTGCTCGTCATCAAGGCCGCTGGAGAGCCGTTGCAAGGAATGCCTTGCATCTTCGATTCGCCCCTGTCGGATGAGCCACCATGGAGAATCAGGAGCGAGCCATGCGAGAACGAAGAGGGGAACCGGCCAAACCCACTCGACAGCGAAAGGGATTTTGTAGGCCCATTTAGTGGTGTTGTTGACGAGCCCTTGCAAGATACCGGCAATGATGAGCTGGCCGATTACCCAGCAGATGTTGATGAAAGATGTCATGTAGCCTCTCAGCACAAGAGGACATATCTCAGACGAGTACACAGCTCCCATGATGGAAAAGACGCCCCAAATAGCACCGAGGAGGCACTGTCCAGCAAGCAAGATGTGAACGTTGGGCGCAAAGAAAGGAATAAAAATGAGGCCCGTCATGATAGTTAGAGCTACCATTGTGACCCTGCGGTGACCAAATCTCTCGGTAACAAAGCCATTGATAACCATGCCAAAGACGCCTCCGCATGATCCTGCTGTGCTGAGGCCTACTTGCCACGGTCCTGAGATGACTTTGGTTCCCAATTCCGGGTGGTATGTGCCGTATTTTTCGACGAATGAGGGATATGCCATGAGACTGCCCATCAAAATGGTGTCGTAGCCCACCATGACTGTCAAGATGTTCATTAGTCACACGAGGTCAATTCAAACATTCACTTTCCCAGATGAGGGTTCGTGGAGACGCCAGCCTTACCAATTGTAAACGACATTGCAATTGCCCAGAATATGGCGGTGGGATACCGCCTCAATGCTTCGCTGACCGTCGTCGCATGCTCGTCTCTGTTGGCACTGGCGACAGCCTCGGTGATGGCCGCAGCCTCAGACGTTGAATGAGGAACCGTCGTCTCCATGCTGCGAGAATCTGAATAGTATGTGTCTCTAGTCGAAGTGAGGAGAATCTGTGATTTAAAGTTCTACAGCAGAAACGGGACGAAAGCTTCAAATTCTGCGAGAGACACTCGGCCACTTTAATAGCGCCTCTTTTTCGCGAGGAGTGTCTCACTCAGTCTCACAGGGAGGAGGGACTCATGAGAACGAGAACGCCAACAAACTTTCTAACGGCATTTACGGGCATAATGGCCTACTTGTATGCATCTTTGAGTCTCGGCCGAGGTCGCAGTTTAATATTCCTCCCGCAGCGGGTCCTGTCGGCTCCATCTTGGTAACGACAGTAGTATCATCTTGGTAACCTCATGTAACTCCGGGGCTTGCTGATAAATCCCGAGGCTATTCTTACGCATGTGTTGTGATCAATATTGCAGGATTAAACCCTGACGACATACAGCAAGAGCGATATAACTAATGCCAATACTAATCTCAATGCTACGCCTGATGCTACGTCGACTTACACAATGAATGGGACCGGTTGATAACGAAAGCAACAGCGACATGGAACCCTCCAGAAAACTTGAAGACACAATCTCTGAGAGATAGGACCCATGCATGCGGCCAGATCTGGAGATCCAAGCGAGGAGGATCTAGCTGAACAAAGTGGGTTCTCTCTTTTTGCCCTCTTTTTTCATTTCTCTTTCATTGCGGCACATGTGTGGGGATCATCTTATTAGCTTTGTATTTGCCGCCATGGATCCAAATGTCTCGATTTATCCTCTCTCCTCCATACATGATTCGACGCTCATCTACCGAAAGAGATGCATGTCTCATTTACACGTATTCATCACCTCCGCCAAACAAAAGCACCCAAGGAGAAGAAAGACTAAAATTTTGATGTCACGACGCATTACTTCTTACGGACAGCGCTAGACGTGCATTTGCCAGTCCCGAATGACTCACTGCATGCAAAAGCCGACGCCCTTCACCAAGTCGCCCTTGTTGTAAAACTCGGCCTTGGGCAGAAGCTCGCCAACGACCCATCGCGCCGTCTTTGCGTGCGTCGAGCCATGGCCAAAAGGCCCAGCTGTCTTTTCCCTCCTCATCCTGCTGCTCTCTCCGACATTCAGCTCACCCATTGCGTCGATCAGCGGGCCGAGCGGACCGTCTGGGGACTCGTTGGCGGGCTCGTCGCCCCGAGGGAAAGACGATGGACCGTCGCAGAGCGCCTGGAAGCAGATGAGCTGGTCCTGGAGATGCTCGTCCACCACTCCGCCTAGAGACACCTCATTGTATAAGTCTTTGCACAATTTCTTGCAGAGAAGAGCGATGAAGCGATCGTATCCTTTGGTGTTCTTTGGTGCAGATGTCAGGACGTCTTTGGCCCAGCGGATGCCGTCCGCCGAGTGAGCCACGAGGAGCACCGACCAGCGGGCGTTGCTGGATGAATCTTCGACGAACTTGATGTTGATTTCGGCATCTGGCCAAAGCCCTCCAATATTCTCTGCTATCGTCTCTTGAAGCTTGTCGTGGGAGTGCATCGGCGTGATGATGCTAACATCAACACTTCTAACCTCAAACGAGGCTGGAAAGCTATACGGCGGCGGAGGCACAAACTTGAGCTTCTCGCCCTTCGGTATCGGGTGTAACCTGAGCCAAATAGACCCCCTAGACAACGGCCCCAAACTCCATCCACGACTTTTCAGCTGTCGTTCGATATGTATGCCAAACCGCTCCTCCAGCGTCGGCGCTAATACTTGGTCGAAGTATTCGTAGCTAGGAGAAAAGGCAACATTCGTGCCACCTGACAGCTCCACCACGATGGGCTCATTTGTATCGCTACTCGCAAAGAGTAAAAAAGGCAACATTGCCTGAAGGACTAGCATTGTGCTGGCGGCTCCTGATTCGGTCCTGATGGAGATGTTTCGCTGGAATAGCTCTGTTGGGGGGCGTGTGGGCGTGAATCTCACAGTCTTGGAGCCGACGCTGAGGCCTTCGACGTCAGCTTCGGTGACTTTGGCGAGCCATTCAATGGCCGCCACATGCTGGTTCTTGAGGCCTGACCACATGAGTATTTAGTACATGTAATCTTGTTGTAATGATTCGTCTGTAAGAGTGAGGCTTGGATATTCTCAGCCTGTAAGTCTGTGGACTCACCTCCACCGCGTGGCCGATTGCCTCGCACATTCGTTATCTCGACAGATTGTGAAGTGAGCGCAGCCAGAGCAATGCCTAACCTGACGAGCTGACCGCCGCCCTCTCCAGTCCTGCCATCAAGCACGATGGACTTTGTTTTGCCCATTTGTAGCCTTTTGTGGTTGAAATGCAGGGTTCGATGTTGCGGCCTCAACGTGGGGGTCCTTAATGATGTGATGGAGCCTGAAATTATCGCCTTGGTCAATCTAGGACTTAGAAATTGCCTCTTGGTATAAAGCATGTAGAATTTTATGAGAAGTTCTTCTGATAGATGATTGTTTAGTCTTATATCAGATAATTCTGACTGCATCTCGACTCTGATTTGCACAGCCTGCATAAGCCCCAATCTCAGGGTCTGTGAGTCACTCGGCGCGTCGCATCTCGTGAAGCTTAACCCAGCTATTGACAATCGCAATCCGAATAACATTCACTTTCAAATTACCACAACCATGTGATGATATATATATATGCATAATTCAATACAATTACTGTTACTATATAGTGTTACCTTTGCTAATCCTCCAAATATGACTTTGGAATGTTAGATTGCCAATCCCAAGTCGCACAACTTCAAATCAATCTGCCGCCATACATGTATCTTACTCTTACACACAACAAAACTTCCAGAAACACCAAAGTCCTTCTTATGCACAAAGCTGCATTAAGCACATGTCCCGGTTTCCAGATACCTTGGCTTCTCGCATCTTCATGCTGATCCATCCTCGTGGCGGCCTCACATCCCGATGATTGCTCCCGTAAAACACACCAGGCTCGACAGCCACCTCAAACTGATTGTACCATTGCTCTAGAGCAACATTTCCGGCGTATTGCTCCATCACACACCAAGGCTTCATACCCTTGGGGGTTTGGACCTGTCCAAAGATGAGCAGAACCTGTAGTCGTCCTATCCGGAATTGCAAAGCACCCGTCTTGTGTGAAGTAGACGGCGCCGTTGGAGGCTGCATGATCAAGCCGTCGTTATCCCAGAAAGTCCGAGGGTATGCTGCCATGACTTGTATGTCTGATGGAGATGCGCCGGCTGGGGGCAGCAACCAGAATCCAGGAGATATCGAGGACGCAGTGGCCTGCGTGACCCGTGGAGCCTGTGGTGGTGAAAGTCGAACAGGTCTTAGCTTCCATCCCTTATGATTGGTGCCTGTGATAGTTAGATATTATTCCTAAACGAACTCTGCCAAATCTGACAGAGATCTTGGGAAGGGGAAACCTACGTGTTCTTAGCTCTGCCAACTCTCCCTGTTCCTTGAGAGGGTCGAAGCCCTCAATGTCAACGGTTCCGTTGCGAGCCAGTCGTGCAAACTCGAAAATCTGGTCAGCATCTACTCTGAGATATTCCTCATCTGACACTCTCTTTAGTCGGATACCCGCCATGACACCTGGTGTGCGACCAACAAGGCAGTCCAGCACAGCGAAGTAGACGTCTCCTGACCGATAGCTGACATCTTGACACATAAGTAAGTCAAGTTTGATGGCTTGCATCGCCTCGGCGGTGTGGATCTTTCCCATTCTCGGTCGGCTGAGGCCTGTTACTGAGCCAGCACCTTTGAAGAAAGCCGGAGAGAGTGCGAACAATCCGCCTCCCTCTTGAGCAGTCCGATATTGGCCTTTCAGGCCTTCTTCGGTCCACACGAATAGTGACTGGTCGTCTGTCCCCTTCATGATCTCCTTCTGCAAGCGTACGAATGCCTTCGGTCCTTCACCATAAAGCATAGGCATAGTAAGGTTGAAGATACCTAGCAGACTATAGGCCATGTCCTCTGCCACAGTTGTCTGACGGTTGGCAACCCAGCTCATGCGTCGCGCAACACTGATGCGTGACAAATCGCCACCTCCAAGAGCATAAGTATCAATGCCCGTCACGCGCGAGAGCTCAGCTAAATGATCATCTTTGGTACCAAGAAACTGCCATGACTTAGAATAGAAATGGACCACTTTCGGGGCAATAAGCTCCTGCAGCGTCCATCCTCTGGTATACCACCGGGGCACAGCAGAGGACGATGAACCAGTTCTATAAGGCAAAGGACCTTGACAATCTTCCAAGAACACGTAACAAAGGGCTGATTCTTTGTACCACTGAAACATGGAGTTGATAGCTTCAGCCAACTCTGAAGAGTTAGTCTTGTCAATGCAACAAGTATCGTCCCAGATATACTGGAAGCCGTCTCTTGCCGCCCGCTTGCAGCTGTCTTCGAGCTTCTTCCACCCGCGTTTCTTCATAGCTGCGGAGCGGTCTTTGGCCTGCATGTCCTGGAAGGTGATTTCACCCTCGCCCCATGTGTGAGAAAGGATGGCATAGCGAGGAGTTGCGCGTTTGGCAGTGAGATCACTGCCCTTTTTTAGGAGGGTGTTGTAGCCACCATGGTTGGTGAATTGCTCGATCTGGAGAGTTTTGGTGTTGAGAAGCCGCATATTGAAGGTATTAAGGAAAACTTGATAATTAATGCAATAAAGGATATTCAAGATAAAACAAAACTAAAAGAAAAAATGATGGTATTTTGTCCGTTTGATTGAGTTGCTGATGTGTGTCTGCCTAATATCACCATCACTACCTGACGAGAAGCCCATCTTATATATTCCCCTCCACAGCGCAACACATACCCAAACCGTCACCAAAATTCACTTCAACTACCCAAATATAGCCTCCTGCATCTAGCCGCCGTCAAACAGCGTCCCGTCAAGCTCTCCCACAAAAGCTCCCTCCTCCCGGCTGCCTTACCCGCCCGTCAAGCATCATCACCAACCAAACACCAAGCGCCTCCTCTGACAGCCTGCCAAACGTTGAAACGGGAGGACCACAATCCCAAGCTCGAAATAGCTAGGACTTTTCATCTAGCTTCAAGACTACAGAGAAACCGCGCGCTTCTATTCGAGAGGGTCAGAGCTTGGCTGCTGGGGATTTCAGACTAGGCTCCGCCGCTAGGATGAAGCTAACGACCAACAACAAAATATCCCCTTGCTGAAGACAAAATAAGCGAGGACGCCATGGGTCATTCAGTAGTAAAAGCAGGCGTGGATGCTCTGTAGAGACAGTAAAAAAATACGTATAGCGAATATAGGTAGACATGGTAAATGGTGAAGATACGTATGGATATAAGAGATGGTAGCTACTTACAAAGGGGGGAGACACGACACTCTATTCTATCTAACGAATCTATCTCTGAAGGATCCTTCCCAGTCCTACTGCCACTATCATTCAGCAAATTGTCGTCTCAAAAATAGTATCCCTTGACCCCTGCAAAAGGCGAACCCAACAACATGAAGACAGCATCTAACAGCGTTTCAAATCAAGGTAAATCATCACCGGAGCATTACCAGCTTCTTATTTTATACCCAACAGCACATGCTCGGCGGCAAGAGAGAATGTTGGTCAGCATACAAGTGAATATTATTTCCATTTCAGTAACTGTATACAACTAACAATGTGACACTCATAGGTGCACTCGGTATCATAAAAACGTAAACAGCTGATCCTCCAAATATAGACCCAAAAAGTCAAACGCAGCATCATTTGCCGCTGGTGCTACCCTTCTCGTCATATCACTTAGACGAAGATAGTGTTTGTGTGACCAATACATGGTCCAGTGTAACTCTGATATCGCACCTCATCTCTACTTATGATTGAGCCTTTCGGCACGGCGGTAAAAGGGAGGTAGAGGCTCCAACTTTTGACGCAGTACCCAGGTTCTAAAGTGCCACATGGCATTCTTCATATGGTAGCTCATGTGCTTGCGAGTGCTTACTCCAAACACCTGGTCGAGCTCTTCAAGAGTGAGTGCCTTGGTCTCAGGCACAAATAGGAGGATGAACACCCAAAGGATTGCACACCAAGCGGCATACCATCCGAATGCTCCCTGGACAGTAAACGCCCTAGAGATGGATGGCCAAGTGAAAGATAGAATGAAGTTGAAACACCAAGTGGTCGCAGTAGCCCATGACATGCCCACATCACGGACATGGACTGGGAATGCCTCTGCCGAGTATGTGAACGGCACTGGACCTTCACCCGGAGAATAAAAGACCTCAAAGAGATACATGCCCGTTGTAACCATACCGACTCTCTTCTTGGTACCATCGTCTGGGATGAAAAATGACATGCCAGTCCACAGCAAGAAGAGACACAGGAAGGGAAACGTAAAGAGCAAAAGGTTTCGACGGCCCCATCTGTCAATGGTAAAAACCGCCGGGATGGCAAACACGAAGTTGAGAATGCCGGTGCCCATAGATGCAAGTAAGGCGGAGTTGGTGGAGTAGCCGGACTCAATAAAGATGGTCGTACTGTAGTAAGCAATGATATTCACTGTGCACAAAGTCAGTTTCGAATGTCTTGCTTGATTAAGAATCGAGGCAAGGGTGAAAGTTCTTACCTCCACAGAATTGTTGACTATAATAGCAATGGTTATTAGCTTGTGATTCTTAATAGTGTAATAATCATCTCTGCCACTTACCCAAACATGAGAATCCATGTGGCCCACGTTGCTCGACGGTTCCTTGGGACGGTAAAAAGCTCGACAAACTGAGTGAAGAGGTTTTTGCCCCTATTCGCTTCGCGCTCGATCTCAACTCCAACGTAGGTATAGTATGTATCACGAGCAGCTTGGATGTTGGAGTATCGTAGGCGCTGGAATGATCTGAAAGCCTTTTTGACCTTTTTATGTTGGATATACCAACTGGTAGGTGGTTAGCTGGGCTGTGAATTCGATGGGTTATGAATGTGGAATTGAAGAACATACCGAGGAGATTCGGGACAAAAGTAAACCTGCGCACAGACAATCAGGGGTAGGACGACGGTGCTGCCAAGCATAAGACGCCAGCCGAGAGAGGGCTTGATGCCTGTTGATGGACCAAACGCAACACCCATTATGTTGCCGAGCATGATACCAAAGGCAGTCCACATCTGCCACTCTGTACAGGTTGTCTAATTAGCCTCAAGACATGTATTTGATGGGAGAAAGGTGTGATGAGTACTTACGCATGACCATGGCACCTCGAATCGGCGCAGGACTGCATTCAGCAGCATAAACGGGAACAGTTGACGACTTGGGACCAATGCCGAGACCAAGAACAAATCGAGCGAGGAACAGATTCACCCAAGAATTGGCAACGCCCTCCCAAATAGAGGCAACGGCAGCAATAAAGCAAGAAAGGAAGATTGTTCCTCTCCGCCCAAGAACTTTGTTCAAAGGCTCCGTCAGCCAGCAGCCAAGTATGGCGCAGCAGAGGTACGGAGCGCCGACGACTAGGCCAGTAATATTATCTTGCATGGAGGGGGAGAAGCGAGTGACTCCGGGGCCTGCAATGTCAAGATCTGCCAGATACAAAGCTTGGGCACCATTGTTGACTGTCTCGTCCATTCCCTGCACTGCAGCAGCCATGGAACACATGCAACAAAGCCAGTAGAGCATGAATGGATGAGACCAGCGGTGAGTCAGCTCTCGTTCAATGATGTTTTTATCCTCTGGAGTGAGTTCCTCCAGCATGTGGATGGATTCCGGGCTCTGGGCAGCCAGGGCACCCTTACGGAAGTCATCGAGGTAGTCCATGAGATCGTGCATTCGACAGAACTCGCCAACATCTTTCAGCAGCTCATCTTTGGTGCGCTGCTTCAGGGGATTCTCGAAGACAGCAGCAAGATTATCCATGTTGGCGAAGGAGCCACGCCGAGGCGCGTGCTCGACATTCTCAGTGCCATCCTGAGAGCTTTGGCTGTCGGCTTTCTCCATGATGTATATGGATGCTTGATTCCAGTATTCAATGATGAAGACTTATAAAGTGTCAAGTTGAAGTTGAGATTGGGGATGATGTGATACGCGGTACTTTGAAGCTACAAAGCAGAGGCACGTGTAACTGAGATACGATGGGCAAGAGAGATGGCAGCGCCTGCATCCCTATTCCTAGGCAGATGCTCAATGTGGATTGCTTCAGGTACTTGGACAGCTTCAAGTAGGACCTGGAACTGTTATAAGCACGCCATGTAGCACAAGAGGAGATGATCAAGTCCAACGCCAGGATAAAGGACACTCCTCACTGTTATAATAACAATTTCTCCACGTATCATCCCCCCATATCATGCTGCATATGCACAATCCCCTCCATCCTTCCCCGACTTGGGGGCGTCAGCCACCGGCCTAACCATCAAGACTGCTTGGCTACTCGAATGATTCTTCAAATTCTAAAGGCCGGTACCGACAGCCTTGTCCGACATCAACGCCGATCACCTCGTGAGAAGGCTTCCCAGGATCGCAAACCTTGGTTTCCCATGGGTCCCCTTGGACACCCAACACGGTGTTGTGACGAGATTGCGTACTGTAGGGGGATATCATCACCCTTTACAGACTTTCTTATGCTGGAAATGTCGCTGCCTGGCGAAAAAGCGGATCATGGTCTTATTGTTTCCTTTTTGCCTTTGTTTCCTGCTTCCGTCCACGAGGCATCTTGACCCACTGAGAAGCCGGGGAAACTGGAGAAGACTGGAGAACGCAACACATGGTCGTGGAGTCGTGGATCCTTGGTGGTGAGCCAAACGTGATAGGCATCCATATAAGTGCATTGGGTATGACTTCATCTTCGCCCTCTGCTAAACGGCTGTTTTCATTCTCCCCACCCTACTACATAATAACGGCGCAGAAACGGTGCCATTCGGAGGAGACTCTGGCCGCAGTCCGTTGAGCAAACTCGAAACTTTTTCTTGCAACGCCCGTTGGTCTTCTCCTCTTCGGAGTTACTCAAGCCGGCAATCATGGCGTCCAATCGGTGATGTAATCGCAAAGAAGCCCGCGGTGATTCCTGTAAGATGATTTGCGCAGGAAGCCATCCTTCTCAGCCTAGCGCTGCTCTGGCTCGATTCTCCCGATGTTTCTCTGCCGCCACTCCAATCACCGGCCAGGCGTTTAGCTATTTCCGGCCATGGGCGCGACGTCATTAAACTGCATGCAGCCAGGTATTGTGATGCTGATCGGCGTTGCTTTTCTCAAGGCGCAAGAATTATGACGATGAAAAAGATACCTAGTAAAAGCGACAGCCGTCTAATTCTCCGCAGGAACCCCTCAACCCGCTGAACAACTCGTGAGCCATGAACTTTTTGCCCACAACCCGATCAATGGGTCGGTGCCACTGTGGTTCTTCTGGAGACGGGTATAGTCATACTCCAGTTTCCCCGGATTTTGGGTACGCCAATGCTTCAAAGTCTTTGTTCCACATGGCAAATTGTTCTGGAAACAGCACCTTGCGTATGATTGTTAAAGTAAGCGAATAGGAATGATCTGCCGCAAGAGTGGTAACATCGTGTGTCTTTTAACTACATTACATGCCACGGTCAAGAGTGGGATTCTCAGCCAAGTCTGCACATGCCGCTGAAGATTGATTTAATCAGAGTTCGATGGTTCTATCATCGGCAGTCGCTATGTCTTTAGTTGCTATGATGAATAAAGCTTACAGAACTCCGACGATTGGAATGCGTCTCCAACAAACTGTGGCTTACCGACGGCGATAAGGGTATCATATCAGCATCTAATTTTCGGGACGAAGTTTCTAATTCTCAGCTCCTTGCTATCTGGAATCATGAGACATTCCAGGTATTGCTTGAAAATTAATCCTGTTTTATTCCAAGAATCAGGATACAATGACGAACTAATGTAGCATCACTCTTCTTGGCGTCTCCGGAAGATTTCCCCTCTGAAGCTCGTCAATCTGGCGTCTGTTTAACCATGTTCATGCCACGATTGTTAATGATCAGCAAGGCTGGCGTGGTGTGCAAGGCTGGCGCCACTCGGCAAACATCAATCAACAATCGTGGGTTGCATCGTCATGCATGTGTCCAACAAGGCGGTGATACCACTGGGATTTATTCCGCCAACGTCATACGTATGACAACTTCTCTTGATCGGCGATGGCAAAGGGTTGAACCTGATGATCCGGCGCACTTCTTTCAGTAGACTTATTTTTTGGCTCGCCCATTCACGGCAGACGTCCTTTTAGGTGATTTTTGAGAAACGTATGTCCGACAGACGAATGGACCATTGTCTCTCCGTGTGTATCTCAAGAGTCCACTCATCCTTACTAAAGGACTTGTACTCTCTAGCTCAGCATACATTACCTATATCTCGAGCGTATACAGAGAGCCTAGCACGAAGTTCGTAACGAATCTATTGTTTGTCATTGCGAATGTGAAACTTGTCAAATACTTGCAGCACGTGCCATTAATTTAACTGGTGGTATTTATGCCGGTCTTATAACCCCTTACATCTCCTTACCTCAGTAGGAACGGGTCCAGCCGGATCATCACGTTTGATACATCGAAAACGTGCATGTGGATTGCAAAAGCACAGATCAGCAATCTTTGTATGCTAAAGTACATTTGAGAATATTCTATTTAACCATACCTGCCCTTTGCTCCATCACTGTCGGTCTTGGCCCATCAGCGGAATTTGTAAGAGAGTAGTTACAGGTATTCAGCACTCCAAGTTAGGCGTTGGATATCCGGCATCTTGTGTCTCGTATTAAGATTGCCCTTTACTTGAGTAGTAAAATATACAGTATATATGTATATAAGTATTTTTACGACCTGTTATTTACATGCCTATTTCCTTAGTTACAACCTGGTCCTTAAATTCAACCACCATATCAAGATCTCTCCACTTCTCCCTCTCAATGTACTTGAACAGCACATCAGCCACGACTCCCCGCCCAGGGAGTTCCTTCGCCTCATCCGTCTCAACCAAACCGACGCTCTTCGCCAATCTTCTCATTGGGATATTATACTTCATAGTACCCGCCTCAATAATGTCCACATCCACTTCATTACTCAACCGCAGCAAGACCTGCAGCAGCACCTTTCCCAGTCCTTTGCCTTGGATCTCGGGGCTTAGTCTGATAGCAACGTTTGCGACACTTGGCTTTTCGTCGGGGGGTGTGATCTGATATATAGCTCCCCAGCCTACGAATTGGCCTTCCAGTGACATGAATACGTCGAGAGCGTGGTGTCTGGTCCGGGAATCGGCATAGTTCTTCTGCATCCTTTCTCCAGGGATGGGGGCTGGAGCTTGAGGCTCAGCAGGAGGGACTTCGGTGGTGTTTGGGGCCGATGGGATGACGACTCTTTCTGCGAAGCGTACAAATGCGTCTGTCTCAGCGGGTGTCAGGCGGATGAATTTGAGGTTTTGCTCTGGGCGAGAGGGAAGGGTGATGGTCCAGTCCTTGGTGAAAAATCTGTCGTCTCTCTGGAAAGACGCCATTCTTTGTAATTTTTATTGGTACTTTTTGGAGTAGAATGAAGCAGGGAGAGTAAATTTGGGTTGATAAGCCATAGGTAATTGATTGATGCGGTTGAAGAGTTGAGTATTATATATTATTAGAGAGAAGCAGCAGGTGAGGGATTATAGCTGGTAAATTCTAGGTAGCAGCATACAGAAGTGGTTAGATGTCGTCGTGGTCTTAGGCAGCTATCATTAAGACTGTACAATAATCGAGTGCATTCAAACAGAAGCTTGCTAATGTGTTTATGGCGCACCTATTTGAATTGAAGAATACATGTAATGTAGAGAACTATTTTATGTGGTTGTTAAACCCCAAGGTGTCAGCCATTTTCTGCAGTCTTGGCGTAGCTGACCGGCAACTTGGGGTACAATCAAGCAGCCACAAAATCAGGAAGTAAAGTCCGCTTAAAAATTATTTATAAAATTAGCAATACCCAGTTTGCCCCCTACTGACAGAATATATGTATATCAGATCATATGATTTTGTATAAATATTTCCTCATGAGTTTTGTCACGGACCAATCGCTATTCTACCAAGTCAAAGCTTTCATTGCAATGAGATCCAACAATACATTATTAGGCGAGGATTGAAACTCGGCCAATTGACTAATACAGTTCTCGGCGTAAATCCGAACGCTTTACTAACGGGCTTATTCTACCGAAAAGGAAATTCACGTGAAAAAACAAGTACGAGTATTGTAGATGAGACGGCACGCAGAGCAATGGAATTTGCCTCAGTACGAAGCATTGAAGGGACTAAAGCGATCTAAAACGATGATTCCGAGTCCAAGTTGGAGTAGCGGCAGGCTAAAGCAAGAATATATGGAGTCGTCCGTATAATCCGGTTCGGATTGCTCTGGTATTTAACTCACCTTGTAATGTATTTTGTGAATATGGAGTAAAAGAGGAGCCGAAAGGCCCAATGTCAGTTTGACAATTTGCAATTCGGTTGATGGCTCCAGGGTAGCTGAAGACTGGAAGCAAGGCGGATATGTACAGAGTACTTGGTAGATTAGGGTGATAATGCATGGACAGCCATCCAATTGATTTTGTGCGATACCTCGGGCAACCACTACATTCACCAATGCAACCACATTGAATTGGAACATAACCCTCGACAGACAAATAAAAAATGACAGGTCTGCAATTACTCGCCGGAATTCGCATGGACTGTTCGACGTCGGTCAAAAACACGAGCACACACAGCCAATGGCAGGCGCCAAAATCGCACAACTCGCCGCTGGCTTGGCCTGAATCGTACGCTTGCAGCAAAATGCGCCTCACCAGCATGGGCCGGGTTCAGGGTTCGCATTTGCCCACACCGGTTGTTATCTGCCTGCATCCATATCCATGCAGTTCGGTGGATTATGGCCTGTTGCGAGGGAGAAAAAAAAACCGTGCGTCGTGAGGGATCAAAAGCAGCAATAATCGCGGGATGGCGTTTGGAAGATTGGATGGAGAGATTCAACGGTCGAAGCAAATGGGCCTCGTTGCGCAAAGACGTAGCAATGGTTCGACATGTCTCGCTACCAGATGCACATCACTGTGGCACGTGGAGGCTTTTCATGCGGGGAGAGAGATCGTGAGATCGAACTCGCCTCCCTATTCTCCTTCGGTGGGTTCACGAAAAGGCGAAAAGGCGGCAGCAGACGAGACGGCCTGCGTTGAAAGGGCCTAGTTTGGCGGAGAAGTGGCGGGGACGTTTGGGTGAGATTGGAGATGCAGCCCGCAGCCTCCTGGCCCTGATCTTGCTTGCTCTGGGTTGGCGCTCCAGCCTTTACGCTCATCGGATCTCTCTAACGCTACCTCCCTCCCGCCAACAAGGACATGCTGCTGGTCAACTCTAATTAGACTCCCGATGGGCTTGGCTGTCAAAGGCGATGCTGCTCTGCTCCCCTGCCGACTCCCACCTCGTCCGACTTTGCTCTCGTTCGTCCTCGATCTCTTCCCACGCCGCTTGCGAGAAACACCAACGGAGCAAATACCGCGGACGGCCAACTTGTATTATGGGGCCAGGCCCAGCCTTGCAGGGATTGCTCACCCACGGTGACGTAGTTGGGCAAGGATCCGTGTGGCTAACATCCACGCTGCTCCTATTGAGACAGCACTTTGTACGACAGAAACGCCCTCGTTCTGCTATCGTTATCCGCATTAACCGGCGCCATGTCGAGCTACACAAGTAATCAGGAAAGGACGGCCTAAGCCATATGGGCCCAGACATCCACAATGTAACCAAAGTTTCACAAACTCCCCAGAGTGGCAGTTAGCACCAGAGAATTGTGAGCGCGCGCTCGCTGCTGATTGAACGAGCTAAAACCCCTCAAGGGCCCCCCATCGTTGGCTCGTTCGCAAGGAGACAATACAGAGAATGGGAAAAAATAGATAAAAAGCCATCTTGCCAGCTATTCTTATGTTATTTTACTTTATTAATCACTCACCCCATTGTCTCCCGCCACCCCCTGGGAGCAGTGTCACTCTTACATACAATGGCCTCCGTCGATTCAACTACAGCGGCCTTGGAGCCACGCTCCAACGAGACGTCGAGCCCTGCCCAAAATGTGGACGACGATACCAAACGGGGGCTCTCTGAGCCATCGCGAGCTGTAGAGGTTGAACTCCCTGGAACTATCATGTCGGCTTTGGGTGAAGGTGATATCCCCACGACGACAAAGTGGGAAATCTGGACTTGGTACGGCTACTACATTGGCGCCAACGGATTGTCGCTTTTCAACTTTGGCCCTACGGCCTTTCAGAATCTGCTTGACCAAGCTGCTCCAGAATCCGGCCTTCTCATGTTTGCTGGCCGCCTCCGTGATGTGAATAGTATCGTTCTGCTTGCCAACGGCATCTCTTTTGCCCTGCAAGCTGCTCTGTTCCTCATCATTGGTGCATATGCCGATTTTGGAACAGGCCGTCGATGGATTCTGATTGTCTGGTCAATAATCGCCTATGGTATTGGGTTTGGCTGGCTAGGTGTCCATCATCCTGACCAGTGGAAGATTGGCACAGGTCTCTACATTGTCGGCTTGATTGCTTACCAACTGACATTGACATATTGGACCGCTGCCTTCCCGTCCCTCGCTCGCAACACCACTAAGCTCAAGGACTCTCGATTGTCATACGAAGCCGGCGATATTACACTGGAGGAACTAGACCGCCGCGATGAAATGGAGCGCAGCCGACTCAGCAACGTCTCCTTCTACATCCAGTCAGTGGGTGAGGTTGTGATCCTGGCCATCATTGTGGGCATCATGTTTGGCCTCCATGTGGACGACAGCGCCGACAACAACAACTGGGGCCTCTCTGTGCTGATCGCTTTCGCTACCGCCGTCTGGCTGGTTGTCTCCATCCCGTGGTTCTTTGTGGAAAAGTCGCGCCCAGGCATGATGATCCCCCCTGGCTACAACATCGTCACGGTTGGATTTTGGCAGCTGTACGAGGCGATCACGCAGATCAAACAACTTAAGCAGAGTCTCATCTTCCTTGTCGGATACTTTTTGCTGGGTGACTCGCTCAACACGACGGTGACGGTCATCTCCACGCTGCAAAACTCCGTCGTCAGCTACAATACACTGACCCTGACGTACCTCCTCATCGTCGGCATCGTCGCCCAGGGCGTCGGCATTGGCGCCTTTTGGCTCATCCAGAAGAAATTCAACCTGAGCGCCAAGACCATGTTCAACGCAGTCATGGTGTCCATCATCCTCCTCGACGGCTGGGGCATGATTGGCAACTGGACCGACAAGTTCGGCTTCCACAACGAGTGGGAGGTCTGGGTCTACCAGGCCTTCTACGGACTGTTCGTGTGCCCGTGGTACAGCTATTCGCAGATTATGATTAGCTCCGTGACGCCCCGAGGTCACGAGTTCCTCTTCTTCTCCATCTTCAACATCATTGGCAAGTCGTCGAGCTTCATCGGCCCTCTTATCAGCAGCGCCATCATTGATGCCACGCCGGGTGGCAGCAACAATAGCGCGCCGTTTTACTTTTTGTTTGCGTTGACGATTGTGAGCACGGTGGGTATTTGGTCGTTTCTTGATTTGGACAAGAGCGCCAGGGAGCAAGAGGCTTTCTTGGCGCAGGAAAAGGCGCGGATTATGGGTGACGATGTGACGAACAGCAAAACGACTGAACAGGACCAGGCAGGCGCATGATTTTGTTCTTTTTTTTGTTTTGTTTTGTTTACTTTTCTTTTTTTGTTCTTTTTTTTTTTTCTTTCGTTGGCTATGATATGGACCCTCTCGGATTGTCGAGATACTGGTTGCTGATGATGGTGCAACACTCTATCTAGACAATGATCTCGCTCTGCTGTCGAGCAGCAGATGCGCATGCCCCCGTCCCATGATGTTGCCATGTTTGACGTAGCATTGAGGCCTGTGGTTTCGGCCGCAGGTTTCAATGATTGTAGATGTCCGCGTAGATCTCGGTGATGTTGATATGTATATCCAGCCATTGGTCGTGATTGATGTTACTTAGACAAGTTGCCATGCCGTACGCTGTAGAAAAATATGTATATTCATAACTGGCTAAGCTGATCAGTATATTACAATTGGCTTCATTCTCATATCCTCATATCTTGGCCGTCAATCTACAAAAGCACGACGAAGTAATGGGCACGTCCGCCAGAGCCATGGCCTTCTTCAACGGGCCTTCCACAGCCTTTGCTTCCTCCGTCCTGCCCAACTTCATCAAACATTCGTGATAGCCGTGCAGTGCCCAAACATTATTCGGATGGCGATGAACCCGCGGCAAGGAGTCGTCGATGCCCAAATCTGCACTATATATACTCAAGGCTTCACTGACATGACCTTGCTCAAGTAAAAGTGCGCCGTAAGCATGTCGTGCGGGCTGCATCCATCCCCAAGGCTCGTCAAAGGGGAGGCCGTCGTATCGGGAGATTGATTCGCGGAGGTGGGCAAATGCGGCGGGGTAGTTGCCGGAGCGGTACTCGATTTCGCCGTCGAGCATGGCTTCGGCAACGCAGAGGATGTCGATGCATTTGTTGTTGAAGAGAGTACGTGTGGGCTTGACGCGGGGAACGGACTCGCTGAAGAGCTGGCGCTGCTCACGAGCCTCATCAACCTGTCCCAACGCTGCTAATGCCATGCCCCTTGCGTAGAAGGTGAGCGCCGTGGTGACGCAGTAGAGGTCTTGGTCCTCGGGCAGTTTCAGCGCAAGAATGTCTTTCCATCTGCCGAAGCGGATGAGCACATGCACGCGCATGGCAAGGAAAGCTTCCAGCCAGTCCGCCATAGGAGGCGTCTCAACACGAAGCAGCTCCTCCGAGAAGCTCGCCTCAAGATGCTCAACAGTCTCGAGGGCAATCTTGGACTGAGCGGCGAACATGGCCGAATACAGGCGGAAGTGGTAGTCATGACTTCGGTACAGGGTGTAAAAGTTCATGGGACCTTCGCGCTTAAGGAACTTTTCGTCGGCGCGGACGGCGTCGGAGTTTGCGACGACGGCTCTGGCGTAGTCTCCCACGAGGATGTCGAGGTGGCTCGGCATGTGGTTCAGGTGGCCTGCGTCGGGGACCAGGCCGCGAAGGTGGTCGGCTGCTGGCATGGCGGCTTCTGGGGTGTTTGACATTTCCATGAGGTGGATGTATAGATGCAGTAGACCTGGGTGTCGGTTACCGCCCTCGAGAGACATGCCGTGCTCGAGGATCTGTTTTACCTCGAGCGTGCGGGCGTCTGAGGCTGGTTTGCCTGTCTTGATGTCCCATAGAGCCCAGGGAGTGAGATTCATCATGGAATCGGCGTATAGAGTAGCAACGTCCAGGTCATCTGGGAACTGGGCTGAGACGGAGCTCATGGCATCGGCGTATTCGCGATTCCATATGGGGCGGTCTGTCTTGTTTGGGGCCGCCGACCTTGGGTATCTATACCGAAGAGCCTCGATGAGCGCCCTCTCGACGGGAGTGGCAGATTCGGAACACGCCTTTGCCTTTTCAATCGCTCGATGCGTCCGGTCCGCCGTGTTCTGAATCTCCCTGCGGCCAAACAGATCCCAGGGCTTGTTGTAGTTGGGCCCTAGGGCATAGGCGAGGCCCCAGTAGGCCATGGCACAGGCGGGATCGTGAGCAATGGCCCGCTCGAAGCATTTCGCCGCCTCCTCATGGTTGAAGCCGTAGCACCAGACGAGCCCTCGGTTGAACCAGGTCTGGGCGATTGGGTTGGAGGTGGAAACAGGGCGATGGAGGTCGCCGAGGTCGTAGTAGTCGGTGTCTAGACTCGGTCTGTCGCTGGCCGTCCGACAGGCCTCCTTTTCTGCTGTTGGTTCTTCCATTTTCTTGCCCAGGTGCTTTATTTGCCTGAGAGGCCGCGGCTCAGATGTTTGGGGAGGCGAATCGTGAGCTGGCAATCAGCTGGCCGCCGTGGATCGGACGAGTATGTCATCGTCTAGAGCAGGTTGGAACCGGCTCAAGCCCGCTAGATGCATGTAATCTTGCTAGTGGTGGTGGAGATTTCGGAGCTCCAACCGCGGCGCGACCAGCCGAAACCTTAACAGCAAGGGAGAGAGTCGGATCGGGAGTCGGTAAAGGAAGAGAGAAGGCGGTGATCTTTGACAGTGTGTGAGGATGAAGATAAGGGCCAATGGGCTCTATGTTGATTCAAACTCATGAGTCTGCGAGATGCTCAAGCGTGATCGGCACAGATCTGGAATGCCCCCGCTATCTGAGGCAGGGAGGGGAAATAAATTTCCGATGGTTGGTTGCATCGTCAAGATGAAGAACCACGTGCCGATGAGATTTTGTATTTTATACAAGTCGGGGATTTGAAAGATTATTTTTTACTATTATTCAGTCATTGAGTGATTCTAGATGCCACAATTGTAATGACCTTGTAACCATTATGGTGATGCAATACGAAAACTTCAATGTCTCGAATGCCTGATACAACACTTACACCCTAAAATAGGTGAATAAACTCCCTTTTATGATCATCCAAGACAATTTATGAGACTTTCCAAGTTTCTTTGGGCTCTTACCTTTTTATATTCTAAGGATGCGGGCCCAAATATGAATTGAATGTGTTTATTGCATTCCATTTTGTCTCAAGATTTGGCGGTCAAAGTAAACACAATGTCTGAATCAATTTGAGGGCGAGCTTCAAGCTTGTCAATTGGACGCCATGTCTTCTTCGTCTTGGCATCGTCCTCTCCATGACACCACGTTTTACAGAAATTTTACGATATGACAATGGCCTTTAGCTTGGCAAAGTGGACGGCGTACTTCATGAATACTCTAACCTCACGCCGAAGCCGCATCATTCTCGCTCTTACTTTTGTAATCATAACGATTTGCCTGTTTCTCAGCAGAACAGACGATTACTATCACCAGCATACGGCTACCATCCTTTACAAGAGCTCCAAGGAGACAACTGACTTAGACTGGTCGAAGTATGCGTATACACAATATGCCACCAGCAGCGAATATCTTTGCATCTCGGTGATGCTGTTGGAGAGGCTACATCACCTCGGAAGCCGTGCAGACAGAGTGTTGATGTATCCTACAAAGATGCTCCCAGATCCCGAAACAAATGATGGTGGAGGCTTTCACGATGCTGAACTGCTGATCAAGGCGCGAGACGAGTAGAATGTGAAGCTCATGCCTGTTCAGATTCAGCATCGAGATACTATTGATGGTATGTTCTCTCCGTACCTTGATGATAAGGGACGCACAGAATGCTTAATTTGCTAACAACTATCTAAGATACATGGGCCAATTCTTACACCAAGCTCCTGGCCTTTAATCTGACTCAATACGAGCGTGTCATTGCCATTGATGCCGACGTCACAGTTTTGAAGCACATGGACGAGCTCTTTCATCTACCGCCGTGCCCAATTGCCATGCCTCGCGCTTACTGGCTCCTCGACGACGAGAAATCCCGGAGGACGCTTACTTCCCACGTCATGGTCATCCAACCAAGCGAACAAGAATTCGAGCGCATCCAGAAGAGGGTTCAGCTCGCAGGTAAGGACGAATACGACATGGAGCTGCTGAACAAGCTATACGCCAACACGGCCATGGTGATTCCTCACAGACCGTACGCGATGCTTTCTTCCGAGTTTCGTGAGGTGGACCATCACTTGTATCTCGGCTCCGAGACTGAGGCATGGGATCCGGTAGCTGTGCTAGGTGAGGCCAAGACGGTCCATTTCTCGGATTTTCCGGTGCCGAAGCCTTGGAAAGTGCATTTGAGCACAGACGATCAGGATACTATGATCAAGTTGGAACCTAAATGTGACATGAAGAGAAAGAACGATGATATTGGTGGCAAAGAGGAAGACTGCTCGGGACGGGATGTGTGGAGGGAGCTGTATGCTGATTTCAGAGAGCGCAAAGCAGTAAGTTACATATGTTTGTGGTGGAATAATAATGGATCAACTAATCAGAATGTCACAGAGGGTATGCGCAAAGAAACGATGGGTGAATGATGAAGACGAGGGATATGGAGCATCGGAAGGGGAAATGGGCGGCTTCACGAATCCGATGCCAGACGCTGGACCAGATGACGATGCTAGATATCTGTCAGCGTAATGAGTAATGCAAGAGTAGGAACTGGATGAATCATATTGAATCATAGAATCACACCTCTATAGACTTTTCAATCAGCATAATATACTACACTTGTATTCTTCACAAAAACATGTTGAATCCTGTGTTTTTGTATGTAAACGCCGGCTATGTTCCCACGGGATAACGCGGAAGTGTCCGCTCATTCACATGCAGAGTCGCGGCCCGCCCCCCACCATTTCCGACCATCCGTTCCGCTCCAAGCCGCTTCCGAAGATCGCAAAGGGTGCTTTTGATTGCTAATTGCTCTTTGGTTGAGCTTTGTAAACCTCCGGAGAGCTTGTCACTGTCACCATAACTTGTCTCTCAGCTATTTCTAATCTCGCGACAGCTCTCTAATTCCTCCCCTCTTCTCCCCTCTCTTTCTCTTCAACTCTCTCCAATCAACCCCTCCCCCGCATCAACCTCAACCTCAACCTCCGTCACAGCAAACAACATGTCCTCCTCCTACGCCCACCTCCTCCCCCCAAGCTGGAAACCCCAAGTCACCGCCTGGCTCGCCGAAGACACGCCCTCCTTCGACTACGCAGGCTTCGTCGTCGGCGAACACCCGCGCACCGCCACCCTCTGGGGGAAATCCGCCGGCATCATCGCCGGGCGCCCCTTCTTCGACGAGGTCTTTCACCAGTGCGGCTGTGAAGTCGCGTGGCACGCAGAAGAAGGCTCTTCTATCGACCTCTCCAAATCCTCCGATGGCAAGATTAAAGTTGCGACCGTTACGGGCCCTGCGAGAGGACTGCTGCTTGGAGAGAGAGTTGCGCTGAATACACTTGCTAGATGTTCTGGCGTTGCGACGCAGAGCGAGAGAGTCGTGTCCAAGTTGCGCAAGGCTGGGTATAAAGGCGTGTTGGCCGGCACGCGTAAAACCACGCCGGGTTTTCGGCTGGTGGAAAAGTACGGTATGCTTGTCGGAGGCGCGGACGGGCACAGGATGGACCTGAGCGCGATGGTGATGCTCAAGGACAACCACGTGTGGAGCCGCGGCAGCATCACCGAGGCCGTGGCGGCTGCGAAAGCGGTCGCCGGGTTCAGCGTCAAGATCGAGGTCGAAGTACAAAGCGAGGCCGAAGCCGACGAGGCGATTGCCGCCGGCGCGGACGTGGTGATGCTGGACAACTTCACTGGCGACGGCGTCAAGGTTGCGGCGCGGAGCTTGAAGGAGAGGTGGGCTGGCAAGAAGCAGTTTTTGCTCGAAGTCTCTGGAGGACTGCGGGAGGACAATGTCGAGCCATATGTGTGCCACGGTGAGTTTCTACACTTTCTTTCTCAAAGAGATGACTTTATTCGTTTACTAACCGGGGGGGAATATGGGCAGATGTGGACATTATCTCGACGAGCTCGATTCACCAGGGAGTTCCGCATGTCGACTTTTCCCTCAAGATCAACCACTAATCGCTTGAAATGATGGATTAATAGAGGCGAGTGTATTTTACGTGTATGTATATGGGTGGATATGTTATATATAAAACTGCAAAAGTAAATCTGGGCGGCTATTCTGATGAGAGATTGAATTCTGGTTGCTATTTCAACGCAACTAATAAGACATGAGGCTATACATAAAATACAAAAAAGTACAGGTATCTACAATGTCTCTAGCAAAAGAGACGGCTTTATATGTTTTACTTAGTTCACCTCCTCCTTCTTGGACCCAAACAGTCCGTTAAACGTCTTGCTCAGCCTCTTGCTCAGCTTCTCGTCAACATTTGCTCCCGCCGCCTTGGCGTCAATGGTGGCAGCGCTTCCCTGCTGGTGCGCCAACGGGTTGTTCTGCACTCCAGACTTGTTCTTGTCGCTGGATGTGGTGCAGCATGATCCTCCCAAGAGAACGCTGGCGTCATTTCTGGTAGAGGGAACATCCATTGCAGGGTTGGCAGTGAAGAAGTCGGTAGGCTTGATGTGGATCTGGAAAGTCTCAACTGGCCTAGATGGAAAGTGATTGTTAGCATCATGCTGGAGATATTTAGAAAGAACACAATGAATGACTTACATGACGGGCCAGTCCTCTACACGGGGGTTGTGTGTTAAGCCAAACACGCTCCACACAACAGGGCTGCTCCTCTTGCCCTTGTCTGCCGCATCACCATTCGTTGCGCCGTTGGCCTCTCGATCTGAGAACCAGTCTCCTCGCTTGACCATGTCGGCAACACCACCAATCTCCTTTGTGCTCTGGTTTGTAAACTCTCCTGCGGCCCACAGCTCGCCATCTCGGTAGCCAGTCACCCAGGCATTGTGCTGAGCAAACTGCGCTCGCTGAGCGGCCAAGCCTTCAGGGTCGCACAGCAGCATCTGAGTCACTGGTGCCATGACCTTGTAGCCCAGGTTCTTTCCTGAGATGGGGTTCTTCTTGTTGGCGTTTTCCAGCTTAATCAGTCGGTTGAGACGTGGCTCGGCATCAACCCAGGTAGCCTTTTCGACCTTTTCACGCTGAATCTTGTAAAAGTTGCCATAGGGGTTGGTCTTGGGATCAATCTTTTGCCCGTGAGACTCCTCAACGATGACCTGTGAGTCGGCACCATCGTATGAGTCAATGGCCGGGTCGATACGCACGGCAAAGACGTGCTGGTGGTTTTGCGCCAAGACACCTGGCGTCATGACGTTGCCATAGGCACTGACCTTGCCTTCATCGATACCAGTGACACTGACAATGCCAGTGGCACGGGTTTCAAAAGTAATGGCACCGGCAAGATCCAGCTTATAGCACAGGACGTATTCGTAGTTGGCCAGAGTGCAAATGAACTGCACAACAAACTCGCGGTTGCGCGTCACAACGGCCCGGCCGGTGCGGTAGTTGGTGTGCTTCCACAGGATGCCATTGTCCTGTTCGTGCAGACACACTACAGCCTTTCCGGGAGATGGTGAGCCGTCGGGCTCAGTGTTGACCACGTCGATGTAGTGAATCGCGCCCAGACAGTCACATCCCAGCTCTAGGTTGTTCGCAGCTCGTCCCATGCCACCGTCGCCAAAGTCGAATGCCTGCTTACGGTGGAAAGGGGGTCGAGGGTCGGCGTAAGGGACCGTCATCTCACTGAAGCTGAGGCGGTACATGACGGAGCGATTGTCGTAGTGAAGATCATGCAAGACCGCACCTTCACGGGGAGTGAATCCGAGGCGGAATCGCCACTTTTGCCATTCAATCAGACCATCGTCGTGAATAGTAAAGGAAGCGCCCTCGGGCTGTGTGATGTTGATAGGCTTCAGGTCTGTTCTCAGAGGATAGTCCAACAGCTCAGGGACGTACTCGCAGCCCTTGTGGTTTTCGAACAGCTTGACAGGTTCCTCGCTTTGCACCTTGGCCTCTAGTTCATCGCCAATGCCGCCAGTTGCGATTCTCTCAACCCTGACGAGCTTCTTGGTATGCCAATCCATTACGGGAATAATAGGAATTGGGTAGCCATAGTGGTTGGAATCGGGATTCTTGTTGCGTGTGTCCTTTGCGTAGACCAGTCCCTGCATCTGTCGCGGAATGTCCTTCTCATCGACATTGGGGGGTCCATAAGGCCATGGCTCCACGCAGACTTCAAAGCCTTCTGGGAGGGTGAATTCGGACATGGCCTTTTTGAACAGATCCGAGTTGACGCAAGCATCATTAAAGTGGTCAAACTCGCCACTAGATCATGTTAGAGCCTTTGTTTCCTTTTCTCAATCATGTTCCAAGGGAAGACTTACGGGGTGACATATGGCTGGTGAGGTACCGGAGCAGCTACCGTCTTGACCTCGCCGGTATCCAAGTTAACAATGGCGTTGATGTACTCGGAGCGATCAGCCCGGATAACATCGTGCTCAACAATGGCCTCTCTGGGTGGCCGCTTGGTCTCTTCTGTCAGAGTGCCCTTGTGCTCGGCCTCGAGGAAAGGCTGCAGGTCTGCCTTTTTGGGCTCCTGGACGTGGATTGCTCTGAAGAAGATGGACTCGGAGGCGCCGTGAAGCTTAGCAACGGCATCCCGGGCCTTGACGTGCTCGGCCTCGGAGAGTGGAGCCAGCGGATGCGGCCTCGGTGCTGCGGTGACGGCCATTGTGATGTTTGTGTTGGTAGTTGAAGAGAAAGAGATGAAGCAGTGAAGCAAGACGGTATTTGGAGAGATGATGAGTGGCTATCTGCGGGGACGGCCTAATGATCAAGCCAGCTTACTCTGACTCGCCGTATGATATCATAAGACAAGGCAGTCAGAGAGGAATTGGCGTAGAGTTGGTGCTCAGCTGACGTCTTGGAATATCGATTGCTACTCCAAGTGGTTGAGGTACTCTGAGTTTTACTTCAGGATTATCTCTGGGGATGTTGGAGGTCGAAAGAAGAAGAAGAGGAGGATGATCGAATGTTTAAGTATCTGCTCCGAGGTTGTCGGCCAAGTAGCAACACTCCAAGGACCCCGCGGGCTACCGGGATTCAAGACCGGAGTGGATCTGGTCCATGAAGAGCGAAAGTAGCCGTTGAAGCTGGCCAGATGCAATGATCGCCCCCCGAATGGCCGTGAATCGAAGGTTTGATACCAGCGCTTTGGAAGCCAAAAGACACTTGACCAGAACGGCCATTGAAGACGGAGGTGGGGCAGCGGCTGCTCGAAATTGGGGTTCCAGCGCCTTGCCCCGCGTTTTCGCCGCCGCCCAGCCAATCAGGCGGCTGCTGTGGCGGTATCGCAGCGACGTTAGCTGCCGCTGATAACGCCCAGAGCCCGCCCAGAGCCCACTGGAGACAAATCTACTGGGGATTCATTGATTTCTCGCCTTTCCGTCTCAGGGCATTTGGCCTCAATCCAGAGGCTTCCTCGTCTTTACTTCTCCAAGATCCCGCGCCGGCACATGACCCCGACTATGCCCGTTCGGGGCGATATCCTGCTGAGCGTGCATGAAGCCTCAGGGCAATAGCCGTTCATGGTTTCGCCGCTGGCGGCTCATTTAGTTCCGCCTTGTGATACTGGCTTGTGTTAATACTGTAGCTGGTTGACTCTAGCACCTATGCCTCAGCTGCTATCCTGGCTCGACGTGAGCCTTATTGCCCTTTTTTGGACATGATCCTTCTGGAACCGGAATCGGAGATGCACGCGTGGGAATGAGAGGTTGTCGGCGGTCCGGAGCCGTGGAGATGGGGATTCTAGGAACTAGCCGGAGAGGATGAGTGCCCGATTTGGCAATTTTCATGGTCCCCGGTCTTTGACAGCTGTGTAATACGGGCAGAATAGGTGAAGCCATACCAATCTCGTTGTTGGAGAGTGATGCTACTTGTTGTTTGGCCGGAATCATGTTGGTGTGAGATTTTTGCCAAGAAGTCTGCAATTCCGACGGCAACAACTCATGATAAATCATGCCGCTTGAGTAATTAATAGTAATACAATTATGTGTATGATGGCCATGATTTGGCCAATGTGAGATGAATTCATACGGTGTGTAGTACCATTCACCAAAGATCGTGATGCGGGCTTGCAATCGTTGCCACATCCCCAAAGTCTACAGTCTGTACACACTCCAGCCATTGGAAACCATTATCAATTCAACTAACAAACATAGTCCGCTATCATTTAAAGATGAAGCTAAAAATCCACTTTCTCTATCTTGATATCACCCATAGTTCCAACTTCTTATCTCAAAGTCCCGTCCCGTATGACAATCTGATGGCCTGATCACTTTTGGACAGATACGCCTATCTCTATCTGCTTCCGCCCCGCTACGGAGCTTCACGCTGGCTCCCCGCACCGCCGTTGCCGCCCTTTGCTTGATCGCGGAGCCGAGCGCGGGGGACGGCCAAAACTGGAAGCAAAAATACATGCGGCGCTGCCAGAGCGAGTTTGGAAGCAAAAATACACGCGGTGCCTCCAGAGCGAGTTTTGGAGCAACGGAGGGCTAAGAATAGAGTGTAACTGCATCATGTTGAGACGTTTCTGTTTCGGAATGGAGAGTCGCTTGCACATCGTGAATTCTTGCCTGTCTCGGAAGTCGGCGGCTTGGGGCCTGATGCTCTCACTTCTGTAACACTTTGGGTATCTGACAAGTCGACAGATTTCACCGGCTAGTTTGAACTCTCATGCGCTCTCTTTTTCTACCATCGTGCCTTTCTAGGGGAATATAGCTTCATTTCATCACAAGAATGTTCATGAGACAACCTGAGTTCACTAAAATAGCTCTCTGACGAGGGTCTTCTGGGCCGGATCGACAGCTCTGTAACGAATGTGTGCGAAACCAAACATGTAGCAACCTCTAAGCTTAAACACGGCTGGACCTGAGCGGCGTGGCATCTACCGAGAAAGCCAGCCTGGTTTCGATCTACATGTGCCGTGATTCAAAAGTCATGCCACTCCGGGCCGCAGTTGGCACTCATCTGTCGTAGCCTCGCACTTTTGGCGTTTCATGCGTGCTGCTACGGATCATTTCGGAGGCGAACGGCTTGTAGCACGAGCAACCTGTCACATCCAATCCAGTCTGCATATGCAGGATCAAACTTGACAAATTCAGTTTAATATGTGCGCTAAGCGAGGGAATAAGGAAGAGGAAAGGATAGACTGGAGAGAATGGATCGACTAGTGGTAGATGTACAGTATCAAGAGTATGTTGAGTATCAAGTGCACGATGCGTCTTCTGATCGGCGCGTGTCTTGCGCATACGCCGTCAAACCATGCATCCTCCACAATCTTCATCATCACTCCACAAATAGCAATGTTCCTTGCCGCATTCCAGATACCGCCCCGGTGTTGGCTGAGGTTTGCCACATGCACACCATTGTTGACGTACCATGTGGCTCAGCTCAGCCATCGACATCTCCAGACAAGCCTACGAAAGATGTCAGCCTCAGCCTTAACCCGGATACCGGCCGGTGGAGGCTGAGGCTTGCTTCTTTTTCTGGTGACTGCCTCGAGGGTTTCAGTCATCAATTAGCCCTACAGCTCCGCCCTTCCCTCGGCCCGTGCGGCAAAAGACGACTGGAGATCTAGATTGTGAGAAATACGAAGATTTTAGTGGATTTCTCGTACCAGGAACGAGGACAGATATTGGTTTACTGATGAAAATAGAAACTTCAACCGGCGGAACCTTGGACGGTGAGTACGAGATATGGAAGACGAATAGCAGCGTATGAGTCGAGCTGCAGCACTAGACTCCTTGGATTAGGCCCCTTTCTCTTCGTTTCTGCTGGCCGTGAGCGTGGATAGATGCATCTACACGGTGATAGGCGAGCCGAAATCGAATCATTTCTCAAGTCTCCAAAGGCCCAGCCCTACGTTACAGCCGGCCATCGCTAAGCAGATCGCCTACTCTGTGCTAAATTCTGACTTCTCGGGCAGCACGAGATGCCGTCCAGTCGCTGTTTGTTCACGGGCTCTCCCGTGATGCCTACTTGTATACGAGAGAGACGGACATTAGCCGCATGCAAGATTACGAACGGGTCATCTCGCCAAGAAAAAGCTTGTGTTGTATGCTACCGCCTCTTTGGAATTAATCGCTATCGAAAGGAACAGGGCCTAGAACTAGCTTCCCATCGAAATTCTCGTGCTATTGTTCTCTTGATTGTGCCAAGTAGTGCAGCTAGCACGTAATTGCTTTTACGAAATTGAAGCTATTGGTGCTGGATGGATTCTCCATGGCGTCGCTTATCATGGCCGTTGAAATTAGAGCCCGGAAATGATGGAGACCGGGACAAGGGCAGAGATCCATCCACCGGAAAAAGATACGAGCTGATAAGACGATGGAAGAGAAACGGTTTCATATGCTGATTAAGGTTTCCCTTGGCATTGACGAGATAGTCTGCAACTTTAAAAGGATATGTATTTTAGAGTTGGGAGAGGGGACCGCATTCTGCACCGCTTTTGCGTCGTGGGGGAATGAAATGGATGACGGGTTGTTGGGAGTAGAAAGTGCAAATTGCGAAACAAGGCCAAGAATTCACATGCTTAGCATGGTAGCAGTGTTGGTGGTGCTGTAGATGGCATGCAACACCACTGAAAGTGCCTAGTAAACCCCCGTAGCGCGAATTTTGCTAGGGGTCCAATCCCCGAAATGACGACATCTCCACAGTTCCAAGGTTTTTATCCAGTTCAGCTGTCAGCAGTCCATGGATCACAAACTGCAGAGGCAAAAGAAGGAAATGGACATTTCATGCATCTTGTGATAATGGCAGGGTACCTATGAGGTAAATAGGACTTTTGATTACATTGTAACCATGTGAGAAGATCAACAATGAGGGATAAGATCGATAAGAAAAGAAACAGATGAAACAGCAAATCCGGACGGATTCCAGGGCCGGCCGCAGAGCGTCGCAGAAGGCGCCAAGGCGTCGACGATTTGGCTGCAAACGAACCAACAGATCGCTGCGCTAGACATTTTTGGCGTTTCATGTGCGCCTTGTAGGAATTGAATTGATCCCCTTTTTTTGTGAGCCAAAAGATCACGTCACCCGCCAGCTGTGCCTCTACGCGCCAAAACACGGTGCAAGTGTGCAGCTCATTGCCTTGGTAGGGAGGTGGTAATGTGTAATACTGTATGTATGTCCTCGCATGTATGTGCCTGTATGGAGCTGGAGGCTTATCACTTGCAAGGCATCAACTCTCACCTCATCCTGATTACTTGCAATCTTGTGCTCACCGTGTCCAAATGCCGTGATTTGTCGATACAAGTCGCAGGTTATTGCTGCTTCTGCCCAATAAACACAAGTATCTCGTACGGCTTGTCCGGTCCAAAGGGTGGGTTCGTTGCAGGTACCGGCTACCTGCTAGTCGCGATTTAGTGGCCAAAAGCCGTGCAGAAAACGGTATGGTGCTAAAGCTGAACACCCCTATTTTTTCATGCAATTTTTAGCTCAAATCTCCCACGCCAGAAAGAAGGACGAAGAAAAAAAAACATTGGATGGAAGAGTGACATCAAATAGCAGATGAGGAAGCACCGCATGCATCCACCCTCCCTCTGTCGAACCCAAACTTTTCATAATCCCGTCCCCCTTCTTCGGGTTCCTCAGCTAGTCTTTTTTTCTTCCTTTTTATGATTCGAGGGCCTCTTTTACTTTCTCGTCAATCGTTTTAAAAACACTCTCGCCTGAACTTTGGCACCTTTTGCCCCCCTTTCGTCATCCCCTCTTTAGTTCCCTATTTCCTGCATTGGTGTCCGTATTCCGCATCTCGTATCCCGACGACGCCTAATCAAGCGAGACGAAAGACACGAAGAGAAGATAAAGAAAAAGAAAGACGAGAACCCACTGCTAGCCACCCCTGCCAAGCGGAAGCAAGCGAGTTTTCTCTTTTCTTCTCTTTAGAGTGGTGCTATTTTCTCTTGTACTTTCCCTCGTCGATTTTCTCGGCTGTCACATTGCGATTTGCAGCAATTCCATGGTCTAGCTGCAAGCTTAATCTTGATTTCACTTTTCTCGATTCGTACCAGGTATCTACGGTATCGACGTCGACTTCACTTCTTTGGTCTACGAGACGAGTAAAAAGAAACACAATAAGATAGAAGAAGAGAGAAAGAGAGGCGCCAATCATGTTGAACCCACGCCGCGCCTTCATTGCGGCGGCGTTCCTCTTGACCGTCTTCTTCCTCATCTCACGATCGCACAACTCCGAGCAGAGCCCCTCCAGCTCGACCGAAAGCAGAGATGCCGAAGCAGAGGCACTGGCCGCCGCCAATGCGCAGCAGCGACTGCCCCCGCCTCCTCCGCAAAAGCCCATGATTGACATGTCGGGCATGTCAACGTACGAAAAGCTTGCCTACCAGTACGAGTACGACATCGAGTCCAAGTTCCCCGCCTACATCTGGCAGACTTGGAAGTACACGCCGGGCGAGGGCGAGTTCCAGTTCCGCGAGCAGGAGGCGTCGTGGTCAATTGAGCACCCGGGCTTCATCCACGAGGTCATTACCGACTCTGTCGCCGACACGCTGCTGCAGCTGCTGTACGGGAGCATCCCCGAGGTGCTGGAGGCGTACCACGCCCTCCCGCTGCCCGTGCTCAAGGCCGACCTGTTCCGCTACCTGATCCTGTACGCGCGCGGCGGCATCTACTCGGACATTGACACGTATGCCATCAAGAGCGCACTGGAATGGATTCCGCCGCAGATCCCCAAGGAGACCGTGGGCCTTGTGATTGGCATTGAGGCTGACCCCGACCGACCCGACTGGGCTGACTGGTACAGCCGGCGCATCCAGTTCTGCCAGTGGACGATTCAGAGCAAGCCCGGACACCCGGTGCTGCGCGACATCATCAGCCGCATCACCAACTCGACGCTGACGATGAAGAAGGAGGGCAAGCTGTCGGCATTCCAGGGCAACCGCGTGGTGGACCTGACGGGCCCGGCCGTGTGGACAGACACCATCATGGACTACTTCAACGATGAGCGCTACTTTGATATGGAGAACAGCAAGGGCAAGATTGACTACCGCAACTTTACGGGCATGGAGACGAGCAAGCGCGTGGGAGACGTGGTTGTGCTGCCCATTACGAGCTTCTCACCGGGTGTTGGCCAGATGGGCGCTAAGGACTATGATGATCCGATGGCATTTGTCAAGCACGACTTTGAGGGTAAGTTGCGATGAATGTTACAAAGACAAAACAAAATCATGCGCAAAAGCTAACAGTGTGATTCTCTCAGGAACGTGGAAGCCCGAAAGCGAACGACATATCGGCGAGGTCCAGCAGGAGCTTGGCGAAGGAGAGGAGGCTCCGAAAGAGCAGTAAAGAAGAAAAGAAGAAAGCAGAAGAGCCTCGACACCCTATAATTGCATGACCAAGTCGGAGGGATATTTTTTTTCTATTGTCATTATTTCTTGCACCTGTATATTCTTTCTTTTCTTCGCTCTGGACCGCGGTGGGCTGGGTTCCGCATCGTCACACCTTTATTTCGGGTAATATTTTTTATTTCCGCGTTGCTGCGCGCCGCAGTATGGGCGTCACGGCTATATATTGGTAGCGTGGGGGAGGATTGGAGGAGGGAAACGGTTTTTTTTTTACTACACATTGAGGCATCATCAGCATCGGGGGGTTTTAGACTCGTGTATTTTTCGGCTTTTTGTTTTTTGGGGGGAGGGGAATTTTAGATGCCGGATGGAGTTTTTTGTTGGTTGGTATTTTACACATGTTGACGGGCGTCTCCATATTTTTTCTTCATGTTGCGAGCTTTTCTATGATATAGCCGTTGGCGCTACCAGCGGGAGGCTGTGTGTAGCGTAGAGCCGAGGTCAGTAAAATGGAATCCATCAGAGACAAGACGTGCATTTTTGGAGGCCCGCTGAGGAGAAGTTGAGATGAGATGAGATGGGGCTGCATGGCATGATTCCGTTGGTGCCGCGTCATTGTTGTTGCCGACGGGTGCATACAAAGTGCGCTGTGAATGTTTGCGTGCTGTCGCGGGCGTAACGCTGGGGGAGGTGATTTGGTGATGCTTTGTGATAGCCGGACAACGCAAGGTTGCATGCGGCCTCGGTGTGGTGGCACAATGGACGGGACGGACTGAAGCGAGAGATAGTCACTGTGAGGGCATTAATCAATCAATCATTCACACAAAAGTGAAGAAAAAAAGAGATACTGCAAAACGACAACAACAATACCGGATTACAACGGAAGCACAAAGCCATCTCTAATCAATTACATGCCACATCTCAAACTCATCATCACATGAAGCTCGTCTACCAACTTACCAACCACTCGGTCCAATTCCAACCAAACAATTCAAACAGCCGCTTCCTCTCCCAATTCAATCCTCCCCCTGCAGCCCGACCCGGACCGCCCTCTCCCGCAGAAAATCGGCCCTCCCAGCGAATGAGAAGCTCCGCAGCCCACAACAAACCGTCCCCACAGCAAGCGAGAAAGCTCACTCGAGCCAAAAGCGGGAAGTAAGGCTGGCAGCTAAGCAATTCTCTTGTTTTTTCCTTTTGTGGACAGACAGACAGACAAGAATGACAAGAGTTGCCTGGCTTTTTTTCTCCGCAAGGTTCGGGGGTGGCGAGTGGGGAAAGACAGAGACGGATACAGGAAGACGGCTTTGTGGCTTTGGGGGAAGGAGAAATAACAAAATAAGGCTACACGGTCCGAAGGGGGGGTCCTTTTTTTTTAGACGGAGTACGAGTACTCTAGTGTGTGGGGGAGAGAAAGAAGAGACCGAGCAGAAAGAGGAGAGAGGAAGAGAGGAAAAGAGAAGAGGGGAATGGGATGGTTGGCATAGCGAAAGCCGTTCCGTAGGTCGGGACGGCGGGCTGGACTTTTTTTCTGGGGAAATGGGGCCGGACAGCTCTTTTTTTTGGTATATTTATAAAGGTGAGGGGGTGTGTCCGTGTGTCTTGTGTTGTTGGGTTCGTGTGACTTGTGATTTTTGGGGTTTTCCTTGGAAAGTGTCTCTTGTGAAACTCTTTTTTATCTTTTAATTTATTTTACGAATGAACATTGGATCATTCATCCCTTGGGACCGAGTGAAACATAAAAAAAACCTGAATGGCGGCTTGAATCAAATCCGTGGACGAATTCTTCTTTTTCCCTTTCCCTTTTTTTTTCTCTTTTTGATACCTTGGTGTTTCGTTTTTCTTCTTTTGCTTCGTCATATAGCGAATTCCAGCGTGTGTCGTCACGAAGCTTCTCCCCCTCCCTCACAGCCTCATTTATTCTACCCACTACTACGAATCGAGAACAACACACACATACAAGAAACACCAAATGTCCATGTACACGCGAGCATGCGCGGGCCGGACGAGAGCCGCGGTGCGAATGGCGGCTGCCGCGCGGAGGAGAGCGATGAGCACGGCGGCGGCGGCGGCGGCGAGGACGACGGTTGACGAGGGCTACGTGCCGCAGGAGTGGCAGCAGAGGATATTGGGGACGGAGGGGCTCAGCATACGAACGGGACCGATGGAGGTGAGTTTTACATGAGCGTGATGGCCGGTGATCTTCAAATGTTGAGGGGGGAATATCAAACAACGAGTTGAGGTGTTGAAAGATGGTGATCTTACATCTACATCTCTCTTACACGCGCGCTTATATTCTCACCTCTCACTCTCACTGACTCGCCCCATCATCACCACTTATACATGAACAACAACAGCAAAGCAACATGAATGCTAACATCATAAACCTCTACAGCCTGCCCTCTTCACAGGCACCATCCCAATCCACTTCGCCTCCGTCGTCTCCCGCCACGGCGACCGTCCCGCCGTCATCGCCCGCTCGCCAACCCCCAACGCCCGCGAGTCTACCCTCACCTACCACGCCCTCGACCTCGTCTCCAACCGCCTCGCCTCGTCCCTCTCCTCCATCGGCGTCCGCAAGGGCGACCGCGTCGCCGTCAGCCTCGGCAACAGCGCAGAGTTCGCCGCTTTGACCTACGCCCTATTCAAGCTCGGCGCCGTCCTCGTCCCGCTCAATCCTACCTTCAACGCTCAGCAGGTGACTGCCGCGCTGAGCCACCTCAACGCCGAGGTGCTCATCATCGGCGCCGTCACGGACCTCGCGTATCGTCCTGGAAGGGGGCGTAGTAATAAGCAGTTGCTGGAGACGATTGTGGGCGACTTGCAGCGGAGCAGGATCCAGAGCGAGGCCGTCCCCAGTTTGAAACGTGTCGTTGTGCTGGATAACCGTGCTAGCCATCCTGGTGTCAACTTTCCGTTGGACCAGTTCGCTGCGTTGAGTTCGTATGAGACTCTGCTCGAGGGCTCTGATCGTGCCGTCAAGCCTGACGCGCCCCTGGATCCCGCAGACACCATCAACATCCAGTTCACTTCCGGCACGACATCCGCCCCCAAAGCCGCACAGCTCTCGCACACGGCCATCCTCAACAACGGCGCCTTCATCGCCGACCGCATGGGCCTCGACCCGTCCGACCGCATCGTCGTGCCGCCGCCGCTGTTCCACTGCTTCGGCTCCGTGCTCGGCTACATGGCCACAGCAACCACCGGCGCCGCCATCCTGTTCCCGTCGCCGGCGTTCGACCCCGTGGCCACGGTGCGCATGGCCGCCGACACAGACGCCACCGGCTTATACGGCGTAAGCACCATGCTCGTCTCCATCTTCGAGGCCCTGGACGAAGGTAGCCTCAACCTCCCCGTGCCGCAGCGTCTGCTCAAGGGCATCGTCGCCGGCAGCAGCGTGCCCGAGTCCCTCATGCGCACCATCTACAAGCGCCTCGGCCTGCAGGACCTGGTCATCTGCTACGGCATGACGGAGACCGCACCGGTAAGCTGCATGACCCGGCCTTCAGACCCCTTTGAGCAGCGCACCTCGTCCGTCGGCACGCCCATGCCGCACACCACGGTCAAGATCGTCGACCCGCTCGACCACACCCGCGTCCTTCCCCTGGGTGAGCGCGGCGAGCTGGCCGCCTCGGGATACCTCGTCATGAAGGGCTACTTTGGCGACCCTGAACGCACCGCCCAGGTCCGGCGCACCGAATCCGACGGCCGCACGTGGATGTATTCCGGCGACGAGGCCGAGATGGACGCCGACGGCTTCGTCCAAATCACCGGCCGCATCAAGGACCTCATCATCCGCGGCGGCGAAAACATCCACCCCCTAGAAGTCGAAAACTGCCTCTTCCAGCTCCCCGGCGTGCAGGAAGTCTCCGTCGCCGGCGTCCCCGACGAGCGTCTAGGTGAAGCCGTCGCTGCCTTTGTCATCCCTCGCCACGGCTGGACAACCTCAGACGCACAGCGAGAGGGTGATGAGGCTGCGCGGAGATTGTCCAAGGACCGCGTGCGCGATTGGGTAAGGACGAACCTGTCGAGCCACCTGGTGCCAAAGTATGTCTTCTGGGTTGATGATTATCCTAAGACGGCGAGCGGCAAGATTCAGAAGTTTAAGTTGCAGGAGATGGCCAAGAAGATACTAGCCGACGAGGCATGAGAGGATGAATGAAAGAAATGATACAAAATTGACAAAAAAAAATGACAACTTACGAAGCATACTAATCATGTGAATATAGCATTTTATCCATGTATTTATTGATTAATCGATAGTTTTTTCTTTTATCTAGCTTATTGGCTTTTGGTTTTTCGGTTTTTTGTATCAGCAAGGGAGCTCAGGCTCAGGGGGGCGAGTCGGATAAGAGTCGAGTACAGGCTGCATGTAGTCTGTCATACTACCATTTTCTATTTGTTGTTACCTCTCAAAGTCTGAATATGAATGAATATACATACATACAACCATATTCTCACCATCACAAACTCCAACGTGACAACTCTAACATCATTCATCACAGCGGTAATAAGCAACAAAACAACATGTATCCCGCAAAATATATCATCATAATAACTAACCCACGCGAAATCAACTCTCTATCGAGTCTATAGAATCCACTTCGTCAAGTCAGTTGGTCGTAGCACATGGTATCAAAGGCTTTCTAGCATCGTCCCATCTGTCCGCCTGTCCGTTCTCGCTCTGCCTAGAGCTCCCGGGTGGTCAACACAGCCCTGCCAGTTGAAAATATCCCATATCCCAAACAGGTTTTCATGTCAAAGGTTGAAAATGAAAGAAAAAGAAGAGGCAAACCCCCTTTCCCCTTTAAAAGGAACGGTCAAGGGGGCAGCAGCCTCAAAAACTCCTCAACGCCGTCGTCCAGAAAAAAAAAAATATCTCTCTGTCCTGCCCGTCATCCCTCCTTTTTCCCTGGCCAGTTGTGTTCGTCTTTTATTCCACTTGTTTCTCGCAGCCAATACGGCCAAGAAGCTCCTTGCGGTCGCTGTGTCCCGGTAGGCTGACTCCGCTGGCGGAAGCCTGCTTCTTAAGCCCGTTGCGTCGCTCCCAGCTCTTGAGGTCCAGCTCCTCCACTCCGACTTCCTGCTCCAGTGGGTGAACCTCTTCGTAGATGAGCTCCTCCTCATCCTCCTCTTCGTCAGCCTCGTCGTCGCTCCGGGTATCTTCTGCGCCACCTCCGCTAATGACCTTGACGGCAACGCGAACAATCATGGTGAACCAAAAAATCGTAATGCCCTGCAGCAGAAGGAGGGGCGTGAGGAAAGCCCACTTGACCGTCTCGTTGAAGCACACACGCCCTGTCGAGTTGAAGAATGGCTCAATCAGATACGTGAAGCCGGCGGGGGCTTCCAATGGTCCAACCAGGGAGTCGTTCGGTCCAACGAAGCATCCATTGGGTATGATTTCCGGGGTGTGCGCGTAAATGGACCAGCAGACCATGATGTAGAAGACGTGGCGTGCCACAAACCATGACACCATGAAGAGGGCAAAGACATAGTCGCACAGCGTGGTGTAGCCGCAGTACTTGAGACACTTGGCAACCTAGACAAATTGTTGGGGTCAGCCATCGCATCAAGGATCCCCAAAGCCTACAACCGAGGGCAGTAAGAAGAAAACGAGAGAGAGAAAGCCTTACAGGGAGGAACAGATCCACCACGTCCATGATGACCAAGATGAACATTCCAACGCGGGTGTGGTGGTAGCAGTAGCACGACGAAATCAGCGCCGTGGTGATGATGTGGTGGCTAAACATTTGCCAGTGGTCCTTTCGTCGATCCTCAATGTTGATGACAATAATCTGTTGCAGCCAAAACGCCCATTGAGCAATCATGTACCACTTCATGAGGCCACCCATCTCCCGGTTCGGCCAGTCGGTCCACAGCTCCCTCATGTTGAGCCAGGCGGGAGAGTTGTAGTACAGATACTAAGTAACGGCCAGTCAGTGACTTTGCGTCCTCTACTTGGGACATCAATGTGTTTCAGAACCACGTACCACGCCCGTTGGCCAAAAGACAAGATAGTACACCAGCAACCAGGCTTGCTCGGTGAATCGGGTCAAGTCCTTTTTCTTGTTGATTTCGAAGAGTCGGCCAAACGGCGCCAGGATGTAGTCCATGGTACCTGCTCGAAGCCCGGTAAAGAGGACGATGAAAAAGGCAATCAAACAGGCATCGTCAGATCCGGCAGCATATTTGCCCGTCTTTGCGTTGTAGTACGAGAGATGGAAGAACTTGGCCGTGTGTACTCTGGCTTTGGGAATGCAGGCGTGGGCCAGGAAAAGAAGAGCGAGCAGGTTGAGTGACAAGCCTAGTTGCAGCAAAGGATCAGCAAGGTTTCATGCTGCGGCTGCTTTAAAAAAAGAAGCATATCTATCGCATTATGCCAAAGTTGCGACAGGTACCATGTTTCTTCCGATGAGGAGAGACGACGTAACAAAGCAGCAAAAAGAAGAACAAGGCAAAAAACAACGTACCAACCTGGTTCTCGACGAACCAGCGAGCGAGGGGCTTCCAGAGCCCTTCGTCCTTGCGCTTCAGGCGACGGACCAGCACGACATTGCTGCCAGAGGTTTGCATGTACCGCGCGCCGTTGGTGGCCGGTCTCGAGCTCTTGGAGGAGCCGGCGACAGTCTTTTCGTCCGCCACGAAGCCGTGCGAGTCGCCCATGGTGTCGAGAGCTGTTGAGCAAAGCAGCGGTCGTGAACGAGGCACTTGGACTCGGGTGTTGGAAAAAGGGATGAGACTTTGCGGAGGTGCGTCGAGAACTGCTAACGGCCTGGTTTAGCACAAGGCAAGACAAGACAAGCAATAATAGTACGAGTGCTAGAAGGTAGTAGCAGCAGCCAAAGGGTGTGGTGGGGGTGGTGGGATGTCTCACTATGGCTGGTGATTGGACCACCTTTGCTTCGACCTCTTTTTTTTTTCAAGGTTCTTTTTTTCCCTCTTGCCCACGGCGTGCGGAGTGGCGCCCCCAAGCTGCAGATTAGCCTAGCTCCCCTAGAAAAGAAGAGCTGCCGAGGAGGAGATGAGATGGAAAAAGGCCTCTGCCAAGCTTCCTGGACAAGGTGGAGAGTCAATTGCTTGCAGATGGAGAGCTGTTCCACTTCGGAGGTTGGAGGGGAAGAGGGATTGGGAGCGTTTAAAGGGCGTATTGAGCCTGGTACACGCAAACTGCGTGGGGACGGGCGGGACAAAGAAAAAATGGAAAAATGGACATGGGAAAAAAAAAACCTGGAAGAGCAAGCAAGCGGGAAAGGACAGATAGGCGGTGGAGAGCCAGATTTGAGGGATCAGCAGCAGATGGATGCGCTGCTTCAGCATGCGACTCAGTTGGGTGCTAAGCCTCGTACGGAGGGCACAGGTACGGCACTGTACAGTGCAGTGCAGTGCAGTGGAGTTGAGTGTGATGGTACGGGCAGCCGGCCGCCGCGGGCATACGGCCGGGAGAAGAGCTGTGTGTGCGACTGCCAAGGTATCAGGTATTATCGACTGAGACTAATGGATGTGTCTTTCATGTTTATTAATAGCTAGCATTACTCAGTCCCAAGCTGGGTGCTTAGAGGTATACTTGGTATTACTCAACTGTTCTGTTGGATCCTCTCACCTCACATAAGGCATAAGGCGAGCATGGACAAGTGCCGTACAAACAGCAAAGCGGCAGCAGCGGCTTGTCATGTCTAAGGTGATCAATACTACCAGACGGTAAAGCCTGCGTCTTGCAAAATGTGAGCAGTCAACTAGGAAACTCGGCTGCCTCCCCCGCGCATATCAAACAGCACGAGATGGATCAATTGCTCTGAGCCCTGGCCCGAGCTTTTTCAACTCTTGTCTCAAGCCCCGGCTCGAGTGACGTCCCACTCTCACTATTGATAGAACTCCATAACATGACACGGCACTTGAGAGGGGTTAACGAATGGGTTCTCTTACTTCTCTTTTGTACTTTGTATGAAGTTGATCAGTTCAATGGGATAGCAATCTTCAATCTTCTTCGTCCATCACAACTTGCAAGCGGTGAGTGATTGAGGCACACACACATGTACGAGCACCTCTACAGTGTGCATTCGCCCGCATACAGACGTTGCTTGGGCTCAACTAACACACAACCCACAACGGCGCACTTGCGCTACAGTACCCGCTAGCGGCCTAGCAGTCTGCTAAGGTGTGCTGAGGCGCTCGCTTGGGCCCCTGGCCTCAACAAATTGATGCGATTTGATGCACGCTCAGGCGTGTGAAGCCATGGGCTGATTCGCTCCCGAGATTAACCTCACCTGCTGGGTGCCAGCCAATGGCGTCAGCCCGAATTCTCCTCTTCTGAAACCTCCCCTCTTTTACCCAATTCGCCTTTTAACCTCACAGCAACAGCAGGGTAGCAACGCGGTTGTTCGTGACGGAATAATCTTGGGGGAGCATTGAGTCCCAATCCCTCAACTCTTGCTAACCGCAGGGAGCAGTGCTCCGCATCTCCCCGCCTGTGCGACTTTGCTTGTACTACCCAAGTGTCATTGCCACCCAGTCGTTTAAACAAGACTCCGAGGTATTACTGCAGTACAGCTTTTCGTCCGAACAGCAAAAAGGTGTGCGCCACGATGGACAGCAACACACGTGGGCCGAGCATAGGCTGTAGGATCTAGACTAAGGGCGACCCTTGCTTATTTGGCCCATCCTACCCGGAGCATGCCAAAAGAGCAGCACTGGTTTCGAGTTGGGATGGATTTAGCAGCACCTACCTGTCCAGGCAAGTTGAGCATTGAATGGAGGTGTCGTACTATCCAAAGTGAGGATAACGTCAGCTGTCATGGCGCTGCTGAACCTGAACCTGAGTACGTGTATTATTATGCAGCACTCCGTCTCTTCTCTTGTAGTTGTAATCCAGTATATTCATTCAATGTGCTATGAAATACTGGGCTATAAATGGTGACCGTCCTCAAGCCATTTAGAAGTAGAGTCCCATCCTCGCCATCCTCTTGACTTCCCCTCAGTAAGGGATTTAACCGATATAAGGCCCTACCGCCTGGCAAGGGTTCCGCTAAGGTCTTGTGATCGTATTCATAGCAATAGTCTATCTAGTATAAGTCTTTCTAACTAATAGTGCACCCAAAAACGCAAGCAAGGACATCTCAGTCGATAGTGTTGGACGAAGAATCTAATCTCAGATCGAGTGGGGGCGGGGATTCAAGGCGTGGCGTCATGAGGAAATTGGTGGACCCTCGACAGAGGCAGCAATCAAGCTTCAAGTTGTATAATTCTCATCAAGATAAGTTGAACGGGAGTTGATCTTAGGTAATAATAGCTATATGTAGAGCGCTGGTATCAAGTAACAGCAGACGTAACGAGGTGCATGTAACAAAAAATCCCAGCATGCATGTCGACAGTTACAGCAGTTGCTCGTCAAAGAGACATTTTACGCTCACCAGCTGATCGATTTTTCTCAGTCAACCCCAGCGGCAAGCAGACAGGGATCACAGCCAAGGCCAATCACGGGAGCGCTTCTCACAACACCCTCTACAGCCGTCCTGTCGCTCGCCAGTTCTAGGCCTGGCTGTCTCTGAACCAAGCCAAACATGGCTGAGACAGAAATGGCCTCTTGTGCCTGCTGAAAAGAACGAGACCCTTCCCCAGTCGTTGGAGAAGAGACTCAAACTATCGCCTCTTCAGTAGGCCCTGGCCACTGAAACAAGACCACCGCAGAGCCTAACTCTGAAAGAGGCCCACGGGTATTGCATTGAAGTTGTTGTTGAGCAACAGTCTCTTGCTCGGTCCCTCACTTATTCTCGTGCCTGACACAAGCGCCAACAGGCTAAGAGGCGGGGAACATGCACATTCAATATGCCATTGCACAACCAGATGGATATTAATACAAAGTCATCTAAAACCTCTCTTACTGCAAATTTAGCGCTGCCGGACTGGTGCTGCTCCGTAAATGCTCCATACTGTAGTCCCATCTTGCATGCTCGCGCCAAACAAGGCCTCTCTGCCTCTACATTGCTTTGTGCTGCTGTGCTTTGTGTTGCTGCTTGTGTCTGTACTTGGGCATACTATTTTGAATGGTGGCAACAAAGTGGCTTTTGGGGGAAACAAAGCTTCAATGCTAGAGCTGTTTGAGCTGCCATCCCAAGCGGGAGCTCTCTTTAAAGGATTCGGTAGCAGTTCCTGCACAGCCACACTCGTAATTCGCCATGATAGGCACCAGCCGAGCCGGCCCCGCTCTCCAGCCACGCCGCCCCCTCCTGACCCAGTAATTTATCGTCTACATCATCCTTTCCGCCACAGATCGCCTTTGTCCCTTTGATCTTCACACTTTTCTTCCACCTCAAGCTCATCAGGAACTCAACCACCACAACAACCTTCTCGAACTTCGCATCCCCGATAGAGAAAGACGAAAGAGAGAGACTGCGCGAAACGAAAACATCATGGCGTCCACCGCAAAGTACCAGCCGGCTCCCCAGCAGGAACCCGACGACGACTACACCCAAGCTCCGCCCGCGTATGGCACCTCGGCGGCGTCGTCGTCGCGCAACGATCCCGGCCTGTTCGCAGAGCCGCGCAGCAGCGACGACAACATTCCTGATGACTTCAAGGTAGGTGCTGGATGAAACTTTCTCGTGCGCTTCTTTAGATACCAGAATCTGGCATCTGTACCTCTTTAAAAGTCTCCCTGCTGACGTCACTCTAAAACAGTTTGGCGGCTCTGTTGCCGAAGCCACGGTCGATATTCGCAACCAGTTCGTCCGCAAGGTCTACAGCATCCTTACCGTCCAGCTCATCGCCACGGCAGCCTTGAGCTCCATCAGCTTCTTCAGCAATGGATACAAGGCGTGGATTCAAAGCCATCCTGGTCTCGTCTGGGCATCTGTATGTCACTGCTCTCATTCTCATCTTTATCCACGAGAACTCTAGCTAACAACATCTCCAGCTCTTCGGCGCCATGATCTTCATGGGTCTCACCTACTGGAAGCGCAAATCATACCCGACCAACCTCCTCTTCCTCTCCCTCTTCACCCTCACCGAAGCCTACTCCATCTCCGTCATCGTCTCCTTCTACCAGACCTCCATCGTCCTCAACGCCACCATCCTCACCGCGGGCATCTTCGTCTTCCTCACAGTCTTCGCCTGCCAGTCCAAGTACGACTTCACCTCATGGATGCCCTACCTCTTCGGCGCTCTGTGGGGCCTCATCCTCTTTGGATTCATGGCCATGTTCCTTCCGTATAGCTCTACCGGCGAGCTCGTCTACGGAGGCCTTGCTGCCCTCATCTTCAGCGGCTACATCCTCGTCGACACCCAGATGATTATGCGCCACCACCATGTCGAGGAGGAGATTGCCGCCGCCATCAGCCTGTACCTCGACATCATCAACCTTTTCCTCGCCATCCTGCGCATCCTCAACAGCCAGTCTAACAACTAATATGGCCAAGCGGAATGAATCGCCACTAGTGGATGCAATCACTCCTGTGGCACTACTCGCGATCGGTGCAAGAGCTTCGAGATTGCTATCATGGGCTTTGCCCTTTCATTTTCTTTTTTGTTTTTCTTTTCTTCCACATCTTTGTAGGATAATGGGATAAAGCGGATGGGACGCGGTTAGGGCAGTTTGCTTTGTTTTTTCTTTCTGTTGTTTTCTATTGTGTTTCTTTTGCATGTACTCCGTATTCATTGCTTCTCAATGCTTCCCCTGTGTGCTGAAACGCTAACGTACAAACACAAAGGGAGAAAATATATTAGCTTGTGATAAAGCCGAATTCATGGCTAATCTGGCTCACATTCTCTCTCGTGACAAAAATCGTAAAGGTTGTGAAAGTATTTGATATCTGCATTAGAAGTCCACTACAGTAGCTAGAAAAAATAAAAAATAGGACAGTTTAAAAAAAAGGGGAGACCATTTGACAACAGATGGCTACTGATGCGGCTAAAAAACAGGATATTATTATGCTGAGTAGCCGCATGCTCTCCCACCTTTGCCGATCCGAGGCTTTCTCTCTTCGTCGGGGTATACGTCGTTTTGGTCCAACGGCATTCCCACCCTCTCCATATATTCCACCATGAAACTCCCTCCCCTTCGTCAGCCTCCATCGTTCCATCTTCGGCACCAACCCATGCGTCTCTTTGGCGAGTTGTCGTAGGTTGCAATAAAATAAGTAAAGAAAAAACAGGGAGAAAATCAAGCTCGATTCTGTAACGGCCGGGGGAATGTTCTGATCTCTTTGCTCTTCAGTGTGTAGGAGAGGTAAAACCCAACGCCGGCAGCGATAAATAGACCAACGTCGCAATTTACTTTTATAATGCCGAAGAAAGCCCTAATACGTGATTTGAGATGATTTACTCCTCGCCGCCGTTGATGCTGGTGTCCAGCGCGGGCGATGCTTGGGCCGTCTCGCGCTGCATACGAGCCTCTATCTCGCGGAGCTGAGACTCGCGCGCCAGCAGCTCCTGTCGCTTCTCGTTGATCTCACGCTGGACCTTGAGCTCGATCTCGCGGAGCTTCTCCTCCTCTCGTCGGAGCTGTTCCTCCTTGAGGCGGACGGACTGGGAAGCCAGGTCCTCGGGGTTCATGGAGGCATCAAGACTTCTCACACGTTAGTTCACTGTCGTAACAAGCAGGTTAAAGTGGTATACTTACCCAGAGGCACCGCCATCCACACTCTTAGACAGCTTCTCGGTACGGTAGTTCTCATACAAGAAATCGTGGGTGATTTCCTTCAGGTCAGCCAAGTGGCTGTGGAGGAGGGCTGATCGGATGGCCAAGAAGTCTGAGTGGCGAGGGTTCTCAACCTCGACAACACCCCACGGGTACTGGCGAGCGCGGACCTTGCGGCCACCAATCTCAACCACATCCTCCGAGCCAACAATGGCAAAGGGCATGAGTCCTCTGAGTTCTGCGTTCTCCTCGACGGTATCCTCGTCGTCTTCCTCAATGTCGTAGGGGAAGTTGTAGACGGGGATTCTGTAGTGCTCAATGTCCTCCATGACCAGCTTCTTTGACTCGGCAAGCTCCTGAGGGGTCAGAGTATCGGCTCGGCCAATAACGGGGATGACGTTGACACGGGGTGCAAGGCGCTTCATCAGTTCGATATCGAGCTCTCGGAGGCTTGTGGAGACGCGTTAGTACCAAAGGAGTAGCTCGACGGGCAGGAGAAGGAGGCTTACCCGTGGCCGGTAGGGGTGATGAAGTAAAGCATGGCGTGGACACGGTTGTCCCTGAAGCGAGGGTTACGCTTGATACGAGACTCCTCGGCCAAGATGTCGTCATATTGTCTCTCGAGGTAGCCGACGATTTCTGAGAAGCTATACGCGGCAGTTTAGCATGCGACAGGGCACAGACGAAGGAGCAGTCAATGCGGGGCTAACCTGGCCTCGTTGTCAATCTGGTCGCCAAATCCGGGGGTGTCGACAATGGTCAGCGAAATTCGGGTGCCTTCCTCGTCGAGTTCAAGCTCTAATCAGGTGGTGAGTGGTTGTCAAAACACGGATTGGGGCGTTTGCGGCTCGTCATCACGTACCAACGGTAAGGGGCTTGATCTTGACGCCCTCCTCAATGTGCGCGTTGGTAGCATCGTCGGCTTCCTTGTGCTCGAGGACAGACTTGCCGCAGAGGGTGTTGACAAAGGTGGTCCGGCCTGCAGCGACAATTGTGAGTCTCAAGTTCGTATTTGGGTTGGAATTGCAGCGCAGTTGGAGAGGGCAGTGGCATACCAGTTCCAGAAGCACCACACACCATCAGGCAGAACTGAATGCCTTTCTTGACATTCTTCTTTCGGCGGATAACCTTCTGCACAGTCCAGAACAGTTAGTTTTTGGCTCACGTTTCAAACATGACAGGGCGTGGCTAGGGGGGCCAGAAAATCAAGAGGGAAACGCCATGTTTTGGGAGTCGTGCATCGTGGTTGTCGAATTGACACGTCCCAGAGAAGTGCGGGTAACGGAGGGGGGCCACGTACGGAGGACATCATGGAAGGCGACTGGTAGGTATGAGAATTAGCCCTAAAAACGGCGGGAGAGGGTGTATGAGCAGCTGAAGCGAGGAGACGAAGTAACAGAGTTCGGTCAAGACGAAGCTCTTGATGGAGGAGAGAAGAATTGGTCGCGGTGATAAGAGGCCAGGAGAAGTTTGGGTCGGGTGCTACAGTAAAGGAGAAGTAGGCGTCGTACTGGCAATTTGCTTCTTTCAGGGGCCACCAGCGCCAGCCTATGCCTAGAAGAGCCAGACCGCCCCTGCCCCGGCTGTAGCTCCCCCTAAGTGAACCTGGTGTTACTTCTATGGAGCTAAGCTAAATCATGCAATCCCAAAACGCCTGGTACCTGCAACGGATCAATTGTTTGCTGCAGTGTCCGTGCACGCATCTCAATTGCAGAGGTACTGCGACTGGAGATTGATTTGCACCGGGAATTCGTCGGCAAACACAAACACAGTGCTGCATGTACCTAAGGTTATTTTCGTTTGACCCTCCAGCCAGTGAAGCAGAGCAGCAAATACGAGCTTGGTGGCACCTCGAGTGAAGGTGATGGACGCTCCATATACATACCTAGTACTAAGCCCTCTCGACTGTGTCCTAGAATGTGACGAGGCCGATTTCTGGGGAAACAACACCTCAGGTATTAATCCATACAATAAGAGGAGAAGCTACCCCTCATTTATATAAACTTGAACCCAAGATTCTGCCTTGCTACAAGTCCTACGAGTATGATGATTCCCCAAATCCCTGTCCATAGCCATTGTCCAATCTGACGTGCTGCACTTTGTTCTGACGACGTGTACTTTTCTTGAGCCTCGTATCACAACTGCAGCACTGTACCCAATCATGATTCGAAGTAGGGATATACTACCTTAGGTAGATGGTGATATTGAATGCCACTGGGCAGTTACACACTACCTCCCGCTACAATAAGGGAATGTAACCTATACTCAATATTGACTCTCGTTCTTTAAACCATTGCTCTTATCACCATCTCTTTTTTAGCCTTAAGATATCATTCACTACCAAACATTGTAAAACACGGAATTCAGCATTGCCAGCTTGGAGGTCAGCTAACTTGGGTACATATACATCAATAGCAAATCTCCCCAAGTAATCATGACATCTTGCTATCTAAATGCAGATTCACCGAGCCCGTGCATGCTGACGGCAGACACCAGACGGCAGGTTATCAAGGTACATGAGATATAGAGTAGAGTAGAGACTCGAATGACTGCAAGGTGCAGAGCGCATCTTGACTTCAATTGCCCTGCCTCTGCTTGATTCTCTCTGTAACGTTGATAGGGGCAACCGAGTTATAGCGCTGTCCCGCTACAAGGCAGCGGCCCCACGGCAAGCATGAGGCACCAGATACTGGGTCCCTCCGCATTAAAGCGCCACCTGTTTAAAGCAACCACACCCTGTATCTTCCTTATTCCATGTCCACTACAGTGAGCAGTGCCCAAACACGGAATTGACACATGTCAATCCAGTGCATGCAACATTGCAGCCTTTTGGATCAAATCATCCATCAAATCATCAACTATCGCCGTGCTGCTAAATGAAGCTCACCGGTTCAGGGTTCGAAACACCGCGTCCTCTGTTACATATTAATTCACACCCTTGCTCTTCTTTGTTTTGCTGGTGTCCAGAAACCCCATGATCACTGCGCCAAAACGGGATAGCTCTCGGGACCCAGTCGCAGTCCACAGATTACCGAGCATCGCCATCAACATCTAGACATCGATAGTCGCTGCTCTCATCGCAGACGCCTTTACTTTTATTCAAGGCCAGACACCGGACGACGCTTCTTTTCTTGGAGCTTTGGTGATACTGGAACCCATCTCGGCGCCTCGTTTAGTCCTCTTGGTTCCATCCCTGCTTTCCTACTAGGCTCGGTGTGAAGCCGCCTCGCCGCCATGAATGTACGGCCACCTATAGAGTCGTCGTCTCCCACGGCGGTGCTGTCCGTGGCGTTCAATAAAGACTCGAGCTGCTTTTCCGTGGGCTTAGAATCAGGGATATGTGGTAGGTATCCCTTAACAGATTGCTCGACGAAGCTCGTGGCAGCTGGCTAATAGTGAGTGTGCTCATGATAGTCTTTCATACTAAGTCATGTCTGCTCAAGGCATCAAGAGGTTGGTTCTTCATTTTATATCTCAATATTAGCCAGTAACGGGCATAGTAGCTAACATCTGATGAGATTTTAACGGTGGCATCGGCCTTGTCCGAATGATGGGAACAACAAATTACCTCGCCCTAGCTGGCGGCGGGAAATCACCCAAGTTCGCCATCAACAAGGTACTCTCGTTTACCCTGGACCCATGATGGACAAATTATTGACTGATATATATCTAGGCTATTATATGGGACGACATGAAGGGGAAAGTTGCCTTGGAAATCTCAGCCCTCACCCCCATTCGCGGCATGCAGCTAAGTAGAGAACGCATCGTCGTGGTCCTCCAGAACAGCGTCCGCGTCTACTCGTTCGCCAAACCTCCCGAGCTTCTGCATGTGTACGAGACGGCCGACAATTTGCTCGGCCTGTGCTGTCTCTCAGACAAGAAGCTTGCGTTCCCGGGTCGCACAACAGGCCAGATCCAGATCGTCGAGCTTGCCACTGGTAATGTCAGTATCATCCCGGCTCACTCGTCTGCCCTCAAGGCCATCCAGTTAAGCACCGATGGAGAATTACTGGCAAGTGCCAGCGAAACGGGAACACTCATTCGTGTCTATGCGACTAGCAGCTGTGCCAGATTAGCAGAGCTGCGCAGAGGCATCGATCCGGCAACCATCTATTCACTCGCATTTTCGCCGTCTGGGTCACTGTTGGCTTGTACCTCTGACAAGTCCACGCTTCACATCTTCGACGTGCCTAACCCTAAGCGGCCGAGTGCTCATCGTAGTCCACAGCCTGGCGGTGCGACTCAAGAGGCAGATGTTGGCAAATGGGGCATCCTCAGCAAAATCCCACTTATGCCGCGAGTCTTTTCCGATGTCTATTCCTTTACTTCTGCACCCTTTGAGGCTGGAAACGAGTCCATGATTGGCGGCATCTCGTTTTCCGAGGGCACCGTTCTTGGTACGACACGACCACCCAAAGGCGTCATTGGATGGATCAGCGAGGACAGCCTTGCGGTTATTGGCGCCGGCCAGGACGCAAGGTGGGAGAAGTTTACACTAGTTGACGGCGAGGACGGAAAGCGTCACTGCGTTCGTGAGGGTTGGAAGCGATATCTGGGAAACTCGTCATGAGTGATAAGAGGGATAACAAAGGGACTATACAGGGAAGATGATTCAATTCAGATGCAGCGAGGGCTTTTGGGCGTTTTAGGTGGTTAATACTGTTTAAACGAAGATGGGGGAATAATTCTATTTGGGTATTCATAGCTTTTTGGACCTGGTACTAATTCTGACGACGCCGAGGAGATCGGCTTCTGCTCTTGCGCTGCGACCTTCTCCTACCATCGTCGTCGTCGTCGTCTTCTCTCCGCCTCCTGTGTCTGTCGCGATCATCGTCTCTTCTATGGGACCTCCTGTCGTCTTCGGGCTTCTTGTCCCGCCGTCTTTCCCGTTCCCGTGAGCCTTGTCGGGGTGAATCTCTGTGCCTCCTATGACGCTCTCTGGAATCATCTCGGTGTCGATATCGTCTTGACTCGCCATCTGACGGTCGCTTTTCTTTCTCTCCTGAGGGTTCATCTCTCCGTGATCTCTCGCGCCGACCATCGTCTTCCTTATCTCGTCTTGACTTGTGATGTCTGTGATGCCTATGGCTGTCCGGCTTCTCTTTCCTGTCAGCTCTTCGCCGAGCCTCCTCCACCTCTTTCTTCTTCTCGTCAATCAAGAATCCCTTCATGGGATCATCGTCGTCATGGTCTCTCATTAATAGAGCCAGCTCTCTCTCCTCAGGCAGCATCGGTCTCTGGATCTCTTCGGGAATGCTCTCGTCGTCGGACACGGCCTTGCCTTCCCTGCGCTGGATATCTTCCCATCCAATTTTGAATTCATCTTGGTCTTCGTCGTCTCGTGCTTGGTATCGGGCGTGGTCAACACGTAGTAATCTTCCGCCAATCTCAGCGCCGCCTAGATTATCTACTGCGAGGTCGGTGCTCCTTTGGTCTTCGTATTTCAGCCAGCCGAAGCCCTTGGATTTGCCCGTCTCTTTGTCGCGCACGAGTTTTAGGAACACTGGTTCGCCGAATTGGGAGAATATTGTGATGATGTCTCCTTCTGAGAGTTCGTACGGGAGGCCGCCGAAGTAGACGAAGGCGGTGTCACGATAGTCGACATGCCAGGACGCGTCTGGTGAACTGCGGCAGGTCAGCTCTGCGTTTTGTCGCCAGTTAAAGATTGTTAAAGTATGTTGAAGGACTTACATTCCGTTTTCGATTTCCTTTTTGTTTAGCGCCTGGATGGCGCGTATCTGGTTCATGTTGCTCTGTTCAGATGGCGGATCTTGCTGAGAAGCTGAGAAGCTGAGTCTGTGCTGTCTTGTCGAGATGCGAACCTTGAAGATGATGCAAGGCTGAGCAGTTACTTCAATGATTCGAACAAGGCTGCTGTATGCGCACTGAGCTCCATTTAGTGACCAATTACCACTAAACAAGCTCCTACAGCACCTGGGGGTAGCGCTGCGCTGTCTCTCCTGGCTCGTCTCCCCACCTAGCCGACGATTATCCATTCGTGACCCTTGTTCCAGTCGGGTTGATAGAGATGCTTCTTCTGCCATAGCTATCGGGAAATATCTTGCCTCCAAGGCTCATGGCTTCGCAATCCTAATCCTCAGACCAGAGCTTGACGACTATAGCGGCGATCCCCCTACAGGCGCAGCGCCTTTTCCCGCCACATCGCATCGTTGTTGGCATCTTTGACCAAGATGCTCCGCTATCCCTAGGACCTTCTATCATCCCACCTTAATACAGCTACGACTTGAAGCGCGCAGCGTTTCCCCCCTATAATAACCCGGCGACTACATCAACGCGTGCGTTCCGGACGATTACAACTTATTTTCAAGAGCATATCTGGTTTCAGCGACATTGCCACCTTGGAGGTGCGGAGACGGCGACCATGGCAAACAGGATATCACAATATACCATGACATCAAGGGACGGCGACAGTCAAAATGGCGAGCCCAAGAGGAACTTGTGGACTTCAATGCTAGAGTCAGTGGCCAGCGGCAAGAGATTACCGGAAAAGAACCTTTTGGTCTTGGGTATGGAGGCATCCTCGTGACTGGAACATTTACACCTTGTCGGCGGGATTCACTGACCGTTCCCCTTCAGGAGGCACCCCGGAATCGCAACGGGAGTTTCTGGACTCGCTGTCAGGATCCGAACCGAGGCGCAACTTTGACCGGCAAAAGATCCCCCCGATTGCGAACAACTACGCCCTGGGTTATACTTATTATGATGTCCTCGACGCGGATCAAGATGGTTAGCAACCCCTCGAAGCATTGGAGCGGCGGCATTGACATTGGTGACTGACTGGTACAAATAGACACACTTGCTCGAGTTTCTCTCTATCTTCTTTCCCAGCCCTCGGGCGAGTTCTCTTCGCTCATCGCCCCCTTACTTACGCCCGAGACGATACCAAACACTGCACTGGTAATACTGCTAGACTGGTCGCACCCGCATTTGTGGCTGCGTCAAATCTGGACATGGCTGCAAGTGTTCCAGGAAGTTCTAGAGCACCTGAGCAGAGATGTGCAAACCGAGATGGAAGAGGTCATGAACAATTGGAAAGAGAGGGGAAGGGGAGGCTCGTCGGTCAACCTGGATGGCACTCCATCCGCCACCGTCGCCAATGGTGATAGCAATGCCGGCTCACTGCCGCTTGGGCCCGGCGAATGGACTGAGCCTCTTGGGCTACCGTTGTGTGTTGTGTGTCAAAACGTAAGTTTGATGTTATAATGTCTTTTGCGCTCTCACGGTTTACTGACATATTTTAGTCGCAAAAAATCGACTTTCTAGAGAAGAGCAAAGGATGGAAAGAACCGGACTTTGACGGAGTGCTACAGAACTTGCGAACAGTCCTGCTGAGACGTAAGACCATCTTCTTTTCTATTGAAAGTGATCTTGCAGTAGCTAACTATGGCTTAGACGGCGCTTCACTCATATACACATCACAAAGCACCGCATCTCAACTCCCTATTCTCATACACTCAACTCTCGGCATCACTTCTCTTTTGAAACGCCAACCCCTGAAACATAACGTCATCGACCGAGATAAGATTGTAGTTCCCCCAAACTGGGATTCTTGGGGCAAGATTAGAGTTCTGGGTGGCTCGTTCGACACGGAAAAGGTCTCACAGTACTGGTCCGAGGACATCAAGATTCCCCTCGGGGCCCCTCCTCCAACTCTGGCCCTGCCCGACCCCGAAGACGACGACGACGACGGCTCAAACCAACTGCCTCAAGTTGAGAGCGCCATTGCACTCTACGAAGACTGGTGCAGAGATCCGAATAGTGGAGGACTCGCCCTCGTGGAGAACGCCATGAACGACGGCACGGAAGTGGCTGTTGAAAGTGAAGACACCCAGGACTTTCTTGAACGGCAGCTCAAGATTCTGGAGGCGTACAAGTCAAAAGCACCGGAGAAATCGACAGACAGTGCTGTTTCTAGCTCGACGAAGAGACTCGACTACGATGAAAAGACTGTTAATGAGCATATCGGTCCCGTGCAGTTCAATATGGGCGGCATTCAAGTTGACGCTGACGATATGCTGCAGCGCCTTAAGGTATGCTTCATCCCATTTAAACAAGAAAGAAAAAAAAAAAAGACAGGAGAACAATTTATAACTAACATCCTACACAGGACCGCAATGCACACATCGCAGCTGACGTTCCCTCCTCCGAGCCAGAAGGCGCAGTCAGTAACATAGCCAAGGACTTTGACAATGAACAGCTACACGATTTCTTCTCGGGCCTGATGAACAAAACAGCCCGCTGATGGGGGGACGCTGATGAGTGGTAGTGGTATCCTTGATGAGGTGTTTGTTGTGGGGGTTTGATGTGTTTCGAACTGACTGGATGAGAATTATCGTCATTCTGATTAAGCAGGCGGCAGTTAGTTTTCTATGAGCGAGCATTTGGAGACGATAAGGGAAATGAAGTATGGCTTATGTTTGTTCTTTTTTTCATCCGGGGGGGAGGGGGGGCTTGGAAAATTAATTGGTCAAGGGAGGATATAATCCGGGGAGGGTAACAAACTCAGGGGTGTTTGGTTGGGCGTGTGAGGAGGCATCCATCCGCTTGTAGAATAGATACCCTTGATGAAGATGAAAAAAAAGGACATGAAATCACACTTGTCAGATCGATGTGCTTGTATGTAGCCAGAGATTCACACTTGTCAGATTGCCGTGTTTGTATGCAGCCACAGGTATACATACACAAGGTACACATTCATGAGTGTCTGGTGACAAGCCAAAAAGAAAAAAAAAGGATAATCTCTATATATGACGGTGGTTCCCTAAACCTCTCCTTTCCCTTCGAGCCAGAAAAGCAAGACCATTCAAGCCAGTCCTTTCAAACCACTAAAAGAAAAATCTCCAAGGAGAAGTTAAAACAAAATGGAAAAGGCCATAAAAATATTAACTCCCCAACCCAATCCCAAATTCCGTTTCCCGAAACCACACACTTTTTGAATAAACGAAAAAAGGGGGATTTTACGCCTTTTGCCTCGTCGTCTTGTACCTCACATCCACAGTCTTGAGTTCCAATCCCAATCCTAATCTCGCCACGACCACGCCTCCCAGCAGGCCCGGGAACAGCCACGGGTGCTGCAGCATCTCCGCCTCAAAGGCATTGATGGTTTCCCGCGCGAAGCCGGTGAATTTCTCGTCTCCCAGGAGTTCGCCGAGTCGGAACAGGTTTGAGACTGAAACGCCGTTGGTGGAAGGGAGGGATGTGTCCATGCCGTCTTTGAGGCGGAGGATGGTGTGAGGAGAGGATTGGGTGGTTGAGTAGAAGGCTCCAGCGGTATCGTAGAAGAGGGAGGTTTGGGATTCTTTAGGATGAAAGTCAGTAAATGCAAATTAGGGGTGATTGTGTGAAGTGAAGAGAGAAAACTTACTCTGCAGGTTGTCGGCAAATTCAACATAGCTTTCGTCCCCTGTAGCATCAAAGAGGTCCAAAACACCATGAATTAGATACGCATAGTCATCCGCAAAGCCCTCAGTGTCCCGTCCGTCGCTCCATATCCGGTACAGAGTTTTATTCTTCTCATCCCACAGATTCTCCTTGATAAAGGATACGCACGCCTTGGCCGCGCTCATATACTTTTTGCTCTTCTCTGGGTTTAGCACCCTAAGAGATGTTGCCGTCCGCGCCAAAGCCGAAACTACCAACCCATTCCATCCAGTGACAATTTTGTCATCCACATCTGGGTGTGGCCGCTCTTTCTCCCGCCTCTTCTTGAGAGCCTCCCTAGCGGTCTGGATGTTCTTCTTCACCGTTGCGACGGGAACATTGAACTGCTTGCTCAGCTCATCGGGCGTTTTCCTGATCCTCAAGATGTTTTGGTTAATGAAGTCATCGTTCGGGTCGTGATCTTCGTCCACGTTTCCATCTTCTTGCACATCCCAGTACGCTTCAACCATGGGGCTAATATGGCTATCATCGGCACCAACTACGGAAGCAAACTCGCGCCGCGTCCATAGATAGTACGCTCCCTCCCTCTTGTCGCCGTCTCCCCTTTTCGCGTAGGAGTCGGCAGCCTCGGATGAGGCAAAGCCACCGTTCGGAAGAGCAATGGGCGGGGATGTTAGATACTCGGCAAGTTCAACAACGACATCATAAAATTCACTGTCCTCCATCCCGCCACTCTGTTTCCACGCCTCCAGGTACAGCTGGAGAAGTGATGCATTATCAACGACCATCTTTTCAAAGTTGGGAATGCTCCAATCGGGTGTCACGGAGCACCGGGCAAATCCAGTGGCCCCGATGTGGTCATGAAGCGCCCCATGACGGATCTTGCGCAGAGTATCCAGGGCCATGTCCAGCGCATGCTTACACTCAGCCTCACCAACGACATCCTGCACCGGAGAGGGAAAGTTGACCAGGTTCAACAAAAAGGCCAGCTTGGGGGGCGTCAGGAATTTCGGAGCCAGCCCAAACCCCCCGTATACTGGATCAAACGTTCCGGCAATGTGCGTATAAGCCTCTTCGAGTTGATCGAGGTCTAGCTCACTAGACACGACCGTGCTGTCGCTCACTTTGGCAGCGGGCTGGTTGGGCACTGGAGCACCCCATCCAGCGGGAGCTATCGGCTGTGGAGCCGTAATGCTTCGTTTCCCAAGAGTGCCCTCGGCCGCAAATTCACGCAGTTGGCCAATGACCTCGGTTGCCTCTTTGCGGCATCTGGCCTGCTGATCCTTCCAGATGTTGCGCACTTTTTTCAGGATCACCAGGAAGTCCAGGGGCTCATCGCCGTGGTCCTCCGTGGCCCTTCTTGCCACACTGGGCCCGGGCCAATACGTGCCTCCGAAGACGGGCTCCAGTTCTGGGGTGAGGAAGAGGTTGAGCGGCCAGCCTCCGGAGTTGCTCACGGCCTGGACGTAGTTCATGTAGATGGTGTCGATATCGGGGCGTACTTCGCGGTCCACGATGATGGGAACAAAGGAGTGGTTCAGGACGGCAGCGCAGTCAGAATTCGAAAAGGACTCGAGGGCCATGAGGCGAGAGACTGGGACAGAGTCAGCGAAATCCAACGGGACATAGAGACGAACTCACAGTGGCAGGCCCTGTATCCAATGTGCAGGAAGATGAGCTTGTTCTCTCTCCTCGCCCTCTCGACAGCCTCGTTGTCGAGCAGTTGCCAGGCCACGAGACTGTCTGCATAGGCCTTGATAAATGGCGACTTGCCGTCCTTTGCGCAGTTCTCGAGGGGCGGCAGCTGAGCTTCTATGCTGCTGTTGCTGCTGTCGCCTCTGTCCGATGGTGGCGAGGACTTCATGGCAACGGCAGACGCCGTCAGTTCGGAGACGACCATGGTGAAGTCGAGATTCTTGTTGTAGTTCGATGGATCCGTCAGCTCCCCCGCCAAACACTAGAAGTTGCTTATTTCGTCACCAGCCGAGGATTAAGAGCAGCGGCGTGGATATTCTATGCCAGAGCATTAGTTAGTATTTGACGTTGCGGCTCTTGACGCTTCACATGCATGAGAGAAGCAAAGCAGGTGGCCGTACCTTGGCAGATAAGGCGTTGCGTCTTATCGCGTGTTAATCGGAAAAGACTGGAGGAGTCGCAAATGTTCGGGAATCGGGAGACGACGGTGTAACCAAAAAGCTCAGTGCAGTTGAGTGCTGTGGGCAATGACGGAACAATAGGTGGCTGCTGTAGCTTAGGCTGGTCGCTAAAAGTTGAATAGAGAGAGAGCTGGGCGAATAACCCCGCCGAGGGGCTGACAAGTTTGGACGGCTTGGATACCCTAGACCAAATCCGGGAGAAGTGATGCGACGGACGAAGTTGAGCGCGTATCCGTAGATCATAAGATGGGATGAAGCTGCACGATTGGTGTTGCTGATTTCGAGATGAAGTTGGATTGTTGTCGATATTGTGGAATTGTGGAAGCAGTATCTCGTGGGTGTAACGTGTTGAGAAAGATGGCGATGGCCTAAGTTGACGATTTCTCTATCAAGTCCGTCTCGCTGCCTTTCCAATATCGAAGTTTTTATATGAGAGCTGAGAGCTACGGTATCAAAGCTAAAAATATATACTTTGACTGACTGGGATTGGATGGACTATTGGATTCTGTATATTGACGTTCCATTGGAGATGCCGTTTTCGGATGCGACTGCAGTAGTCCTACATGCTCTTGTCAAACGCCGTTGAACCTTGCGCCAGCTTAGCTTACCCCGGCTGAAGTTGGACTTGAGCCGTCGTGAGGCTCTGAGCTGCTTGCTTTCTGTCGTTGGTGGAAGATGTCTGTGACAGATTGTTTCGCATTTGTGGATGTGATAATGCGCACTTGAGGTTTCACAGCGCCGTTGCTTGACTGCACAAGGCGCCTCGGCGTGACTCAAAGAAAGGCATTGAAGCCTGGGGTTTAATATTTCGATGATTGTGAGTAACACCACCAGTTCGTGGCGCCATTACATCATCGGTGATGGCACAAGATAAGATTTGAAGGATCACCGCATAGTATCTTTGACAGCACACCTGTTCTATGCTGGTGCACCGTTATGAACAAAATAGTACTGATAGATATTTTAAGTAAAGAGATGGAATACTTGGTATATATCCGTGATGATGTAGGTATCTGGTCGTATTGACATTATGGAAACCTAACACATTTGACGATCACAGCTTCAAGCCCAAACTTCTTATCAAAGGGCATGTCGCAGTGGCTGCAGCGCCTCCACGCGACCGACCACAGCGAACTCGCCTCACTAGCACAACGCAACGCCCCTGACGGCAATGGCCAGCAGGCACAGTCAGTCAGGCGTTCCTACAGCGCATGTGGAAGTGATGGAGGGGCTGCCTGGCGCTAATGCAGCCTTGACTCGGCACGCTGAGCCGCGTAACTTTTGCGGCGTCTCGGAGCTTGTCTTCTGATTCTGAGCTCCATGTCCAGTCCATGCCATGACCACGGTACAGCCACAGCCAAGCTTCATCTTCGGCTTTCTTCCATTCTCTCCATCTTCTTCCCATCTTCGATTCTTCCCTATCGTAGCTCAACCTGCGTCCACATTTACCTCGGCGATATCGATATGGCAGAGCCGCAGTATACAGTCTTCATCAGGGTCCCCATCCCTCGTCGGGGCTTCGTTGATCCACCTGCCGTACGTTGATGTGCCCTTGTCTCCCTCTATCATATAGCGTCATCTGCAGCAGTGACAACATCGACCTGCTAACATTGAACACCCGGTTAGGTCAGTTGGGACACCGCCAAAGACGATGCTTTGTGGAAGATTCTCTCCCAGCACGGTGAAATAGACTGTATGATGCGACCCTCTGCAGAAACTGATGGACGAAAGAACATGAATTGCTAACTGATGCGCAGGGAGCCTAGTGTATGCGACGCCAGTTGCCCTGCCGATCCATTCCCCTGAGCTGTCGACTGACCATTTACATCTCCAGAGCCGACCGATTCGAAGTCCCCGTCGAGTTTCTAGTCCAACAGGTGGCCTACCTGAACGAACGACACCAATCACACACTCTTGCTCAGGTTCGAAAAGCCGCCGCCGCGGCCAAAGGCTCAGCGGCGCAGTCACCCATACCTGGAGCCGATCTAGCTGGTCCAGGACATCTGAGGACGCCGTCAGCCCTATCTATCCGTCGCGATGTGTCCATGCTACGGAACGAGAGCGGCAGCGCTGGGCCTGCCATGAATGCGCCGGCTCGCCCGGCTATGTCTCGCAACACCTCAGCGACAACGACGGTCATGAGGGATGGCGGCGGCGCTTCTCCTAGGATCGGCAACAGACCCAACCCCCGAGGCGCTGGGCAATCTGGGGGGATCCGACTATCATCACTGCCAACGCCATCGCAAGCGCCGACGCCAAGGTCCCCCAAGCTACCCGGGGCTGAAATCAACAGGATGGATTCACCTGGCCCGGCCGAGACGAGCTCAACAACCTCATCCGACGACGAATCGCTGCCAGTTCAGTCCCGCATCATCCGTCGACCACCACGGCCTACACAGCAAGACTCGTCTCTTAGATATAATGCGGATGAGGACGACGAGTCGGAACCTGCGTTTCAACCGCGGAATGCGCCGTCTGCTGATGCATCAGCGCACGACCTATCATCTACATTGAAGCTGAGGAATCAGGAGGGCCGCAATCCACCAAGGCGGACTCCAAAGTCATTTTCAAAGGATCTCCATCACTCGCAGACCTCCGACTCGTCAGCGAGCTCACCTGCCATGGTGTCGCGGCCGGGCAAGTCGCGAGAGCGCAACAGCGCAGGCCCCTCGTCTCCTCGCCGCAACACAGAGACCCGGAGCTCTCAAGAAAACAGCGAGGGCACGCCTAGCATCAGCAGCAGCTTTAGTGACTTGGACGGTATAGTTTTCTAAGATGTTTAGACATTATTGTATATTTCATTTGCTGATATGCTTGTTGATACAGATGCATCAGTTACGCGCTCTGCCATGGAGGAAGTTCTGGCTAGTCGAATGGGTAGCACAAGTCGCTTTAGCTTTTCATTTCGACGTTGATTGGAGTTGGAACACTTTGACATTGTTTATGCCTGCTTTTTGGCTTCTTCTAAATGATTATTTTGCGAATAATTTTTTAATTTGGGAAACGGTTTGGCGTTATATGGTTGCAAGATGGAAACTTGACGACACTCTAATGACATATATTGACAGATACAGTTTGTTCACTCGCAGCAATGCAGCGGACTCTTTTGACACTAGGGATTTTCTTAATCATCTACCGAGCTCTATATATTTCCCTAAGTAGAGTAGCTAAGATATCTTTTATTCAACTTGTGCTACTGTTGGGTATCAAGGCCTCCAGTTCCAACTTGATGTATCTTTACATTACCTTTTGATACATTTTTGTTAACCAAACAGCTTTCCAATTGCTACTCGTACCTCTCCATTCTTCAATAGACAGAGCCCGCAAATATTCCGTGCCTGTTGCGGTCAGAGTTTCATCAGTAACCCAGTTGCGAGCACATTCCCTCGCTCTTACCGGCGGGTGCGCGCAGCTGGCATGCGGCTATTCGCATCGAGTACTTCAAGGGCTTCTACAAGAGTCTGAATGCTCGTGCGTTTGCATTGTGTTGGGGGAAATAAAACTCTCTATCGGCACGCGGCCTATCTCCTCCTCTTTTAAGCATTGTAGTGGCTCCCAACTTCCACATCTTCTACATCTCCATCAACAGCAGAGCACCAAAGAACTTTCTTCTTTACTCCACGCCAAGCAGATAGAAGAACCAACATCTTCTCCTCGTCGTCGTCATGTTTCGTCGTCTATGGACGGGCCTCCCAAAGGATGCCTCTTTTCCATCGGATCTCAAGGGACTCGGGTTTGTCTCCTCACATATTGTACTTCCTCTTCTTTGATGTACTGAGTTTGTTGATTTCTAACCTGATGCCTTGAAATAGATACTTTATCAACGATCAAGATGAAATCAGGTCCATCGAGGATCCCGATAATTACTTTAAGTTCTTTATCGATAAAAACCCTCGGATTTGCGCTCGTCAGCGATTCGCATTCAATCGTGAGTAGGAATCGCACATTCGACAACAAAACTCTTCATTCGATATATCTGACAGATAATTCACAGATGCCTTGGAATCCGTAATTCACGAACGTCTAGAGAAAGAAGGTCTTCAGAAAGTCTTCCTCCCTCTAGGAGTATCCACCACCGAGCCTCACATGCCCATCTTCGTCACCCCAAATCTCGATACGAAATCTCGTGTCGTCGTCATATTCGGCGAACCTACGCAGGAGCTTGGTCTCGTGGCCGGTCGTGTCGCCAATGGAGCTGGAGGCATCAACGAAGGAAGCATGGTCTCTGTGATTCGTGCTCTATCATCTCAGCATTCGTCTCCAGATGATGCCTCTCCGCCAGGTATCGTGCTGGCAAATATGGGCCAGACGTACTTCTGGCCCCAGGGAAAGCGTGCGATTACGGTTCTTGCGAGCTCTTTTTTGCCGTTGCCTAGTTTATTGCATAAAGGTGTACGACATGTGCCGGCGCTGAACGACATTCCCGGCAACGAGGATCCAGTGAAGCATGTCAAGTACATGTTTGACGAGGTGCTTCGCTCCATGGCAAATGACAAGGCATTGCTGGATGTTATAGCTATTGGAGAGAGCTGCGAAATCGTCGAAAAGTTTTTAGATGGCCAACAAGCTTGGGATACCTGGGGCAAGAGGCTCAATTCCATGACCATGCTAGGCCCAGTATGCGAAGCGGAAGATTTGACAAACGCATCGTTCAAAGACTTCATGGCAAAGGTTAGGCGCTGTCTCCCATTTTATCAATCATACCTAGAATCTGTTGTTCGGCTAACATGGCACATTTAGCGAGCCTGTGGCTATCTCGTTTGTCCAGAGCCCCTCGGCACTCCTCTGGCTCCCCCTGGAGGTAATTCAGAGCTCAGCATTCCACCGCTGGGATTTCCATGCGTATCTTCGTCCGAGCCAATGTACGCCGAGACTATTCTGATTCGGGCGCGATCTCATATCGTTTCGCACATTCAGGACGTAGCTATGGACCTGGGCTATGAGAATCCAGCTATCACGCCGATCGATTGTCCGCCACCGGCTATGACTGAGCAGCACTGGGATGATCTGCCCGAGGAGGACAAACCTGTGGTATCCAAGGTTGACCCGGCGGAGTTCAACGCGCAGGTGAAGCAGGCTGAGCGCTGGAAAAAGTTTCAGGAGACCGGACAGGCACCGGAGACAGATTCTGAGTCGGAGTCGGAGGTCTAATAGACGAATGCTGTTTTTGCTGGAAATGTCAGCTTGGGAACTTGATAGCCCTGACATGGTTTCATGAGGTGGTAGGCAGACTTTAGGACGGACATTATCATAGAGATCAAGGAAAAGATCAAGGAAAAGATCAAGGAAAAGCACTTCTTTGCCATCTCCACTAACTTATACTAATACAAGGAATTCTGCAGTGTCCCCCTATCGGACAAGGCGTTTTAATACAACGGGGCAAATAACCAACCGATAACTATAGACTATTTGATACACTCATACCTTGAAAAACGACACAATGCCGGGCTTTGGCGCCTGAACATCCTCCAACAACTCCCGTGTCCGCTTGACGCGGTCTTGAATCACTACTTCCTCAGCTTCCCAGCGGCCCTCTGTCGCCTGTGACGGTCCGCTCCAGAAAGAGAACATGGATGTCTGAGATCCTGTTGCCTTCTTTTCCTTCTCCTCCTTTGCCAATCTTGATACCATGATGGACCAGTTGCCCAATCCAGTAGAGAGACAGTTTCTACACGCTGATTTCATCTCGCGGGCGTCCTGAGGTAGTTTAGAATCTCGGAGTTGCTCCTCTGCCAAGTCCACTCCGTCTCTGGTCCAGGCCAAGCCCTCATCTCTCGATCCTGTGGCGTAGAGAATCTCTCCGATGTAAAGATTCAGAGCGGCTTCCTGGCATCGTTCTAGGGTGCTTCGCCAGGGAGGTTGCGTGCCGTCCGGGGGAGGTGGGGGGTAGTCTGGCGGGGCGAAGAATTTGACTATCTGCTGAGTGAAGGATTCAACTTTTGGTTTAGAAGATGTTGTGCGAGGGGGATCATTAGATAGAGAGCGGCGAGCTTTGAGGATGGAGAGATAGATTGGTAGGGCGGAGGAGATGTCTCCCTTGCGAGCTATGTGGTTGGCTGTGGCTGTCAGGGCGTCGAGAACGTTCATTGATGGTGGCCCGGCGCGCTCCTTGAGAGTCAGGGTCCTTGGGTCGTAGGGCAGTTTCTTTGGGTCGACGCCAGAGGTTGCTTCTGCGAGTGCTAGCTTGTAGAGGGATTCGGCACCTTCAGAATTGCCCTTGAATTCCATGAAGCTGGCGTATTCCAGGCAAGCTTCCATCTTCTGGCGCGAAGTCAGGCCTCTGGTCGCAAGGATTTTGGTGTACCAGTTGTCGGCGGACGGATATGCGGTTTCGCAATCTTCCTCACGGGGAGCTGACGGGTTGCCTGGCGGGATGGGGGTCGGGTGAGGATTCGATGGACCAATGACGAATTCGGGGGGCGTTACGATGTTGCGTGTTATGTCTCTCTGCCAGCCGTCGACGTGCTCTGCGGCTTTAGCTGCCAACATGATGGCCTCAAAGTAGCCTCTTCGCCATTCCTCGGATTTCGCTGAAATGTCGCATGCGATGAATTCTCCGGGCACTTCCAGCAGCGGATCGACCACGTCCGAGAGCTTGATTACGTCCTGTCCACCAGTCTTGACATCTTCCAATCGAATAACGACTCCTCGTGATAGCTCCAGCGCCCTCGCCCAGTTGATTTCGCCATTCTTTGGATCCTTGAAGCTATTTGCGTCCCGTAGAAACTTCCTCGTCAAGTAGTGCCACTCGTGAGGCGTCGGAAACTCTCGCTCCACAATCTCCTCGTTGACTGCAAAGAAGATCGTCAAGACGCATACGGCAGCTCCCCACAGCGTGAGGGTGTAGCGCACAACGAGCTTCGCCTCGTGCTTCCACCATCTTTGTCTCTCGGATGTGAATCGCCGTACTGAATTGGGACTTGATCTGGGGATGAAGAGAAACGGTAGGATGGGTCGTGAACCGTTCGTAGTGGTGAGGCGGGATTGGTTCGCAAAGCTCCGGAGGCATCGCGGGCGGGAAGTTCCTGCGGGATGCAGGAGAATCCTCCGGGATATCAATCTTGGGGCCATGGCGGCGCTGGCCTGGGAGAGCCGGAGTCCCGGGCTGGGCGAATCAATTCACTGACGGAGAAATAATCTTGTGTCGTCGAGATCTATGCAATTTAGAGTTGCATCATTCCTATCTTTTGCATCCCACCTTCGATAAGCCCGGCTAATGACTAAGCAGCCGTCAAGCCCACTAAAATTCCTGCACAATTCAATGGCACCATCGTAGTTGAGTACTCATGTAGCCAATCGCTTCTTTGTTGGATAAAACTTATAGGAAATTTCTGGTTTAAATGATGTGAGCAGCATGTCTTCATTCTTATCAGATACACTTTCCAATTCCCGGTTCCAGCTGCTCGCAACCGCGGCTGTGTCTGGTGCAACTGTAGCGGGATTGATACTAGGATTTCAGGCATTGGAACGAGAAGAGCGGCTTTCAGAACTGAAGAACTCCATCCCGTTGCTGTCAACCGACAGAGGAAGAGTGAATTGAATCCTTAGCTTTTTACAATTCACTTGAAGGCTAACAACTTCTTTAGTTGAACAGCTTCGGTGCCTCATCAGAATCAGGTCTGGATCTCGAAGATGCTCGCAACATAGCCCTGGCAAAGCGGGCGCAAGCTGGAGACTTTGACGAGGAACTTATTCTAGAGCAGCTTGCACGCAACCAGGTCTTTCTTACACCAGAAGGCCTACAGAAGTTACGGGATTCGTTTGTTATAGTAGTGGGTTGCGGAGGCGTCGGTTCACATTGCGCTGCAACCTTGGCTCGGTCAGGTGTCTCCAAGATTCGACTCATTGACTTTGACCAAGTTACGCTCTCCTCATTGAACCGACATGCCGTTGCGACTCTGGCAGATGTAGGAACTCCCAAGGTGCAATGCCTGTTTCGACGACTCATTGCCATCGCCCCATGGATCAAGTTCGACCTCCGTCAGGAAAAGTTTGATGAGTCTGTTGCCGAAACTATGCTAGCGCCCTGGAAAGAAGATGGCCGTAAGCCAGACTTCATTATCGACGCCATTGACAACATTGACACGAAGGTTGCTCTGTTAAAATATTGCTATGATAACAACCTGCCCGTCATCAGCTCCATGGGCGCAGGATGTAAAGGAGATCCTACGAAGATAGTCATCGGCGACATTGGAACGAGCAAAGACGATGGACTATCACGAGCTACAAGACGACGGCTGAAGCTTCTTGGCATCACCAGCGGCATACCAGTCGTGTATTCTACGGAGCAATCCGGAGAGGGAAAAGCTGAGCTGTTGCCCCTGCCTGAAGAGGAGTTCCAGAAAGGCTCAGTTGGCGACCTTGGTGTCATGGCCAATTTCCGAGTGCGAATCCTGCCTGTGCTGGGCACTATGCCGGCCATCTTTGGCTTGACAGCGGCAAACCACGTTATTCTGAAGATAACTGGATATCCCATCTCATACGTGCCGGGCAAGGCACGAGAACGAATGTATGAAGGTATTCTGACATATGTTCAAGGATCGGAAGAGAAACTCGCTCGAATGTTTGTGCCTGGTACTACAGGCCTCAAGACGCCTCTCACACTTGGCGACGTGGCATTCATGACGGAAGAGTTGTATCGCGGTCGCAGTATTCTAAGCGGAATCCCTACAAAACTGGTTCTCATCAGATGGAAGAAGCCTGAAACATGCAGCATGACGGTTATCGGAGAAGGCAAGGACGAACAGAAATGCTCCACGATTAGGCTGAGAGATTTGGCCTGTATGACGAAGGAGGAGGCCACGAGGCATGAGAAAGAAATCTTCAAGGCAGACAAGCCCCTCGAGGAATTGTATGATGAAGAGACCATCAGGCGTGTTGAGGAACGAATGGCAGAAGCGGAAAAGTATGAATGGTTTCGTAGATAGCATGGGAATGCCATCATCCTCACAATCTCCTCCTCCGTGCATATACCGAGCCTCCGATAGGGGTTTGTAATTCTGTTGGTATAAAGGGCAGGTGATTCCTCCAGGATAGGCACCTCCGTGAATGATAACCTATACTACTAAGTGCCTTTCGGTAAGGCAGAGGATCACATGTTCCATATCTGAATTCCGCTGTTTTTGTGGCGGTGAAGCCCTTCTGACCCCCCCCCTCTTCCTATTTACAGACTCAGCGGCTACATCGGTAAAGCCTTTTGAGCTTATTCGTTGCTTCCTGTACTTGTGTAAACCCGAATCAAATGGTAGCAATTAGCATCAATTTCACACCGGTTGGCCACTTGGACTGTAATACGTGGGCCCTTTGTATTCGCGGGTATGCACTCCATAGGTCTACGAGTGTGAAGTGGTCAGATACATGCAGGGGGGGTCCCTAGACGCTGAACCCATGCAACTACAAACTAATGTTACCCATGGGGTAAGACACCTCATCCAAGACTTCATCGGCGCTTCGCCTATAAATGGGATAAAGTCATTCGGTGCATCTTATTTGCTGAAGTCTTGTTGGGCATCTTGTGCAATATCGTACGTAGGGAAGAGAAAGGCAGCAGGCTCATAATGAGGCAGGGTCAGCCTAGTACAAGAGCATTTCACATAAAGTATGCAATAAATTTGCATGAATTTCATCTGCAGGATGGTCACATTCAGAGCAGTTAGGCCATTTGCCAACGTATCAAGTCTTCTTCGATTGGTGCTTAAATTCGAAGGTTGGTGCCAGGAATGCCAAGTAGTAGAGAGAAGCCGTGTGATTGTAGGATTAAGCCATCCTGGTGGTCACATATTAATGAACTACTTTGCTCCAATAATGAGCTCAAGAGTGAATCCTATTTCAAGCCGTCGACGTAATAGAGCTGCCAGCTGTAGTTTCAGCTTTATCGTTCCTTTTTCTTCCTTTTTTTTTTTTTTTTTTTTTTTTAAGTTGTGTGACTACTGTGACTTCAGCTCAAAGGCCTGCCTTGCAAGGATAACAAGCCTGTTTTGAAGGCGCCAAAATTTAAGGAGGTTTCTTTCCTTTTTTTTCTCCTCATTTACATATATTGCGCTTTGAATAGCAAGACACTCCTTGCTTGTCCTCCCTTCGCTTCATCACGGAATCTTGCTTTGCCGAAACATTGTTCTAGTTGCCTTATCACAATGACTTTTTGCAGAAGGAATAAAAGTACATTATTTGCTACTACTATTAACTCCGTGTTCATGACACGGATAGGCGGAGTATCGTAAGACAAAGTTTGCCTGACGCATTCCACTTCGTGTAATTGCATCACAAGCACGTCTTATAGTGGTTGCCTTGGAAAAGTTTTGTTTATCTGAGCGTCAAAAGGCGTTCAAATTAAAGGCAGAAGAAAATCAATAGGACTATTTACTTTTCAACCTGCTGTGTACATGGACTATTTGCGCCACCAATGCACAAAAAAGTTTGTCAATCCATGCTCACGGCAGAGAAGGATTACACACCATCTTTTATTAGAACATGAGATATTAGAGAAACCATTGCTTTAATCATGGCAGTCATGTATAGCACTTTATATTTGCCTTGAGAAACAGGAGACAAAATCATGATGGTAGAGTCACGAGTGATAGTGGCGATGTTAGTGGGAAACTAACATGAACACCACGTTGTCGCAAGGCAGAATTAGACCACTTCCCCCCCTTTTCATCCAATTGACCTTTTCAGCCTTGTTCTTTTGCGTTTGCCTGTAGTTCAATGTTGCCTCGTGTATGAAGCATTGGCTGGATGGCTTTTGTGGGATTTGGTGTACGATGTTGATCATGACCTAGGAATGACCGAAAACCCAACGGCTATAGAGTGATAAGGAAGAATTCTATTCTAATTGGCAAAGTAGAAGCTAGAGTACCCCTGGAATATGCAGATCATTCAGTTAATTAATATCATGAATCTGGGAAGGAGAAAATGAGGCGACAATGCTAGACCAATTACCTTCAACACTGGATGTATTTCTCGATGGATCTGCGCTCCATGGGTTGAGTACGCTAACCAAATTAGGCGATCCTCATTGCAATCAACAATGTACTATAGAAACAATTATATTGACAACTTATTAAACAATAGACGCTCTCACAGTTGTCATTTCTGCTCTTTAGAACTCTCGTGAGCCTTCAAAGCAAAAGAAAAAGAATTGGAGGGAAGGGAAAGTTTGGAAACGCAGACATGTCGATAAAACACTTGAAATCTAGCAACGTGTAAAAGATTTTGATGGAGACTTTTGTCCATATGATTCCAGGTCGCCTCATTATTGTTAGACTTGCTCAGCATTGCAGTTGCTCGATGCATACAGTTTTCTAACTCGGCAGGGTTGTAAAAGGCACTAAGTACCAATATAGAATTCTTACACCTTGAAACACTCACCGTAAGTACCTGGTAGGGTACCCCCCACTTCCGATGGAGCCTTTGAGTATTTTGGCATGAAGTCGATATGCATAGGGGCAAAAGGGGAATGATGGGGCCATAAGAAAGTAAAGCAAGCGTAAACCAACGCTGTCAGAAAGAGCAAGAAATACGTGTATAAGTACGTGTCTACCTAGTGTGAGCTACCTAACGCTGCTGTGATTCTATTACTGGCTCTTAGCGCTGCAAGGGGCTTTACTTCACCATATCCTGACTGCCACGAATTCAGGTGCTTTTAATAACCAAACTTACATAGCTTGAGTGATTCCACATGAACATACCGCCTTGAACTATATCAACTGTTACTCCGTAGAAATGCGAGGGCTGCAGCTTGGCGAAAACAGAGTCATGCGTGGTTTCATCACCGACCTACTACCCAATCTCTGAGGCAGTAATGCATACATGTACACATGAGACGAAGCCCAAACATGAAGTCAGGTATGAAGCACCCCATACGATACTTCGTTTCATGATAACAGCCCGAACAGCCCGAATTCGTGCATCCCAAATGCCCAATCAACTGACTTTGACCTGGATAGGCCGGTATCAGCTGAGTGAGAGCCTAAAACGTTTTATGCGGTTTAGCTTGTTTTCAGCAGCTCAAAGCTGGGCGCAGCAGGCCAATTCAGCGCCTTAAGAGAAACCCATCGAGCTCATAAGAATAAGGTGTCTTCAGCTGCTGCCCGAACGAAAAGAATGACCAACACGAGGGAGACAATAGCAACCCCTTGGCTTCTCAGAGATTTCTCCCTGAATTGGTCATCGAGCGTTAAACCCTATGGTGTCTGTCGGGCCTTAGCATATTAGATGGAACTTTCCCACCCCTTGAAGTAAGGCGAACACATCTAGGCGAGAGATTGCCGAGCTGGTCTTTCGTCATAGATGTCCATAAGGCATCTGAGACTGTAATTTCGGGTTCTTGAGACAAAGAAATGTAACTATCAAGGGTTAATCTCGACCTCAATGTTTCGGAGATGACTGACCTCAAGCGCCAAATCATCATCACGCGCTTTGTAAAATCCTCCCTACCGCCCGGAGCGACACAAATAAAGCAAGGCACCACGGCATCACCTGCTTCTTGACGCTTCAAATCACCGTCGCGTCGCCGATTAGTTTCCAGAGACAAGGCTCCTCGCCTATAATGCCCATTTGGACAACAACACATGGGAAAAAGGCGTCATGTTACCCAAAGTTCTGAAGCAACACCGTCACGCTGTACAACAGGATCATAGAACGTTGCATAGGCTGAGGCTCTAGAGTGCCAATAACTGCCTGCTTCGCGGATAGCATATCAGCGTTGATCCTGGTGACATCTTCTCGAATGGGATTTGCGAGTAAACAAATAATGTGAACACGATTGAGGCCATAGAGCTTCACGATTGGTACGGATAGGAGTGTTGATGGATGCCTACTTGAGGCGAGGTGAGAGTGCTGTCCACCTCTACGGTAGGCGGCCAACAGGGTCTGCTGAAGAAACACTGGATGGGGTGTGTTTTTAAATATCCGAGTATACCTAACGAGGGGATTGGTTCTGGTGCACTTAGAACTTGAAAAGGGTAGTTGATCTAGGCAGTATGTCTTGGGTAGTGATATGCAAAATGTACTCAATCCAATGAAAAGGACGAGGCTGTTTTTTGGAGACATGAGATAGACGTGGATACCTATAAACAGAAATATCTATGAAGCTTCAGGCTAGACCATCGGGCGAAGAAAGTTGAGGCTCTGCTCTGCTCTGCAGGATTGCGAACTGCGCACGAGGCAAGACTGTTGTGGTTGGCATGGTAGAAGCTATCATTGATGGTGGGGGATCTTTACATGTAAATATATGTGCCTAGCAGCCTTGCGTGTGTGATGAGATATTCCCACGTAGTGGTGTCTAATTCCTACGAGGTGAATATAGAAAAGTCACCGACAAATAGAATGTTGAAGAGTTGTGTGGTTGTCTGCCTGGATAATTATATGAGAGGTTACGTTTGAAGCTGTTTATGTGCGTTTACACGCAAAGTACGCGTTCTACTGCGCTGTAGCGGCCTTGAAACACGGGCAATTCGAAAATCGGGCCAAGTAATTCACTTTGTCTAATACCACCGCCGCATAAAACAGGGCTTAATATTTCATGATATATAAGTAGATTGTCCAAGATGCCGTCTTATTAAATAGTTCGTTATTATTTTTTCCAAGGGGGCATCTTCAGTATGTGATAATATCCAGGCTGGCTGTAAAGGTGTCTCGCCGCGCACTGCCAGCCGCGCCCCACACCCCCCCCTCAAACACGCCTGTGTACCTAGTAAATTTGCTTGGATTGAGGCTCTCACAGTTTGTCTTGCAGCCCCTGATTTGTCGAGCCAACATGCGATATTATACAGCTTACCTTTAGGGTGTATATAATGTTCCCCGTCCTCCTCATTAAATTACTCGGCTTGATCAAAAAATCTCACTCCCAGTTTCAATCTGAAGATATGGCTTTAAGAGACCATATACTTTAGATTCGTGAGACTCGGGAAACTCTCTATACTTGCCAATTTGCTAGTTGTTTTTTTTTTACTGTTCAATTATTATTATTATGATTACCACTTTTCTTTATCTTTACCCTCTCTCCAGTCCGTCTGAGAGTTCACTGCGAAATAGTAGCAATCTTAGCGATACGTCCCAAAGCTGGCTATCTAATCAGCCCTGAAGGTTAGTGTGGGATGGGGTTACTTTGTCACTAAATTTTCAGCCGCATGTTTTAAAGGCAACTGGTTCGCGCTCCAAATCCAGAAGCATCGGCATGCACCTTCCTAGGTAGTGGGTACAGGGAAGCCGGGCTGCAGCTCAGGGCCTGCGTTCTGCAGCCACCCCCAAAAAAATGATGGAAGGGTGGGCGTGTGTACATTACTAAGAAATGTGGAGAGTCACATTGATTTCATATTGACTGCATCGCCGCATTTTACGCGAGGCTTCGCTCACGTCGTTTTGTTCTGCGGGCTTAAATCTCTCAAGCTCGCTTCAGGCCGCGCGAACCACTGCAGCCGCTGCATCTTCATTATGCCGTTAACTAATTCATGGCTGCTAGATCCGGTTTCCTATCTTTGTACCTGAGTGGCTGTTTGCGCAAATCTCCCGCATCTGCCACGTCTCACCAGCATTCAGCCTCGTCATTAGGCTTAGCCCCCAACTTTACTCCTACCGGGGTCCATCTGTTTTAGCTGCGTTGAGGCTCTTCTCCGCCAATAAACAGACACCATGTCTTCGGTGCAACCTGATATCTCAAAGATATTCGTCAACTATTTGCGGAATTCTCGGCAGCTGAGTTGCCCCATCTGTCAGGTGGACGTCAAACCGCCTACACTCGATGGGTTCAAGCAACATGTTCAGAGCAGCGCCGAGAAGCATCCCACGGAGGAAAAGGCCATTCTAGACGCCTTCCAGCGGATGAAGCTCAGCTCATCCAAACCTCCGTGAGTGACCCCTCCTCTAACATGTGACTGCCTTGCCTTGTCTAACACGTGCCAAAGACCCCAGCCTACATCTGCCACAGAACAAGATCAGAATAGAAGGTCAAAGAAAAGATCCGCTATTGATCAGCAAGACGACCAGCAGAATCCAGAGCGTAGTCCTTTAGATGCCAAGGAGAGTTCGGATAATGAAGGTCGCAATAAGAAGATTTGCTCTCCTAGCAGCTCCCCCCCGCCATCTACGCCTAATAGGCGAGGCCGTGGCAGACAGCAGGCCGACAACATCAAAGAGTTTGATCGCGGGACCAAAGGTTCAAGTACTCGCCAACTTTGGAGCCCAGGCAGCGGTGGTCTGCCGAGATCCTCTCAGTTCAAGGCACAGCCCCCAGGCAATCGATCCAGGCTGATATCTCGAGCCAAGATAGCACAGCATGATGTGGAAGAGCCTGATCCAGAGCCTGGCCCAGAAGTTGAGGCTGAGGCAGATGATTATACCGAGGATCCTTCTGTATCCCAGCTAATCCGACAGCCTGAAACTAGGCCAATATCTCAAGAACAACTTGTTGCTGAGGTCAAAGGGATATACGCTGGATTAGTCATGGTCGAAAGCAAGTGTATTGAGGTTGACAATGCTCAATCAGCCAACAAAGACTCACCGCAGCAGCTTAACAACGAGCAGTGGCAGGCACTTATTGCTCTGCATCGTACACTGCTTCATGAGCATCATGATTTTTTCCTGGCAAGTCAACATCCGTCTGCCAGCCCGGCACTTCGACGGCTGGCCTCTAAGTATGCCATGCCAGCGAGAATGTGGAGGCATGGTATACATTCGTTCCTTGAACTCTTAAGACACAGATTGCCCCTGTCTCTTGAGCACATGCTCACTTTTATATATATTGCGTACAGTATGATGGCTCTTCTCTACGAGACTGTACCTGCATTTGAAGATACCTGGATCGAGTGTCTCGGAGATTTGGGCAGATACCGTATGGCTATTGAAGACGACGATATTCGAGACCGAGAAACTTGGACAGCAGTTTCTCGATACTGGTATTCAAAGGCATCGGATAAGCTGCCGACCACTGGTCGACTATACCATCACCTAGCTATTCTAGCGCGTCCCAACGCGCTGCAGCAAACATATTACTATACAAAGTCTCTTTGTGTCCCTATCCCATTCTTAAGTGCCAGGGAGAGCGTCATGACACTATTTGATCCAGTGCTGAGCTCGGGACCTCCTCGACTAGAGGCGATTGACCTCGCCTTTGTCCGCATACTCGCTATTTTCTTTTCTGGCAAGGAAAAGGATCTGCTAGGGTTTTCCGCCAGGCAGTTCCTGAGTCTTTTGGATGGACACATTGCTCGAATAACAAAAAGTTGGCTAGAAGCTGGGTAAGAACATATAACCATTGAATCTCTCCAGCTGTGAACCACGACTTACTTGTTTATAGATACTATATGGGCATATCGATTACCTGTTCCTTACTTGGCTTCGGCGAAGACTCCAATGTCCTGAAGCACGCTATTATGCCTAAGCGATCTGATGACATAGACATTGCTGGTGAAACCACCTCTCCGGAGCCCGTTCCCACAAACACTTTTTACCAATCTCTCTCATTAGCTGTGCAAACGCTCGAGATAGTAATTCAGCGGTGGGGAGACATGAATATATTACCCTTCCTCCATACACAAATGGTATTTATACACCACTTGTCTAAATTTCCCTCGGCAATGAAATTTGTCGAAAATAAATATCCCTGGAAGTTGATAGCAACTATGCTCAACTATCTCAAGCAGTCTTGCAAATTTGAGCCTCGCATGGACAGTGCAGTATTCCCTGGGGCAGAGAATCAAGATCATTACCGACCACTACCAGAGGACTATGCTATGCGCGGCCTTATTTATACTGAAGAGTATTTTCCACTTAAGTGGTTTTCTGGCGAGGTCGTTGAAGAAGACGAAAAATATTTTGAACAGGCGTCCATGATGGACGCCCGAAAGGAGAGAATACTATGGATTGGCCGACAAATAGCTTCCGTCGGCAAGTGGCTACTCTGGGATGAAAACGCCAGATTCACTGTACCAGACGAGTATGATATTGAGTTTACAGCTAAAACACCCGAAGTTGGTGCCCGGGAAATAGTAAGTCTCGGAGCCGGCTCACATAGCTTAGATACTCCTCACCGAACAAATTGAAACCTCCAATTCAACATTTTTCAGACTGCATAGTTGGGCGTTGGTGGTTTTTTGATTTTGCAAGGAGGGCATGGCAAAGCTGGCTTTCTTTTGTCTTGTAACATTTTGCATTCGTTTCTTTATTTTGTTTTTCACGACACCTTTTGCTTCCTTTGTTTTACTACTATGCATGCCAGTCAACTCATTTTCAACAATGAGTATAATCACAATAGATGGAATAGCATATTAAATATAAGAAATTAAAATAAACGTAATAGAACTTTATAGTTGCAGTGACGATTTGTCGAATACAGCCATATGCTGGAGATTCATCTTCTTTGCTTATTTTACGATGAATCATATTATATTATCTTTCTTACGAGTAGTAGAATTCACACGGGGAATTATACTGGGATTCATGGTAGAGTTTATACTAGAATGAATACTAGATACAGCTGTTTAGAAGTGTAAACACGTTAAGGTACAAATATAAACACGCTGAGATACGAATACGTTAATTTGACAACGCACTGAGTTGTCATGATAATTTGTATTGTTCTTCTTACTGGTATTTGGTTATATTATCCATACTGGGATTTATATTGGGACAAGTTACTCAATAGAGGACATGCAAGATACAAATATGAGCACATTGAGACGTGATCCTGTCTTGATGAGAAAGCAATAGAAATAAACACGACAACATACAAACATACTTAGCTTCAGCTCAGGTGAAGGCGATAAGATGTAAAAATGTAAGCGGCAGATGTTCATATACGAATTGTTGACTTCCGAAAGTGCGGCTCAACACCAAAGTGCGGCTCAAAACATGGCCATGAACCGGTGGCTTCGGGCGGGCCATCCCGCCGCTTGCATGAGGTCCGTGCTCACGTGCATGCCGGGCGCGGAATCGAACCCGGGCAAAAGGGTTCAGGCCCGGGGAAGGACTCGAAACCGGGCAAACCTGCCAAGAACGGTCTGTCCGAACAGGTGCCTGACCGGAGAAGGGACTAGAGCCGATTGCACGTGGTTAAGGCGTGGCTAGAGAGAAGAACCATGTAAGCGAAAAAGCAGTTGAAAATTGGAGGTACCTAAGTACAGATCGTTGAAAGAGGAAATGTTCTAGATTGAGCTATAGCGACTGTTATTTTGTTCTTGGAGATAATCACGCATACTCTGTTCATGCCCTACATGTAGAACAGTGATATCATATCTGTTTCTATTGGTTCAAATGTGTATACATTGGTACACACTCATAAATATATATATACATCCTACTTGTGTATATGTGTATGAATGTGCCCTGTATACAGATTTATACATATGAGAGATAAAGTGGTAGATACATATACCGTAGGTCCTCAAAGTTGATGGAAGGGAGGTGGTGTATGCTCAAATATAGCACACGTCATTACATCATGGAAGCGACTGCGTTGTACGAGTATGTGTCTGCACATCCGAAGAGGCGTCAGGTTGTCTATCACATGAACCCCCCCCCCCCCCTGTGATCCTTTACAAATTTACTTTTATAAATAGCAAAAGCACTTCCGTCGCTCCCATAAAGTTGCCTGATATACTCTCACCATCATAGCATTTTGCTGTGAAAAAGAAGTCCAAGAAGGACCGTCCACTTACGTTTCAATTACAGTTGAGGTTCTTTGGCGAGGCTCCTTCCAATTTCCAACCCGAAGTAAGCGCGCACAATCCCAATTCTCTCAACCTTGCTAGTGAGGGGTGTGCCTGATTTCCCCGCTCTTTACACATGCTTCGCTTCGATGAAACTACCTAGACTTGCCAGACAAGGCAACAGGCACTTTCAAGGCAAGCCTCTTTATTTACCCTGCACGACATCATCTAGGGCGTATGGGTGATGTTAGCCCGAGGTAGACTGTCGGACAAGCGGACACATGAGCATCATAGTGATGCATCAAAGCAGAAGACTCTCCGCAGGAAGGGAGTTCTCGGGCGAGGGGTTAAGTGGTCGGTGTGTCTTGGGCATGTTGGCGGCCTTGAGGGTATCAACACTGTTGGGTCTACGTATTTACTAGCGAGTAGGAGGCCGCAACCCGAGGAATGTTCCGTCATAACACATACGTTCATGCACGAAACAAGTGATATAAAAAATGGGTTCACAGAGGGCGCATGCGGGAATTTGTAGAGTCCGTGATGACAAAACGCCCTGTTCTCCCAGGTTGACCCAAGTTGAGAATGTGCAAGGCCGTCAGTGCCTTACATATAAGTTGCTATATAAGTGTGCTCGGTAATCGGAAATGCCTGGGTTGGAATATGAAAAGGCGTCTGATGCAGCCGTATTTGGGTACTCCGGAGCCGCAGCTGCAAGTGATCGCAGTTTATTACCTACTCTCGTTTCACATCGCAACAACACTGCGGTTGTGCCACTTGGGCCGGGGCAATAACTGGCCCAAGCTTGGTACACGGATGCGGTGAGGCTGCTATCTCCCGCAAAACATGGCCTCTGTAACTCATGAATCCTTTTAGGGGAACCTCCTTCTCTTATAAGATTTCGAGCTAACATGCAGGTTCTCGACTGGAACACAAAACACCGCCGGTCTGCCTATCGCTTACAGATTTACAGTGGCAGATCGGCGGTGGTTTTTTATTACCCCCGTGGCTATATACGCATCTGTCCAAGTGTGGTACAAAAGATGAGACAGGCAGCTATGGCGACCGATCTCTATGGGTGTTCCTTGTCCTGGTGATAGTAGCCCCACTTATGCGGTTGCCTTTTCTTAGACCTTTTCTTAGCCTGTCAACCCGAGATGTTGAGTGTTGCATTGCATACCATACCACGCATTAGTACATGTACCTTGTCACCCTACATTTTTTTCGATTTTCACGTTCGAATATCCATAGAAGTTGACATGTCCTTTTGCGATGAGCAATGAATTAGGCAAAGTTCTGCAGACAACGCTTAACCGAATCGTGCGGGGGATGAGGGGTTTGTTTTCTCATCCAGAATTTCTCCAGAATGTTCCGTTCCTGTATTCTACACATTCTAGTATTGTTCTTCCCCCTCCGGCTGCGTTGCCCCGCTGAGCAGTCTCTTGTATTCAATGGGAGCTTGATATTACTGTAGTTATCCGTTCAATTGCTTTCACAAGTACGAGTATGCAAGGAGCCTTGTGTATTTGTCCCATGACTTGTAATACCGTACGGAGTACCCGGATGGCCTACTTCTCGTGAGCTGAACCACTTTAAGACGGGGAAATCATCCTGCCCGGGGTTCTACCAGTAGCGACGTCCGTTCACTCCGACGCTATCCCTTCCACTAAGAATCCATACGATATTAGGCAGCTATTCGTATGCCTGGCGTTGATTGTTGGACCCTAAAATGGCTGGAAGCCTCATTAGCATCTTAGAGCTGAAGTTATTGGGGTGTGGTGTAGGGTTACCGACGACAGCGTCTATTTGTTCATTTCGATAGCTGAGCTTGTCCAACGCAAATGAGTTCGGTATACAATTTTCGCATTCAGCTGGAAATATGTCTCCTACGTCATAGTATTGATCTAGAACGAACAAACAAACGAATGTCCGCATCACTTTTGCGGCTGAGCCGGCGGCAGTATTGGCGAAGAGTCAATCAGCGGCGACATCTAGACAAGGCTACTAGGCATGTATTATTGACGCCCAGGTACGGAGTATTGACATGGATCTACCGTATGCCTAACCGCTACTGCAAGGTTTGTCAACGCCAATTCTTTAGAAAGCTCCACCAACAGCAGGTCTCTCTAACCTGTTGATGAACAGGCCCTTTGTTGCCTCGCAGGGCTCAATGAACCTTGAACCCTTCGTTTACACTCGGCCTATTCCTCACTTCAAACTTGCCGAGGTTCATGAGTAATGGCCAAGAGCAAAATTTGCTCAGCTCGCCACTCAGCACCGACTCGGCGTATTTTCTCGTGTTGCCTTACTCCGGATGAGAGAATCGGCGAGTATTTTTTTCATCGGAGTCGTAACCTTGGGGCTGTGTTCTTGGGGCCTCCAATAATCTCCAAATCGACCCCATTACCCCAGGGAGGGAAAGGTGCCTTTTCTACACTCAATGTCCTAATTATTTCCTTACTAGGCATCTGTCCTATGGTCATGAGATCCCGATGACCTGCGGGTGCTGGTAGATCAGTTTTTTTTAGGGCACGGGTGTGTCTTCCGTGACAGTTCAGAAAATGTAGGAGTGTCGGATGTGGTACTCTGGCCAATTCCCGTTACCTATCCGTCTCACACATCAAGGTAGGGAGTAATAGCAGACAAAGTACATGTACAATTAATATATTGCTGCACATCCCTCAGCTACGGCCACTTGTATTGCATATCAACGGACAGGATGACCACCAAGAATGGCTTACTCTATCACTAGCCAACGTCAGCCTCATCCACGGGATCGATCCAGCATCCTCTCAAATGCCCGAGCAATTCTCCAACGTAGCTCTACATCTAAATCCCTCTGGTTTGTGGATTTCGCAGTAGAAACTGTAGCTGGTTAAGTTTTCTGCAGCGCGTATCGATGCCTCTATCCGGTTAGTAAATCACCTCAGTAAAACGGCTGCCTACGCGAAGGCAACCAAACTAAAGTCATCCTTGATGGAGATCAAACTTGATAAGATTACTTTAGCGGTGAGAACCCGGAGATGGAGAACACGGAACAACTCACTGGCGTAAGCGGAAGTCGCGCGCTAGCAGGCCAAGGACCCTTCAGCTCAGATGCTTTTCGAGCCCAGCCATCAGCCCAATTAAGTAGCTAATAATGCATTGTTGGTTTTTTTTCGCTTTGAACACATGTACTGTCATATTAGTATTGTCTTGATCAGGTTGAATAGTGTTTTATTTGAAGGAATCGGGAAAGAAGATGAAAAAGTTGTATCAGATCAGCTTGAATCACGACAAGTCACACCCTTGAAATCTGCTCGTGAAGACTCTTCGTGAAAGAGGAAAAGCTTTCTGCTATAATAGCATGTAATAGAGAGAATAGATAAGATCCTATAAAAGATGAGAGTAGCCCGGTAGCTTAGACGACTGTATTACCCGCATTACATTCATCTCCTCCTAATGTGAGAATAAATAGAGATATGTTTATATAATTCGAGTGGCTTCACCATACGTATAAAGTGTGCTGGTTTCATTTTTCGACTAGCTGGGCTGGGCTATCGGCTCAGAAATGCCATATTTTTAGATTTGACTACCTCATATATTCGTGTATAATAAGTATTATTGTGGACTCGGGACTTGCTTAGATTGTAGCTGCTGGTGATTCAGCGTCTCCCAGAATTAACACTCTGTAGACTTGGATCTAGATATTTCACTGGAAGCATGTCCACATATATTGGGTCTTAAATGTTCTGTGTCCTCTACGTATTGGAACTAATATCGTCTACGATGTATTCTCAAAATTCCAGGTGAACCCAGTGCTAATATGGTTATCATGCTGACATCAACCGACGAAGATACATAGAAACTGTGGTAATCCAAAGACCACATGTATGACATTCTCAATCCAAGTAATATACCCTTATGTGACATTGATCAACATTTAACGCACGACGAATATTTCCTGCTATTTTCATGTACGAGTAGGCTACAACTGTTGATCTCTTTTTGGATGAATCCTTTGATGCTCCGCTTTCCGAACGACGCTCTAGTACGCATCTACATCCAGCCTGTATGGCATGCATTATACCTACAACTACCCCAAATTTTTATTTCCTTCTTTTTTTCCGTTCCCAATGATCTGGCTACCAGTACTTTACACGTACTCCAAACCCTTCATCCACTGGGAGTTTTCGTACACGTAGCCAGCTCATCCAATAGACAACGGGCTCCCCATTGGTAGACATCATATCAGCTCCACAAGTCAATCAGTGCCTAACCAATCTACGATGATTGAACACGTATGTGTCGCCGAATCAGCTTGGACATCAAATTAGATGTCCGAACTTATAGTATCGACACCGAAATTATGTAGGCTATATTCGGGGAGTCTCCGAGGGCAACTTGAAGGCAACCGCATGATGTCGACCCGACAGCGAAACTTGCATACGGATGTGCTTCCCAATCTCCCCATCCGACAGGCAGCAGGGCTAGAGCGGGGAGTCGGATCATCACCAACACATACTGCATGTTTCGGTAATCCTGACTAGCCTGCCGTAGTTCAATGCAAGAAGGCAATAAGTTACATCATTTGGATGTAAGGATGTCGAAGGCTGGCATCAAAGAGAAAGTTACAGGTCACAATGCCAATGCTTGGGTCTTGATGCTTCCGTTTGAGACAATATGCCCAATCACATGTCTAAGAAGCTGAAAATGCAATATTCAGGTGAAATGTTACAAGCGTGAAGGATTGGACAAGACATGACCGAAATAGGAGAAGACGCGGGCGCAGCAAAATGCAACAGCGGCTCGTTGGGGGCGGGCTTGAGGAGCCCAACGCGTGATAGAGCTTTGACACAGCTAGGCTTGTGAAAACTAAGGAAGTCTGTGATTCAGGCGCCGAGAGGTTATCACATATCAAATATTGAAAATTAGTTCGCAGCTGCAGGGGAAAGGGCCAGACCGTCGCTTCAAGCCGATTCAAGCCGATCTGTTCACCGCAATGCGTCAGACTGAAGAGGGATATGGAGTTAGATGAGTTGGCTTTTCACGGGTCTGACGGGAAGCAATCGAAAGGTGGATTTAAACAATGATCTGATTGGAGAGCAAGTGGACTAAGCCCCAAGAGTTAAGGAGCACTAGGGCAGCTACCGCAATTATGCAGCAGTTAGCTGTATTGACCTTTGTGCACGATGAATCATGCCTTTACTGGAAAGATGTTGGATAGAGTAGATATGAATAGGAGCGCTTTTAAATAATGAAATATGGAGAAATCGTGAGAGGTACATTTGATGTTCATGCAATGTATAACATTAAAGTTCTTTGAAAGTGATCAATGTATCCAATTAATATCTCGAGAACATAGATTTCGAGAGGAAAACAATATCAATTGGTTCGACATAAACTATTCAAATGACTTAGCCATGTATTTTGCGCCTGTGTGTAGGAATGTCGTATTTAGCTAAAATCCTGCAAATGTGCAATCCTAATGACTGCAGTCTTGGCATTGTTTAATAAAGTACGGGGAGACACGGAAAAGGTAAAAGAATAGTTATGGGTGGATACAGGCTTATATGCAATTTCCTTAGATTTGAGTCTTCTAGAGAGAAAGGGAGCGTAGATCTTTTTGTTTACTTGCTTGAAACATATAGACACTCAGAGGTCCAGTAGTTACCAACTCTGCTTTATTAACTAACCTCAGAATTATTGATGATATCGAAGGGATATGTTTGTATATTTGTTGTGATCTCGTAGCTATTCCAATTTAATATATAGAAATACGTAGTTAGAAGAACAGCTTCTATATGGCACCAACGTCTTGTACCATTGTTTTACTTTGCGGCAGAGCTGATAGATAGGTGTGATAGATAAGCACTACTCTAACTGGTTTCTTACCATATTTATCGTTGTCCATATATAATTCAAGTTTTTAGTGGTGGTGCTAAAACTGATGTTAGAGTTTACTTAATAAAGATTTCTCCCTTTTATTGTACATCTATGGGTATTATGTTCTCCTGGATAGGTAGGATTTTTGTGGTTCATACCTTGAGTCGTAACTTAGTTTGCTTTTAGTTATGTACCCGTCAAATGTAAGAGAAGTAATTATAACATGCCACCGGAAATGGAAACAGCAACGTTCAATAGAGTGCTCCGGATAGAGAAGTATTCTTCAAATTCCGTCATAAGTTGTGGGACGCAGCCCATACAGCTCAAGACGCAGCCCTGATATCTCTGCTAGTTGTTACATACTGAGATTTCTTTAGCATTTAGCTGGAATCTTAATGTAAAAATTTTTACATTCACACACACTTATATAAGAGTAATCTCTGGTTTTCATATCGCATATCTGGTTGTCATAATAGTCACTACGAAGAGCATTGTCATCAATAGTCTTGACTCCTCCATGGTAAAAAAAAAAAAAAACAGGTTATTCGCATTAAGGCAGAGAAAAATATTTTTTCCCTTCTCTGTTTATAACTAAGCATGTTTACCTTTTTCTTTATGAACAGCCCTTGCCCAAATGAGGGTTCACGTAGATTATACGACTTTTCATCTGATCATTCTTATATTTTAAATACTTTACTGCCACATATTTCCTTCATCGCATGCATCCCTCACATGGTACATTTTACTTGGCAGTGGCAATTTCGGCCCGAGAACCTTTTTCATGCTCCTCCGCATATCCTTTACAATATTCATACGTGTATAAGCTGCTTTTATGTCGGATGTCCCATCCTCAACTTTTTGTTGTGGGTCTATGTCCTCTGGCATCTCTTCTTCCCATTCGTCTCCCAAATCTTCCCCTGGTTGTACTCTTGTAACGTGAGCCTCAAACTGGTTTAGTAGCACCTCCATCGAAGCCGGATGGACCAAGCCAAGAGGCTGGACAGGAATTTCGTGGCTAATTTCGTACGCTCGACCGTAGTGTATGCGAGCGGTGTTGGATAGAGCTAAGGAGGGATGATCGGGCTTCATCCGCACTGGAGACAAGATAACTTTCGTCTCATTGGGTGCAAGCGGTGGAGGAGTCTTTCCAGAGCTGAGGACACCATGAAGCTCTTGGTCTGACTGGTTACCACACCCCTGTTTCGCATATCTTTGTCTCTAGTTAGCCGCAAGTACCTAGAACAGCAATCTATCTGGCTTCACTCACGTATGAATGCCCAGACATAAACAATATTTGTTATCCTCACGGACCACAACAAATCGTTGGATCATGACGGGGCCACTATCCAAGTAATACTCTTGCGAGATATCCGGGTGTGCGAAATCTGAGTCTGGCTGGATAGGAACGTCTAATGTTATATCCTCTACTGTTATCCACTTCACTGCTGAAAACTCTGTACTTGCTGAAGGAGGAAGCTTCTTAAGTTGTTTTCCCCATGGAATTGCCTTGAAGTGCCCCACCATTCCGCTTTGAAACATACCGAAGTAATATTCTTTGTGGCAAGCTCGAAAATGTTGCGTTGCCCAATAGTCTTTCAAAACGCGAGAACCTTGACCACAAAGTAGACACTGCACACTCTTCCTATCACCCGGTATACCTCTGCAGTAGCGAGTCATTCTGTCAAGGGGGAGCTGCCGTATCTGCCTGAGGCGTTTGAGCATGTCTTCGACCCGTTCTGTATCCGCGACGGCTTTCAACTTCGGGATTGATGCCAATGGGAGATTTCCAAAGTCAACTTTTCGAAAAGTACGCTTGTTTTCAAAGCATAGACGAGAGGCGATTTGCGCAGCGACTATACGCAGAATGGCTATCCAAGAACGATCCTATCAATTCCCTTGTAGAGTTGACGGTGAATATAAGAGCATTCACTGTGGCTTGGGGAAGCTGATTGGACGCGCGTAGATCATTCACCTGGAGGAGAACTCGATGGACGACATCCAGTTCCGCAATAAGTGTGCGATACTCCTCAGTGGCACCTTTACTCTCGGAGAGCGCCTTACTTAGCTGATAGGCCAGTTGCGCGACAGCAATAAAGTCACCAAGAGAAAACCCTGAAGTCATTGTGGACTTGGTGCGCTTTTTGGTAGTAAAACGATGATGGTGTTGTTAGCAATGCTGTGAAGTAGCCAACTGCGGTAAATGCATACTAATAAGGTACCTAGTAGGCTTTATATGGTGTTGAGGGATTAGAAAGAACTGGTCTGCTCTAGACGCGCCACCAACACGATTGCTTCGCGCAGTAAAACCGCGGCTGTGCATGCACGCGCAAGGTACAGGTATTCAACAACATCCACGTATCCATACATGTAGCAGAGACATGACTGGGAGTTACATTAACACAAGAAAGTCGGGTACCAACAACGTGAGAGCCTACTTGTAAGCCTAAGACTTCTGGCCAAGAGCCGCAGCACACTGCATGTAGCTTGCCCAAAATGGACAATCCCAGCCTCACGAGCACTTCTGCTCCCACCTCGAAACTTGGGAAACTGGCTTATATGAATCCGAGCTCTGAGATCCATTTTAGCAAAAGATCACATATTGTGTTGTCGCTAGTTCTAAGGATCGTGACAATCCAAGCGCTGTTCAAACTGATCAGATTCAAACCACATGGCCCTTTGTGTACGTTAACATCAACGTGAATGATACAACAGACCGTGAATGCTACAACAGCCTCAATCGGGAATGGCAGTGCATGCATGCTGCATTAGTAGGTATTCAGAGTGGCTGTACATGTTTTCATCACCAACGTGCTCCAAAGGCACTTCTTCCATCCTGTTCATCCATCAACCTCCTCAATCTGTTGTTTTCCATCAGCTCTTGGAGCACCATTTGTCTCGTCATCTTATTATGGACGCATTGGCTTCACGAACAATGATTTAGGCTATGGTTGACGAACCGTCCTAGAACGCGACCCCTCGTGACCAGTTATCGAGGCCAGTTATTGAGGCCAAACCACGCCAAACCTTTCTAGATACCCGAGCACAACAAAAAGAGCCCCCTAGAAAAAAAATTCTACAGTCATCTGTGTCTCGCTGAATCAACGGCTGCTCGACTTCTCGGTCCTCCTGCCTATGCTCAATTTATGAGACACACCTCATGAGAATCACATTTCACCTTCTCTATGTTGGCGATCCATCTATACCTGCACTGCAAAGAGAAAAGGCTACCCGTGTAGACATTTTCTCGCCACCAACGAGCCCGAACGATGGAACGGCAGTCTGAATGGGAAGAGGGGGGATTCCAGGAACCCGCGACCCTGGACCTTGATGTGATACATGCGGGACGTCAATTCGAGGAAACAGATATTGAGGATGACACAAGTTCCATCGAGTTGGCGCATACGACACCGCCAATCTGTGCCCAAATGGAAGGCAGCGAGTCTTGCGATCGAACCGATGACAGGCCGGCCGTGGAGGAGTCATCGAGCCCCGAGCCGTCAACAGATTCCTCTAGTCAAGGGGGTGAAGCGAACACCCCTACTAAAGAGCTTGAACTTCTCAAAATTGACCGTGATTGGACTGTACCGACAACAAGTGACCCTTGGACTCACCTTTTGCTATGGAATCGGGAGTCTCCCGAGTATATCCAGAAGTTGTACCGCCATTTGCCCTCAGCCCAAGTCCCCTCTAACAGCTCCGCGGCTGCCGCAGGAATCGCCGCTGCTCACAGCGATTCTGGATATGCGTCTATTCCCAAGGATGCTCCAGGAGCTACCCCGAAGCTTCAGGCTGAAGGAGCTGTTCTGCAATCTCACAATATTTCATCAGCAGCGAATACATCAGAACCCATCCTTCTTCAGAGGGCCGAGGATGCTGGGGAAAGTCAAACAGTTTACTCAGACCAAAATTCCGAGGATGCTAGGAGAACTCAGGAGTACATTTGGGAGTTTACAAAATACCTCTACCAACAAATTAATGGACAGCTTACATCGATGAATATTGAGAAGGCGATCAAGTTGCTTCCAAAACTTTTGGAAGCATATGCTAAAAAGATGGGCCAGATGTCGCTCGTACAAATAAACCGAGAGATAATGTACTCTGTGTACAAACACCGAAAGTGAGTAATTGAGAAGTTTTGACAATTTCATCTAGCGTCTCTGACAGAGCTGACACACAATTACATAGGCTGATACCCCAGTTGTTGAGGATCATCTTTGAAGATGACCAGGTAGTGATAGAGCGAGAGCCTGACACCGAACTGATGTCAACAAATGATAAAATAAATCTACTCTGGAGCAAAGGGTCCGACACAGACAACCCTCTAGATCCCGAAGGAGATCTGAATCTGGTTGCCAACTTTGACGGCGATGATGACAACGACAACTACGACCATCCACCAGAGGGCGATTTTCCCCAGTACCGCGATGCGATCATTGAACACCCCTCCTTTAACTGGCTTATACAAAGACTCACTATGGAGTTGAATATCTCTCCAACAGACGCATATGCCATGATGGCCATTCATCAACGTATTGAAGAAGGTCTGCGTGATATTAATAGGATAAGCAGGACACGCGGGCTAGACCCTTTCACGGTAATATTCAACGTCAACTGCGACATTCTTACATTTGTACGAGAGCAAAAATATCATGAGGCTGCTGCCGACGTGATACCGAACGTGGTGGCTTTGACGGGGACAGATGCCACCAATATACAAATTTCATCACCCGAACAATATCTTCGACAGGTATGGCCAACTATAGGGTGTCATCTTTTGGAAACTATCCAGGGAGCACTACGAGTGCATGACCCCGCTTCCCCATTTCGAAACTCAGTAGCATGTGAGTGAAATCATACATACCCAGGAAGATAACGTAGTAGTGTATTGACGACGACTTTAGACACATACGCAGATGGGTCAAAGATCAAAGTCTCAGTAGGCGAAAGAACAATCAGAGTTGAAACAGCTGGTACAGCTTATGCTATTAGAGAAATCGCAGAGCAGATTGGGTGGCTAGCAACAACACTCAGGTCCGGGATTAAAGATTCCGAGATCTCGCTTTGTCGCCCGGAAATCATCGGCTTCAAAGTCAAAAACATTCGGAACCTACATATCGATGAAGATGAGCTTGGGAAAATTTTCGTATGTAAAGTGGAAGTGGCCACTGACGAGATTGTGCCCAACTTGCCGAGCATCAATGGCCAATGCTGGATGGCAATGTTCAACAACCCGGTTGTTGTAAAGGGCTATCCAATAAATCCAAGAGAAGAAGGTTTTACACCTATACCTGGGTTGGAAATATCTTGGGGAGACATGATAACCTTTGCGCAAAGCCCACACCACACGATTGTCGGGGGTAAGGTTGTGATGAAAGGGTTCTCGCAGGCATTAATCCCAACTGGAGTTCATGACAATATCATCTCTTGGCACTACATTGTTGACGAATCTGGTGCTCGCATCCCATATGGAGACCCTCGTATACAGCAAGGAATGTTCGTTCCCCCAGATCTGCTCGGGAGTGCATGTCGCCACGTTATCGGATGGTGCGCGAATGCGCAAAATAACATAGGTAAGTCATACGCTTCATTAAATACATGAGCTTTTTTTAACATATTCAAGGGTCCCCAACTGCAAATTATGACATTCAGGGATCTGGTCTTTCATCGGACGGCGGCGGCTTTACCTTCGAGGGGCTTGAAATCAGTGTGGGCGTCAAAAACTGCGCAGCGGTCACTTCGACCCTGAGGAGAGGCACGAAAGACATGCCGATCTGCAACCCCCCGCCGCTTTATCGATCCCTTGTTCAACATGTCGGGCAACATTATTTCACGTTGTACGATGTTGAAGAAAGACGTGGTTTCTTATCTACTGGTCTAGCCGTGCTTCTTCACCTCCTCCGCGCTTCTCTAAGATGGGGAGAGAAAGAGAATCCGCGTGACTTTTATACAGATGCTATCGAATGGCTTAATAAGATACCTCTTTCTACCCAAGGCACACAGGCGGCAAAACAAATTCTATATGATAGTGCCAACTGGGATATCAAGCTTCACTTAGACGATATAGATAAGTACCATCTCTTGAAAGATAGGGTACAGAGTATTTGTCACCTCCTAGAGACGGCCATCGAGAAAGCAAATCAGGCGATTTATCAAGGTGCCTTAAAAGGAACGCCAAAGAATATTTTAGGCGGATTCGACTTCATGGATATAGCGGTAGGCAGACCATTGAAGCCCATCATAGAAAAGCTCCAAATTGGGGACCACGGCACTGGGTGGACAGATCTTGCAAACTCTCTTGGAGCACTTCCTCTTTTTGGTAACAACTTTGGAGACCTAATTAAGCCAGATGCAGGGAGCGTTACAAAATCCTGCCGTCAATGTGGATTTGAACCTAGTTTACCGTCTGGGAAGAATTACGTAGCGGTATGTGTCGACGTCCTCAAAGAGATTCGCGAAAGGAATAACGGTTGCAAGAATACCACTCCGTGGCTACTCATAGATGGCCTCCGTTGTCATCTTGACAAAACTTATTTCGAACCCTGTCGGTGCATCAGCTCTAATAGTCAAGGCGGTAACCATGACCGGGTTCAAGCAATCTCATCCAAAGACAGCTTGCTGGATACAACATCCGCCTACCCAATGGATATTGACAGTAACGGTGCGGTCATATTCGGCCACAAACGGATCATCCACAAACGGAATAAGAAGAGAGGCAAGAGATTCATCCGAAACAGCCGCAACACCACGACCATACAAAACGGTTTCTCCCCTAGCCACAGCACCCAATTGCAGGCAATGAATACAGCGGTCAGAATACCTCCGGTATCCGCATCACAAGATGGGAATTCCGAGGCAAATGGAAACCAGTTGTCCGACACCGTGAGCTCTGCTACCCCTGATACTTTCACGTCGTCAGGAGCCAGCGGATCAGACTCAAATAATACTACTATCGAGCAGCAGAGTCGGACCTCAAATTCTGGATCTCCAAAGCCCAAACCCGCGGTTGTCGCACCGCAAATAGCATCAGTCACACCACCAACAGTCCCTCGAAAAAGGTATGGCAGAAAAGCAAAAGACATCTACCAGAGGGCTTGGAAGAAAATTAAACCTTCGTAAAGGGAAAGGAGTTTCCGGATAGAAATGGTATCACTTTCTCTGATGACGTGTGACTTTATCTTTCTGTTAGAATACCAATTGCTGCAACGAATTATTCTACTATCGCAGCTGTCGTTCAATATAGTTTAATAAATAGACTTTGTTTCTCCGAGTATTTGTTAGGTACATCCAATGACAAAATTAGTGTTTTCCTCCTTCCTTCGTAGGATCAAGTCGCCTTGTAGCACATACGCTCATTGCCAAATCGTCGCTCAATAGACATTTCAATACAATAAAAGTGGTGCATTGCGTGCCTATCTAAGAGTTAATATACTTCGATATGTAAATAGTAGAGTTAGAAACGAAGCTGAAGCCGTACTAGAGCTCAAGAGTACAAGAATTCTCGATGCTTATGAAGAAAATGGGCCACATAGTGGAGAGTACTTCCCATTGACCAGTGACAGAGTGTTGAAATCGAGAAAACGAACCAAGGAAAGATCAAGTGGTGTATCTGGAGCATTTCCTGATGATTCACCAAGTGGAAAAGGAACAATTACACCACTCGCGTCTCCATTTGGCGGGCACACCCCTCAACTTCGATCTCTGGGACCCGCGACTTTGGACTTTGACGCGATGCATGCGGGACCTCAATTCGAGGAAACAAATGTTGAGGGCGACGTGACATCTAGCGATTTGGCATATAATACGACGCTGTTAATCTGTGCTTTGATGACACTATAGTTCAAGAAAGATGCCCTGTCGTAACTATTTACATAATAAGGGTTACTCGGATCCTTTGCCGTCTACTACTATTACTATTACCAGTTTTCTAGTCAAAGCAACGCGGGCGTGTTTTATCAAGGCTCTGCTAAGAAGCTGAATCAACTATATGAGTATACGAACGACTAACGCAAGGCTCTGCGGAAAGTTAACCCCCACCCCTCCTCTTCCTTGTTTTCGTCCTTCTGCTTCTTCTTCATCATCCTTTTTCTCTAGAAGTATTTCCGCAATATATTAAACGGCAGAGTGGCGGTAAAGTACGCTAACAGCTCACTACATGGAGACCAGATCCTATCTTCAGCAACCATTCGAGACTGGGCTGTCATGGTTAAATGATCATATCGATTACACGTATTCTCAGTCCCAAATTTTCTGATGCAAAAAGGGCTATACTATGTACACTTACTGGACATGTTGCCATCCAACGCTCTTTTCTTTTTCCACGCAATTTTAGGGCCAGTGCAGCCGTGTGTACATGTAGTGTCGGGGCCTTGGAACCAATAGATCCAAACAATACTGCATGCAACTCAATCAGCTGAATGGGCGGTGCAGTGGCTATGCACCAAACTGGGTGACAATTCATTTGAAGAGGCATCCTCTTCAGTTTTTATTTCAAGAATGTTTGCACTTACTCCATTTTCATTTTCATTTTCATGCTTTTCTGGGATCTAAAGTACGCAATCTGTTCCAGTGCTGCCAGCAGGATTTTTAAAGCCTATTACCTCTACATAATCGAGTCTGGTACATTGCTGTCCATTAAATATTCCGACCACAGCTTTCCAACCATGCAGAGAGCGTTGTTGTAGCGATGGGCAACGTTTAATGCCATTGCCAAGTAATCCCGGAAGCTTGACGAATTAATAGCTACCTGACCTTCTCAACTATGCACCACCCTAATGAACATTCGATGTCGAGCAGACAAAGAGAAAAGAATAGAATCTTGGGACCACGTTCAGAAGGGGTCTCATCTTCAGAAGACCATCCGACCCCACGATATGCGGGTGGGCTTGATGGGGATGTGGTGCAACGTCAAAATCCGTCAAACTCACCCGTCGAACCTATTGAGAATATAGCTGGCAGAGGTGACATTGAGGCACGACGACCGCGACAAGCGTTCGCACTCCAGCAGCGATATGCACATAGTGGTATATTAAAGTCCATCAGAACATGAAGTTTCCTTTATCACATTTCTTTCAAAAGCTTATACGTTTGTAGAGATACCCTCAATTATTAAGAAAATCGAGCTGAGACGAGGGGCGTTACCGCAATGGCCAGCAGAGCTCCCACAGTTTCATACGGCTCCGAGTGTGCAGAGTGATTCGGGATATTCATCAGCGACAAATTCATCGGCGGCATATTCATCGCGTGAAAGGGGTGGTCTGGGGATAGTAATGGAAGAGAGCTCTCAGCTGCACTACAGTTTTCCTACAGTCGCAGAGAGGTCATTTGATCCTTGGTCCCCTGATCTTTTTGACCTGCCAGCAGCATCTCAACGAGCGCAAAATTCACAACAGCGCCGCTTGCCGCTGATCCCAATAGGGACCCCTATTAATGAGAGATATGGAACTTGGAGTGGTGGGGATGCTTCTCAGAATTCATCGCAACAGGATGGAAATCGCGAAAAGCTTCCCCCCCAGCTGAGTAGCTACGTGGAGAGGATGGAGAAGCGAGTTCAGAGAATGCACCAACAGGGCTTGAGCATACCAGCCGTGGTAAACTATAACGACAAGGATGATGATAATAAACCCTCGCCTCCACCACCAAAGGAGCCTTTTCCCGAATCCCTACAGTCGGCTGTAAAACGAACAGTAGAGGAGTTACTCCCGAAAAATAAAAACACGCAGAGACGGAAATCGCTATCTGATACAACATTAGACTACGAGCGCACTGATACAACGAAAACAACCCAAAAGAATATATCATCCGATATTCAGAGCAACATTAGCTCTTCAACCCAGAGTACCAACAGGACCGTTTGGAGTGGCGTCTCTGCCGGTCGTTATAGTGCAACAAGCACGTTTAGCATGCGGAGCGATAAAGAGGATCAGCTTGGCTCACCATTTACTACCGTACCTGACCAGAGTAGCCATACCAACAGCTACGCTGGAGGTGGGAGTGGAAGTGGGTTTTCCAGACCGATATCCCGGGTTGGCATCCATGAAGATGGTGGCCCTTCTCAGCGTAAACCACCAAGAAGAAATTCCTTCAAGAAAATGGCCGACTCTCATAGAGTACAAACTGATTCTAATTATGCACGACCAAGTCAGAGCACCGAAAAGAAAGCGGCGACTGGACAGCTACTGGACATCACTAACAAAGGAAATATGATACAAAGCCCTTCTGTTCAGGAATCGGAAGACACTGTGGAGCCTAAAGGATTATACCCCGGGGATCGAAGCATAATAGGCAAGAGAAGAACGCAGTTGTATATCTTGCATTTCGCAGATCATCTCTACAACCGACTCCAGGAACAACAACCATTTACAGAGGACAACTTAGATGTCATAACGCGGTTACTTCCAGAGCTACTAGTGGCATTCGCTCTGAAACTTGGCCAGATGTCACAATCACAACTAAAACGAGACGCAATGTACTTTGTCTATACGCATCGAAAGTAGGTCGCGCTGAGTGCCTCTATCCAAGTCTCTCCTTAACGCAATATTCCAGGGCGGTAATTCGATCAATAAGAGATCTTTATTATTCCAACGCTTCATCACTCGAAAAGCTTTTGATCAGCAATTCGGTTACTGAAGCCGAAGATGAATTCTCAGCAGAAGACCTTGTCCGATATCTCAACGTAGTCACAAAAGATCCGGCTTTTGAATGGCTTGTTGGAAAACTTGGCACTGAGTTGAACTCAACTGAAGTAGACTATTCCGCTATGAAACTAATTTCTAGCTATATTCAAGATCGTCTACCTCCAGTTGAATATATTGGCAGGCAATATCCGCCAAGGCCATACAAGGTTACGTTTCTTGTTCAATGCGATATCCCTGGATTCATACATGAACAAGCATACGAAGGTAGTGCTGCTGAGATACTGCCAAAAGTAATAACTTTAACCGGGTCTGTTCAAGACGTTCAAGCAACAACCTGCGAGCAGTATCTTGTCCAGACGTGGCCAGTAGTGGGATGCAATCTGCTGCGGACTATCCAAGGCGCATTACGTGAGAGAAATGCCTCTGAACCGTTTCAATTTTCGTGCAAATGTAGGTACTTCCGTAGTGCCAAACGAATAACAACTTCAAGCCATTTTTTAACAAACTATCAGGCAAGTTTGAGGATCGCACAGAGATCAAAGTCTCTCTAGGCCGATATATGGAAGTCCAAGCAGTTGGAACCATCCACTCTATCGCAGAGATCGGCGAGCAGATTGGATGGTTGGCGACGACATTCAGATCACCGTTGCAAGATCCAGAGATCTTGTTTTGTCATCCTGAAATTTCCAGCTTCCAGACTAATGGCCTTCCACGTCTAGGGTCAAGGGAAAACGAGTTTAAGCAATCTTTCGTCTGTCTTATAAATGTTGTCCCAGACCATGTTAGGGCTAATTTACCTGGTTTCAACGGCCAATGTTGGCAACAAATGTTCAACAATCCAGTAGTCGTCACGGGCTATCCAATAAAGCCTAGAAAAGATCTCATCGCAGGAGTTGGTCTAGAATTACCTTTCGACATGATGACAACTTTGGCGGACGCCAGATATTTAACAACATTTGAAGACAGGACTTTGGTGAAAGGATTTTCGACTGTGCTAATTCCAACCGCGATACACGGGAGTATTATCTTGTGGCATTTACTTGTAAACGAGTCTGGTGCTCGAATCTCATATCGAGATCCCCGCATAGAGCAGGCAATATCGATTGAAGCTGGCAATTTTAAGAGCGCGCGTCACATCCTGGGATGGTGCATGAATGCTCAAAATAACATAGGTAGGATGCAGATCAGTCCAAGTGTTATGAGAGACTAATTTCTAACACGTGGCATTAACTAAGGGTCGCTAAACGCAAGTTACGATATTACATGGTCCGGTCTCTCCCATGGTCGAGCGGCCCTTACATGCGAGGGAGTCGAGCTTAGCGTAGGCGCTGGCAATTACTTCAAAGTTGGAACAAGCTTCAAAAGAGGTAAAAGGGACAGATCAATCTGCAGTTTCGTCTCAGATGGTTACGTATCCCTTGTTGAACATATTGGTCAACACCATGTCGTGTTGTACGACGTCAATGAGAAACGCGCTTGCCTTTCTGATGGTCTGCCCGTGCTCCTTCATCTCGTCCGCACCTCTCTGAGGAGAGATGAAAAAGAAGATCCAGAATGCCTATATACGAATCACATCGAAAGTTTGAATGAGCCGCCTTCCTCAGTTCAAGGTACTACTGCAGCAAAGGCAGTCTTATTCGACAGCGAGAACCGTCTATCTGCTTTGCGCTTGATTGACACCAAGGTCACTGAGCAAATAATTGAGAGAATCATCGATAGTAAAACTGTCAAAGAGATTATCAAGATAAAAGAGGAAACATATTACCGCTTCGAAAACAGGGTAGAGGAAATATCCCTACTTCTTGAGAAGACCATCGACCAAACCACTAAAGCCATCAAGGACGGCATCTTAAGACACACACCGAAGAACATGATAAGCGGATTCGACTTTATGGGAGTAGCTACTCGTTCGAAACTCCGCCATATTACGACCAAGATACCAATTCCGGCCTATAGTTGTGGGTGGACGAATCTCGTGGATTCTCTTGAAGCAATTACTCTTTTCGGCAACAACTTTGGAGAACTTATTAGTCCAAGAGCAGATGATCCCCCAAACCTCTGCGATAGATGCGGATACGAAGCCAGCCTACCTCCCGGGAAACATCACTTAGCAGTGTGTGTTAGTGTTCTAGAGAACATTATCGAAATAAATGGCAATAAAGATAAGACTGGCTGGAGACTGACAGACGACGTCTATTGGCATTTAAACGGACCTGCTTTCAGACTCTGTTGCAGCAACTTTAACGGACGGCGCGTCAGCGCACACACTAGCAATTGGATTCAAATACTCTCTTCAAAAGATATCCGCCACTATCCTGAATATTCCATTCCAACGAATGATGTGGCAAATGGTGCGGTCATTTTCGGCCATGGAAGGCCACGGCTCATCTCCATGCGCCGCAATATCAAGGCAGATAAGAAGGATTCATTATCAGACAACCTCACTCAGTCGACAACAGCGGTGAAAATACCTACACCACCTGTGGTTCAAGATGAGACTTCTGAGACAAGTGAAACACAGCTGTTTGATAGTGTGAGCTCTACTACTCCTTATTCCGCTTCGTCGACAACAAATGGATCGGGCTTAGACAGTAATCAAAATCTGTCTGACACCATGAATCCTATCACTCCTGATACATCTGGTTCATCAACAAGCGACGAGATGGTATTGAGCAACACCGCTGCTGACCAACAGAGTCCTGTTTCAGGCGTCGTATATAAACCCCCAGAGATTATCTCAAAGGTTATCACTGCTTCGCACATTCGATCAAACACACTACCGACACTCTCCCCTCAGAAGTCTTTCGGAAAGATGAAGGGCATTTGCTCCACGGCTTTGAAGAAACTCAAACCTCGTAAGAATAACCGAACAGAAAGTTAATAATTATTTATGAAGTTAAGGTTGTAATTCAGTCTTAAATCACGGCTCCTTTTGCATGTTTCATATTCCCGAAGATTGGTCATCAAAGGCTCAGAGATAAAGTACAATACAAGTAGCTTGTAGCTTGGGTAATGAGCATAGGTGACAATGCTGTTATAAAACCACATAAATACATTTAGTCTTACTTGTCAAGATACCTCCAATACATAAATTTGAAGAGACCCATGAGTTGAAATGTCAAGAGATCTCCGCTCAGTGACGATTGTGCAGTTCTGTTGAAGACGTTTTCCCGCCTCATGCTGCGTGCTGAGGACCAGCGAAGGGGGTATAGATATATTGTCCAACAGGTGCATGTTCTATGTTCTGGAATTATTTGCCATACGGCTTAAAGAAGGTGGTACTTACCGTTATCTCAGCGTCATAAGACAACTCTGCTCCAAGATGAGCGACGATAGGCTCTCGGGTTTCGGGCATAAGCATCGTGGAGCTGTCAGATATTTCACGCTTCGGCAACTCTTTGGCCTATTATTTTGGCCGAACTTGAGTCGATCATAGGGACAAGGCCTCTGGTATACGGTGGTCTCCAAAAGCCAAGCGTCGTTCCGCGGGCAACTCGTGGCTGATGGGTAGTAAGGCTCAAGCGGAAAAACTTGAGAGGCGAAGAGTTATTTTCCATAGGAGCCTCACAGGAAGCACCAGCGCTCATATGAGCAAGTGGTAAGGTCCATAAATAAGAGGCAAATATTTCGTTTAAATCTCAAGCTCTAGTTGCCTTTTCTGTTTTGTACTGGCTACGATATGCGCCAATCCTGTGCGTCCCAACCTAGCGATTCATCATGAAGCAACCTCCGTCTGGCGTTTTGTTCGGTGGAATCAAGTCTCTGGACAATATAACAATCCAATATTTCACCCAGCACATAGACCGACTGTTGAACAAGTCTTGACAGATCTTCAAGCGAATTCTTCGAGTAGTCTCAGTGTCGGCAGGAGCGGTCTCGGTGTCAGCTGGAGCATTCCATTCAGCCACCAAAAATTTTCTTTAAGCAGATCTTCAACGCGGTGACTTTAGTAAGACAAACTAATCCATATAAATCCTTCTCACAATACTTTGGCAAAATTATGATAGGCTGACACAGAAATGATATGGGTGTTGCTGATGGCACTGGCAGCCAGTTTCAGCAACCATGCATGGACTGAAGGCGGCGTCGACTTGACAACCGGTACTCTATACCCGCAGACATAAGACTTACTATCCATGCTGTAAACTTGGAAGCAGATGAAGCGCTTCTTATGAGCGAGTCGTTTCCAGTTCCCAACAACCCAAAAGCCACATTTGACGATGACACCGGCCCAGGCGATCGTCTCAAGGTGGCTTATAGCTCTACAACAATCACCAAAGGCTGTGGCTGTGACGTCGCCTTTGCAACTGGCATGTACACAAAAATCGGACACATCGTCAGTGCGTTACAAGGAGAAGACTTGACGGGCAAGGGTGTCGAGTGGGAGCCTCGGGCCGCTCAACCCGAATCTGTGGCCAAGATGTGGTCAAAGGCTACGATGGGCTGGCTGAGCAATTTCCCTGGTCTTACTGTTGGTACTCCGCTGCAAAAGAAACTTGTGCAGTTATTCCTGTGGCTCCTCGCCTTTGCAATTGTCTGTGTAAGTATCGTGCTTGGGGCCAACAATTTCGATACAAGTTGATACACACGAAGACGTCACTTTATATACTATCACAACGACTGTGGTCATATTCCTATTTCGTTGTTACTGGTCCTAACAGTGACCATGACAATTGGCACTAGGAATATGCTTGAGATGCTGTCGCCGTTCGTAATCTATCCAGTTTGGAGGCTTTGGATGGAATGGCAAGTAAGTGCCATGCAATTACTCTCAACTTTTGCTACGGACACTAATCGTTAGTCGTAGACATCTAGTCTGGCAAAACTGAGGCAACCGCTCAAGACCGAATGATTGCATACAAAGCATGGCTTCCGGAACATAGAACCAGTCTGTCGATACGACCAATGAAGTACACAACCCAAGCGTCGGCCAAGTATCATTCAGCTCCATGCAACCGAGAGACGTAAATGCAATCGAAAAGCAGCCATCAGAATAACAGATTAATCCACTTGAAGACGTTAGCAAGAGGGATTTTCGGCAAACTTACTTGAGCATTGCCTCACTCGCCAACTTGGCCACGGTCGAAGAGGAAAAGAGTGATGCGGCGCAACCAAACCAACGGACAGCTCGTGCGCTCCAACTGAAATTGCTATTGAGGTATTCCCATCTCGTTCCGGTCTCAATCATTTAAAGCTATCACAAAGACCTGGAGCAGAATGGAGCCATATTGGAGAGTTTCCGTTTGATTCTGAAGTCAAAAAAGATATCGACCTTTTTTTCTTGGATACAACTACACAGGAAAAACAAATTTCCACAAAGGTATAGAAACTTGTAAATGAAGTAAAGCTATAGGTTGTATAACTGATATCATATAATAGATGCGGTAGGCGTGATAGAGATATGCGACCGCTTCGCCTCAATGGACGAAACCAAGACCCTGGACAGCGTCATGAAAGTCACCATCTTAGAAAACATAAAAGCTATAGCAACTGGAGGACTTCGTGCCCTCGCACTTGATCATAAACTTGACAGCCGATTAGTCTCGGCATCCAATTTCACAGATGGAATTGACCCCCTCGCGAACCTTTCGAGCGTGATCTTGTCTTTCACGGCGTCATAGGAGTCTACGATCCTCCTCGTCCTGAGTTTAATGGAAATGTCCACATGTTTCAAGGCGTCGATATTGTCGCTCATATGCTTACAGGTGACCACTCGTAGACGGCTCGTGCTACTCCCACAGACGTGTATATCCTTCCTTCATCAGAGAAGATACGCATACCCCCTGCCGAGTTGCTCGTACTACTAAAGGCGATGGCTCAAGAGTTTGATGCCCTGAGCAATGACCAGATTGATGCTCTTCCTCAACTACCTCTAGTAGTTACTAGGTGTGCTCTCAGCATAAGAGTTCGAAGGATTTGAGGCCCTCCATAGACGTAACCGCTACGTTACCATGACTGGGCGATGGTGTCAACGACAGTCCAATTTTTAAGCGCGCAGACATTGGCATCGCCATGGAGTCAGGCTCAGACGTCGCCAAAAAGTCATCTGCTATCATCCTAACCGACGACAACTTCATTTCAATTCTCAATGCCATTGAAGAGGCCCCCGGATATTCGACACCATCCGGAGATTTGTTCTTCATGTACAAGCAGCCAACATCGGCTTCGTCATCTCTCTTCTCGCTGGCCTAACTTACAAGGACAACACAGCTATCTCCGTGTTTCTATCAACTCCCGTCGAGACCATCCGGATGCTTCCCGGCACTGGTGCCTTTAGCGAGTCAGGTCTTGGATTTGAAACTGCCGTCCCAGACATTCTCAACCGCCTTCCCCGAGACGTAAAGTTCACCCCTACCTTGCCACAGATCAACATGTCAACTGAAACCCCAGCTAACAGTCGTTTGCCACACAGCTCCGCTACGGCATCTTCACTCCCGAGTTTATGCTCGATATGGTCGGCTACGGGCCGGTTCCGTGCTTGGCTCTTTCACCACCGTCATCTTCGGCTTTGGCGACGGCAGTTTGGGCCTCAACTGCAACAACGCCTGTTCATTCTTGTGCCACGACGTCTTCGGTACCCTCGCAACGGTCTACACCGCGATGATGTGGATCTTCCTGCTCTTCTCGGGGGAACAGATAGATTTCCGCGGCCCTTTTTCGATATGCACCAGAGGGTCCGCGCGTGGGGGAGACGTCCTCTGTGGGGAAACTGGTTTCTATTCTTTGCCATTACGGTTGTCTTCTTCATGATATTTCCGGCGCTGTACATCCCGCGGCTGAACGCAATCGACTTCATGCATACGGGGAGTGACTGGGAGTGGGGGTTTGTGTTTGTCGCCGTCATTGCGTTTGTTGTCGGAGCCGAGGCTTGGAAGCGGACAAAGAGAATCTATCTCCGGAGGTCACAGGGACCAACCTCGACAAACGGAGATGCAGTTGTGCGAGTGTTGGTTCTTAGGTGGTTTCCTTAGGGGATTTTTGCGAGAAAGTGCAACGTTGTATTAACCAGTAAATTTGTTCCTTTTGTCCTCTACAGCGGATAAGCTACATAATATGTAGAAGTTGTGAACTATCATTGGATGTATATATTAGGAATCCTCTTGGCACAAATGGCGAGATTCTGATCTCCGTTTTCGTCCGCTTTGCACGTTGTCCCAGTCAAGAAAGGCATTGGCTGGATCCCAGGAGCGGCCATCTTTCCATAGCCTTTCATAAAAACCCCATTCACAGTCCCCCAGAGCTGCATCTCGACCTCGATCTGACTGCAGGGGTCGGATCCTTTCTGCCGTTAAGGATTCGCGGTGACTCGTATTGTGCATCCGGTACCCTAGAGGAAGCAGATAAGAAAATAAGCTCTGATCTTAGCCCGTGGCATGATCATCAAGCACAATGCTCGAACAAGCACAGTGGACCCGGGAGAGTTGTCTTTAAACACTGTGGAGTAAAGCCCCTTCGTTATACCTACTGCGACTCCGTACACTTGTCAGTATTAGGAGATGAATCACGCGTCCTGAAGTGTTGTCATGTCTCACTCCTAGGGGACGAAACATTTGAAAGTGAGCATGGTACAGGCAAGGTTCAGGGTCGGCGTTAAGACGGCATGAAGCATCGCATCTCTCATCCATGCCTCGCCCTCGCCAAAAAGGAACTTGGCCAAGCTTTCAACAGACAGCACTTGGCTAGGAGGATTGCCGCGGCATGAGAGTTGGTCGCAGGGTGATGTCGGAATGCTACAGTGACGGCGCCTCACGAAACACTCTTGACGTCTTCTCTAATTGAATACGCACCACAACAGACAGACGAGATGACTTCGCTGGCACAGAGACCAGCTCATCGGCTACTCGGCCACCCGCCAAGACATGCAATGGAGTCATGCACTTATCTTTGGCGTCGCTATCTCTTCAGGGTCGCATTGTCACATGGCGGGTATCTAGCCGCAGAGCTTCATGTGATGGGGTGCTAGATATGTACGAAGCATGTACACGCATGCCTGTACATCCAGCTAATTGCATGAAATCAGCCGCCACTACTTTCTCACTGTATGCCTTTTAAAAGGGAAAAAGGATAGAGCAGGAATGTCCTCACGGATCTCATATGTCGGGCTGCGAAATGATTCCAACCCCTCCTCTCAGTTTCACTTTTGGCGGTATATTCACCGCAACTCAATCATGCCCATCTCAACTGAGCATCGCTCCGCTTTCTGCATGTTGTGTCTGTTGGATTCGAGTCATGACTTTGACATGGATGCCGCATAGCTGTACCAGCTTGTTTCGATCCTAGTGGATTGAGCTGAAGTGAAGATTCCGCCTGGGCAGCATATACTTGTAGTATACCTATGCTTGAATCCTTGCTCAATAGTCCCAAATAAACAGTTTGACAACAAGCGCATAGAATGACAAAAATCATTCCCCGACAATGCACAGTGCATGCCAAACAGGTACAGTGGCTGCAACTCCACCTCAAGGAGAGCAATAGAATAAAACGGTTCGCCCTTTTTGAGGTTATCCGTTCGTCAAAAGAAAGGCACGTCTTATACCCTTTTAGGCAGCCTGTGCCGACCGTTTTCTCCAGCCCTGGGCGGCCAGTTATGCCTTGCAATGGGTGCTCTGGACAAGTAGTCTCCCCACTTGGTGGCAGATGAAGGGCTTTAGACTCGCCTCAGCTAGCTGGATCTGTCAAAGTACATGTCCGGACACACGGCCGCCACTCGATACGGGCTATGGTTTCCTTTTTCTCAAGCAGAGCTAGGCCAACTTTCAGTGTGGCTCTGCCCACGAGACCGAGAGGGCGGAGCTTTGCTGATGCCTTCCTACTGATAGATGGAGAAGGCGCTCTGCTCCCGGATATGTATGATGAATGCCGCAGAGTGCTTGGCAGAGAGATCTTTTGGAGCCCAAACCGCTGTATGTCGGTACTTGTGAGCGAAACCGGACGCTCTCGGCCGGGCCGTAGATGACGAGGAAGAAAAGGGAACATCTTGGCAGTCCATGATCTCCTTCAAGGACCAGGCGAGGCCCATAATTTTGAGCGGAGTTTTCTTTGGCAACTCTGAAGGAAGATGTATCCACATCTCAACAAGGTTTTGAGAACAAAGCACAGGGGTGAAAGGGTGTAGACTAAACGAATCACAAACGAATTGCAGGGCGTGTAAAGTACAAGGAGGGGGTCGATGATGATCATGGAGAACAGCCAGGACCAGGGTCTTCCAACTGTACTTTAACGGCGGGTCTGGCCTTTCCCTGAAAGAGGCCTTGTCCTAGACGAACGCGTGTCTTTGGCCATTCGGGTCCCGCCTCAGGGCTCCATGGCTCCCCAATTCTGGCCACTTGATTTCCTCCCAATAGCTTGGTTGTGATCGCCCGGGCATGGGTTTTTAGCGGAGAGCGCTGGGGCAAAAGTCCCCTCATTGCGGAATAGTCCCTTTTACCCGTCCCAAACAACCACAATGGCCCTCTCGTTCCTCCGGAGCATGTCCTTGCAGCACTAGGAAATGGCTGCCCCCCTGCATGGCGGCGGGTTGAGAAGGATGAGCCGTAGCGTGCCAATTTCACAAGTAAGAAGTACAGGCACGTTCTGATGTCTCTGGTACAAAGATGAAGGCGATGAGGTTTTGATAGGATGTTGGCCGGGGTTTGCTTGGGGCCAGACTTGAGGCTTTGAGGGCAGGGATTTGAGGACGACGGGGACCGGGGAAACTGTGCCGAACAGGGGTAAAGCAAGACAGGCCAGGGTTAGCCAGGGCGTAGCTTGACGTCGGTGTAGGGGTGCGGGTCTTTTCCCACATCTTCTTTACTGGCTTCATGTCTGAAGGGTCTTGCTCCGTAATATCTGTAGCTTTGACATGGGAGCCATTGAAAGCAAACTCCCCTGTTCATTCATTGTCTGGCCGCGGAGTTGAGCAGAACCAGGGGAGGCGTGTCATTGTGGCAAGACTTTGAGCCATGATGATGATTCTCAAAAATCTGCTTTTCTCGTCGGAGAGAAGGCCGGAGAAGCATGACGAACGGATATCTGTTTCGATTCCGGCCGAGCGTTTGAGCCTGCAATCAACCGATGAATCAATTGGTGCCAATACCGTATCAGCACTGTCCTCTACATGCCGAATCCCGAAGCCAGCATACTGTGCTGTACTCGTACAATTCAATGCGACACAAGCAGTTTAATGCTTGGCAGGACTGATGCCTCTGGGCCCCATGTCGGCCCGACGAACTGGAAAACGGTTGAGCAACCTGAGCGGTTGGCTTATGGCGGGTACAGCACTGCACCGTACACCGTATAAGCAAGACAATACGCAGAATACAACGGTAATAAAGCGCACTGCTGCTGTTGGGAGAGCATTGCATTGGCGAGAGGCGAGAGGCGAGATGCGACATACGAAATACGTTGCCGCCTGGATTGTTAGAGATGACGGCATTTGATGTCGGTTATCCCACTTACTAATCGCTGCAGTACCTATGTACATACGACGATAAGCTATTCCGGCCTCAGGCATAGGTACGCTATCGATAGACGACCTGCACCTTTCACGTATTTCTCGTATAGTATAGAAACTTGCTGATGTGATGGCTTCATCCGTCGGTCATGGGCTTAACATGACAGGAGCCAGTTCCGACGGCGACAGGGCACAGGCGCATCTTGCGTGCAGAATGCCACCGTTTTCCCGTCTCGCCGTTTCCATTCTCCATTTGCCGTTCCCGGCTGAGCGGTTCAGTCGCACCCCCTCTCGCATTGACAGAGCAGACGACGTGCTAAGGCAGATTTAGGTACATGCTCCGCAGGGCTATTTCATAGCGCGGCTCCAAGTACCGCCCCGACCGGCGAAGCGACTCGGGAGCCGCCGGCAACCACCGTTTGCTCCCATGAACTGCTGCTTAGCTCGGGCAAAGACTCGCGGCTGGGCTATTTTGTGCGAAGGGGGTGCTAGCGGCAGCAAACTAGCGTTACAGAGCGTCAGTTTTGATTGCTGTCTTGGTGGTTGAGATCGATCCTTGTTCCGCCCTGCTGATGTCTCGATTACTTATACGCCTGATCCATTGCAGCCGAGGAATCGTTTCCACAAGTTACAAGTTAATCAAAGAAGGCGTACGGAGTACGGAGTTCTATATGTCTCCTTTTGCGACCAAGGCGAACCAATGGGCTTTGCTTGGTATAATGCCGAAGGAATTCTGTCCACGTTGCTCACTCGAGGTAGTAAAGGAGGAGGCAGCAGAGGATGTACAACTGCCGTATCGCTTGGAAAGAACAAAGAGCAGAGCTCAACTGGCGGCCTGGAATGCACAGATGTCGGAGTTCGTACCCGACGGAGTTGATGATCCTCGACCACAGAGTCCGGGGGGCAGACAAATTTCAAACTCCGGGTCTCTGGGCACTTCGCCGATTATCCACAATTTGCGGCTCATGTTTTTGAGTCAAAAGTCAAACCATGTAAGCGTTAGTCTCAAAGAAAAACTAGTCGAGCCCCAGAATCTGTGCTAACACCTCAAGATGAAGCCCGAGAACAAGAAATACTAATTGCAATTGGAAAAAAATGGAGAAGAATGCCACGAGGATTCACGCGCGGCCCGCCGAGCGAGCACCGTCAGCACCGGGGCAAATCACCGTTTCTCCATCTTTGGCTTGCTAACTCGTCCTTGCTTTGGGAAAGGGGGCGTGTGATAATTCCGCTGTCTTGCGCGCTTGACCTGATGGAGCTCTGGTTTAGGGCTGCATGGGTAAACGGCTGGGAAGGGGATGAGTCAATAAAGATCTTCAGCTAAGAAAACGAGAAGAGAGCGAGAGGAGGACAAACGAGCGCCCGCACAGAAGAGACGATGCGATGTGTCAGACGCTTTTTTCCTTGTCCGCCCCTGCTAGCTGTCTGTTTTGCAGCTGGAATTACCACTTTGAGAGCGGCGATGATGATGGCGGTTCGTGATTCGACGCTTCGTATTTTCACACAAAAAAGCTATTACTGAGCAGACCAGACACCCGGCCAGCATCGACGAAGCTGGAGAAGGCGCGCCCAAATACACCGCTGACTAAAGACATCAAGGACTGCAGTGTAATATCCGAATGATTCAGGTGGAATGCAATGCTATAAAGATGGACAACAGGGGGGGCTGTCATTTCAGGGCTGAGGTTGAGGGGGGGATCGTTCGTTCCAAACTCCTGGGCATAACCGGAGATGGGTAACGTGTGCGGGACTGATCACCAATCGCCCTGCGCCTAAATCCTGAGTTCTACTTTTTAACTCTATACGAATAGGTTGGGTCCTTGGTTTTCTTCTTCCTCTTTCACCCCCGTCCCTTTCTCAGCTCGGATGGGAGGGGGGCGATCTTCCATGTCCAAGAAGGCACCACGATGACTGCACCGCATAAGGGATGACGCCGACATGCGACCGCCTCTGAATGAAGTGATTTGGTGACGGCACCAGGCGATTCAGCCGCACTCGATTGTCTCAGTCGGTGGCTCTATTGCCATCGGATCACGCTCCATATCGGGCCATCGGACTAGTACCAATATGCAGCGAAAATCCATCGAGAAAGGCGTCAAGCGTTCAGGGCCTTCAGGCACACACCCTTGGTGCCGAGCACGACTGCCGGGTGTCTTTTGAGAAGAGCTGAACAATACGCGAAATCAGCGCTGTCCTCGGAGGACGCAGAAACGTGCCGCCGTGAATCTAACGAGCCATCCTATCCTGGCCTGCCTGGGAGCACCGTATTAAATGCCAAGTTCTGGACTTAGCTCGCCCTCCTCCATGGCGCTACCAGCCTGACGGTACGCCAGCATCCTCATCTAAACCTAAAACTGTCCCATCAATCTCGCTGGCACCACGTGCGAGACAGGCCCAAGCAGTCCGTCTCCGCGCCCCGCGACAACTCAGACGCCATTCGAGCTTCAAGGCGGTGTTCGAGTCAACGCCTCCTCGTGACTGGCGCGACCCTGATTCATGGGACAATCACGACTTCTAGAAGTTCCGTCAGTTCCGGATGCGCGGCCTAGCTTTTGCGCCGGCGCGATCTCTAGTCGTTCGGTTCGGAGCAAGTTTACTAAGCGGCGCAGCTGGTGATGCGCCTTTGGAGGAGAGCTAGATTTGCGCGGACGAGTAGGTACGAGTACAAAGCAAAGCAGTCCAGAAGGCACACAACGTATTGTACCGTACTGGACGGGCCAGGACGTGTGGTGAAGCGAGACAAGCGACAGCAAGGGGGAGAGAGTCTCGAAAAAGGCGGCAGATGCAACCAGGCGGCACGCTCCGGGCTAGACTGGGCGTCGCTGTGAAGCAGCGATTATTAATAGCCACCAGGAGGGTGACAGTTCGCATTTTCTAGCCGTCTTGATGAATGGATCCAACCGCAGGAAGCAGTTGCCGGAATCAGCAACAGGAAAGGATGAGCCGGCTCCGGAAGGGAATCCCTTGACACCGGGCGTCCGTGATGCTAGTCGTGGTCGTATTACCAACTACCACTACGAGTACTAGCATGTGCCACCACGCAGCCGTGCCAACAGCATCTCGACTCGCAGGAGATCCGAAGTTGCGAGCCTCTCTATTCGCCCGATGTGGCCTGATTTTTTGGTGTCGCTTCCTTTCTTTTTGTGCTTGGTCCTTTTTTCATCCAATTAACCCAGATTATCCTGCCGCTCCCTGGATGTGATTCGCCCCTTGTGCGTGCGTACGGCTGAAGTGACGCTTGCCTAGTCCCGCATCGATAGCCTACTCTTTCGTCGCATTACAACCACATCTCGCCGTCCATCCATCCATCCCATTTTCATTAGCCCAAGCACTTGAGCAATCCCGAGACCTCCTTTGGCGCCAACGCATGCACTCTGTCGATCTAAGGCGTAGCGCCTATCCGTGTCGCACATCAAAACTGGAGTCGTCTCGACCCCCCTCCCTTGCGTGCCATTGGCGGTTGGTTTTCGCATTTGCTTTCCTTTTTTGTCCTTTGGGCTTTGTTGGTGGAATATTGTGATATTGCTTGGCTCACAAACCGTAAAGCAAAACACCTCCTTACATCTCACAGACGGCCTAGAACTCGCAAACTAACAAGCCGCACGAGCAGCGCCAAGTCGGACATAATACAACGCCGGCGCCCTTTTGCCTCCCTTTCATCGGGGACTTTCCTAAGGTTGCTCGTCTGATAATGTACGGTAATATATCTGCAAGGCCAACAGCAGCATTAATGCGGATATTTGTCCGCACCCCCGAAGACAAATAGAGTTGCATCACAGCGTTACGATACGTATTAAATCATCAACTTGCTGCTGCAAACAACTAACAGCAATTCGGTGATAACACCCCGTTTAGTTCCCTTCTCAAGCGGGCCTAGCCCATCTGTCAGCTTCAACGCCGCACCATCTAACCAACTAACGATTCGGCCTTTAAACATAACTTGTATAAGTAAGCTGATAGGCGTTGGATAGCAGGCACGCCGGCAAATGCAGCAGCCAAATTGAGAACCACCTTTCAAGCCGAAGGGCTGCGCAGATGTACATACTCGCTCCTCCTTGTAGCGAGTTAGACTACTATATATTACGGAGTGGTAGTGGCGGTCGGAGTTCCGCCTCCTGGCTCTCTCCCCCCGCACACGGGTTTTACGCCGGTTGGTTTTGGGGCTTGTCGTCAAAGTTGACGGATTCGAACTCGGCTGGCTTGCCTCCGGCTGTCTTTTGCGCTCTGGCCTCTCTCTCCTTTGCTCGCTTGGAACGCCTTTATTCTCCTCAGCTTTCTGCCTGCTGCCAGGCAAACTCGATGCCGCTAATTGTTCGTACAAGACGCAGTAGTACGTTGAGAAAAAACGGGGTAATGCTCCGTAGCCCATGGCTAGTCGTGGGCAGGCAATATAAACAACCAGCTGATGGAGTGCTGCTAAGTTTCCTTAGTAATGCATTAGGTAAGATTGTGCTAAAAAGCCATCGTGTTATCGTTGGGGCTGCAAATCCCCCGTTGGACTGGACCTCCTTCAATGGTGGGATCTCGATGACCTCTCTCTCTTTCTCCTAGGCTAAAAAGGCTTCACGGCAAAAGCAAAGCCCAGAGTCGAGATCATCGCCCTCTCTGCCACCCCTCCCCCCTGGATATGCAGATCAGCGGTTTACGAACAATCGGGGAGCCTGAATCTCTGGATCCGCCTGCGGGCAAGGGGGGAGAGACCCCGTCCAAGGCAAGGCGCCACCCCATGCAAATCTCTCTGCGTGCTTGCTTTTCGCTTTCTCCCCTCCAAGCCGCGCCCGCGCGGTTATTTCCTCGTTCGGAATGGTCGGGATCCCGATTTCCCTTCTCGCCTCTTCGCGAAAATCAGCAAGTTTGTGCGTTACAGGTGTTGGGCCCTTCTGCCTCTTTTTTGAACCACACCCAATAATCCTCCCCTATCGCGAAGGATTTCCTGACCCCTCTTTCACTGTAACTTTTGGATGCCTTTTCGTTTTTTTGCTTTTTGAACTTCTCGTAGCTGCGTCTCCCAGTGCTGCACTGCTTCGCAAGCTTTCGTCTGTAGGATTCATCGTAAATTAAAGCCCCCTCCCAACGGCTCTAGCATAAGCCTTACGAATCACGAACTCGAGCAACAAAGAGAAATTAAGCTTTTTAACTTTGGCCGTTTAAAAACAGCAAACTACAGCAACACGTATCTCTCCAATTTGTCATCCCCCAAAACGCCGTCATTCAAACCCCCCAGTCGCCGGAGCTGAACCCGTCTTTCTGGCGGCGCTCGGCGTTCGGCTCTTTCCATGGGACAAAAATAACAAGCCAATAGTCTCTCACCAATAGAACACCGGCCATGGAAAAAGCCGAGTTCACTCTCCTTCTTCGTTTCCCTCATTATCGTACAGTAGCATTGTTCGTTCATCATGCAGCATTTGTAGTAATAATCCCCATGAAGTTAGCAAAAACCCCCGTGGCTTGTCTTGTCTTTCCAAGTCTGAATTGCCGAATGATGTCTCGGCAGACGCAAAAAAAGGCGGCTGCCAGGCTGGGCTATTACAAGGCAACGGCATGCAGCTATTACTAACAAAACGAACAAAAAAGAAACCAACATGCAAACTATTCCCTACTTGTAGATATTTTACAAATACATGTATTCGTCTTTCCACCCCCAAAGCAGAAAGAAGAGCGTGAACAACAAAAAAGTTGTTGCAATTCAGACGTTTTGCCGCCTTCGGAAGCCCGCGTTTCAAGTGCCGTCGCACGGTCCAATGGATTTCCGGCTGGGTTTCTTTCTTCTCATCGTTTTTCGTTTTTTCTATTATTCCCTTCTTATTCCGTGTCACTTATGATTATCCTCTTTACATACTGCAGGCCCCCCCTCCCCGCCCTCCTTGGCACGTCCGGGGGTAGGGCAGACAGGCAGTTTTAAAAAAGAAAGGATAAGAAAATAAAAAGGGATCAACATGGGGAAACAATCTTGGTGGAACAGTCTTTCGGGGCCCCCTCGCGTAAAAAGCCGATGCATGTACTACCTTACCCTTCGTCAGTCACAGGGCCCCCGGGGATGGTAGCTGGTGCTTTGGCCGTCTCACCACAGGAAAGGAAAAAAGGCGAAGGAAGATCTTCGCAGGTGGGGATCCCTTTTTCGGGGGATACCCAACCGTTGTGAGCGTTTCGTCGACACACCAAAATTCCGGCTTGTCTTTCCCGCGGGGAGATAATGTGAGACATGGCTGGGGGGTACAAGCCAGGAACAGAGGAAGCAAAAGCAACCTCACGTCAACCAGGGGTAGAAGAACAAAGCAAATCTCAAGTCACTTGTCTCAAGAAGAACAATAGCATCACTTTTTAAGTTGAAAATGAATATGAATTTGTCTCCAGCGAGATTGATTGTGCATCTCTATGTACATGTAGCTATCTTCTTTTTTTGTTCAATAGTTCCGCCTCCCGGTTTCCCTTGCCCGTATAAAACGCCATACTGATGCACTGCTCTGCATTGTTTGCCTGAGCATTTCCAATGTCCCATAGACATAATACAAACTGGTTCCATAGGACGCGTTGATGCCCTCCTAGGATAGCCAAAAAATCCCTTATTTCATGACACGTCCGAATGTAACAAGACAAAAGTTGGATGGATACTTTCCTCCGACGCCATGCGTTCCCAAAAAGACAAAAGAAAATAAAAGAAGAAGTCCTCCCAAAGACTGAAAGACTTCGCCAGTGTGACCATTTTGGCATCTCGTGTGCCTTCTAATTCCCTAGCTCCCTTGATAGTGTGGATGCTCTTGATCCAATTTCCCACATAATAAATTGTGTGTTGAAGAAGAAAAATGAAGAGGAAAAGGGTAGTCATCATGCGTTGATAATGACTAAATTTCCGATAAGCCCAGACGCTTAGGAGAGAAGAATAGGTCCCTTCCCTACGTCAAAGCCGTGGCAGCCTCGCTCGTGTCGCTTCATATTGCTTCGAACACTAAAGGCCTTGCCGCATCCAGTGTGAGGGCACTTGAAGGGCTTCTCGCCAGTGTGCGAGTGGCTGTGGATGCGCAGGCTGCTGGGCCGGCTGAAAGCCTTATTACAAGTTTGGCAGATGTATCGATCTTGAGTGGGAGGGAATGGGATCCCGTTGGACGGGTTGAGATAATGGTGGTGTTGCCAGACATAGCCACCAGAGGGTGTTACGCTGAGGGGGCTAGGCGGCGGTGGGAATGACTGGGGCAGCGCACGCTGATACTGAAGACCAGGCACCTGAGCAGGAGAAGGCGGTGGTAGGTTCTGCACGGGATAGTAGCTGCCGACAGGAGACTGGGCAGATGCCATTGAAGGCTGCTGGGCAACCGATGTTGAGATGGTAGGCCGAGAGGCGGCCATTCGATGACGGTGTGCATCATGGGCCTCTACAGGGGGGGTTGTCTCGTAATAGTGGCTGTGAGGAGCATGGGAGATGCTGCTAGGCTTGCTTGATGGAGAGCGTCGAATGTCAAAAGAGGCATCTGTGGACATGGGCGGTGTGGGTGGCAGTGTCCTGTGTCGTGAAGCCGGGCGGCTCTCAGTCTTGACATATGGTCTGGGAGAGTTGTGCTGTGATTTGTATGACGCCTCACTCGCCAGTGAGCCTGCGTCGGCTAGGCCCAGCAGGTTGGAGATAGAGGGCAATGAGCACTTTGGCTCGTCCATGGGGGGCGATGGAGGCGGCCGGTAATATCCAGAGTATTGTGTGCCATAGGGAGGAGATTGGAATGATGAGACCAACGCCATTGTATGTGTCGTTGGAAGAGGCGAGAGGGAAGAAGAGTCAGAAGGTATGTGGGAGACTCGGATGTGAATGTCGACAGTCGAGAGAAGAAGTGGTTCGTGAGTTTATCGACAGTGGGTTTGATGATATGTTGGTTGGATAGCAAGTAGAGATGCACCAAAGGATCCGTCGTCAAATCGTCGATTCGAAAGAAACCAGACGGCTTGAGGCAAGATGGGGGCTGGAGATGGTATAAGTATGTAATTTGAGCCGCTACAAGAACCAGAGCGAGCGGTTTGGGTGTGGAACGGCATATCAGATCTGTCTTCCGTAGACATTTAAGTATCCCACACGACAGGCTAGGAAGTGCCCCCGGCCTTTGGAACATCGCAGATATTAGGAGTGGGCCACCCCCCCTCCCCTGGTCAGAGAGCCATCATTCCCAAGAAAAGTCTGGGACCAAAAATCAATAAGTTCGGTCCTCTAACCCTACCAGGGGAGGGCTTGAATAACGGGGTGGAAACGGGCGTCCAGGTTCACTAAGAAGGGGGTGTATGGAGGATGACATTGTGAAGCGCAGGCTTTCGGAATTGGAGGCTCCTGGCACTGTACCTGCTCCAAGGGCGGGAACAAGCTAGGTCAAGGGAGAGAGGAGGGGAGTGTCAGTAGCATCGCCGAAGGGGTGTGTGTTGTAGCATGAGGCGTGTGCCAGGTGGGGGCCTATTTTGGTCGCTCTCCTTGACCGGGACCGCGGATAGAGATCGTAGGCGTGGGTGGTATTGCATAGTGGTGGCAGAACGGAGCTCCAGGGATTGTCATCAGGGATCATTGTGTGGTCCAGGTCGTGGGAGAGGGTGGGTCGGTGGCCTGGACATAACGGAGAGAAAACGTGAGCGACGTGAGCGACGTGAGCGACGAGCAACGAGCAACGAGCAACGAGCAACGAGCGCCGAAGATCCCTGGCCGCTAGACCACCGTCCACCTTGTTTGGGCAATTTCTTCTTTCTCAGCTTCTGTCCGTAACAGCCGCGCACCAAGCGGTACGCAGCCGCGGACATGTCCTTTCTCATCTCTCGTCTCTCTTTCTCTTGGTCTTGTTGCGGCTGCCGGCCTTGCAAAGGGGAACAGAAGCGTATCAATGCGAAACCCCGAGCGCCCACCTCTTGGTTGCGAGATGCATCAACCATGGCGGCCGCAGCCAGCTAAGACTTGCCTCGCATACATCTAGTTTGTTAGCATGCATTTCCCTTTGCAGTAGGAGTACTAGTCAAGGCGTCGTAACATTTCTATTCGCCCGCAGCTCAGAAACTGCAAAGGGGAGGTTGATTGAGGCGCTCCGAGAAACCGCCCCGCGTCGGAAAATCTCCCCCTTTGGAGCTACCTAGCACAACTTGAGACGATCTACGACTCGCGGACCGTGGATCAGAGCCCGTAGTTCAATAGAATCATCGAAGCTGATGATTTAATGCTCGGCGGCCGCGATCAAGGTGACACGAAAGAACCAAGAAAGACCTGACTAGTAATAACGGCGCTCCTTGGATTAATGCGGCCAAATTCGTCATTAGAGCGTCACGCCGACCGTCAATCTCGATCCATTACAATACGAAACTCTGGGAAAAAGACGGTCTGCATAGGGGAAGCGATGCTTCTCTGATACCGCAGATCTTCGGTCAATGGATGCTCGTGCCTTTGCTTCTGTAAGGAATTCTTGGAATCAAGGCTCTCGCCTTTTTTTTTCATCCTCCTGCTCTTTTCCACACATACTCGATCCAGGCTCAAGATGCGAGGGGGATTTTCCCTTCGGTGAAGTCTGGCTGCTGCGGTGGCGGTCCGAGAATGACATCGGCAAACTTTCTTCGTGGAGCTCATGGCCGCGCCGGCGTTATCTGGAGCACAGCAGCATGGCTAGCTCCGTTCTAGGCCTTTCCCATGGAATTGGCCGCTAACAAACAGTCAATGCTAATGTCGTTGGCTTTCGAGCGGGCGAGCATCACCTCGTGGCGTGGCGTCCAGTCCGGAGTGCGCCTCGCTGCCATGGGACAGGCTAATTAATGATCGTCGTGCTAGTTGAGGCCCAGGGAGCAGCCAGTAGATTTTCATCGGGTTGCGTGATTCTCCCAGCTAGACATGGGAGATGCAGGCGCCACTGGTTGAGACCCTTGTTCTGCTAGCATGAGCACCAAGGTGTGTCATGATCTGCCAGTATCAAGGAGGGCTCATGGGGCCGGGGTTAATTTGTCTCTTGTTTCCAGCGGGCTTGAGCTTCTCGCCGCGGGCCTGCACCCTTTTGTCGCGTGAATCCTTCTTCTTGCGCCTCCAATACGCTATCAAAGGGCTGATGCTACAGTACATGCGTCGTCATAACTAGGTTGCTTCCCTTGCTCGTCGAGTCGGTCGGGGTGCAGTTCGACTGTTAATGCATGCCAGCACCCGGAAGACTGCAAAACGGCAAAAAGCCACAGCTTTCAGTTAAACTTACCTTCTCTTTGTTTGTGCAACAACTAAGCTCCGTATTCAGTCCGGTATACGAGTCTGCGATGCTGGTGTATCGGTGTATCGAGTGTGTGCTTATACGGAGCGGCAACAGCTTGTCAGCTCCTCAACTACCAGCTAGCCATCTTCTTCCAGCGCGGGCCTCAAGCTCTCTCTCTGCGCTCACTGTTCCGTATGGGGTAGTAGATGGCGATAGCCCCCCCGCTAGAAGAAGAAAGAAAACCATGCAGCTTCCTCAAGCAGGGCTTCTGAAATTCCGTCGATCGTATTTCCCAAGTGTCGCACCCTTGACCAGGGGGTGAGTTCTCACAGTCATCACTTATTACGGGTCATTCCAAATTGCTAAGACACGCTGCGTGGAGCACATTTGGGCCACTGAAATGATCTGTCAAGATATTCTGGAAGGTTTTTTAAGAACCTGCCCCTCAAGCATGGAGTAGCGCAGTCGTATCTGTGTACTTTGTCAAAGCAGCTCATCAAAACGCCGGCCAACAGGAAGGAGAAAAAGAGGATACTGTAGAACGTACACACAGGGCTTATCCAAGCTGCTTCCGTCAGCTCGTACAATCCATTTCCTTCACGCAATCAAAGACTTGAGCCAACGACCAACAGCACGTAGGTGCCAACTTGATTCTGCTGTGATCACCACGGTTAAATGCAGTCCTGCGTCATGGATCTTAAACAGGCTCGCAGCCCATGCTTAACCAGCCCGCAGCCCTTGGAGAGGTCATTTACTCTGTAAATTAGCAGAGCCGCCGCCCATTCGTCGATTTCTAATCGCTTGTGGTATTTGGCCGAGAAGGTTGAAAAGCTTCTTGTAGCCGCCGTCGTACCTGACGCACTCCGTATTGTGCTCCGTACTCCGCACCAACTCCGCAAATCTGGCACACTCCAATGAAGAGTTGCTTAGTTGCTCTAGGAGCTTTTAGTCTACCGGCAATGTGGTGAAACAATGGCTGGAGAGAGCGCCCAGGTTCATGCTGCCCAAGATAGAGCAACGTCCGGTATTCTGTGGTAATTCCTATCGATATACTGAAAGACCGGGGAGTTGACGCTTAAAAATTAAAAATATGGCTTGCTCCCCGGCTGATTTGCCTCGGCCCGCAAGCACCGCGGAAGCACACAGCCTGGACCACAAGGAACTGATAACTGATCACCATCAAGTTTAGGCTTGAGGCATCGCTCCACTCCATCTGCCAATGATTGCTATCGCAATTTAGCAAGGCTGCACCGAGTGATCGTCGTCGATGATACGGTGGAACGCCAAAAGCATGTATGAACGACGGTCACGAAGCAGCGGCGTAACAGGCAGGAGGAGGATATGAGCCGTTCCAGAAGATCTGCCTCCATGACGACTGAATAGGCCCCTGATGAGCTAGTGCCGGGGTAGACTTCCAGAATAGTTTAGGGGGCAGTGGTTGGTTGCGCTGATCAGCAACGTGCAGGAAGATCCTCCCGCCCGCCAGAAAGCATCCTTGGACGCTATAGCTGTTGCACGGCTTTGAAGCACGGTTAACGTCTAAACCCCATATCATCCAACCACGACGGACGGCAGCAAGGGAAAGCGACGTAGCATCACCAACAGCTTCATCATCTGCAATAGGAAACCTCATAAGCCATGTGCCGCGGCTCACTTGTCCAATTCAGTCATAACCGGCCGAACCTTTTGCAGCGGTGGACCGCTCCGCCAATCCGACGGGAAAGCGCCGATACTAGCTCAGAGACCCTATGAGTGCACTGTCCAACGCTTCGCCCATGTAGAAACCTAGAGCCAGTGGTCAAGGCGTTGCGTTATGGGCGGACATGCCGCACGATGGAACCAGGTGGTAGCACATGTAGTATTGAAGTAGTACTGTAGTATCAATTATGCCCGCTAAAGACCAGATATTAGCCCGGCTTCGAAGGATGGAGATAGCAGGCAACCCACAAAGAGCAGAACACGTAGCCACAGAGATTACTACATGTGCTGGGTTAACCCTGAAGCCCGTGAGCATGCCATCACGGAGTGGTCAACCGGAGCGGCCCGCATGCGGCCTGACCAAGCGTCTGACAAGCCAGAGACAGAGAGCGGTATGCAGTCAGTGATGCGGAGCCGGCTTGAGGTTTCGGGGAGTTAATGAAGATCTGATGCGAGCTTCGTCCACTCTCGTCAACTCTTGTTGGAGCCAATCTGCGGGACGATCGTTGTCTGCGGGCTAAGCAAACGCCACTATTTCCAGAGATACAACATCAACCGATACCGTAATAGCCGTAGGAGCTCGCAACGGAGAGAGAGTTGAGCGATTTGTAGAAACGGTATTGTTTTGGTTATGACGGATGAGATGTTGAGAGAAGAACACGTAGTTAAGGTAGGACTCCTGTGAAGGAAGTCACAGTGGTTGAGGGTCGCTAAGCAAGGCGCTAAACGGCGCACAAAAGTTAGAGTAAGTACTTTGGAGTTACATGTGATGATGCAGTAGGTCAGTGCTTAGCACGGTCGCGACTATGTACTGGAACCCTACCCCATAGGAACTACTAGGTACGTCTTGTA